AAGTTAATTATATTCTTAATAACGAGTTTCTTATTATCCTATTCTATATAGATAATATTATTCTATACTATAAGTGTAAGTCTAAGAAGAGAGTTAATATAATTTTATAGAGTCTTTAATAGCGTTTTACTCTATATATTATATTAGAAGTTAACTAGTTTCTCGATATACGAATCGTACGAGACCGAAAGCTATATAAGTTATAGCTTATATAGGATTTATATATTAATAAACTATTAGCTAAGTTTAACGTTAATACGTATAGTAGAAAGATATCGTTAATATCTCTCTTAACTAAAAGTCTTATATTATATAATAACTAGGCTACTCTATAAGAGATATATATATATTAATAGCGTATAAAGTCTATTAATTTCGTAGCTATAATAACGAGACCGGATATTATAAGAGCTTACTCTATACTCTTATAATACTTACGTAATCTATTACTAGAATATATAGCTATTACTAATAGAGTACTAGACTACTTAAAGTATATATATACTTTTACTCTTAAATACTCTACTTCTTCTAAAATAACTCCTTAAAATAATAATAAATATAAGAACGTTAATACCTTTAAGGTATATTTAGACGTAGTATTTACTAATAATACTAGTCGAAAGAGTTTCGATAACTATCTCTTTATTCTATTTAAAGACTCTATTAACTAGAAAGCCTCTCGATAAAATATAGTAATAACTTTAAATATAGAGATAGAACTACTTACTCTATCTCGTATAGTTAAGAAAGTACTCTAGTAGAGTCGCTTCTTTAACTCGATATATCTAAAACTTAACTAATCGCTTACTATTAAAGCTAATAATATATAGACTATTCGTCTACTAACTAAGAATAACTTTTAACTATTTACGAAGCTAAAATATATTAATATATATAAGTATTAGTTAAGATAGAAGATATAAGCTAGTAAAATACGGATGTAAATAGATCGTAACCGCTAATATAAGAGTAGATAGCTTTACGAAAGTACTAATAATATAGAATTATAAGCGATTCGTCTATATATATCTTTATCTAGTCGATATATAGACTATACTCGACGGTAAAGTAACGAATATAGCCTAAAGGAGATATATTATATATAGTTAGCTTTAATACTCTACTACTAAGAAATACTTATATTAGCTATATTTCCTAAATCTCGCTATCGACTCTAAATAATGCTCGATAACGACGTCGACGACGAGGTTTAATACTCTCTAGAATAATCTATAGATCGTACGAGATACGGTGTTCTCTCCGATTTCTATAGTATATATAGGAGTGCTCTGTATACTGTAAAGTGGATAGAGCGAGAGCAAATATAACATTTTTAGCGCACCTGCCAACAAACCCCTTTCTCCCGAGACGACCCGCCGAACTTGAAATCCGCCGAGAAGTTCCTCACAAGATTACAACGATGATCATACCTGGATAATAGCTGGTGATTTTCGGCTTGTTATCTTTGAAACACTTTATAGTGCGTATTTTCCAGCAGTCTACTCGATCGTCTTCGTGTGTCGATGACGATGGCATTCAAGTTGCGGCCAAGTCGAAAGCAGCCACTTTCAGCGTTCGAATCTGCTCGATCGATGCTTGCTGACCACTCTTGACATTATGGTAGGTTGTAAAGGTGAGGATGGATCCAGAATGCGGCCAATATACGATACTAGAGTCTCTGATCTATTATTTCCGTACAGATGGTGCCACATTGCAAGGAGAAGAATCTTGTTTTCTTCTGGCTGATTGAACCCCATTCCAGCCTCGTCATATGGCACGTTTCAGCGTACGGTATGGGATCACCAGCACCACTCAAGGAAAGTCCGGCCGTCTCACCCCATTTAGTACCTATAATCATTCACCTCCTCCATCTCTATCTCTCCATCATGCAGGGCACCGCCAGTGCTTACGCAAAAAAGCCCCCCTTCATTCTCAATCCCACAGGTAGGTTCACATGTACAGTACAGTACACCCCATCCAATCCGCCCACTCATTCAATGACTTGGAAACTCTTCGCCGAGCATCTTTCCACCCACCACGACAGGCTCACACTCCGCCATGACAGCCAACATTCTAGACCACTGCGTCTCACTTGGGTTCCTCCACTTATGCATTGTCGACCGTTGGATCGTCAAGTCGCCGGCCTTCATGAGCCTGGTCTCTCCACTGTCCAAAGTGAGCTCGATCTCGCCGGCGATCTGGACCACGATATCCAGACTGACGGTGCGATGCATGGGGCTGCATGCCCCCGGCGGCGTGTCGATGTACCATACCACGGCACCACCGCCGGGCGGCACGAGTGGCGGCAGGTTGTCTTTGTTAAATGAAGCCTGATACGCCTTGAGGTCGGCTTGGTCGGTGAGCGTCGCGGGCGCCTTGGGCGCAATGTACCCGAGCCTCGTGAGCGTCCCGCCGCCAAGGTCCCGCACAACAGGGAGCGCGGTCGGTAGAGCCTTGGAGAAGAAGGATTTGCCTTGGGCATCGTTGTCTGTGATGTGTCGACTGGGGTCCGGAAGTGTTGGAGCTGGAGCTGGAGCTGTCGTTGGCAAGGCTGCTGAGGACATTGTCAACAATGTTCTTTTTTTCTTTCTCTTTCTTATAATATCAACCAGTGACTTTTGTCAAGCTCCAGAGCTTTTAGCGAGTGAGAACGCGACACTGCAGAGGCAGAGAAGGGAAATGTTGTCTCCTTGCCCATAGTGCGCAACATACATATATATACAGCCAACTCGAGCCGGCGTTTAGTCAAGAATGGTAGTATGTCCGTGAATGATGAGTAAAGTTGTATAAGCAACCAACGCTCCGCTCCTCCCGAGCAGCACTTATCAAGTTCCTAATCGGAGACAGACTCGGACGGGATGCGATGGCATGCCGTGGGAGCGCTTCGTTTCCGAGTCGCATGCATGTCGTCGGACCTGGAAGGGGCCCAACTCAGCCAATCAGATTCCGTTCCGAGATGTCGGCTTGGATGATTAGTGGTGCACCATCTGGTTGTATCCCGACACCGCCGGCTGCATATCAGTGCAGTCAGGCCTTTCCTTGACTTCATTGACAAGCCTGAGACATCCAGTCAACAGAACCGAAGATTGACTACCAGTACTACTAGAGCAAGGACAGGCAGGACATCGATGCAGCGAGTTTCAGATACTACATTAAGCAAATCTGCCTGGCACACTTTATTCCACGCAGCTTTGTGGTATGCCATATATCTACCTAGGTATGCCTTCATCTAGTGTAAAGTGATGAACACCTTACAATGGCAATAACATGTATATTTATCTCTAGTATTTATCTATATCACTCCGCCCCCTCCTCAACCTTTGTATTCACAGGTTCCTCATACTCTTTTGCCTGCATCTTAGCCATCAACATGGCAGCCTCATGTGCGTATTTGCACTTCATCCTGATCTTCGGACCATACCGATACATAACAAAGGGAAAGGGCAGACAGGCCGCTGTTAGGAAGGCCGGGATGGAGCTTGCCCAATGAATCCCAAGATTGGTGAACATCTGCGTGGTAAAAAGAGGAAAGGCCGCGCCGATGAAAGACCTCAGCATAGCCGTGGCAGCCATCACTGACGCTGCGTATATCGTGTATGAGTCAACAAGGTAAATGAGGATGCAAGTGAAGACGGCCACACATCCGAATCCAAAAGGGGCAGCAAGAACGACGCTGGCTGACCAGTGCATGGTTGGATAATTGGTCCAAGCAAATCCAAACATGCCAATTGGGATGAAAACAGCACCAACCATAGCTGGAGGCAAGCGAGACTCGGGGGTGACGCTTTTACCCAACTTCTGGTAGCGGAGCTGGTCGTCGGTGATAACGTAGGTCACTCCCAGACCCATGCCAACGGCGATGCCAAGGAAAGGAAGACTCCCAATGCCTGCATTCCAACCACGTCCTCGTTCATAAATAATTGGGAAAGCTGGCAGGAACATGTAAATGGTCGCGTAGAGAATCGACAGCTGGACCTCGTCAGGACAGTCTCGAATGGTGGTGGGCTTCATGACTTCTCTGAACAGGAGTACACTTACATAGATGGAGGCGATAAACACAATGGGCTCCCGAAAGAGCAACACCCAAGGCCTTTTCATGGTTTTGCTGAAGACTGCAAATGCCTCGACACCGCCAGTGGTCTTCTCTAGCGTGCTGATGTACACCTTCTTACTCTTCCGCGATAACTGCCGTGCCTTACGTCGCAGCAACACGGGGCCGTAAGTCTCCGGCAGCAAGATTGTTCCGACGATGGCCACAACTCCAATAAATATGCAGCAGAAGCCTTGAACCCACCGCCAACCGATGGTTATGGTGATGAAGCCACCGATAATAGGTCCCAGAACAGGCCCCATAAAGGGTGCAACGGCAAATAAGCATGTCGCGGCACCTCGCTTATTGGTCGAAAACAAATCAGCAATGACACCGCCCGAGTTGGTGAGAGGCGATGCAGCAAACCTAGAATGTCGTGAGCTCAGCAGGCTCATTTCTTGGGGCTCGAGTCTGGGGAGAGGAGAGCTTACGTGCCAGCAAGGAAGCGGAAGACCAACAGAGATGCAATGTTCTTGCAGCCTGCTGTGGCTCCCACGAACGCCACCATGAGAACGTGTGTGACAATAAATGGGCGTCGTCGCCCATACAACTCCCCCATTGGAGCCCATAAAGGCGGTCCCACTGCGAAGCCCAGTACATACAGGGCAATTCCGAGTGCAAACAACTCACTGCTTGTGTGGAACTCAGCAATGATCTGTTCGGCGGACGCAGAATACGCTGAAGATGTGAGGGTGACAGCAAACACACCAATGGTTATGAGGGCAGTGTAGAAGCATTTGCGGAATGCCGACCAGTTCAGCGGATCGGAAGGGTCATTTGGAAGAAACTCGACAATGTAAGGATCCTCTAACGTGCCTCGACCATGGTAGAGAGAATGGCTCTCTGTATCTAGCGAGGTAGGCAGATCAACAACCCCCTCACCGGATGTCTCACCAGGAGTCGCCATGTCCCAGATCAATATCTACCACAGCGAGAAGATACCTGCAGGTATTGCAGTGGGAAATAGCCGGCCGCAGATATTCTTATACGGATGCCGCATATGCAAGCTCTCCCGAGCTCCGGCCACATTGTACCTAACTTTAGGGACTTGATGCTGCATGACGGAAGAGTCCATAGACAAATTTCGGCTGGCAATGTTGTCGGCCTGGGCTTCGACGGAGGCACGCCATCGAGGAGGATCCCATCTCGGAATGAGGCCGCCAAAGCTCGGAACGGCCGCGGATTGGTGGCCTCTCACAACCCCGATATGGGCCTCGCCAAGTACATCGACGGCAGTTGTCGATGGGCTGCGGAATGCAATATGCTTTCAGTCCTTCAGCTTGACAATATTAGGTAACAATGCCTCCGACCCGATGGCGACTGCCATACGCTCAGGAAGATACAAGACCCAAGTTGCGTGTGTGACTTGTCGCAGGCGCAAGGTCAAGTGCGACGGAGGTCGTCCAGGCAGGTTCAAGTTCTTCCCCGTCCACTGCAATCAACTTGAATGATGATTGTATCACTTCATCCCCGAGGCTCGGGCCTCAGATCTGCACTACTAACGGCTTCTTATTCGTCTAGCATGCGGTAGATGCCAGAAGAAAGACCATCTCCGGCGGACATGCAGATACACGCCTGGCAGCACTGGCGATGCACTACTAGTAGTCGCGGAGGACAACTCCCACACCCTCACAGAGGCACCAACTCTGACTCCAAGCAACGGTGACTCGACGGCTTCGTCCGACGCCCAACTGCCAGATGAAGGCGAAACTCGTCCACTGTATGGCGGGGTTGAGCCACGCGTGTTTGCTTGCAAGATCAACGAGGCCATCAATGCAAGGCTGGGAGTTCCCTTGACCAAGAATCGATGTCCAATGCCGGTGCTCGACGCTCCATTGTTTGGGGAGGATCATGATCTTCCTGGTCGGCTGCCAGTGCGGCACATGGATGGTGTTTCAACTCACGCCGACAATGTGCTGCCGCCACGGAGACACGCCGACCATCTAGTGTCTCTGTACTGGGAGCGTCTGGACAGTCTTGATCCTCTGCTGGACCAAGACCGCTTCTCTACGGCGTATGAACATCTGTTCACCGGCGGCGAACTTGACTGCGATGAACGCATCTTCGTCTCCACTCTTAACGCCATATTTGCCTTATCTACCCAACTGCAAGAGTCCTCCTCGCCCCATCAAAGAAATGAGGCGAGCAAGACGTTCTTCCAGCGCGCCTGGTCCCTGCTTGGCCCGGATGCCATCGTCTGGGGCCATGCCTCGCTCGAGCTGGTTCAGTGCCTGCTGCTTCTGGCACGATTCCTGGAATGTACGAGGAACTTGCATCAGACGTGGATGACCATCGGGTCCGCCGTACGCATAGCTCAAAGCCTGGGTCTGCACATCCAGGATAAACTCCCTTTCACTGACCCTTTGAACCCGGACAGTCGCCTGAGACGAAGAGTCTGGAATTACTGTGCATGGTTGGACAGGTATGACAGGAACAAGATTCACCTCTTTCAGTTTGGACAATATCAAAGCTGATCTTGGGCAAAGGAAACTCTCATGGACCCTTGGCCGGCCCTCCTTGGTGCCTGCGACTATTTCGACCCGGGGGACTTATTCAGGACACAATTCCGATCATGCCGTATGCGCAACTGACACTAGCTACGAGACCAAGACCATGGAACTGTCCGAGATCATCATTCATATAACTATTTTACAGGTATCAGCGCAGAGCAGCGTCGCTGAGCGCTTAGGCCTCCCGCCGTTACTCTTGACCGCCGATCTCAAGACGACAATGCAGGTTGATGAGTGTCTGTCGAGGTTTGTGAAGACTCTGCCTCCGTCCTTGTCGCTTAACTCCGTTGCGGACAGCACGGCCAACGAACTGAGTGCCCAACCGCTGCTGCTGCATATTCGGTAAGTGAGAAGTGGCCCTTCCAACAAAGATACTCACTTATTGCGGTTACTTCAGCATCTCGCACGCACGGATCATCCTCTTCCGGCCCATGTTCAGCCGTTTCTGTCTGCCGCAGTTCTCGATGAACGGTTCATCCACCACAGCCGGACAAGGATTGGAAAGCCGTGTTGTGCAGGACGGCGCCACAATGTGCGTCGAAAACGCCCAAAGGATGATCACACTATTGTCCAACGGTCATGGACCAGATACGGCTTCCAGGATTCTCCCATGGTGGTACCGTGTATTCTACACGTATATAGCCTCACAGATCCTGATTGCGGCGATGCTCCGCGCGGATATCTTCAAAGCCATGGTGCTGGACCACTGGAGCAGGGCCATGTCCACGTTACAGGCGCATGAGCATCTCTGTCCAGCTGTGGCCCGATTCCACGCGAGTTTCCAGTCCATGTGGCAGCAGGTCAGCGACCTGCGGAATCCGGGAGGTGGTGATCAAGGCTTTGCAGCAGATGCCTTTTCAGCGACGAACTTTCAGGATTTGTTCCAGCACCTGGGTTTTGAACAAGGGGATGACTTGTTTTTCAACTTCGGCGTCGATAACAGTTCCGCCATGGGCCACTTCGACTGGGAGTCTCCGGGTTGACCCGCCGTTCCTGTCGATGCCATCTCCCTGCTTGAAAGTGTATCCCGTATTAGTCCCGAGAAGCTGCAGCAGATGCTATCTATTTTGGTATATAGTGGACAGTAATTCGACTGATGTGACTGACGCCTGTCTCAATCGAACCTGTATCCTGATCTATCCTCCTGTCTCCGCGTCTGGGCCTCTGAAATGGAACCTTAGCCCCCGCTCCATATAGTGCTGGGCTGAGTTGTCTGCCAGTAATGGCCGATTTGCTGTCCATGTATAACAGTTTCCATGCATTCGACGGAGGTCGCTGCATTTTGTCAACTATCTGCAGACTATCACATCAAGACCAACTTGCATTGGAGCCATTATTTGCATTCTCAAACAGGGTCGATATATTCGAGTATACAATGTCTGAGCTGATTCCGAGCCTACGGTGCGCAACGCACGTCTTAGCAAGCCCCATGGTATCTGATTCCACCCCGTACCAAGGTCGTGAAAATCATTGGTTTTGCTTTGGCATGACTAACGGACAATACACCCCGAGTATCCTGTATAATCGGGACAGAAAGAGTCTTGTAAATTTTGAGTTTCTTTCCATTTCCCAACCTCTCCTCAATCATTTCATTTCGTCTTCTTACCCTCGCGACCGCTGCCCTGTCTCTTAGGGGGTGGGACAGTGGCATCGGCATCTTTCTTCTCGCGGTCCGCCTTCTCTTTAGCCTCGTATTCCTTCATGGCCCGCTCCTCACTGCGCTCGGCATACCACTGACCGACCTGCAGGACCAAGACACCGACCAGGACCAAAGCCAAGATGGTGTTGCTGGCGGCCAAAACTTTCAAATTGTCTTCTCTGCCGAGAACACTATCTCCGGAATCGACATCATACCCGGAAGCATCGACATTGTCCCGCGCGTCTTCCGACAACTCGTGCAGATTCACCATGCCGTAGGTTCCCTCGGTGACAATGCGCAGACCCTTGATGATGTTTGCAATGTACACGATCACGGCGACCATGTACAGAACCAAGCTGCCGCCGTCAAAGAGCATGTTGGACTCGCTGGGCTTGTAGAGCTTGATCACTAGGCCCAACAGGCCCATGGTGACCATGATGTGGAGGATCCGCTGGATCAGGTTCGGCGCATTGTGCAGGAGTCGTAGGTGTGTTTCGACGGCGTCGAAGTGCGTCCCTGGTGTGGGCAGCGACGACCAGAGGAGCGGGTAGTCGTAGGGGAAGAGGGAGAATATGATTCCGAGGAAGAAGGAGACGGCTGTAAAGAAGAGAGAGATTCTTGTTAGTTTTGAACAGGTTGATAGTGGGAGGTCAAGGGGAGGCTAAGGTGCTGCTTACGGCAAATGATGAGAAAGGTCGCGAATGGAACGGACGGCATCTTTGTGCTTCTTCAAGTTTGTGGTCTTGCCTCGAGGTATTGTCCTTTCTTGTTTCTTGCAAGTAAGAGGATCTTGTTTGATGCGCAAGCTGAAAATGGTTGGAGGATTGTCGTGCAGTGCGTGTTCCAGTCGTTTGGCGTTGGTGCTGAAGTGCGGGCAGAGGGAGGTACAGTAGGTAGTATCGACGTTTCTTCTTCGTTACCACCACAACTAGCAGCGAGAGAGCGGTTATACTCGGCGTATGCTTAAGGTAAGGTATGTAGCGGAGCGAGATCCAGAAAAGCCACAAAATAAAATAAATTCAATGCAGCTACTGCCTGGAGAAAGAAAAGAAACTGGCGCAGAACCACCACTGTGCCTGTAGTCGTAGCCGAATAATCTCTTCGGAGATTTGCGGCCGGGCAGAGCTGCAGTGAGCAACTAGTAGTAGTACAATGGCAATACTGTCCAATTTCTGGTTTGCCCAGAACTTGAGGCCGAACTTTCATGCGCAAAGTCAGGGCCGGCGATAACGACGAGATAAGCTGATGGCCGCACTGGCACTGGTATCGCATGGCATCGGACGCGGGGCTTTGTTTCTCCGGCAACCGGTCCACGAGTTGGATCTTCAAGTTTCGATTGATGAAGGTGAGCTTCCCTCGTCAGGAAGTGTACCTCCACTGGCAGATGTACCTTTCTATCTTGTCTTCTGAGTCTCGAACGAAATTGAAGTTAGCCGTAGCTGCTACAGTTGTTGTGTCCCCAAAATTGGCCGAAGGACGAGGAGCCTTTCATATCCACTACCAGCAGCTGTGCCGACCTAGGAAAGAGTCTCCGTGTAGACGGGCTGATTACCCGTACGAAATCAGCCTGTGTGTCTCTGCGACTTTCATCAACCTCTGCCAGTGCTCTACCGTCCTTCTGGGCAGAAAGAGCAACAATGTCCTCGTGCTCTGCCTGCTAGTATCTGCCTCACGATATCGCCTCCAAGACTCTACCTAGGTATTCCAGCGGATACTCCTCAGCTCTACCTAGGTACCAGCATCATAGACCTATACCCATATGCAAGCCTACTACTTCTTACTACACACAAGGGCTCTTCCCCTTTTTTGGTACAGTAACATCTGCAGTCTGTTGGCCCTTCATCACAAAGACAAATCGGATCGGTTCCCAATGGCCGACCCGACATGGACAGGAGCAATACGAACTTCTACCCGGTTTCTCAGTCGGTCCAAGGCAGACCTTCCGTGGACAATGAATCTGTTAGTGCTTGTCTACGTCGTAACCAGACCCTCCACCTAGGTATCATAAGTCGATGCCCTCGAAGACATAGTTCTAGTAGTGAGCTTCCCTTCCTTCACTGTACAGGGCATCGATTTGAAATTGAGTCCTACAACCACACACTGTATACTTGGCTATTGAGAAGCAAGCGCCATACCACGCCGATTCAACAGGCAGAGGAAGACGAGCAACTTTGAAGTAAAGTGCCAAGTGCAGTGATGTCCCGATAATTTCTCCTCTGTCTATCTGTGTTCCTGCCTAGGTAGGTATCTGCCGTACCTTAGGTACTCGGAGTGATTTTCCAACGTCCCTGACCGACCATCTTTTCCAAACAAAGTGCCGTTGTGCAGTGCAGTACAATGGCACGAGGCCACCACTGCATTTGGGCACCACTACCTTAATAGATTGCACCTGTACCGGCAAACTACTCATTTTCCTTGGGTAATACCCAAGGTAGGTATGTAACTGTAGAACCCCAAAAATAACTCTTACTTACAGCTGTAGTAGGCAAGCTGTAAGCGCTCAGCCCCCTCAAGGGCACTGGCATGGGAAAGGGGGAACTTGCCGGGGTCTTTCTCGGCAGTGAGAAGTGACTGCACTGCACATCCACTGCATGCGATGCCATAAATAAAACCAACAAATCTCAGACCAGACCATTTTTGTCGTTGCGTTACTGCCACGGACCTCCTGCCAGGAAGCATGACCATCCTGTAGCAGTCAAATCCCGGGGATATTATCAACAAACCCATCGTACAGTTGCATTCATCACTGGCAGAGTACCTACGATATGTACCTACTAGTAGTAGGTATCTACGGCATCGCAAGATCAAACCGGTCTCAGCTCCCCTCCCTCACGTTCAACCCCCTGTTTCGCCCCCCAGGGGAATTGATGACTGGAACATTGCCCCTAGTGGGGTACCGTGTCAAGGTGCCGTCGGTGTGGGCCCCGGCGCTTCGTAGGCCGTTTATAGCCACTCATTCTCGACCGGGGACCGGGGGTGGACTGTTGGTGGGCTGTTACGCCGGTTCCAGCGTTGCGGTACGGCACCGAAAAGGTACTTAGTGTCCAATCCACACATGCATCGACATCATGATGAGGCACGCTAGAAAGTACCGTAGTGAGCCATGCCGCACTCGCAGGCTGCAGGAGACACTGGCAAGCTGAGCTGCAGCGAACTGAGAGAGAAAACTCTGCTGCACTCAACTTGCGTCGTAGCGCTGCTGATCCTGCACCTGTGCGTTGTCCCACGAGGGCAAAAAGAGTCAGCATTGGGACGAGGGGGGCGAGCCATGCCACTTCAAGATACCGGCACCTGGCAATTGGAAAGTACGTAGGCACCACGAGAGCCCCAGCTGCTAGGACTCTCTCCTTCAACTTCGGTTATAGAACTAATGTACCTCAGCGCGTGATGACTGCGGACGAGCTACATCGTCAACATACCTCCATCATTTTTCACGCCAAGGAGGTTGCTAGTACTTGTTTGTAGTCGACCGACCCCTGGCTCCAACTTGTCCTACATACCTAATGCTGGTCTTTGCAGGTTCCAGACCTAACAGGTAAAGACCCAACTCGGTAAATTGTCACAGATCTTTGATTAGATCAACCTCTCTTCTCCTCCCCGAGTTGATCACCGGCTGGAGGATCCCAACTGCGTTGGTAAAGGCATTCGGCAGTCCTCTGGATCACCAGTAATCCCTGACAACAGCAAAAACTTGAAGCGCATGAATGCGCCCAAAACAATTCGTCATGCCCTCCATCCTGTCATCGTACGACACCGTAAATGCAAGATTGAATTTTTCTCAATCAATTCCGATCGAGCCTTGCCTGTATCGTGGTGTCCATGTTCCAATTCGCCAAACACCGTCGCCAAAAAATAATACTTGATACCATGTACAAAAATGCCATGATTTATGTCGTAACGTCCGTAAACAATAAGAGCCCATAACATGCCCCAAACGGACCTCCAATGCATCATGGAAAGAGCTGTCTTCTGACACCCGTGCTCATGCAACTGCGGTTGGAGGAGAAACAGCCGTAGGGGACGGCGCCGGCAAAGTCGATGATGGGTCATCGACTGCCGAGCTCGTTGCTATCAAGGTTGAGGGAAAAGTAGCCACCGCAACTGTGCCAGCATCTCGTGTGGTCGGCGGAGGCGGCATTTCTGGGTCCTCGACTTTCCGCTTCTTGCCCTTCGGGGCTGGATCCAAGGGAGGTGATCTTTTGTATGTAACCGTTCTTGTTACCACAGATCGAACACTCACCGGCTTCGGACACGCGCTTTTGGGAGTATCAAAATAGCGCCGGGTGCTGCTGTCCAGGTTCCAATCGGCGGGCGAGAACGGAGAATAGAGCATACTCCCACTGCTCATGCCGCTGATGGCAGTGCGTGGCGAAGGTCCGCATGTGCTTGGGGAGAAGGCGGGAGAATGGGGTATCCGTAGTCGCCTCAACGCACTGGGATTCTTGCGGCTGTACGGCGTAGGTGGGACGGAACTGGGGGAAGGTTTTTGATTGTCGGTCTTGCTCAGGTTTTCTGTGGACGACGTTGTAGAGACAGTGGACGCTATCGACTCTCTGGTGCAAGTGGATTCGTCTGACATAGACCTTTGAAGAGCTCCCGTCTCAGGCGGACTTGCCAGGACAGGTGTCAGGGCTTTGAGAAACTCGGTATAGGCCACTGGCGGAGTGATGGGTGTGCCCACGTCTTCTTGCTTGATCATCGCTGATATACACGAGACTGGAGTGTTGATGATCTCAGAGGGGAAAGACGCGGTCTTGGGAGTCTGAAGAGGTGGGAGAACTGGCCGGGTCACCGCAGGCATCTTGACGGTCGACAACGAGTGAATCGATCTTCAAGGTTGATATTGAACGGCCCAAGGTACATATGGTGAAAGAGCCGTTGGCAGACACCGGCGAAGGGAGGAGAGGATCGTTCCGTGCGAGAGAGACGTGAGAATGGAACTGACAGCGGGAGAGGTGGAAGGTCTATTTCTGGGAGGGCACACAGCGCGCGGAGCACTGGCACAACAATCTTGACCAGGATGAGGCCAGCTCAGTCACCGGTGCATGTACCAGGTGCAGTCGGCTGGTCGGGAAGGGTAAGGTAACAGAGCGCTATTACTGGAAGTACGATGGCGCGTAGAGAACAAAGTAATCGGCCAGCGAAGTAGTGCTGTGAACAGAGTGGAGGGTCGAGGCGCCCGACTGATTGACGAGGACGATCGAGCAGGACCGGGGGCTGGATTGACGGCGGGCGGTGAGTGGATGGATGGATGTCAGAGCCAGGAAAGGTGTAAGGCAGAGAAGAGGAGGAAGTAGGTAGGGAAAGTTTGTTGTACTGGCCGTCGCGGCAAGAGGAGGATCGAAGATGGAGGCCAGGAGTTGGAGGCTGAGGGAATGCTTCGATGCAAGTGCTGCGTTGTGGTGGGCAGGTGTTAAAACGGCAAGATAGGCGGGAGACAGATGACAGGTGCGGTGATTGGCTGGTTTCCTTTTCTGTTGCCGCCGGCGGCAAAGACACGAAATGGGGCCGGCGCAGTTGGCAGTTGCCAGTGGGTGCGGCGGGACCGCTGACAGGCACCTCGCTAGCCACACGCTGATTGGCTGCTGTCTGTCTTCACCCGCCTCGCCTGCTGTCCAGCTGTTCGCTTCTTTGTCTGTTGATTCGACCACGCACCCTGCGTTGGTATATGTGACTTGTAGAGCAGACTGCAGACCAGCTCGTCCACGCAGACAGGGTGCTTTGGGCTTCCTGTCAGGCTTCCCCCGGAAGGTGTGTTGTTCTTTGTTTGCCTGGCCAAGCTGGTGGTCGGCTTGCCGAGAGGACGTTCGATAGGCGAACCAGGTGGCACGATGTGACCACTCGATGCCTGCAGACTCTGCGCGTTGTTCTTGAGGTTGTGCTCTTTGGGCTGTTTTAATGCAACATCTCGGTTCTCACTGGCGAGCGAGTGTGCAGGTCGGTGAACGAAAGAGCCAGGGTAGAATTATGGCAGCTGGACATCCAAGTCCTCCGTGAGAATTGGGTGTGGCAGCTGCCATTTATCTATTACCCTGTCAAGCCGCTGGCCAGCTGGTCATCCTGGTTGCTCTGGGTTTGTTGTTCAGTATGACACAATGCTGGGCGCTATCTGCCCTCGGCCTCCTTTGATTTGTTGCACCTTGGATGCAAATCAGCAGGCTGAATGGCCAGACATGACATTGAAAGTTATTACACCCACGAGCGCGCGGCAGCAAACAGCAACTCGTCTTGCATCATCCAGCTTCGCAACCCTGGGCGCTCTTTCTTGTTAAACAAGTGACTGGACGGGGCAATCTACGGGCGGCGTTTGCCTTCTGCCTCACCTCACTCAGACGGCTGCTGAGTGAGTGCGCGCCACAATCCCCGAGATCAGTGGTTGCAAAAGAACCTTTACCGAGAAAGGCCAAGCGACCCGTCTCAGAGTGAATGATTTCATGGTCCAATCAGGTTGACCCGATTGTCGTTCATGGGCACGCTCCTTCGGGCGTTTGACAGTTCAATCCTCCTGCCTCGACAGATTTCGTCGGAAAACTTTAGTTGTTCCCAGTGGGCCGTTGGCAGCATTTTCCGCTGGTATTGTCTTGGAGGCGCGATTGTTCCCATCGGACGTAGGCCGGGTCTCAGTATGCTAGCAAGATCCGCGTGGTGCATTCACCAATCACTGAAGGTATGTGCCGTACTGTAGGGTCTTCGCAACACCCGAGCTGTTCGAGTGACTGGGAGCGGCTATGGTATGTCTTGCAGCATGATTTAGCCAATCTGACCCGGTCGACGATGCTCTGTGCGTTCGCTTCAGCCGCCTTGGACAGCTTCGTATCGAGAAGTTGACCCAGGGGGACACTTCGCTACCGCCCATGCTGTGAAATGCACCCGTCGTCACGCTCGCTTCCAACACCAGAAGTCCTTCACCATTACCCACATTGCCGATGTCCTTTTTTAGCTACCTACCATACCTTCGGTCGTAGTTCCAATTGCTCCACGCCTAGAGCCCTTCCGTGCCATTTCCGGCGCCTCTAGTCAGCTCAAAATATCTTACTGTGCACTCACCTGAAGTAATAGGCAGTCAGGCAGTCGGGTTTCTCGAGAAACCATTCCGGAAGAACGATGGGGTGCGCCCAGGCACATCCAATGAGATTTTGTCCTTCCACTCACCTGGTCCTTGGCCTTGAAGAGGGTTTCGCGCCTTACGCAGCATGAGAGAGCCATGAAACTCCATCGGAAGGAGAGAGGCTGCCTAGAGCCTTCACCGAATTCCAGCCGTAGGTCTTCCACCCCAGGTCACAGTCCTCAGGATAGCGAAAGCAATGTCCTTCTTGAGCCGGATTATTCCTGGGCTCTTGGAGCGCGACGTCAAAGAGCAAGCGAGGAAGACATGAAAAAGAAAATACCTAGGTATGCTTGGCCTAGGCCTCGTGATATATGGCCCAAGAAAAAGCTGTACTTCCTCGCAGCACTGTAATCATGTCAGCAGCTCATACGCCCAGATCTTGAAGGACAGCGAAAAGAGCCGCAGTTGGAGCTCTTCACAGCTCCAGGGTAGGTTGACCGATGGAGAGCATGCGACATATCGTATAGATGCTGCGCGAGAAGTACGGGAGCTGATAGCAGCCAGTGTCCAGCTACTATCGAGTACCTGTATACCTATAGCTGTGCAACTGTACCTCTGCAGTGGTGCGGTAGTCACCGTTCCACCAATCACGGCCCTGATAGCCGGGTACGGCGACCTTGGCATCCCGACGCGGTTTTTTTGGAGATCCGACAACTTTCATCTTCCCATTGCCTATGACCGACTGACTGCTTGCTACATTGTTGTCACCAGTTTCAGACCTCAAACAACTTAACAGCGGCCATTCCTCGTCCCAGCTTCTCACTCCACCGAGCCGAGGTTCTTCCAGTTCCAATCCTAGCTGGAGTAAAACCCCATAATCTAGATCACCCGGTTACTACCTAACATTGGAATTTCCTCTTGCGCCAACCCAACGCAGCTCTCGACGACAGACTCGACGAACATCCGCGGTCCTCGGTGACCAACAACAAACCCTCCGCCATGTCTCTAGTGCATTTAGCAAACACATGTTCACATCTTCAGAACGCCTCTCGGGCGCGGCTGGGCCTCACCTCTATCCCTGACACCAAATTCCACCTGCGACTGATGCTTGCGCTGCAAAACTCGGGGTTTATCTCGACCGTCGTCCGCGGCGGTCCTACGCCTCCCCCAGCCCACGGACTGCTGTCGCATCCGTCGTCGTCCGATCCCACCGCACCCATTGAGCCCGTGACGAGACACAACATCTCAACGCGGCGGTTGTGGCTGGGGCTGAAGTACTGGCAAAGTATGCCCGTGCTAGAGAAGATGAGTCTGGTCAGCAAGCCGACGAGGAGGATATGGATGGATGTGACGGGATTGAAACAGCTCGTCTTGGGCAAAGACGCAGGATACGTCAAGGGACTACGGAGGCCCGGGGAATGCATCTATGTGAGCACCGACAGAGGCATCCTAGAGGCCAGAGAGTGTGTTGAGCAAAAGGTGGGAGGCATGTTGATCTGCCGCGTCCGGTAACCGGGCTTTTCAAAGTATATTGGAGGAAGAAGAAGGGGACCGAGAGAGGCCGTGCTTACAGGAAGAGAAACAATGGCAGGGAGGGTGGCAGGCATGGCAGTGGCTTCAAGCGGTGAAAAAAGGACTCGTGGACCAACAGTCACAGTCATGCCAGACTCGAAGATCGCGCATGATCAGATACCATCAACCAACCCCCTGCCAGGACCCGATCCCCTGTGCCTGCTGGATCGACGCAACATGGACTTCTTTATCTGCACAAGTCCCAGCAGTATTGGGGAAAATCCTTTGACCTGAGCACCTACTTTAGCAAAAGCTCCGGGGGAAGAAAGGAGAACCGTGATCGGATCCGCGAAGCCAAGAAATCCAAACACTCGACAAGAAAGTATTCACGCGTTGTTCGATGAAGTTTCCTAATGGAATTGGATCTCCTTCAACCCGTCTTGTTTTCGCGGCAGAAGCTTGTCCATGGTACCACTAAATCAACGATATCCACTGCATGGATGGGACAGGCACGACACAGGCCGTGGTACGACATATCGTTGCATGGGGAATCAACAGGACCACCAGGATAATGGCTCAGATCGACCCTCCTCCCTCAAACTGGTCAGGCCGGTGGTCACCGGCTACTGGAAATGCGACGATCGCTACGGTAGTCAACCATTGCCCTGCCTAACCACTGGGCCGAAACAATTCAAATCCCCTCCCTTTCTTTTCCTCATCTCCGTTTTCTTCTTCTGGATGAAGATCCTGGTTTCCAATATCCAAAACCATCTTTTCTGTGCTGAGCAGCACCCCAGCTCAGCTGATCTGTATATAAACATACTCTATACATTACGAATCACACTTCAATGCATCTTCTTGATTCTTTTTTTTTCTTTTCTTACTCATCATGCCGGCCAGCAGGGTGCCCTAGCCCTCTCATATAAGCCCCAGAGTCAGACTGTGCTATTAGGACACGAGCATGGCACGCACAGACATACCTGATCCAGACTTTCATCAAATATACAAAGTATACACAACCATAAAAATCCGCACTTATCCTAGTGAGGATTCGCATGCTACTACTGCCAGTCAATTCAAGAGCCAAGGCAGTCGTCCTACTCCAAGTACTACTAATTCAGACTTGATTAGATTACTACAACGCTGGCGAGCGGACCAGCGCCATGTGTTTTGCCCGTGCCGGCATAGGCATCTCTTCAAGTTTCTCAGGAATTGTTCTATTCTGCCCAGAGGAAGTGGTACATAGTATAAAGCCCCATAGGGGCTCTAAATGTCACTTGGGCCTCCATTCCGAATTCCGTAGAAGTCTCTCTTATTCGCACAATATCAATTATGGTAGGTAGTAATAGCCAGGGTGAACCCGACCTACTTTCTACGACTCGTGGTGCTGCTCCTCGCCATCTCCATCTCCCTCTGTATCAGTCTCATAATCGAACTCATGTGGCACCGGTGCTTCTTCTGCACCTTCTTCATCCTCATCGATGGCCGTCAACACTCCAGCGGCAGCCGCGGCTCCAGAGCCGGTCAGTAGTGATTGTATGGTTTGGGCCGCAGGGGTTTGTGGTGCTGCTTGCTGTGCTGCACCCGTGCCTGCCGAAGTGGTGGCAGCTGCCACGGGTTCGACCTTGCTGACCGTCAAAGGGATGATTTCACGTTCCTTGTCCGGTTCCGTATCCAGTACCACCATCACACCGCCGGTGGGTTTCTTGACGGGCTGATACCGCTGATCTGGGAAGGACAAGTACTTGAGCTGCGCTGGCAGAACTCGCGACATGTTGCTGATTTCGTACCCAACCTTCTCCTTCTCGGCCTTCTTTTTGTTGACTTCCCCAGTTTCGCCTTCCTTTTTCTCGCCTTCTTCTGTCTTCTTGCCCTCATCTTCTTTGGCTGCGGCCTCGTCGGTCTCCATCTTGTCACCCTTTTCAATCTTCGGGGTCACAGGCGTGACCGTGTCAACGTCCATGCTGTCACGTCTTTGCTGCTTCTCTTTCCGTGCAGCTCGTCTCTTGGCCTGAGCAGTAGTACTAAGGACGGCGGTCTTGACCTTCTCCGGGGCCTCGTCAGCCTTGACCTGCTGCTCAGGAGGATAGTCAAACAGGCTGGGTCGAGTGTTGCAGTGGAATTTGAATACCGGCGCCTCCAGTTTCTGGTCAATGCCGATGACAGAAGTAGGTGTCAAGGACAATGAGAAGAAATGGGCCAGAGGGAACCAGTACCAGTATTGTGTAAACACAACGATTCCGACGATGCCAAGCATGTTCAGGTTTCCAGTCTGAGTCTGTAGGTTAATGGTGCAGTTTCGACCGCCAGCATCCAGGATACCCATAGCCAAAGCACAGCCGAATTTGCACATAGCATCTTCATGCCTGTCGCTAATGATTTTCAACATCTGCTTGCGGATTGTTCCGACCTTTGGGTTCATGGCCTCGGTCTGTTGGATGAGAACCATGGAGAGGGCTATTAAAGCTCCCTGGCGGACGAAGTCTGTAGGGTCCTTCAACATGGGTTCGAGCAAATCAATGGCCTCATCGAGACCAGTACCTGCGCAAGAGATACCCAGCGCCATAGCAGCACCATATCGGACATGAGGATTGTAGGACTCCGCTAGGAGTTCCACCATTCTAGGGACACTGCTGTATTTCCGGAACAGGATAAATCCCAAGCTGAGGACAGCAATACGGCGGACGTCGTCACTGACGTCACTAACAGCGACGTGGAGCAGTTTCCGAACGGCCTTGTTGCTGCCGGTACCAACATAGGCCATAGCAATGGTCAGGATACCGCCATATCTCATTGTCGGGTCGGTGTCGTTCAACAGACCTTGAATGAGCTCGTCGGCGCCCTCCTGGCGGCCATACATGATCAACGACATACCCACGGCAAGACCTCGGACGATCTTCTCGTGTTGTGTGTCGTGGGCGTGCTGGATCATGTCGGACAAGACTTTCGTGTTGCCGGAACCAAGCATGACCAGACCCATAGCTAGGCCGACAGCCTCACCATTGATTGCCGAATCGCTCCAGAGGACATTTCGTAGATCTTCGAAAACAGCTTCGTCACCAGAAGCCATTCCAGCCACGCCGAGACCAAGTGCACCACCATGTTGGACAACCTCCTCGGTTGCTTCCTTGAATTTCTCTCGGAGGAAGTCCACAGCCCTGCTCTTGTGGTTGGCACAAAGCAGACCATAAGCAAACAAGGATCCTCCTTGGCTGTACGGAGAATCGTGAGACCCAAGTCCTCCGGCTTTCGGCAAGTATGGGCTCAATAGTCTTTGCACCTGGTTAATGTTGCCTTGATGGATGACACCAAACACAGCCGTTGCGGTGAACTTGGACCAGTTGACAGCTTTCCCCAGCCATTCTAGATTCTGTCTGAAGAAGGTATCATTTGCCGTTTTGGCGTGCATAAAACCAGCAGAAAGCGTGACCGCCGTATGATAGATGGAGTACCGAGGCTCCAAGCTGTCTTTGACTTTGTTCAGTATGGTATGATCGACCCTGTTGGACTTGTGCAGGAATTCAATGTTCAGGTGCGTCGACGTGAGGCCGTCGAGGATGTCCCTGATCTTTTTGATCGCATCCTGTTCCTCTGGTTTAGTCAACTTGGAATTCTTGAATGGCGCAGGCGCTCCGGCAGAATCTTGCAATTCCTGCTGTAACTGGTCTTCTGCTTTGCCTTGCACGTCCTCGTCCATCTTGTCAGCATCTTGGGGAGCCGCTTCGGTCTTGGTCTCTTCTGGCAGCATCTCGGACAGTTCTTCCCGTACTTTTTGCAGGAATTCTTGTGTGCTGTTGTCGTACAGGTCGAATGAGACTTGGTAAGCGACGGCTAAGGACCGAGAATCCCCCTTCTCGACCAGGTGGCGAAGCATATTCGAGGCCATTGAATGTTGATCCAAGTATACCACGCATTTTGCGATCGCAAAATAGTCGGGCGAAGGGATTTCGTTGAGCAGTTCCAGTATAAGTTTGAGGATCTCGTTGCGCAGGCCGCGCTCTTCGACGAGGCTCATACAGATATCGAGGATATACTCCATCAACTCCTCCCCTTTCTTGGTGGCCTCGCCATTCTCTTTCCGTTCATCCTCAGAAGCCCGTTTTATCACGCGACGGAGGATATCCAGGTTGCGAGCTTCCAACGCAATTCCCACCACTTGACGGTATCTTTTCTCTTGGAAGCACCTCTCGAAAAGAGTCTCGATGACACGGTTCAGGGCTTTCTGAAGGCCACGCTGCTGAATGACAGCCTCAGGAGAACCCGCTTGTCCGACCTGGATACCGGAGTTTGTAGGATCGAAAGCCGATGTGTTTTGTCTCGACAAGAGGGACTTTGACGGTAGAACAGATTGAGAGAACGGCGTCACTGGCGAGGTCAAACTGGCCGACATGCTGGCAGCCCCGTCTCCGCCTTGCTCAAAAGCCGTGTCAAGTTGAGGCTGCGTTCCAGCGGTAGTAGCAGCAGCCAGGGTAGGGTCGCGGCTTGCAGACAGGGCGATGAAGGTATCTACACATTTGGAGATGATGGTGTCCTCGTATTCTCCGGGCTGATCCAACCTGAAATGTTTCCCAGCACCCAGGGCAAAGGCCATGCTTTCATTATATTCTTGTAGGTGGTAATACACTTTGGACGCGACAATGGCGGCAAGCTCACGCTCCGGAAAGGATTCATCTTCATACAGCGCCTCTCTGCATAGGTTCGGATTAGTATCATTCTGCAGGCAAAAGGGTTACCTGTGGTTAACCAGACTTACATCTGAGGAACCGAATCGGCAATTTCCGTCCACAGCAGATCGACCTGGCTGTCTAGTTGCTTCAATGCAAAGCTTTGGAGCTCTGGGTCTGGCTCGGACAGGAAGCCGACCAGCCCGGCCGCTGATACCAATCCAACCATGATTTCCGTCGGGGTTGTGGTGTGAGGACAGGCAAATTAAAAGACCTGATGTGTTCCTGAGCTTCGTTGATCTATCAGCCCGGAAGGGGCAAAAGGGCGCAACGTCTGGCCGAAGCAGAATTCGGGAGGACCGCGAGTGGTAGGAGAGAAGAAAGTCTAGTGTACAGAAACAAAGTTGAGAGAGAAGGGACGAAAGATTGAGCGGATGGAAGAGGCAGCAGAGAGGAAGGGAGCGAAGCTGCAGTCCAGTTGGTACAATCAGAACGTGTCCGGCGAAGGATGCGATGGATGAGATGGACTGCGCTGCTGCTGCTACTGCGGCGATGCATCAGTCGTGCTGCACTGCACTGCAGGGCCAGTCACGGTGCAGTTCGTCGTTTACATCAGCCTCTGGCAGCCTGGCCGATTCGTGCTAGCCTCTATAGTGCTAGTGCAATACTAAGCCTGCAGTGCCTGGCTTCAGTGCTCGATTACTAAGAAAGAGGACCTCCTTCAAGTTCTCGGAATGGTACACCTCTACCATACCATCGCAACCAGAGCGGATAGAACAAACTCATACTCCATATTACAAGGGTATCGATTAAAGGCGCACCGTTCCGTTTCTCAAACAAGACCGCTCAAACCACTTCTTTATCCGCATATTATCTCTTCAAAGACGTCCTTCAAGCCCCTGCAGAGGAGCCAGCCTTCATCGTACCTTGTTGACAGTTCCTGTGCGGCACAGGATCCTGACGTTGTCCAGAAACCCTCGAACGAGATCTTCGTACCGACTAGGTCGCCCTTCTCGTAGGTTTGCAAGTTGGATGCGGATCTGTTCGGTGCTGATCTCCACTTCCAGTTCGTGTTCCTTCTCCGGTCTGTTCGGATAGCTGACTTGAGTCAAGTCAATCTGGTACGCCATATGCCGGTAGCTCATCCGATCCTTCTTCCTATCCCTCCCGCCATCTGTCATCTCCGACAACCAGTGCGGCTCTCCCTCCCATGGACTTTCGATGGAGATGGAGATTCTGTAGTCGAAGTCCGAGTTGGGGTTGTAGATGTCGATATCCGCGATCCGTGACTTGATGATTTGTGCCTTGACACGGCCGGTAGTTTCGTCGATTGTTCTCCGCACGCGAGGCTTGTGTCGCGGATTGAGCCACGTTACTATGCTTGGAGGCAGATTACGTCTTCCCTCTTCTGTCAATTCGTAGAATTCGTCATATTCGTGAGGATGGTCGTAGCCGATGACCTGACGATCCGAGGTCTGCGATTCGCGCATCGACTCTTGTACGAGGTTATTGAGAAAAGTGTTCAACAAACGGTGTTGGGCCTAGGCTCTCGTTAGCACGGGTGAAAGACAGAAGAGAAATAAACGCTTACCATGTCCATCGAACTATGAAAGCTGGTCCTTCCCCGAAATTTGTCGCGACTGAAAAGGGTTTCCGTCTCCACTGGTAAACTCAAACGATGACCAGTTGATTCATCAACTATTGAGCCTACTTTCGCCTCAATCTCAAACATGGCTCCGCCCCCTGGCGGATTCGCCATTCCAATCATCTGATATATCCAGTCGCAGACTTTGCGTGAGAGGTCCTCGTACGGAACGACATTCGTGATGGAAGGTTCCCAAGGTGGTTCTTCCTGAGCTGGAGTTGCGGGTACACCAGTTTGAGCTTGAAACTGGCCATTCGGAGTCTGGTGGTCAACGGGTTCTCTCTTGATGGAAGTTTGAGCCTGGACTTGTGCAATGACTGGAGGCGCTTTGATAAACCTCAAAGGCCGGCTTCGAGCGCTACGTGCGAAAATAGGCACTTCGTCCCGCCGCAAGCGTTTCCTTGGTGGTTGGGGCGTAGCATTGGCACTAGAAATATGACTCGCGCTCCGCTTTAGCAATGTCGGGACAGTTGATGGAGGGCTTGGCTGGACAGAGAAGGGAGAGGTTGCGGATTGCGGTGTCGTATTCTCCATCACTGCCATTCCCGGGCTGGGACGAGAAATGCGTTGTATCGACGTGGCTCTCGTCTCGGCCGGGGTAGAGGTTGATTTCGGAGTCGCTTCGAAATGATGATCCTCCGCCAACCGATCCGTTGTTTCGTGTGGATGTACACTTGCGCCGTGTTCAGACACAGACCGTACCGTGGGATAAGGGTCAGGAGTGATCTCTTCAGGCTGTGACAGACTCGTTTGTTGTTGCGGAGGGGGTCTCGGAATGGTCTTTGGACTGACACTTTCAACGCTCCGCTCCCGATCTCTTATGTCCCCAGAATAGGTTCTTTGTACACTTCCGCTTCGAGAATGGTCCGATTGCCCGTATGGTAGCTGAACGTGTTGACCGCTGTGCGCCGAGCCCACCGAGCTCACAGACAGCCTCCTCAAGCTCTCTTTACCTTGAGACAGGGGTCGGTGCTGATACGGCGAAGGACGAGGATACGAGCTGGGAGGGCCCAAGGGTGTCGCTGGCGCTGGTGGAGGGTGAAACTGAGCCTGGGGGGAGAGAGTGCGAGATCCGGCGTGAGCACTTGCACTTCCATTCGACGATGTCAGGTCTTCTCTCGGGGACTGGGCGGTGAAGGGAGGCTGCGCCCCGTAAGGTGGTTGATTAGATGTAGCTGAAGATGGTGTTTGATAATGATGTGCTGAACCTGGCGTGGGAGGCTGAGGGCCCGACGGTGAAGGCACAAACGGCGATTGGAATGGGAGTGAGGGCTGTAGTCCTTCACGAGGCGTCTGGATCTGCCCATGAGGCCCAGGACTCTGCGCATAGTTCAATTGCCCGGTGACGCCTGGAGTGACGCCTGGTGGAGAATTCTGCGGGCGCGGTGACTGCGCGGCAAAATACGACCCATTGGGAGGCGAGCCGTAGTCAGAGGCAGCGAGAGGCTGCGGATGCGACTGCGAGCGGTCGGCAAAGGCGTCGTAGGAGGGCGTAGAAGCTGGTGTCCGTTCAAAAGAGTGGGATGTATGCAGTCGAGGAGGCGGCTGTCGCTGGGTCGATGAGTCGTTAAGCATCGATTTCAGATCCATGGCTGCTACAGTCGGACCAAAAGCACCATATGGCGTGCAGCTGTGTAACGGCGCCTCGATCTTGCCATCAACAGAGTGCTCCAGAGGGTGGGTTAGTCGTTCATGGTGGCCTTGTTGTTGAGATCTGGCATCGCACAGACACGAGAAAGACGAAACTGCGCCAGACTGAATGATTGACTGCGCGCGACGCCAATAATGCCACATAATGCCACAACTCACTACATTGGCACACAGCACCACCAACAGCCTGACGCACCCTCCGCACGCACGGCCACTTTCATCTTCAACGTCCTGCCAGTGCACACTCTCTATTATTATGTACGTTAAACATATCAGAAGTGGTCTCACATATGGTGGTTTCTTGTATGTCATTCACAGATTTCTATGATATGCTGTCTGTTGGCTACTTCAATGCCAAACAACGGCGTATCCCCCAGAGGAAGTCTGCGGCTCTTATAAGTCGTCACGCCGTGTCGGACTCCTCTGCTCGGGTTGAACTGCAATCCCATCACTTGATGAGATGCAATCATTGCATAGCTATAGTTGTTGATTGCCGTCCTCGTGGTTCGGCGTCAGCGTCCGCAGCCACTCCCGCAAGCCCTGCCGTAGCTGCTCCAAAGCTGCCCGCTCACGCCAGAAGTGCCCTGTATCTACCCTCACGATCGTGAACTGTGACCGGGATCGAGAACGCAAGTCCTGCGCCCACCGCTGCAACTTTGCATCCGTAGTAAAGACATCTTTGCTTCCAAATAAACAACAGCAAGGGTGAACTGTAAGCTCATGATACTCCTCCGGTGACGGTCCAGTCCTTCGGCCTTTGGGCGTGAATCTGAGCGTCGAGAACATGGTCGTGAACCCAGCAATCGGTGGTAACAATGGCGATATCAGAACATAAGCCACAGAAGGTCTTAGCAAGACCTTTTCAGCCAGTTCGGGTTCGCGTTCTGATTGCGATGCGATGATGTGACCAGCTTGACCGCGAGACCTGAATTTTTGACGAACCTTGTCCATACTTTGCCTAAACCTTTCGCCATCCACACTCCTCCTGGAGGACTCCCGGCTGACTCGTCGGCTGGCAGCATCGGATTCATAACCGCCGGCAGTTACAGCACGACCAGGACTTTGTCCTTGTTGTCGCTGGCCACTCCCGGTTCCGGATGGGGATAATGTGGTGCTGCTTGAATTATGGACAGTCAAGTAAGCATTCGCATCTCTAGACAAGTCCAATGCGCGAAGCTTGATTTCACTCTCTGCCGACCCCGCCGTTGGCGACTCGAACAGATCTGCAACCACTTCGATGGATGGCAGGTGTGAGGCGACCATGGCCCCATAGGAGTAGCCGCCGAGAACGAGCAGAGGAGGCGGTGTCGATGCCCTTCCCGAGACATCACTGCAGCCTCCCTCTCCTTCTTGGGATCGGTAAAGTGCATCGATGTAACACAGCATAAATCCGTAGACCGAGACATAGTCTGCCAGCTCTGCCTTTCCAGACCATGATGTTCGACCTGCTGAACCAGAGGCACCCCTACATGACACAGTACATTACATCAGCCGATCACAGCCGCGACATGAAAGACCGGAAAGAGAGAGTGGTCAGCACACCTGAAGTTGAACGTTGCTAAAATGCACCCATACTGGAGCAGGACACTGCCAGCCAGACCTACTACGGGATCATCATAGGATCCCCCCAGCGGTGCGTAGGGATGTGCTAGGATGGCAAAGGCCCTGCCCAGGGATTGAACATTGCCATCTGTTCTCCTCGGATAGTATAGTCGGCAGTCGAGCTCGAGGTCATCGTGAGTGCTTGGGATGACAAAAGAGATATTCGCCTTGGGGAGAGACATGGATGCAGGGATAGTGTGGCGATCACAGGCCACGGCATGGCTTGTCGCGCAGGAATTTTGATCAATATATTTTATTTGACCCCCACGATCCTGCTCATGGTGTGGAAAGTGACTGCCTTCAATGCAAAATGATACGCATTAGTATAGTGTCAGATGCCATCCTCAGTCTCCACAAACATGACTTTATATTTCGATTACCCGGGGCAACTATACCGACGCGACCATCCGGACTACAAAAGTACCTAATATTGGCATCATTGCAGTGTGTTGACGAAAGAAGATAGTATAGCCTCGGATCCAGGCAATCATATACGTTTTCAATAATGCAAACACGTCAGAGACCAAGATTCCGACCGCACACATATCTATCCAAGGGAGCTGTTGGCTGCATGTCACAATCATATTCATTTCCTACTCCATGTCCATCCGCCGAGTGCCCCTGACCTCGCGGAGCCGCCTTTGGTGTTCTGAATCGTACTTCGCTTCGATATCGTCGTCATAATCCTGATGTTCCCTACGTTGGCTTCTACTTCGGCTTCTACTTGCCTCGCCTTCAACCTTGTGGTCGAGCTCAGTGGCCCTATCTGTAGCCCTACCTTTGCCTTTCGACGACGGCTGTGTTGAGGAGACGGGATGAACGACCAATTCCGGCACACCTGAGCGGTCCACGCGACTCTGACGGGTGTCCTTGTTCGAGGACGACATCTTTTTGGCCAACTTGTCTGATTTTTCCCCAGACGCAGCGAGAGCGCCGCCTGCCGCCAGCTCGGTGCCGTCATGATACTCCCAACCTTTGGTGTAATGCATGTGCTTTGGTCCCACAGTTAGCAGATGTATCTTGCAAGGTCTAGACAGGATATCGCCAACCTGATGCGGGCCCCAGATATCAGGGGTGGCAGAACGAGCTCCGTCTCGTTTCTCCGAAGGCGTCGGGAAGCCTGAGACGGCAGCGCGTCGCTCCTCGATCTTTCTGCTGTGTCGACGCTTCAACCACACGGCGAGCCATGCCAGAAATGCGAACCCGACGGCCAGGATGGCCACCATCAGTATCCAGCGCCAATGCCCCTCGATCCTTGTAATCAATCAGAGTCCTGCGGGAGGAGAACCTTCCATTCCATTACTTACCATGCCTGATGGGAGGAAGACGACTTCGAGCCGGAGGCAGATCCTGTGCCAGAGTTGGCTGCTCCTGAAGAATCCCTCGTGACGGTCGCAGCATTGGTAGAGGTGGGAGATGTCGTTGCGGCGGTGGATGTGAGCGGGTCAACGCCTTGACCCACTTGTGCGCAAAAGCCCGTGAACCATTTCTGCAGCTGTTGGCGATCGGCTTCAATGGTGCATTCACCCGCGCAGATCGCGTCGGGGGTGCTATAGAGCGCCTGTAACAAACTACTCTGGCAAAAGCAGTTTTCATAGGTGATTTGGTTTGTGGATGCAACGTTGGGTGGTGTGCAGAGGGTCTGGGCTTGAAGCAGCACGGTACATGAGAGTGCGCAGCCGGGAAAGCTGTTCGAGGAGGACGTTGGGACGATAGTCTGAGCCAGGACGAGATGGGAGAATGTGATTAAGAGGAATGCGATTGTTGAGGGAGAGGCGGCCAGTGCCGTTGGAGTCTTGGTGAACATCGTGTAACGAGTAAGGGATGCCTCCCCATACGGAGCGGCAGCGGATCTGAGGTATGTTCAAACGACAGATTTGCAAGCCCGAAGGCTCTCGACTTGAGTTGGACTGGAGAGGATTCCTCGGCAAGATAAATCTAGTGAAGACAAACAGAGCGCAGAGAGGCGCATTGTTCCAGGTCGGTTTGAACGAGTGATCCTGCCCGGGTCAAGCTGGGGCAGCAAGCCGCAAAAGAAAGCCAAAAAGGGAGAGTGAAGTGAATCGACCTGGAAGCAGGACGACCTTAATAACGGTAACTAGAATGGCACACTAGCAGTGTAGTAGTAGTGTGGCAGTGGCACGGCACTGCAGGCTGGATCGAGCGACGGGGATGATCCTAGACAGTCGCAAATGGTTCATACGCCCGGCAGGCGGGGAAGGAAGTAAATTAGAAAGAGAGCGGCAGGAGTGACGGCAGCATACCAGGTACTTCAGTCCAGCTCATGGTCACGAATGCCAGTGGTGCAGTGATAGATGCGCACCAAACTTGAACGTCGAGTGCAGAAGCAAAGGATCGGCTGACTGCACTCCTTCAAGCTTGGATGGCTGGTTGGTAGCCAAATGCCGGCAGGTACCGCACCCACACCTCAGATCTCCAGGCTCAATCTGGCACGGTAAGGGGAAGGCGTAAGGGCGGTGATAGGCTTAGCATTGCTAAGACAGTAGAAGCCTCCAGCTGGATGAAAAGTGGAGCCAGTTAAAGACCCCTAGTAGTAGTGCTACTACTCGGCTAGTCGTATAGCACTCTCGCTGTATGACTTGAACTATAGGTACCTTGTCTCAGATCCCACCTCGTATCGGCAGATTGCGGATGTTGTCGCGGCTGAGGAGACAGGTGACATAGTACTGCCAGTCAGTGTAGTACCTTGTGCGTCTGATGCGGCTTGACCTGGCGCTGGCGCGAACCGGAGTCTCGCTGGAGACATACAAGTCTGTAGAACTAGAAGACGTGCGAAGAAGTTTACCTGCCACTGCAGAAGTACAACTGAGGTGTACACTGGCACTGGCGGGGACGAGCATCGCAAGCTCGACGGGGCGCTGACTAAGCCATGGCACAGTTCCAAGGTTGCTCCGAAAGTTGTGCCAATAATGCAGTGGCTGGCTCCCTTTCGTGTCCCCCTTGCATTCCAGTGCCGTTCGAGTCCTGCATCTTCGCCGGCTCAAGCAAACGGGCGCCGTCATCAAGATGCTCAATCCTGCTTCAAGGCTTTCTCGTGTTGATCTCATCAATAACCTCTTTCACACGCTTCAGGGCACCTGGCTCCTTGACCGGAACCTACAAAGTGCAGATCCTACGGCTCCGTCGGGGAGATGTTTGGGCAAGGCCACATTCACTCCAACACAGCCGTCTCCTGTCCTTGACGAGGATGGCAAGCTACAGCTGGCCGAGTCTGAACTTCTGTACCATGAACAAGGTGAGCTGGAGATGGCCCAAGCCATACCAGGCCAAGGCAAGCCTCTCAAGTTGCCGTTCTCGCGGAAATACATTTGGCGTCTCAACAGAGCCGACGACGCCGTGAACCTTAGTGTTTGGTTCACCAAGCCTGGGACCGATACGATCGACTACCTGTTCCATCACATTGATATTCCATACGATGACGCCAATGGCAGTGCATCTCAGGATGAAATGGTCCTCCACGGCAACGGGGGTCATCTATGCGTTGCCGATTTCTATAGCAGCTCTTATTCCTTCTCCTTGTCTCATAAAGACGACGGTACGGCTATCTTGATTTCATGGAAAGCATCGCATGAAGTTCGCGGTCCAAAGAAAGATCAGATAATCGAGACAACGTACACCAAAGCATGAATATTCACCTGGCTGTTTAACCTTCATGGCCCGAATGACCAGGAGACTATTCTTATGGGAGCTTCTGGAGCAGCGCATCTGTCCCCAAGTGGTACGCATCCACATTGTTATGATGCTTCCAAAACATGGCAACAGATCTTGCTCTCCAGAAAAGCTGCCTACACTACCTGCCGGGACCACCACGGACGTGCGTTTCGTCAATCCTACCAACGTGCTCACGGAGTCGCTTTAGTCTGGGACATCGACAAACGAACCGATCTGGCATCGAGCAGCGAACTCCTAAATGGCTCCTTTTCCTGAACATACTCCGGCTAACGGGTCCATGAAGACTTCGAAATCTCGGAAGCGTGCGTGCTTTGGATGCCGTTGCCATAACATCTGGAGCTCCTTCCGACCTCCAAAAGGAAAAGAAAATTATGACTCGAGATACTTGCTCTGTGAAAATGGTCGAGTCGAGCCAGTAGTTACGAAATGGGGTGGAAGTGTAGCTTCTCTTCCTGAGGGTAGCCAGGACCCTGAGTCTATGGGTACCTACCACCTATATGTGCCGATAATCGGGATCGATATCGTCCATCGTGTTTGGCTTGATAGCCGACCAACTGAACTGGGCGGGGGTTCGGAAGAGTAAATCGTATGGTGTGTTTCTCTTGCCACTGTGAGGAGTCTTTGGGAGCATGCGTACGGGTATTAGCTATTCAAACCGAGTTTGGAGGTTGGGATAGGCCCCCCATGACCTTTTGAGGCAGAACTCAACCTGGACTCGCTAGTCGTAGTTCTCTCGCACCACGATCCCATCACCCTAACCGCACGATAGGCTTTTTTTCATGTATTGATTCGGCTCGTTGAGATAGGTTCTGGTCCAGGGTAGATACTCTCCATAGTATGTCGCTTGTGTTGTGATCTTGCAATGCTCTCCGCTAGCACAGGTTCAGTAGTATAGTATTTGGTTCACTATCTGTTCCACTCTAAGTTCCTCTCCTTTCGCCGCAACCCTTGAGCACGGCGTGTAGCTTATGTTCGGTTCGGATGCCAGGCCAGAGACCATTAACTAACTCTCCCCGGCCTCTCACCACCACCCATCCCTCCCCTCCTGCCCAACCTCCCATTCACCTTCCCATGCACCCACTTCAACACCGCCGTATTAGCAGCCATCAACAGCGCCGACCCCCCAAACAAAATCACCCGCTGACTCGTATCCAGCAACGCAAACAGAGGGTACGGATAAAACCCATTAACAGCATAACACATCTCGATCCAATACCAATACAACAGAGCAATAACCGTACTAAGACCAATAGCAGGTAAAATGGAAATCGTCCAGGGGGGACTCAACAACAACAAATCCAACAGCAAGAACACACTAGGTGCCAAATGGAAACTCGCGTCCGCACTGAACGGCAGCTCGAGTTCTTTGGGAACCACGAGTTCCGGATCAATCATCCGTAAACCCCAGTATAAGACCGTAATCAGAACTTCCATGGGCGCCGAACACATGGACACGATGTTTTTGGCGGCAAATATCCGTCGTGATAGGGTTAGGTCTGCGAGAAGGCCCAGGATGAAGGTTGCTGTTGCGAGGGCAAGGCCGATGATGGTGAGGTATTGGAAGTGCCAGCCGTAGGCTTGGTTGATGTGGTTTGGGTGTGCGGTCAGGTAGTGGAATGAGTAGCTGAAGCTCGAGAGGCCCAATGAGTGGATTAGGAAGGAGATGCTGCGCGAGGGTGAGGTGTGGTGGTGGAGGGGGTGGTGTTGGATTAGTGTGTTCATGTCTTTGTCCACTTCTTTGGAGGTAGATGTGCGTGTTGAAGCTGGTTTTGCATTGGTGTCCTTCGAGGCCATTGTTGAGATGTCGTGTGTGTGATGCTGAGATTGAGTAAGAGAGGGTGTTAAGGATATGGAAAGCTTGTGCGTGTTCAATTTGAAAGCTGTAGTATGAAACGAGCTGGCTAAGATGCGAGGCAATGGTGAAGTGATGCGATGCGAACGCCGTGCAAGATCTGATATTCTTGAATCGGAGGTAATGGTTGAGGTCGCTGCTGAGGTTCAAGTCGCTCAAAGAACCAGATGGATAATGGGTGGTACAAAATATATCGCTTGTAAGCAAAGAAGGCCTAGGGACCTGTACAATGTAGCTCTCTATAGCTTGTCTAGCGTGCAGCGTGGTGTTTGGAAAGACTTTGAGAACTGTTCCGGCACCAGTAGTAGCAATTGAAGGAGTGGCCTCTTTCTGTCACAATCAATCAATCACTATGGACTGAGATGATGGTAAGACAGCGCGAAACAAAGAGGGCTTCCCGGGTTGAGTGTGGTTAAGGTATGTGCAGTGGTATAGTATCGAGGTACAAACGCTGCCATGTTACCTTGGTATTTAGGACTCGGAGAATACAAGTGTCCAAGTATCAATTAGATCATAGAAGCCTGGAGAACTTGAATCCGAGATCTGGGTCGACTGACGTAGCATCCAGGTACCACTGGCACGACGACTCCTGAGTTCGGATCTTATAGGTACTACTCCTGGACACCTTGTCTCCGCTACTACTACGACACCACTGTTGTTCACTTTAATATACTTCATACCGACTGAAGGCCGCCTGCAAACTAAATCTCGGTTCGGAAGTCCTAGAGGTCGTTCGGCGTTCAATTAAAACAAAAAGGAAAATATCATTGCTGGGAAAGACGTCGTAGATGGTCCCAGATTGACCAAACCCGCCAACGCCACAACCCCATGCTCGATAAGGCTCAGTCGGACGAGAAACACAAGGACCATCCAACAATTCATAAATCACGAAACCTATTTGTGTCCAGCCACATACAAAGTAGAATCTCTCCGCTGTGTACTCAGGGTCCCGCACCCAATACCCAACTGTACTGAGCCAACGCTTCACGTCGCTCTGACATAAAACATCCATCGAAACGTCGCACACACCTCGAGCGTTGTCGCATTAATTGGAACATATATCCAATTCATCCGAAAAACTCGCCAGTGACCAGAGTCTCCCAGCTCACCCCGGTCTTGTAGACCTCTTCCATGATCCTTCGAGCTCGACTGACCTGACACATACCCAGACCTTCGGCGCTCTTGATTCTGCTCAAGACTTCGGCGCGATCCAAAGGATCCTCGGCCTCCACACCAGCCGTGAACATGGGAAACAACAGACAGGCCTCGGCGCTGCCACCCTCACGGATGGTCTGAAGGATTTTGACAATTTCATGGACGGCGTGTTGGACCTCCGGGTCTTTACGTGGAAGATTGTGGATCCGCCGCAGCAAATGGACCAGGCCAGCCCAGTGAAAAGCCGAGTTGGTGGCCAACGATTCTTCCGCGTCCTTGGCCGACATGTCCAGGTAAGCCGAGTTGCGCCGCGATCCCCCAACCAACTGTGCCTTTGTCAGCTGGGGGCTGTGATGCGAGCACTGGATCTGCTCGTGGTTGCGCGCTCGTTCCAAATCCAATCGCAACCTTTCCGCCCGCTTGAGTATATCCATGGAAGGCCGCCATGACTCATTGACCTGTCCAGTCTCGGGGTCGATCCGGCCACTGGCTTCGCACTGCCGTGCCAAAAGAGCCACCTGTGCCAGGATCGAAACGCACCGTGTAGTGAATCCCAAAAGACAATCAATCGTGTAGTCATCATCATCGTCTTCGTTATCGCCTGGGTTGTCATCATCCTCCGTCAAGGACATTTCTTTGGCCGAAGTGCTATCCTCGTGCGAACTGGACCAATAATTGCCGGCAAACAAGGGCTCCTCGTTGCGTCGGCCAGACAACGACCCCATCACGTCGAGATAGGCCAGCCATCTCGTCAAAAAGTACATGACGGGGTCTTTGCGCGATATTGAATGAGGCCCTCCTCGGGAGCGAATAATGCTTCGCGCAATACTCAGGTGGTTCTGCCAGGGTATCGATACTCCGAAACTCGAAGGTGAGATAATCTCTAGCGATGCGAGCATGATGGCCGTCGCCAGGTTCGCATTGGAAACCTCGGTGTTCGAAACGTTATCCAGAGTCTGCCGCAGTGACGGAAACACGTCTCGAACCCACATAGCAATTCGGTTGGCCGGTTCGGGATGGTTCAACAATCTCGCACGGTGACATGCCGAATACGCCAGCAAAAGGTTCAGCAGATTAGGATTGTCCACAGCCACTGTTCTCACGTCAGCTCCCGCAGCCTTACCTAGGAACATTCGACACTCACTTTTGGGCAAGATTGTTTTGAACGGATTCTCCGGACAATCATGCGGGACGAGGATTCTGGCGGTGTGGTTGAGAAAATGGTGGAAGTACAACAGATTCATCGGGTTCTCGGACAGTGTCCGTGGTAAAGGCTCCAACTTGCGCGGGATTTTGATCTGTACCGGCGTAGCATAATAACCCCCCTTTGCAAACACCGTCTCTCGACTCGCCAGACCAAACCCAAATTCCGGCACACCGAGATCTGCGTCATGCAACCAAGACTCGAAATCACTGTGCTCGGACGGCGACATTCCTGATATAGCCATGGTGTCGTTGTTTCGAGGGATGTCGAGATCCGGATTCCCCCGGTCTTGACCATAAGTCTCCGTCTCTGAATATGACACCATGCGCTGATGAAGCGATCCACGACGCGGAATCTGTTCTTCTTGCGCATCCTGGCCGTTCTTCTCGGGCGCCTCCGAGTCGTCTGGCTCGGGGTCTTCAGATAAGAGAGAACTGACAGAGATACGTCGGTCTTCAGTATCCTGAGAAACATGTGAGGCCGCAGAGGTGGCGGGCGTCAAGGGGTTATTGAGGTAAGACGGCAAGAAGGCCGGGGTATTTGGATTGAAGTGTACTCGAGTATGCTCCTCGGTTTCGTTAGGACCGTATGAGCTTGCGCGCTGGTAGTTCACGGCCCGCCCAAAGCCATCTGTCCGCGGGCTCATTTTCATTCTCTTCGCGCTGTTGTAAGTCGAATCCGCAGCCTCATGATATCCCATCGGATTCGAGGTGGGCATGGGAGGAGGCATTTGCATGAGCTGTCCACCGCTGAAGCTGTACATTCCATTGTTGAGATTGGGGCTACCAAACCCTGACTCAGAAGGTGATGGATATCCCGGGACCGAGAGAACATGTCGCAGTGGTGGCATCGCCGCCGTGTCCTGGGGAGGGCGACTGTTTCTGTTGTCGCCCCATTGCGGAGTCTTCAGGATGGGCGGTGGAGGCAGCCGGCCTGAACTAAATTCCACGGAGCCATTATCCCTGAGATGGTTTCCCGGGGCAGAAGGCTGAATATTGTACGTAGATGGAGGTTGCACCTGGATTGTATAGGGTGCTCGAACGGGTGGTATCTGATGCGTAGGCTGCGGTTGAGGCTGCGGGCCACCGAAAGACATCATCTGCCCACCATGCCCTCCATCGTCTTTCCTTTTACTCCGTCCATCCCAGTTGAGTCGAATGCTGTAGTCGCAGGTTTCGCCTTGTCGTTGACAGTTGGAGCATGCGGGTTTCTCTTCTCCACTGAAGCCTGTCAGCATTGGAACAATGCAGCGCGATGTCGCAAACGGTTGAACACATACCATTTCACTTTCCTGGACTTGCAAGGCCTGAAGAGACTCGTTTGTTAGTCGCTATTACTGAGCGTTGCGCGCAATACCCACCAACAACCATTTCTCGAGCGCTTCTTGACTTCTTTCAATTCGTGGTCGGCCTTCTTGGGGCGCGGCATGGCGTGCAGTGGGAGGGGCAGCTACCGGACTCGGCAGCGCAGCAACATCAGCGCAGAGCGCAGAGGTGATGCATCAGAGAAGAAAGGCCGCAAGTTGGCCGGGGACTGCTTGCCGAAAGACTCATGGATTCATGATTTCTGGAGATAAGCATTCAACGAGAGAAACTACGAATAAGGCCGAGATCGAGGACCAAAAGGGCGGGACACCAAGCGTAGTAGCGTTGGCACGCCATGGGAATTATGGTCGCCCATGGGGAGAGGCTTTAAGGCTATGCCAGTGCTTACTCTGCCGCCTGCGACTAACCCGCTCAGGCTGTAGACGAACAGTGCCAGTGCAAAGTGGTGCATGCGAGCACGTCCAGAGACCACTAGCATGAGCTATCTTCGGTCAGTTCCCTGGTAGAGCGAATCGTAAAAGCCAGCAACATGAGCTGAACTGCCAGGCCAGCTAATGCTAATTATAAGAAGCCGCCCGTGTGTCAGCCGTTGTTGGCGGGAGGGTCCAGGTCTGCTCTTATCAGGTCATTTCCTGCGGACTTCAGATTCGGCTTGCACACCGGCGCAGCGCTGGATTGGCAGATGCGTATTGAACGTCGGGTCTAGAACTGTACAAGCAGATCAATGGTGGGCTTGTTCGTAGAATTGTTCATGCAGAGTTGTTCATGCAGAGTTATTGTGATTGATGGCCCAGTGATGGTACGTAGAAAATAGTACCAGTAGAGTCACGTGCAGCGGTTTCTCTGAGGTTCCGCCCTCGAATCTTGAGGCTGAAAGTCGAGTGTTGGAGCAGATCATCAGCTCACAATTACACCGCAGCTGAACCACCAATTCCTCGAGACCGCCGCCCAAGGATCAAGAAGTTTTACACTCCAAGCTGCCTGATATAGAGTCCACTTTCATATCTCGCCATCAGCTGAAGTGGCCCAGCATGTCATCGAAAACCGCTAGATTGGGTCTGCAGCTCATTCAGACCCGACCGCTGTTGAATGCCTCAAACAATGTTCTACCAAAATCACGATGCAGCCTATCCACCGCAGCTCTCATTCCACAGACGCGGTACCGTCTACCATCGTCGGCACGCCAGGCAGTAGTAGCACATTCCTCCTCTTCAGCCATCACGCCGTCATCCTCCTTCGCTCCGTCATTGTGCCGCACTCGCAATGCTTCGACCACAGCCTCCCCTTCGAGCTCGAGCTCGACTCCTTCCCCGAACGCCCTCGACTGGAACACGTTCTTCCGTCTACGCACCTCTCGCCGGCGGTATGCGCTAGCATCGTCTATCATCACGTCGGCGGCCTCGACGGCTGCCGCAGTGATTACCTTCTCGGAAGTGCCCGACATTGCCGACAACATCACCAAGATCGTTCCTACGGACCCTTTTATTAGCATGGGTTTGGCGACCTTTGGCGCGACGTTCTTGGGATGGCTCATTGGTCCCGCATTTGGCAACGGCATTTGGCGGTTACTACACCGGAGCCATCTGCCGGAGTTTACAGTGAAGGAGAAAGCGTTCTTTGAGAGGATAAAGAAGCATCGAGTCAACCCAAGTGGAGCAAGCACCAACAACCCAGTGCCCGATTTCTACGGTGAAAAAGTGAACAGTGTGGCCGGATACCGTCGTTGGCTGAAGGACCAGAGAGCTTTCAACAGGAAGAGGGGAGGAAACTATCCTTCAACAGTCTAGATGGTCGCCGATTGAGCAGGGGTATCACTCGGCTGAAGACTGGACGAGACGGGAGGGCAGTTGATCATCTGGATCAGGCTGCCGACTGCACAGCCGACATCTCGTCTGTTCCTTGCCAATACTGGCAAGAAGTTGTGAGGACATGTTGGGGCGATGCGTTTGCGTCGAGGAGATGAAGTGTTCATATGTAATAACAAACACATCAACTTTGGTGTACAACAATCTTACACTCCACCATGAACAAGATCGAGCCTGCAGCAGTTTTATATTGTCGTTGAAACGGGCAGGGTCAAGCAGCGGTAGAAGAGCGTTGTCGTTGAACGATTTGCTCCTCCGAATGTTGTCGAGCTTCTCTGGCCTTTGAGAAAGCGTCCCATGAATTTTCCCAGCCTGATGAGATCCCGTTGCTACAGCAAGCCAATGACACTGGTGGTTACCGCTGCTAACCAGGAGCTTTGTCCCTATTCTATAGGATTGCATGGCTGTTTTTAAAGTTTAAGGAAATTGTTCGGCGTGCAGAATGCAATATCTCATATTGTAGTTTATTTACAAGCTGTTTTGCATGAACTTGCGCGAGGCTGTCGATTTGATGCTGTTGCTAATATCTCAGAGGCGACCGGCGAACTCTCGGAAACCGTTTATAACTCGAGTTGGATCGTTTCAGCCAATGGAAATCGTGACAAGGCTGGACTGCACTGGCCGGAGAAGTTTCCGGATTTTTGCCTACTTTTGACAGCTGCCCAATCAGATTCTCTGGACTTTCCCGTTATTCCTTCACATGCGCGATTTGATCGATTCGGGCAGCGCCAGCAACGTTCAGCAACAGCAGAAAACACTCTGCCCCTCCCCAGTTCTCTTCTATCTCGATAAATTGTCTGCATCTGTGCGTCATGCTATTTGCTACAGGCCAGCCTTATGAGGACTCGCCGCCGTCGCCACATGCAAAATGCAAACAAAGGTAAATCCCTGCCCGGCCGCTCATCGCGATCGATTAGGTCGGGGTCCGTTTATATACATACCTGTTCCATCCCACTCCATCCCAGACTATTCCGCTCTTTGCCGTGACTCTATGGTGAATTGAACTGCAGTGTTCGTACCCTCACACCACTACCAGGCGTCCAGTTGTTCCGCATACTGCCAGGACAACTCATTGCTACACCGCTTCTACTACAGCACTACTATACGAGGGCCTGTGCTTCCTGGTTTTCTTGGAATTGATCATCGTCCTCTCGCGTCATCACACACTCAACAACACAGCATATCATCGTTGCTACGAATTAATGCTTTGCGCAGCATAAAGACAACAGGGCATTGTATCACCATTATCACTACATCTATCTTATTGCTTTGACTGTTTTGGGCCATCTTATCGTTCCGGTATAAGGCGATCGTTGCTTGATACTCCATCAGGCGTACTGCCTCAGGGCTCTCGAAACAGTCTCCGTCACACACGCCCACCTCTACATCATTGTGGACATATTCCACCATAAAGCAATCAGTTTCTTCTTTTCGGAACTTGAACAACGAGTTATCCTCTACCAACATTTCCAACATATTCCTTGCCCGGGTCGCATTTGACCCCACACAGCAAAGACAACATGTCTGAACTCAGCATATTGGGCTTCAAGCCCTCGTCACAATCACCAGATACAGATATCGTGCACTGGGCAATCCTCGTGTCGCCCCTGATGCCCGCCGGCGCAGAGACACAAAAGACGCATAAACCAAGATTCTTCTCGCGAAGGTCCTCAATCCGGTCCGATAACAGACACGAAGATGACTCAGACACCAGACTGTTTGACATGCACGACCATCAACTCCGACAACAAATATATCCCATACCCGTCGAAGGTTCCGAAGAACCATCATCAACGACGACCACAGCACCACCATCTGAAGTCACAGAGAGGCCCTCGATCAGCCCAAGCGAGGACGTCAACTCACCAACGTCCTCCTCAATCCAGGACACCTCTGCTTCTCCCGCTCCTGCAACCACATCTACCACTACTACCTCTACTCCCACAGCATCAGCAACAACCACAAGCATCACATTTACTCCGACCAATGAAACTCTACCGCTGTGCCTACGCATCAAACTCGGCACACACCACTCCTGCCCGCACAAAGTGGTCAAAAAGCTCTCGGATCTACTGTACCAGACGCCCACCTACGGCCCTGAGGACGACTGGCTCCGGGCCGCAGTCGAAACGACACTTGAAGCCGGGATGCTGGAAAATCCCAGCTCCAACTCGTCCTCCACCAACATAACCGTACCCGTGGAGACTTACGACGCCGGACGGATTGTCGAATTCGCCCGCGAAGCAGCCAAGGAGGCAGTTTTATCCCTTCAAAGTGGTTCCAATCAAGAAGACGCCGCCCAAGTTACAGAACTCGACTACCCCGCCCACTTGGCACGGATAGCTGGCGTCAAAGCCCTATTTGGCCAACACAACCATCACAGCAACCATTCACTATCGTCTTTACGGCGTTCCAGACAGTCCTCGCTGTCTCTTCGTTCGCCGTCACCTGCTTCATCTACTGCTTCCCGAGCCGGCACTCCACGCACACAATCGCGGACACGACTTGCGGCAGCACCAGCAACAGTGGAGCCTATCCAAGTTCAAGCTGCCAGCGATTCGGAACCACAACCCCAACCACAACCACAGTCTCGAACATCAACACCGACCATACCATCATCATCAATGATACCCAACGATCCGCCTCCAGCATATACTCCTTCCAACCCGCCCAGCCCCACATATAGCGTGTCGGCGGCAGAAATCCCAATTTCAACTCCAGCAGCACAATCATTAGCACCGGCTCAGGCACCACCGCAAACAACCTCCACTCCTCGTCCCGATTCAACAAGACAACCGCAGCAGCACCCACAGAAAAAATGCACAAGCAGCAAACTCGCCGCCGCCTCGTCCCTGCTATCCTCCGCATCCAGCCGGTCCAAGCGCTCCTTTCTAGGTCTGCGCATCTCCCCGTCCCCCAACGCCTGTCGTCAACAGGCCGGTGGGAATAACAGGCCCGCGCGCCATAGGTGGAGTTACGAAAGGCAGGATGATCCGTATGCTGGACTGATGTAATTTGTCTTTTTATTCTATGTCGACGACAGGACGGGCGATTCAAGCCGGAGCGGAGCGAAGCGAAATAACACCCTTTCCCTTTTTTTTCCTTTCTTTCTTATTTTTCGTTTGGATTGGGCAAACTCGACGAGCGCCTCTTCAAGCGGGTTTAGTTCACGTGGGTTCCGGGAACGAATGAATGATACTGCTTGCTACTTCTGTGGCTGGCATTGCTGTTGTCACTATACTGCTAATGCTGCTGCCACGGCTATAACTATGACTAAGGTACTTAATCCATTTGAATTGATGTACAGTGTATACTTCTTTCCCCAGTCCGATGAAAAGATTGGGTCTGGTTGAATGTCTATCTCTCGCGGCGGGGAGTGGAGGGCAGCAAGAAAAGAGTGATAGAATATATTCGACCAGTAATCGTTTCTGTTTGTAGCTCTGTCCAGAGAAGAGAAGAATAATGGATGGATACATGCAATGATCCGGTAATGAAATGTAGATAGACATACTGTAGTAAGTTGGCTTGGACTTTGATGGTAGATACATTGGGTACCAATAGTCACATGCAGACCCGTAGACACGCAAGAACCGCACTGGCATATCTCACTGCGGCGGCGGCGGCGGCGGCGTTTTGATTCTTGGAATGAGTAAAATAAGTCAACGTTTGGAACCTCTTCCCCCATACTAGTATCTGCTCTCCCTCTCTCCCCACCTATTACTACCAACTCGAACGCCAAACACTGCAGAATCCGGCCCGCTCATACTGGGCTTTGATACACCATTCAGGATCTTGGACGTGATGTTCCCAGTTTGCCCTTCCTCCTCGGCTTCACCTTCTTCAACTAAAACGCCTGTCCAGGTGCTGGCGCGTTTGAATGTGGTGCATACGCGCCTGGGATCGGGACAGACTCATAAGTCTGCTCGCCCGGAGCGGCGGTGACATGCTCATGCACCCTCTCCTCCGGGGGCGGGGACATGGGCGGCTGAGGCGGTGAAGTGGCACCTGCCCTTGACCTCTCAAACCCTTCGGAGCCAGACTGCCTGGGCGAAGCGTGCTGAACCCGGATAGGTGGAGCTTGAAGTTTGAAAGGCGAAGCCGTGGTGTTAGAATGCGGCGAGACAGCAGCATACTGCGTTGGTGACGACAACGGTCCACGTTCGATCTCAGGATACGAAGAGTCCACCATGGATTTCTGCGTCGTTGGGAAGCCTGGGGTTCTAGGAGTCTGAGCAAAGCCAGGAGTGTTGGGTGCCGATTGAGTACGCAGTTGGGCAAGGTACAAGTCTGTGCGAGCTCGGTCGCGAGCATCCATGGATTTGCGCAGTCGGTTCTTGGACCAGAATCGGTAGAAGACGATTCCGTAGATGGCGATGACAATCACCTCGACCACGACTTCGATGATGCAGCAGATTAGACTCCAGTCTTGCAGACGACAAACAAGAGCATAGTGCACGTCATCTTGAAACAACTGGCGGCGCTTGTTGTCCTTGCAGCTCCAACCCCAGAGATCGGTTCCGCCTCCGCTGGCTTTGCTGCCGTGTAAAATGCCCGCTCCCACAACCCACATGACAATGCTGAACATGAACCACCCTACTGCGAACATGGTGTAGTAGACAGCGACTTTCTCGGCCCGTCTATGTCCACCACGGCAGTAGGCTAGGATGACGATGATGGAAAATAGCAGTGAAACACAGGCGATGCTCAGTACCACTATCTGTGGCCATGTTTGCTGCTTCGGCGCCCATGCTGGTAGATTGTTGCGTGGTGGAAGGGATTTGGTTGCGTGGAAAATGGTCAACACTGTGCTGAGCATGGCGAGGACGATGAGCGAGCAAGAGAAATTGACGCCGCGGAGAACCATTTTCGCGATTCGGACTCTCTTCTTCACTTTCTAGAGCATAATGTCAGTACAGCCCCGTCTTGGTCGAAATAGTATGCCGCAACTTACAAGATCCTTCGCCTGTTGAACTTCTGTCTTCTCTTCTTCCTTCTCGAGCATTTGCTCTTCGCGGAAAGTCGGACTCAAAGGATTCAACATTCGACTAGCGGTCCCGGGAGTCTTCAAGGCTGACTTCAGCGGCGCACCGGCCAAACCATTGGGATCTCCCCGTATCGTGGCATGTTGCTCGATGGGTTGACTGTCTGAAATGTACCCGAATCCCACATCTGATGGTTTGGGACCTCCACTGCTGCTGTCGTCCATTTTCGGGTCCGCAAATGGTGACTGATGCTCACCAGGTCCTGATGCGGGCGACAGGACGGACGTCGCCTCAGCGAAGCGTGCCCTCCGCACCTGGTTTCCAGACCGAGTGCTGGAAGCCGTCGAGTTTGTTCGGAGGGATCGTGTCGTTGCTTTGATATCTGCTTTCTCGTCGAGATCGGCAGTGCGATACCGGCGCGAGTCCGCTGTAAGATCAATAGGCGAGACCGGTTCGAAGTTGGATGGTGCCATTGCTCGGAACTTGACTTTCTTATTGCGGTGTAGACTTGGGCGCCCGCGGTGCCACCGGGAACCTCCAAAGAAAGTTCGGGGGCCAAAGTGAAGTGGCCGAAGCTGACGTGAGACCAACAAAGGACTGCCACCTGGGCGTATAATAGTGGCGATAGGTATAACCTTATGCTCGCAGAGTTTGTCGCACTGTTGAGAACCAGCTCTTGCTCATCCAGATGTCGATGATGAGCAGATGAATATAGTGAAAACAGCAGAGATGAGGGAGGAAGGTCGACTAATTGCTAGCCGCCTGTGTGTCTTCTGATGAGGGGGCTTCAGAAGATGTGGTTTGACTATTGGGCGCCTGAGAAATTGAATCGCCCTACGGAGGTATGTGCAGCGGACCTGGGGATCGGGGGAGTGGTCTTGGTGCTCAGAAGGGGCGTGGAACAAGTCTTGTGGCAATAGGCGCCCAGAGGTCGACAGAACGGTCTCTGGCTTTTGGGTTCAGGCTACCAGTGCAGGATACAGGCCTCACAGGAGGGGGAGCCAAGGGGCGGTGCAGATGGTTCTCGTGTCACCAAGGACGATTGCGAAATGCTCAAAGACGAAAATGAAGACTCAGCGAAGCCTGCGCGAGCTGGAAAGCGAACACATGCAGTGAAGTAGAGGAAAGAGAGGTAGAAGACAGAGCAAGTCGGTGAGGCCGGGGCAGTGGTAGTAGTAGTAGATGAATACAATTGAGGCAAGCCTCAGCATTGGAGTAGACCAGTACGATCCATCGTTGGATTGAGCATCTGGACCTGATCTGCCAGATGGAGACTTACCGGGCGCTTGCACAAGACAAAGGGTCCATCTCGTGATGGAGGGTCAAGACGGGCGGCTGGAGGAGGATTGAAGCTGAGAAACGAGAGGTTGCAGAAAGGAAGCGGAAGATGGAGGATGCGCAAAAGATGCAGCGACATGGATTCAACGGCGGACAGACACCCACAGGGACCAACAGGCACCTATAGGGACCCCTACAGCCTCTGACTGTGGCCTCGGCGGGTGACAAAGTGGGAGGGACGCCTGTGATTGGAACACTTCATGTCTATACGCGCCCGACCAGAACCAGTTCGCACAAATCAGAGCGCAAAGGACGCTCTATCACACCAAGGCACCTGCATGAGATTCGCAGTAGTCGCCAGCTAACAATTTGAACTTGGCCCCCAGCTTGGATTCTGCTAGCTACAACGGAGTACGAGGTACCGGTACTGGACAGCGCCAGGAACACACGCAACTGTTTCCACTGGCGGAAGAGGCGAGACCGTTGAGATGAGGTCTGGAAACAGCAATCACGAAAGCGCAGTGGGAGCAGTACAGGTTGTCCCGTAGATACCTGTACAGTGCCTACCTAGGTACCAACACCTTAAGTATGCCGGCAAGAGGTCTAGGGAGTCCAGTCCTCGTGCCGCCCCAAACCAGTCCATTGTTAAAGCTTCCTTAGCCGTCAAGGTCTTTACCTGCAATGGGTGAGATTTCGACGGGCCGCTGCACAACGACAGCCACCCGCCCGCTTCGCCTGGTACCAATATCCATCTTTGCCCCTCGTTCCCCCAGCTTTCCGAGTCTCTTCAGCTATTTTTGGAACCCTCTGTATCCCTTGCAGATTGACATCTCCACATCCTGTACAACACCGCCATGCAGGTGGCTCTATCATTTTCAGGTCAAGTTTTCTATCTTCGGTGTCATGAACCACTGCGGTATTGCTACGAGGAAGTTTAAAGTATGCCAACGTTACAAGTGCTTGCATTGTCATATGATCTTCTGCTTGTGCAGAAGCTCTCTTGATGCTATTGTGCGGTTGAGTAACCATTGCGCCATGGCCGGTAGCACGTATCGTATGCTTTCAGGCCTAATCATGCTAGACCTTTGCCACATCCAAGGCTCAGGTCCTCTAGGACTATGCCCTCGTGGTCTATCCTGCTCGCCTGTGTCACGCCCGAAGTGAGTCCATCTTCGTCATCCACAATATGCCACACCAGGCTCAGCCTTAGCGAACTGCTCCAGACCCTGTGTTTTGACAACCTTCTTGGCCAGAACGTTTTTCGCCATGGTCTTGTCGCCCAGTGGCATTCGGATCTTCAACGATCTGAGGGCCTTTGTTCGAGCCGCCTCCCTTTGTTTCTTCTCCATTGCTGCCTTTGCCTCGGCCTCACGCAATTTCTTCTGCTTGCCGTCGGTCGACATCATCTTGTTCTCCAGTTCCTTCGCAGTTGCCGCGGCCATGTTGGGATCGAAGCGGTCATGCACCAGCTTCACGTTGACACGTTCAAGTCCGTCTTCTGCAAGATCAAGCAGAGGTTTGGCCCAGCTCTCGTCAATCTCCAGGCGGCACGGCCAGTCGAATAGGGTCAAGTCCAAGACCAGAGTCGTAAGGCTTGTCATCTCCTGCTGGATACGCTTCAAGGTCTTTGCCCACTTCTCGTCATGTCGCAGTTTCCATTCGCGGTCTCGGATCCACTGTGGTTCGCCGTATCCGACGTGAGTGATCTCCAACTTGCCAATGCTCTTGGCTGCCGCACCAGGAATGACGTTCAGGAATTTGTTGAGGACAACCATGCGGTCGAAACAGAAGGTGGTTCGGGAATAGATAAAAGTCACGACTTCCTCATTCATTTGTCGGCAAGTCAAGAGAAGGGCCATGGAGGCTCGTTCCGTGTCTCCTGTGACCTCTCCCAACAGGCGAACTCGCGTTTTGTGCTCCTTGTTGGGAAACATCCATTTCAGCGTCTCGAGGTCTTTCTTAGGGTGACTGCCAGTAACGACCACTCGAGTTGTTGGGATGACAAGATCATATATCTTGTTTTTGAGCTCTCCCGGTAAGTCGAGAAAGGGAAATGGTTTGGCAGGAGATGTGCTTTGTGTGGATGACGTCTGAGGTTGGACCTGAACCGAGGAAGTCGCCATGCTTCGAGGCTGAGGGATTTTGCGCAGGACATGTTGGCGATTGCGGTGCGGAAGCAGGCGAATTCTCTTCGGCGCATTCGAAGACATGTTGGTCCGTTCAGTACCCAGCGGCACGAGGAAGCCGTCTCGCTCAGTATAAACGGTCTTGCCGATGACAGTAAGATCGATAAACTTTGTTGGAGGCATGATGGTGGTTATTACAGATCAGGTATCGACCGAGAAAGTGGAATGAAAGAGAGAGAGGAGAGAGGAAGCAAAGAGGAGGAGACGGTGGTTCGGAAACTTGAAGCATCAAAATACGAGCAGGCAGAAGTCATCGGATGATTGGCGCAGGTTCCGTGAATGAAGAAGTGCTTCCGAAACAGGAACAATACACTTGAGGTTCTAAGGAGGGACAATAGGTCGATCCGGGGATCCACCAATAAGGCATCGAACCGGGCCAGCAGTGAAGGAGAGTCGGGTGTGTTCAAGTTGGAAGTGAAAGATAAGTGAGTCAAAAGTGAGGTTCTACCGGAGAGCGTTACGAGATCTCGATTGAACGCAGTAGTGATGTGCAGTGCCAGTTCGAGTTCAAGTTGGATTTGGATGTTTAGTCCATCAGGCTAGGCCCGGGCCGATCGTCGAGTCTCCATAGTGAGATAATAACTCTGATATCTGATGGTAGCTCTAAAGGTAGCCGAGACACATGTGACACTGTGGTTCGCGAGCGCTGACAACGTTGGTACGGAAGATATCACTCTGCAAGGCGCAGACGAGGGTCACTGCTCTACGCCGCAGAACTACTCTCTGGACGTGTCACAGCAAACGCAGGCTGAGAGACCCTTCTCTACACTCTTGAGACCTCAAACGATCTCCTGGAACGGCGACATCCTAGCCTCTCATCTGATGTCGCAATGGCACCTGTTTGCTGGACTGCCCCTGACACCAGGCGGAACTGCATCGTCGACAGTAGCGGGCCCTTGTTCTTCAGTTGCTGCAAGGCTGTCCGCCGCATTTCGTCTTCTGCTCGCAGTGTCGCAGACATCCAATCATCGAGCTTAAGCTGCCTAAACTGCTGTAGGCTAGCCCCGCGCAGTTAAGCTTGGTACTAACTCGCTAGCCCCGGCTCTTAGCATGTCGATGCGGACAGTGCGGACGGACGGATTATCCTTTCTCCGTAGCTCGGTCTCACTTGAGGATTTTGCGCGGCTCCTCCTCCGAGTCCCCCACCAAAACCAAAACCCAATCACGCCTATCAAGCCTCAACCCGAAGTGTCGACATTTTTTGTACCTCAACTTTTGTTGTGAACCAGACAGGGCAATTCGCTGGATGAGGGCTGCTTACTTAACCTGTTAACCCGACCATAACACCCCTTGCTCTTCCGAGCTATTTTGCCATCTCTCTGTGTCAAGTATAAACCTTGGTGCCGCAGACTTCGAACCAGATTCCACCATGGCCTCCCAGAAAATTGGTATGTCATGCTGACCACAGTCCTCTACGTATTGGATGATAGCAGAGTCGGCTTACGTGCGTCCTAGCCATCCTGTCCGTCTATGACAAGACTGGGCTTCTTGATCTCGCCAAAGGCCTGATCAAGCAAAATGTCCGACTTTTAGCGTCTGGCGGCACGGCAAAATTGATCCGAGAGGCTGGCTTCGATGTCGAGTATGCACGCGTACCAGGGGGTTAACTGTTTGTATCAGTTACTGAAGTTATTGCAGGGATGTATCGGCAATCACTAAAGCACCCGAGATGCTCTCTGGCCGTGTCAAGACTCTTCACCCAGCAGTGCACGCTGGTATCTTGGCACGGAACCTCGCCTCAGACGAGAAAGACCTGGCCGACCAAAATATCAACAAGGTGGATTATGTGGTGTGCAATCTGTACCCATTCAAGGACACTGTTGCCAAGGTCAACGTCACCATCCCGGAAGCCGTGGAGGAGATTGACATCGGCGGTGTCACCCTGATCAGAGCTGCCGCTAAAAACCATTCACGTGTCACCATCCTCAGCGATCCCCAGGACTACCCTAATTTCTTGCAAGAGCTTGAAAAGGGCGACATCCCTGTGGAAACTCGCCAGAGATACGCTCTCAAGGCTTTTGAGCACACCGCCGACTACGATGCCGCCATCGCAGACTTCTTCCGCAAGCAATATGCTGGGAACGGAGTCCAACAGCTCTCGCTACGCTACGGCGCCAACCCTCATCAAAAGCCAGCTGCTGCTTTTGTGCGCCATCGGAATCTTCCCTTCAAGGTTCTGGGTGGATCTCCGGGATACATCAATCTGCTTGATTGTTTGAATGCTTGGCCACTTGTCAAGGAGCTCAAAGAAGCACTTGGTCTGCCAGCAGCTGCCAGCTTCAAACACGTTTCGCCCGCTGGTGCCGCCATTGGCGTACCGCTGAATGAGACCGAACGTAAGGTGTACATGGTGGATGATATTGCTGGAATTGAAAGTTCCGCTCTCGCCCAGGCGTACGCCAGAGCACGCGGTGCGGACCGCATGTCCAGTTTCGGTGATGCCATCGCGCTTTCTGATATCTGTGATGTTCCCACAGCGAAGATCATCTCTCGAGAAGTGTCCGATGGTGTTATTGCGCCTGGGTACGAGCCTGAGGCTTTGGAGATCCTCAAGAAGAAAAAGGCTGGCAAGTACCTCGTTCTGCAAATGGACCCGGAGTATGAACCTCCTTCTCAAGAGTCCCGAACAGTCTATGGCGTTACACTCACGCAAGGGCGCAACGACGTTAAGATCTCGCCCACCGAGACCTTCAACTCCGTCATCCGCCCGAAGAACTCCCCTAAACGGTCTGAGTCTGCGTTGCGTGACCTCACTGTGGCAACCATTGCCGTCAAATACACCCAGTCCAACTCTGTTTGCTATGCTCTGAATGGACAGGTCATTGGCCTGGGTGCTGGTCAGCAAAGCCGCATCCACTGCACGCGCTTGGCCGGCGACAAAGCCGACAATTGGTGGATGAGGTTCCACGAGCGCACTCTTTCTATCGAGTGGGCTAAAGGAGTCAAGAGACCGGAGAAGTCTAATGCCATTGACATGCTATGTTCCGGTCAGGTGCCGCCACAGAGCGAGTTCGAGACCAAAGACTATGAGCGCAGCTTTGCCGAAGGACATGTTCCAAAGCCGTTCACTCCAGAAGAGAGAAGAGAATGGCTGTCGAAATTGAGTGAGGTCGCTGTCTCAAGTGATGCCTTTGTAAGTGATACTCCGACTATTTCTCCCTGAGGGAGATCACGTTACTACGCTGTACCAGCTACTGACTCTTAGCAGTTCCCATTCGTTGACAACGTATACCGGGCGGCCAGGAGCGGCGTGAAGTACATTGCTGCGCCTACTGGTTCCCAAAATGATGGCGCTGTTTTTGATACGGCAGAGAATCTGGGTATCACGTTCATTGAGCAAAGTACTCGTCTGTTCCATCACTAGAGTGTCGTGGGTTTCCTCGATCTGGCCGCATTGGGCTTACCTGGAGGTTGGACATTGGGTTTATTGCCACATCATGATATCGTCGCGGAATACCAAAAGGGTGGGACTTGATTCTTCCTGCAGATTCCTCCATCAATTAGATCTTAAAAGAGTTCAAATGATACCAGTTCGTTAACATTGAGTGGTAGGCCGTTGACATCGAGTACGCGCACGTGATCCTTCGGCTACTTATCGTCCGGGCTTATATAAGCGATAATCCCCGCGCTCTCGGCAGCATCGGTAATGTGCATTTTCGGCTGCGAGCGACTCATTCCACATTGAACTCTCTTTGGACGCCGCCTTCATGAATCATGCCAGATCATGTCGGCGAAAAGCTGGCTGCTCGGAAAAGAGCGGTCAAGGCATGTCAACGATGCAACGCCAGGAAGGTGAAGTGTGATGCGGCCAGGGTAGGATTGCCTTGCACCAGATGCAGGGTCGACGGCATTGAAGGATGTGCTTTTATCACCTCTCGTCGAGGGACATATGCTCGTGACCGATCGAAATTAAACACTTGTACACCATCCGAGGCTCCAGCACACGACCAAACAAGTGCGCCGCTTTCACGCGAGTCTTCTATTGCAGGGGATGCCACAAACAATTCCAACCCGCCCGAGCCAAATGTCGCTCCTGCAAGTTCGATCGTTCCAATACCAACTCAAGCCCCAGGCAATCTTCCGTCCGATAGTACTGGGGATGGCGAAGGCACAAGGAGTAACTCCTTAGTTGTGATGTTCGAGAACTTTCTCAAGCAGCAAGGTCGAGAAGCAGAAGGCCTCGTGGGGAAACATGGGTTTGTCCTCCTAGGAGATTCCTCTCCCCTGACGTTCGCTCTCAAAGAATTCCTGCCCGAGAAACGAGACGGGCTGAGGCCACAACGGCGTGCGTTGAACGATGGGGAAGCAACAACGTCCCGGCAGGAATCGGCTCATCCGTCACACCTACACGCAGCGGACGTTGCTTATCTTCAAGCCAAGGGAGCCTTCAATGCCCCTAATGCTGAATGCCTGCGCGCCTTGATTGACGCATTCATCGGCAGTTTTTACCCTTTGTATTCGATTGTCAACAAGGCAGAGTTCCTGGAACAGTATCAAGCTGGCACCATCCCGTGGATCTTATTGCATGCTGCCTGTCTGATTGGCGCCGCTTACTGCGACCTAAGTGTTCTCAAGAGTGCCGGATTCAAAACTCGCCAGAGCGCGCGGCGTTTCTTCTACGACAAGGCTAAGATTCTTTATGATGTCGGATATGAGACCAATAGCGTCGTGCTGTTACAAGCCATCATTATTTTGACATTCTGGGGCCCCGACATGAAGAGCTATTGGAATCCATGCTCGTGGGTAGGCGTTGCTGTAACAATTGCAGAGTCTCTCGGCATTCATCGCTCGATGATTTCATCATCATCTCTTCGAGACAAGGGCTTGTTGAGGAGGATGTGGTGGGCCATCGCTGTTCGTGACGCCTATTGTGGTACTCTCTTGGGTCGGCCGTTCAGAGTCAACATGGGACATTGTGACACCCCAATGTTGACCATAGAAGACTTCAGTTCTGAACAAGGTCAGGATGATGTTGCTGATGAAACTCGTCTTTCCATCCTCTACCAAATCCAACTTGCGAAACTGTCACTGATCCTCCGTCACATCATCAACGCGCAGTTCAACCAAGGGTTTTCGTCCACTCGCCAGAGTCTACACGAAATGCTTGATCAATGGCGAAGCGAGCTGCCTCCTGCAATCAACTGGTCTGACACTGGCCCTTCGACGTCAATGTTTGCCGAAAGCCTCAAAATCCTGTTTCACCACCACATGATCTACATTTACCTCGCCCGTCAAGATGCCTCCACAGACGATAGTACACCACGTTTGGATTCAGGCTCTACAACATGCGAGATCGCAGAGTCAGCAGCTCAGACGATCTCATCCACAGCACTGACGTTAATGACAAAGTCAATGGCCCATTCGATGCCGCAGGAAGTGTTTCCCGCTTTCTTTGTGGCCGGGGTCGTTTTCTTCAGGCTAATTCGCAGATCTTCGCCTCTCATCGCTCAACTAGGGCAAGCAGCACTTGACAACTGCCAGATAGTTCTAAATGAAGTCCGGGATTGTTGGGATCCTGCTTTTTGGGGCCTTCGTATCTTTGAATTTCTCCAAGCAGGAATCAGGAGGACGGGTGCAGTGGATAAGAATGCCTCCGGGACGGTTGAGTCAACAAGCCAGTTGTCGGCGGAAGGCATGATGGATACGAATGCAGGACTTGAAAACATCATTTCGACTCCAGAATACTATGCCCTGCAAAACACATTTGAAATGGGTCCGGCCATCCACAATTTCCAGACTGCCGCCCAACAAAGACAGCTTGACATGAGTTTACAGACCCAACTATATGATCGCTTTTTAGATCCGGACAATTACTTCATGATGCCAACGTCTCTTGAACCATCGGATTATCAATTCGACATGTCTCAATGGCGACAACCACCCATACCTGCAGACCTGCCCTCATAAATAATGACAAGAGGTCAGAATGATCCTGAACACCAGCACAAATTGACACCAAACGCTCAAACTGCGGGCAGTGATGCAAGCCCTATGCAGAAACGGAAGCACCGATGTCCTCCTCAAACAAAGGCTTGCACGCCAGTGATTGCCCTTCCAAGAATAAGAGCATGGATATCACTCTGACCTTCATAGGTCTGAGTGACGAAGAGGTTGGCGACATGGCGGCCGATGTGGTATTCGTCACTGACGGCATTTCCACCAAAGATCTCCTGCAAAGTCCTTGCGTGGACCAGAGCACGATCACAGTTCTGTCTCTTGATCAAAGAGATCATTTCAGGAGTCGCCTGGTGCGCAGCATCGGCCTCGGCATCCTTCAAGCGACCCACCTGATGGGCGGCAAGGATACCGTAAGCGACATCCGTCGTAGCATCAGCCAACTTCTTCTGGATGAGCTGGAACCTCGCAAGGGGCTGTTTGAATTGGTTGCGCTCGAGCGAGTAGGTCCTGGCACGATCGATACAATCTTCCAAGGCGCCCATGACACCCCAAGCAATACCATATCTGGCGGAGTTCAAACAACTAAACGGGCCCTTGAGGCCTGAGACGCTTTCCAACATATTTTCCTTCGGAACAGGACAGTTGTCAAGCTGGATCATGCCGGTGATAGAGGCACGCAGACCAGTCTTGTTCTTGAGTGCGGGCGTTTCAAGCGTACCAGGCGGGCAGGCGTCGCGCTCAATCACAAACCCCTTAATGACACCATCCAGTTTGGCCCAGACCAGCAACAAGTCCGCAATCGGCGAGTTGGTGATCCACGTCTTTGCCCCCGAGAGCACATAGTATCCTTCCTTAGTCGGGTGCTGTTTGGCAGTGGTTTCCATCGACCCCGGATCCGAGCCGTGGTTGGGCTCAGTCAAGCCGAAACATCCGACCAGTTTCCCCTGGCCCAGCTTCTCCAGCCATCGATCCTTCTGCTCCGCATTGCCGAATTGCTCGATTGGGCCCATCACTAGCGAACTTTGGACCGACATGCCGGACCTGTATCCGGAATCCACACGCTCGACTTCACGCGTAATCAGGCCAGACGCAACACTGCTGACTCCCGCGCATCCGTATCCCTTGATGGTTGCGCCGAGGAGGCCTAGCTCGCCCATCTCCCGCAGAATCTCGCGGTCGTAGTCTTCAATTCGATACGCGTCCAGTACTCGCGGCAGCAGTTTGTCCTGGCAGTAGGAGCGGGCCGTGTCTTGGATCCCGATTTCTTCTTCGGTCAGCAGACTCTGTGCGGCAAGCGGGTCTTCCCAGTTGAATGTCGGTCGTGTCGATGCGAACCGCCGCTGGATGTGAATGTTGTTGTGGATGCCAGTGTTGCTCCATTGGCGCGTGGCCGTCACCAGCCGTTTCGTCATTTTGATTCCTGTTGATGAAGAGCCGGCCATTTTTGGGTTTGTTTTATGTTCGGCACAGGACCACAGGGGCTTGGGATACTATTTGGCTCTCTGGATGGCGTGACTGGACCACAGGGGGCTAGACTACTAGTAAGAGTAGGTAAAAGGAATGTGTAGAGTGAGAACTTAAATGGAGAGGAAAGGCTTTAGGATTTCCAACAGGAGCACAGGGTATATAACGTAAAGGAGGCTACTCCCTGAAGTAGCCGTGTGTACTGTACCCCACAGCCGAGATCCATTTGTACTGACTTGTTGCGATCTATCTGCTACTAATTACTGTACAACCTGTTGGTGTGTTTGGCAGGTAACCCCCGAACTCATCCAATACTCTGCGGCCTGAGGGCGGACTACGGCGAGGCTCCGAAAGCATATAACCGACCAAACATACCACATATCTGTGCCATATCATCTGGAGATGTTGTTCGGTGTCGACCTTCCTCTTTTCACAGTACACTAATCTTGCCGGAGACAAAGTGGAGATGTGACCATTTGGATTCGGCTGACATCCATATAGCCGTAGCCGTAGCCGTAGCTAGAACTTCGGGCGAGCGCCAACCAACCACGATATCTCTGCTAATGGGCATATTGCCGATGGCTTTTTGCCGAACCTAACACGTCGCTGAACACCGGACTTGACTTTACCACATTGAAGGCTGGGTCGATTTTCCAGACTTGACTTCTCAACACCCTACAAGGGAGTGCGACCTGCACCCATATCCCAGACGATCGGCAGGAAGTACTCAGCGCATCTAGTCATAGCCATCGTTCGCTTTCAGCGCCTCAGGGAGGTCTGCTTGTTCGTACCTACAGGAGAATTGACCGACCGCCCGCCGCTCTCTCACAGAGCTTGGATCCTCCTCTGACTGCAAACACCCATGCTTCAGTCTATTGATGATGAGCATTTCAAGTTTGACCCTGGTCCTGACCATGCCTGCCTGACTCAAGGAGTGAGATACTCCGAGCCTGTCGAGCCCTTGATCCCTGCTCTGACTCCAAACACTCATACTTCAGTTTTTGGAGCACTTCAAGTTTGACCCTGACCATGACCTTGGTCTTCATCTTATTCCTCATCGCGATCCAACTGCTTCGCCCTGTACTCCCAATACTTCCTCCTAACAGGATCCCACTTTTCCCCCAAAGCCCTTAAACACTCCTTACTACGCTCAACATTCCCATCCAAACGGTAAATCTCAGCCAACCAGTCAATAGCATGACTACTCCTGACCGTTCCATTCTCAGCCATGAGATCTGCATTCCTACCACCAACAAACCTCTCACAAAACACCTGCATGTCCAGCATCGAAATGCCCGCTCTCTTTAGGACACCCTTCAGATAATTCCAGGGACTAGGGTTCTGCGGCGCCCAGGCAATATGGTCTTTGGCATAATTGATTTCGCGCTCGACGACGTCTTCGTCCACCACTAGACTCCCTCCACGACCCAGGATCTCCTTCCGGTTGCCGCCTTGGGACTCAATGGCGCGCAGTTCGTCGGCGCCAAAACATACGAAATATCGATGATTCCAGGCCGAATTGTTCCGAACGTCTTGCTGGATCAGTGCGTCGACGGCTTGTAGTTCTATGTCGGTCGTGAGTAGTGGGTCTGGAAACCGTCGGCATAGCCATTGGCGGTACGTCCAGACGTGGTAGTTTTTCGAGTCGAATGATAGGATGTGTGTGAGGAATGAGGTCTCGGTGGGTGGAAGATGCGGCAGGAGGGAGACGAGGAGTTGGCGGTGGTGCCTGTGGAAATCGAGTCGGAGCTTCAGTAAAACATCAGAAGACCAAACGGAGCATACTAGAGAGGTATCCCGCCAGCCAGCCAAGGACTGCGAATACAATGAACACCTAGGAAGTAGACGACACCGTTTGACAGATAGAATGGTCCCCCGATTCGATAGCATAAGATGGGTTAAGATGGCTCACTCACCATATCTGATAATTCTTCAAATTCCGCTCACTAATCCCCTCCAACCACTCCAATTCCGTCATCACGCCGTCCTCGGTCTTGATACCTTCGCTTTGCCAAAGAGCCTGTAAAATCTCCGCCCGGTACAACCATACCGTGTAATGGGCCGGGTTCATGGAGATAATGTCTTCAGTCAGATCGAGAGTGCGGCGACTGAATTCGTTCACTGCCATTACTGCTCTCAGATAAGACATGGCTTCGCTGTATCGTGGTGAATAGGCGATAGTGGCAAGTGCTGGCCCTGCGTCCTTCTGGCCTGGCGGTCCATCCACTAATGGAATCGGCGTGACGTCCTTCCATTGTGGTGAGACGGCGTAGATTGGGTCTCTTCGTTTGGTTGATTTCGTCTTTGGTCGGCCCGGGGCCGCTGCCTTGGGTTGGGTGTCCACCATGATGACTTTTTTGCGGCTGGACCAACAATAGATAAACCAGTCTTTCTATTCCTCGCCGTAGCAAGTTGCACACCCCCTCGTCCTTCAGGTCACAGACTTGTCATTCTTCGAGTATGCTCACAATACCTTAACCATGAGCTCACGGGCTTGTCAATGGCCGTATAAAGTACAAGCAAAAGTCACGTCAGGCCGGCATCATCTGTCCATCCCTCTGAAGCCGCCAAAGTCAAGGACAAGAAGGTCAAAGCGGAATGAGCGCAGAAACTCGCTGGGAAATCAGTCGAGTTGGACTGGAATGAGAGAACAATAGGAAGAGGCCCTAATGGGGGACGTTAAAGTTGATTACAGTTGATTACCTAAACACGTCTGGTCGGAAGGCCCCTTGCACGTGAGACTCTATGATTAGTCATGCCGCAGCCTTCTCTTACAGCCTCGAGCCTCGCGTGGCAAGTTGTCTGTCGTGATCCTTGATAAGGTTATTACACTCCTAACCATTTTCCGTGTCCAATACAGCCCCATCATGTGATGATATTGCCATGCGCCACGCTCGTAATACATAAATAATCAGCCAAAAAGTCCCAAATACCCAGTCTTCACTGCCAAAATTTCCATTCCGGCCTTCTTTCAAGAAGACCGACCCCAACCAAGGCTTCGATGTCTTCTGGGCCTTTAGCATTGAGGAACTTTTGTTGATCAATCTCCTCGCCTCCTTCTTCATCAGTCCCGTTGTGCAACACTGCAGGATATAAAATCCCCACTCCACTGCCTCCAAGCGTGGTCTTGTGCTCTTCAAACCCAGCAGCTTCAAACTTTTGTTGCAATTCACGGAGGACTTTTTCATCCACATCCCGTTTGAGCAGCGTAATGGCGCATCCGCCACCTCCAGCACCTGTTAGCTTTGTCCAGCCAATGCCGGCATAGTCCACCATTTCCCGGATATGCTCGAGCCGGGGGTGGGAGACCCCAAGAGACACTAGAAGACCATGATTTATGCGAAACAAATCTCCGAGATGCTCCAGATTTTCTTCTGAAGACGGATCGAAGTTCTCTGAGGTGATCAATGAATGCGCCGCCATGGTGACCTCGTCAATGCCGTCCAATGTGGCCTCGGTGACAGCAGGATACTTTTTCTTCAGGGCTGCAACCTTTGCCACTTCTGCAGCCGTGGAGCGAGGTTGTTTTGTATTTATCAACAATAAAGGCAACTCAGGAAACTCCTTCAGTGGCCGGGAATCCGGCGGCTTCGTATAATCCTCTCTTTTGAAAAGCACGGCCCTGCCACGAGTAGAAACAGTGTTGTCAACTCCGCTGGGATTGCCGTGTATACATAGTTCACCAACAAACGCCCACCTGTTTATCCTTTCGAGTTGCAGTTCCACTTCTTCCTCCGGTTGGTCCTGGTGAGGTCCTGAGAGAACGTGAATCTGTTTGAGTAGGGCGGCACTTATGCAAACGCAGATGCTGGCGCTGGATCCAAGTCCGGCGCCAATAGGAAGTGTCGAGCGAAGGGTGTAGATACAGGCCGGAGCAGTGGGAGAACTTAAACTGAGGAACAGGTACAGGAAAGACGACGCCGCGTGTTGATGTATCTTTCTCTTCTCGCCGGTCAGGTGGGTCGACACTGTGTCGATGTGAGGTTGCATGGCCTGGACAAGTTCGGGATCCAGCGACGTGACCATATCATAGTATCGAGGCTTCGACGCCAGCTTGCTGGTGAAGACGTGCCAAGGGAGGTCGTCAATGTTCCATGTATGATCCAGCCCAACATCGGGAAATACGAGCGTGATCGTTCGGTGAGATTTGGAGAGAGTCGTAACGAGGAGGTAAGATCGCAGTGAAATCGACGCAGCCATGGCTGCTTTGCCATGCACCACAGCATGTTCGCCAAACACAATCACCTTGCCAGGCGCAGAAACCATGAATGCCGGCGCCATTGGTGAGGACGACTTGCGCGCCACTTTTGGTGGGCGTGAGCTGCCGTCGGTGGAGTGGCCATTGATGCCATTGACTTGACTGATCCCGTTCATGATCGCACTGTAATGTAAGGATGGGGCGTGATGCGGTATTAGGAGGTGAGAGAGCCCGTGGCGCGTTGCGCCTTTCAACGCGCTTCACGAGGTAAAGGGAGAATATTAAGGTATGGACAGACGAGGTTGGATTCAATGGACGCAGCCTCGAAAATTCGCAGATCTGGTGATGGGCAACTGGCAACCTGGAAGTGGAGCGGGCGCGCAGTCGAGTTGAAGGAGCAGTCTGGGCCACTGCAACTTTCTAGGGGCTTGTTAAGCTTTGGACCCCGAAAATGGCACTCCGGGGGACTGATGCAGGAACCAGCAGCACAGCGTGGCACGCCTGTGCGACATTCTTAGGGGCTGCTTGTCACCTATCAGCTGGGCTGTTTTTAGCCGGAGCGGACAAATCCCCGCCAAAGAGGACAACCCGTTAATCTTGCGCTTCCGGGTGGCACCATCACTTGAACCCCAGCCAGGTGCCAGCCAACCGCGGTCGGCCTGATTACGAACGAACATTGGAGGGCGCTGTCACATATCTTTTCTTGGCCAACAAAACAATCGTATTATCGCTACCAAGGTATATCAACAGGAGAGAATGGTGCAGACATGGCTATGGAAGGACATGGAGCAGATGACTCAATCACTTGCATCCGTGTCTGAGTCACTCAGCTCTTCAATGCGACCCGCCTCCATCGCCTGTTGCACAGGATTCTTGACGTCCACAACCCCTGTCGTCTTCAGCCGTTCGAAGAGCACAAACAGGCGTTCCGCCTCTCGCTCCTTTTCTTCTCGTGTCATCTTCGGCAATTCGATCTCCGGCTCCATATCTATCCGCTGGCCGGTGATAGGGTTGATGGGGACGCTGCCTGAGGATTCGCCTGATTGCTGAGTCTTCTTTGCACTTTCTGGGACTGGGATATCGTGGGTCATAAGATACCCTGCAGCGTATCCGTAACCGACATTCTTGACATATTCGTTGGCATCTTTGTCGGACAATTCGAACATTAGTCCAGATATTGCTTCGGTCAGCTTGAGCAGACCGGAAGATGTTGTCAGTTGAAGTAATTTTGATGGCAAAGAGCCTGACTTTCCCAGAGGTTGATCCCTCTCCTTATCGTCTGGAAGAAGGCGTGCCTTCAATGTCTTTCGCAGTTCGGGGCTGCCTTTCTCGTTGATCTTCCTCAAGACTGTCAGCAACGGAACACCAACTATATCCAATTCAGCAGTAGGGTGTTTCGCAATGGCCTGTTCAAGTATAGTGATCAGTTTCTCTACCCCCGACTCAATGCCCGGTGTGCGTGCCATTGCATCCTCATCAAACTCCATGTTTGCCAATGCGTTCACAAGAAGATTGATGGGCGGCTGTAGAGGTGGTGACGGGATAGGCATATCGTTGAGTAATCGCAACACTTCAACAACAGCTGGATTAAACTCCGATAGCTGATCCGTTTGCGCACTGGTGGCGCTGAACAGCAGCTTGAGGGTTTCCTGGAGTGCCAATGCAGCTGGCTGATTGATCTGGCCTTTTGCCTTTTCGACTTCTTCAGCATGGCGTGTCAGGTGCTTGACGATGCTCTTCGCCAGGTCATGCTCGGAGATTAACGTCTTTAGGTCAATTTTGGGATCCAATGTTAGCAGGAACAGGATGCGGGATAGGAGAAACTCTTCATCCACGTCCGCTGTTCGCAAAGCATCAGTTGCTTGCCGGTCGAGGTGGGCTTGGAGCGCAAAGCTGCGTGTCTGGGGGAGCAAGAGGAGAGCATTCGCAATGCATCTCATTGCCTCTTGATGAACACTAGGAGGATGGTCTCCAAAGGCATAGCTTCCCAAAACTTTCACGCCATCCTCATCATAGATGTCAGAGACATTGCTCGCATCTCGCCCCAAAATCTTGAGCTTGGTGAGGGACGCCTCCAGCTGCGCTTGATCAAGCTTCTGCGCTTCTAAATCATCTTTAAGCGTACTGAGCAATGTTCCGGCCTCGTTCCGTTGGGCTTGGTCTGGCATGGGAGAAGCTGTACTTGTCTCGCAAAGTGACGGATAGCGACTGAACAAGCAAAACGCAAAATAGACTCAACGACAGTTATATCCTGAGAAGGATTCACAAAGTCCTTGATCTAAAGCCTTGAAGTTGTTCGATCCTGAGAATCAGGGCCAGGAACTTCAAGTATGCGGTAATGCACAGAAAGTGGCAGAAAGCAGTGGTGTCTGACTCGAGATTTTGGGTCCTAGCGTGGGCTTTCAATGCCAGATGAAACATAAATCCAGCAGTCAGTCAACCGCTTTTCCACACCTGTCAGATGCGGGCGGCAAGTGGGACGAGAGTTTCAATGGGTTTAGTGGCCGGTGGAAAGGCGGGCCGGCGCCTCATTTTCAGGGAACGTGAACTTGAAGCCCGTGAACGCGTTTGCGAGACGCGTTGAGTGGCTGGTCGCGGCATTCATCATTTGCTATATTCCATTCAAGACTGCCTCCCACTGCAAGTTATTTGCTCATGGATATTTCTCCTCTATCTAAGGGTCAAAGGAGACTGCGGGCAGCCTCGACAACCTTTTACCCTCCTTTCTCTCTCGTTAAATGGTAGCCATCACCTTGCTGATCTAGTCTCTTCCACTCCTCCAGCGAACATGTCTGTTCCTGGAGTTCTTCCTCCAAGTCCACCCTCAACCTCGTCTCGCCGGAAACCGTGTCTTCCCAAAGATCCGGACAACTCAAGATCCCCAGCATCTTTTCCCGGCTCCTCAGGCACGCGAACACGAAAACGCGTCGAATTTTCCCCCTGGACAAACACTCATCAACCATCGTCAGCCAGCCAACCTCCGTCCAGTATCTTACGACGGAAATCGATCGTTCCTTCTTCGGAATGCCATCCGTCCCTGAAGTCAATCCTTAAACCTGCCGTGGTAGAGGACAAAATGCCACAACCAGTCTCTGAAGAGCAGGACGGGCAGCGGTCGGTAGGAGAAATGATGGAGAGCATCACTCAACAACTTGCCCAAGACGATAGGTCCATATCCGTGGACGCGTACCAGACACTGGCTGCTGTCATCAGAGAATACGACGAGGTACCTGAGGAGGCCACTTTGAAGAATAAGCTCAATACCATCCTCAAGTACATCAAGCGAGACCTCATGAGACAAGTCAAGCCTGATGAGCCACAAATTGCCGACACCAATGTCATGACCCAGGCTTTGAAGGTGCTGGTCATTTTTGTATGGAAACAAGACTACGCCGCTTTACTATCTGATGAGTATCGGACCTTCATTCTCGACCGGTCGATCCAGGTCATTTCCGAGCACACTGCTCCAAAGAGCGTCATCATCCACTATCTGCATCTTTTGGCAACACAAGATTTCCGTCCAGGTCTTGTCACAACCAACAACCGTGTTGGGCGACTATTGGAAGCCTTGAAATCTCTTACGGACCATGTGAGGGGCAATGGAGCGATTTCGGAAAGGCTGTTGGTGTACCAAAAACTGCTGGACCAAGCAAGACCCATCATGAAAGCAAAAGCATGCCTTTGGGTCGAAGAGATGTTGACGGCCATGACAAGCTCCATGAAAGATATCAGGACCAAGGCCATGTTGCTGGGAGTCAAATCATGCTCTGCTTTCCCAGCGTCGTCGTCTATTTCGTCCGCTGTCCGATCAGTTCTCGGGCGGGAGTTGGAAGCTAATAAGACCTTCAACCTGGCCATGTGTCGAAGGCTCGAAAAGATGGTGGCCTCCAAAGAGGAAGCCCCACAAGTTCCTCAGATTTGGGCTGTCGTGCTCCTGCTGAGCAATGGCCCCGAGGCTCGGATTGAAAACTGGGTCGAGTTGAAAGATTGGTTGAAAGTCATTCAAAAGTGCTTTAATTCCAGCGATTCCGCAGTTCGACAGCAAGCCAACATGGCATGGAACCGTTTCATTTATGTGGTACGACCGCATGAAGCGTCCGACCCTCTAATGGCAATGCTTGCGAAGCCTCTGATAGCCCAACTAGAGCGGCAAGGCACCGATAAAACCGTCAAGAGTTCACGATCCACAGCCGTGTCAAGTTATTGCAATTTGCTATACTATGCCTTTCGACCGGCAGCCTCGCACAAACAGTACAGCCGAGTGTGGAACGAGTACGTCGTCAAAGTCATGAAGAGCTCGCTTTTTGAAAAGAACAGTGCGAACACCGATCTTGCATGCAGGATCTTCATAGCACTTCTGTGGAACGCAAACAAGAGTACAAAAGTCTGGAAAGAGAACCGTGCTCTTGAAAACACCCCAATCGAACCAGAAGAGCTTCCCACTATCGACTGCAAGTGGATCAGATCAAGAAGCAATGCGATCATCGATATGTTTCGAGTGCTTCTTCGATACAGCTCTTGGGGAGCCTCTGGTGAATCCGACAGAGCGTATATTGCAATCGCGTGGTCGCATTTCCTCAAGGCTATCGGAGAGTCGTGTAGCAAAGAGGTCAAGCCTTCTCTAGACACCAAGAATGCTGTTACCAGCGTTCTTAATTTTCTTGCGCAGCTATGGAATGATTCTGGTGTCGACAATGTTGAGAGTGGACAATCCCTCAGCAGCCCACAGACACGACAATTGACCCGACTTGCTGTTCACGAGCTCGATCATATGCTCATCCTGACGAGTATTGAGAGTGGCAGTGTTTCCTTCTGCAACACTCCTGTTTTGCGGGAAGTGTTCGACGCTATCCTTTCAAGCTGGAAACAGGTTCAGGAAAATGGTGAGATGCGGTCTCACCTGCAACCTGCAAGAAATACAGTACAAACGCGTCTATCGCAATATCAGAAGTGTCTGGAGTTGTTGAATTCCGTGATAATCCAAGACTGGCAATCAGATGCGCAATCAGGTGCAGGAAATTCTCTGCACGTGCTGCATATTGTTGCTGAGGGTATCAGAACACTGGATCATGTGCTACAGCATGCACCGGCCCACCTCCTGACGGAGAGCTTGACTTTGTTGAACATGGCAATGACAATGTTGCTGAAAGACGAAGCAGGCATCTTTTATCACTGGGAAGAAATCGCTCCCGGCAAGCCTTATCAACGATTCATCAATACCACGGTCAAAACACTCGCCAAAGTACCTCCCGAATCAGTCCAACCGCTTGACTCACTCTTTACAGCCCTTGTGGAAAGCCCGCATATTCACATGGTGAAGGATACTGTCAAGGGCTTGATCTACCGTGTCAATCAATATGAGCAGCGCCCCGCGGCATCTCGTTTGTGTGAAGTCCTCCGCAAACTCCATAATCTCGCTGAAGATGAAGTTCTCGCTCATGAACAAATTACAGATCGTCCACCTAAGATCGCCGATACTCCTGGGTTGCTTGTTGAACATTCCACGGCTCCTGTTTCAGGCAAGCGTCTAGCGGTGGAGCCCCAGGACGCTGATGAAGAGTCTGATGTCTCGCCAGCACAAGGCGGTCAAGGCAGCCAGCACATGGAAAATGAAGTCGCTGAGGACGTGAACTCGAGCCCTGAAAGACCAGTCTCGAGATCCCGGTCGCGCCATGATGATTCTCAGGTGCAGTTCGTGGCAATCGCCTCATCGCCTCCATCGCGTGACGAACCAGAATCACAATTCTTGACTGCCCATCAGAAGGAAGTCCGGGAAAGGCAACGGTCAGAACCGGCTGTGGTGTTTCCAGACCTGAGATCTGGTCCCAGGCACCACAGCAAGTCACAAAGCCAAAGCGATTGCGAATTTGCCCGAAAAGCAGCATCTCTTGTCGAACGGCCATCCACACCTACTTTGCCTACGAACCATGACCAAGGAGAGCCGGAAATCGTGGCATCCCCAACACCTCGCGCTCGACATTCCACTAAACAGATCACGGATATAGAAGTACCCTCGTCGCCACCATCCATTTTGGATAACCGTGGCAAGGATGATGGTAGGCTAGAGATCACATCATCTCCACCCCAAAGGCCCACTGAAGATGCTGGCAATGAGATTGACCTTGCGATCCTGCAGGCCGATGCACAGTCAACTACGGCGGTAGCAGAAGAGCCTACTGCTGAGAAGATGGAAAAAGTTCTTCCTGCGAAACCGGCTGCTCCTGTAATGGAGAACGATGGAATGCAAGCCGGTCACGATGGGCATTGTGATGACATTATGGAGCAGATCAATGCACCTTCTGATACTCCGGAAGCCGACTTCGCTCCGTCTACTGTGCAGGAAACAATGACATGCAACGAGATGGCGTCTGATGACCAGCAGGCCGAAACAGGTGAACCCAAGGTCGACAGTGACGAGATCGATATCCTCATCGCGTCACAGCTTTCTCAGGACCTCGATCGACACCTCAGTCAGACAGTGGAAGAGACTGCTGGTCCGGATTCTGATGAACTCATGGACATTCAGCCTCTGGAGGAAAGGGACGACCCGCAGCCATGCAAACGGTCCACGCGTAGTTCCCGCAAACGAAAGGCGAACAATCATGTGTCCTCGTCCAGCAAGAGGAAAAAGTCCAGGTTCTCGTCGCAACGATCCTCAGTGTCGCTGGAGTCGGACGTATCATCGGTGATGGGGAGTCAGATGAGTGAGATGCTGGACACGATTGAGGTTATTGCGCCGGAGATGATAGAGCCTGTGGCAGTCCGTGACTTTGCACAAGAGACCGGAGCAGCTCCGAAGGAGCCAGATCAGCCTCCCAAGCGTCGCCGCGGAAGACCCAGGAAGTACCCTCGCAATTCTCAGTCACAGGAACAGTCGCACTCACAATCACAGTCAGAATCAACGTCTGAAGTCAATGTCCTTGTGGACACTACCAATTCTGGAGAAGTCCCTGCTAAGGAAGAGAAGAATATTGAGCAAACATTCGCTGAGGCCACTTTGGACGAACCCCAGAACGTAGTTGGGGAAGAACAAGACGACAAAGGCGAACAGGCGCCTATACCTGAACATGAAGATGTGACGGATGTGGAGCCATCTGCCGAAGCAGCAGTCGATACATCCTCCCGGGAGGATGTGGATAAAGGAGAAGCTGGATCCGGGGTGATCTCTTCCCTCCAGGCAATCCTCGAGCGGCTGAAAAGCACGCCAAAGGAAGAGATTAACCTGCGGGCTGTGGATGATTTGTGTTTCCAGATTCGTTTCCAGGCTCAAGTCGTTGCTCAGGGGCAACCTTGAAGATTACCATAGCAAGGCTGACAGGGACAGCGTTTGGTTACCCGAGTGAAAGGCGCCTCAATACGAGAGCAGTCTAATGACTCATTCTTACTTGTGAATTCCATACAATATTGTAACATGGTATATCTGTACGGTTCCAGTTCTTTTTATAGTCGGCATGAAATCAGGTGGAGCCTGACAAAGCATTAAAGTTCAAGTTCAGCCTGATGCGCGGGGAAACCTTTCTCCGCGCCGATGTCGCTTGATAGTGGAACAGGTCTTTGCACGTGACTGTGATTACTTGTGCCGGTGCGGAGATTGAAAGGCGCAATGTCCGAAGAGCAATCGGTTATGACTGATTACTACAACTCTTGTCCGTCGTCTTCAATCTGCTTGCGATTGAACGAACTCAACTTGATTCAGGGATTACAACGACCTCTCCCGTGTTTTCACTCCCTTGTCAAATTCCTCCCGGCGTTCCGTCCAGCCTCTTCGTTCGCTCACGTCCAGTCTTGTCCGTCAGCATGGCCGCGACAATCAAAGCTATCAATGCGAAGATTCGCTCCAACAAAGTCCTCGACTACTTCTGTTCGACACGTACGTTTACCCTGCCCCGGCGCTGCTGTATTTAGTTTTTATCACTCCGGACGGAGTATGCCCGCCGGCGAATGGATATGGCGTCTCAAGAATGAACTAGTCCGACTGCGGCGGCAGAAGGATATACTATACCGTTGGAATACATCGAGCAGGAGATGGAATAAAATTGAGGCTCTGGAACCCTGCTGACAGTGACTACTACGATACAGATTTCTGGGGCCCGGCCTCCAACTTCGGTATCCCCGTAGCTGCCGTTCTGGACACACAGAAAGACCCTGAGATGTACGTTCCTACAAACAGCCCATGACTCGAGCGCAGTCTCATGACTGGACCCTTGACGTCGCACCCTGTCGATATGGACACTGTTGACAGCGATTGCGTGCTTCTCTGCGACCGGACATCCATACACATTTCGACCGACTTCCCACGTTCTTGTATGCCGAAAAGAGACTGACCATGGGTGATTGGATTACAGTATCTCCGGCACATTCACAGCAGCTTTGACGGTCTACTCGGCGACGTTCATGCGATATGCGTTGGCTGTGACACCCAAGAACTATCTTCTATTTGGCTGCCATTTTGTCAACTTCAACGCTCAGTTAACTCAGATGTACCGGTGGTACGACTACTGGTAGTAAGTAATCCCTTACACTTTCGATCATTTTTTCCCTGTCTGTCGCAAGCATTGTCGGTGTTGTCGAGCATATCTTCAAACCCTGATAAGCTTTTCCGCTGGGACGATGGTGCTATACTTTTTGGTCGTATTTATATCCCCAATTACTGGGAAGGATTTCAGTATGCTGACCTGACATCTTTTTCCCTATTAGTATGGGTGGACAAGATAAATGGGCCAAGATCCGCGCTGAAAAGGCCAAGCTCGAGGACCAGGCCTCATCGTTAGCCGAGCAAGCAAAGGACAAAGTTGGCGGAGCCGTCAACGAGGTCAAGAAGACCGTTTCATGAGGCTAGGCTGGCTTCACCATAGGAGGGATGGTCGATGCTCGGCATGGCAGATGATGGAGAGGACAAAAAGTGGCTTCTTGTTTCGACAGGTTACCTGGCTTGCATGAGGAGTAACCTGCTCGAGTGTATGAAACGTGCTGCTGGGAGCCTGAGTTGAGGGGAGACTCGATCCAACCAAGATTTTTGAGCTTTTAGTTTGGGCAACGGATTGCATTGCTCACACTGCGGCTCATTCTTACCTGCGATGCGCGGAGAAATCAAGACAATACTTTAAGCACGATACACACTGACACCACTTCCACACCGGCTATGCAGTTGTGTCTCTGTGTAGCTCTGTGGCTGGGTCTGTTGTGTCAGATCGAGGGGGATGGATAGGGCGATGTCCACTGCACTGCGCATTCTGGTCTACGATAGATCGTGTACTTTTGAACCAGCTGGAAATTCAGTAAAGGCTGTGAACAACTGCTCAGACATTTCAATTCAAAGGTCCCCACTGTGTCAGGCAATTTTCGACCCTTCCACACGCGCTCTCATAGCTGCCACGCTCATTCGGGGTAGATTCATTCAATTTTAGTTCCCCTTCGTAAAAGACGACCACATTCCCCCCAAAATCCCCGGCTGTCCGGGCTTCTGATCGGCCCAACTGGCCCGACGTTCGGACTGTTCGTTCCGAAAAGCGGTGAGGGAGGCGAATTTGTCGGATGACGAGGAGGAGGATGAGGAGGTCTTGGGAGATCACACACAGACAAAAGTGTCAGAAACTCGAACCAAAAGATAATATACAGACAGGAGCAGCAGCAGCAGCAGCAGCAGCAGCAGCAGTAGTAGTTTGTTCAATTGCATCATGGGGAGATAATCAAGGAGCCAAGGGGGAGGAGTTCAGAGTGTAGAGCGCACGCTGCACACCGGAAAGGACTCAGTGGACTCGGGACTCGGGACTCTGGTCATATGCAACGAATGTTGCATAGGGGAAAACGAAAGGGTTGGCTGAACTAGGTAGGTAGTGACGAAAAGCAAAGGGCAGGAAGACTGGGGACAGTGCTTGATTGAGATTGTATCGACTCGAGCCCTGCCTGGCTCTGGTTCTGGGGCAGTTGGAACGGGAAACCTGAAACCTGAAGAGCGCAGCCTGCAAAAAGAAGAAGGCAATACAGACAGACAATCCAAAGGGACGACAAAACTTACCCTCCGACGACCGGCTCCAGCTCCACTTGTTCCAGTCCCAGCAGTACTAGTGTTCGCAGCACCAACACCAGCACCAGCAGCAGTACCACTGTTGGCAATATTCGCAGCGGCAGTATCAATATCTCTGGTGTTCGCCGCCGCAGCCATCTTGTTTTCTTCTTTAGGCGGACTCCCAGAGCTGCCCGAGTTCGATCCCTGCGATGAGCTGCTGCCCGTCCGGGGACGGGGCTTGTATCCGGACTGTTTGAAGAACATGTTGATACTGGTGATTGGTCCTTTTGGAACGATGAATCAAATCCCTCCTTTGGATTTTGTGAGGTCTGCTCTTTGTGGCTTTCTCGTTTAGACTTGGTCCCGGGACACAGTGTACCTTGATTGGATCAGGAGAAAGGTGTGCCACTGTACGTGGTGAATGGATCGATCGATCGGCCGGGTTTGGTTTTCTTGAAGGGAGGAAGCAATTGTTTGTGTCAATTGTTTGCTTTGATGGAGGGCGTAGAATGATCTGCCACTGTGTGAGGGAGGCAGGCGACTGCTGAGCGATGTAGGGTTAGATGACAGACGGATAGAGGGCTAGATCGATCAAAGAAGAGCCGAAGGACGTCTAGTATCAGGAATTGTCCAGCTGTAGTGCTGTAGCCAAGTCCTCGGAACGTCAACGTCACGGTCAGCACCTTTTGCAAGCAGGAGTCTGGGAATAGGATACAAGAAGGCTGCAAGACCGAGGCCGATACCAAGCAAGTAGAACTGTCGACGTCGTTCAAAACTATCCCACGGCAGTATCGTTCTTTGGAAGAGATCCAATCTCGTGGTGTTTCGGATCAATGAAGACGGGAACGTGCTGAAGGGCGGGGTGAACACCAGCCAGAGAGAGGGTGGGTTATATACACAGTGAGGTAAAGCAGGGTAGAGACCTACCTATCCACACCCACCATGATCGAAGCCAGAGCATTTAGTAATCAAAGTCAGCTGGCTCGTTGACTGGACATTGTCTCGCGATCGCAAAGAGCTATTGGAGGCGATGGGAGGAGAGGAGGCAGAGGTATAAAGTTCTGGCCGTCATCGTCACCACCATCATTGGCACCATGTTCCCCGCAAAGAGGGATGCAAGAAAGACCCGGGGAACGATGGGATCAGGTAGGTACGGCTAGGTAGGGCTAGGTCTCCGCCTCCCAAGCCGGAGGTGAAGCCTAAAGGGAACTCGGACCGGATGACGAAGAGAGGGATGCAGTCGTTCAGTCGATGTTAGGTTGAGGGCCCGAGTACGTCGCTGGAGTCGGTGCTTCCAAGTTGTACCTACCTAGCTGTACTACTAAGTACACACTGGGAAGAGAAGGGTATCTGCTGCTGCTGGGTTCACCTTATCCGTGGCCTTATCCGTGTGCTCACCAGACCTCTTTTGGTAAGGAGGCACATGTGAATCAGAATCATCAGATAACACCCGATTCGTTGGATAGGCTTCTTTTGCCCTTCTTGACCTCCGTGCCTTCCGGGGAGACATGACATGACGGCGGAGGGATGTGTTTGCGGTGGCTTTGCGGAATTGACCAAGGGCTTGGAGCGATAGAAGATAATACAAATGCCATTCGATGACCACCCAAGGCTTGGGATTTGAGGACCACTTTGAAGAACTAACTTGGATCATAGGATAAAGTAAAAATAAGCTGGTCAACAAGGAACAATTAGAGCTTCGTGATGAATAAGATATGGAGTGGAGACCTCGTGTTTTCGAGCGTTTGTTGTAGATCACTTATTATATCCTTCTTTTAATCCTCGTTCAGGTCAGCCTTGTAACCAACCCACCTCCAACGCATCATGCTTGTCTCATTCTAAAAAACGTCGAGCGAGAATAAACCTGAAAATATACCTACTAGACAGGACAGGAAACTGTACTTCTGTAATACGACCACCGTTTGTAGAGAAACAGGCAACACAATGTCTCTCGACCTTAGTCATACTGTATATGTTGCAGTCTAGGAAACAAGGTACCAAGTATCCTTACACAGAGTCATCCGAAGCCATTGAGCCAAGAGAACATCAGGGACATGCTACTTCTAGTCTGCCACCAAGTCTATACGACCCCAAGACCATCGTTATACGACCACCGTTATACGCTCACACCTACCACCACCTGTTCGTTCCTTATGGCTTCTCAATCCTGCAGATCAAATCCGATCCGGCAACAGAATCCCCTTCCCTGACCTGAATGTGACCGACCTTGCCGGAATGAGGAGCACTGATGACCATTTCCATCTTCATGGCACTCAACACCGCAATGGGATCGCCCTTCTTGATATCATGACCTTCCTTGACTCGGACTTCAACCACCACTCCCGCCATGGGAGCACCCACTTGGCTGCTGTCGGTGGGATCGGCCTTGGGTCGGCTGGTGTTCTCGACTGCGGCCTTGGTGTCATCGATCGTCACCTGTCGGACTTCACCGTTCATCTCATAGAAGACTTCACGTTGACCGGTGGTCTCCGACAAGGGTCCGATCGCCAACAGCTTCAGGATCAGCACCTTGCCCTTTTCGAGCTCCACGTGGAATTCCTCGCCAATGTCGGGTCTGTTCAAGAAGTATCGTGTAGGCAGCACAGACAGATCACCATACTTGTCGACGAATTTGCGGTAATCCTCAAACACCTTGGGGTACATGACATAGCTGGCCACATCTGTTTCTGTGACCGTATTGTACTTCTCCTTCAGCTCCTTCTTGATCTTGGCGAAGTCAATCGGATCCAAATACAATCCAGGTCGTTTCTCCATCTTGCGGCGGCCTCGGAGGGCATCTGTGCGGAGTGGTTCTGGGAAACCACCGTACGGCTGGCCCATGTACCCTTCGAAGAACTCCAAGACAGACTCGGGGAAATCGAGGTCTTTGGCCCTGGCACGCACGTCATCTGGGCTGAGCTTGTTGGACACCATGAATTGCGCCAGATCGCCAACCACTTTGGAGGTGGGTGTGACCTTGACAATGTCGCCCAGGAGTTCATTGGCTTGCTCGTACGCCTTCTTGGTCTCGAGCCACTGAGCTCCCAGGCCAAGTTGAGTGGCTTGGAAGATCAGGTTGGTCAATTGGCCTCCTGGGATTTCGTGTTCGTAAACTTCACAATCGGGGCCGGTCAGTCCGGCTTCAAAGGGCGAGTAGAGCAGTCTCAGTTGTGACCAGTACTGATCAAGTGCTCGAACATTGTGGCCATTCAAGCCTGGATCAAGGGGTGTGCCCTCCAAGGAAGCCAGAATGGCGCCAATGCTCGGCTGCGATGTCATGCCAGACATGCTGTCAGTAGCTGCGTCCACGGCGTCCGCTCCGGCTTCAGCGCACGCAACCATGGATGCAACTCCGGTACCCGCCGAGTCATGGGTATGGACGTGAATTGGCAAGTCAGGATACTTCTTGCGGATGCTTCCAATGAGAAGACGAGCGGCTTTGGGCTTGAGGACTCCGGCCATATCTTTGATGCCTAGGATGTGAGTTCCAATCTTGACGATTTTGTCCACAATGTCCATGTAGTAATCCAAGTTGTATTTCTTCTTTGGATTCAACACTACAAATCGGTCAGCATCGGAATAGAATCAAGGAGAGAAAAAGTCTTACTATCACCGCTGTAGCACACGGTACCTTCCACCACGCCGCCAGCTTCTTGAACAGCTCTCATGCCGACCTCCAGTTGGTCAACGTCGTTGAGAGCATCGAAAACTCGGAAGATGTCCATGCCGGCCTTCTTGGCTTGCTTGCAGAAATGGTAGATGGCGTTGTCGGGGAGCGACTTGTACGCCACGCCGTTGGCACCTCGGAGCAACATCTGGAAAGGAATGTTGGGCACCAGTTTCCTCAACTTCCGTAGTCGGTCCCATGGGTCCTCGTACAAGAACCGCATGGCCACATCGAAAGTGGCACCGCCCCAGCATTCCAAGGCGTAGGCGTTGCTGAGGGCGTAGCTGGTTTCTTTGGCAATGTTACACATGTCAATCGTTCGAACACGAGTGGCCAGGAGAGACTGGTGCGCATCACGCCAGGTTGTGTCCATGATGAGACAGCCCTTGTTCGCTCGCACGGCTTTGGCAAAGCCTTCGGGACCTTCTTTGTCGATGACAGACTTCCAGCCCTGGGTGCAGGGAACGCTAACGTCAATTTCCTTGCCTTGATCGTCAAGCATCTTTGGCATGATGATTTCGCCCTTGAATTTGGACTCGCCAATCTGTCCCTTGATGCTGCTGCCGTTGACGGCCAGGTCTCCCAGATACTGAAGTAATTTCTGGGCGCGGTTCTGACTGCCAACCAACTTGAATAGCTCAGGCGTGTCATCGATGAAGGTGGTCCAGCAGGTTCCCTCAACGAACACAGGGTGGGTCAGCAGTGAGGCCAAGAACGGAATGTTGGTCTTGACGCCACGGATACGGAATTCGACCAAGGCTCGCAACATCTTGCGACGGACGATCTCGTAGGTGGAGCCGTGGCAGGTACATTTGACCAACATGGAGTCGTAGTGAGGCGTAATGATAGCACCCGCAAATCCGTTACCACCGTCTAGCCGGACACCGTTACCACCAGCGGATCGATACACTTCGATCTTGCCAGTGTCGGGGGAAAAGTTGTTGGCAGGGTCTTCTGTGGTGATACGGCACTGGATGGCAAACCCGCGGGTCGAGATACGATCTTGGGTCAAACCCAGTTGCTCCAAAGTGGCTCCGGCGGCAATCTGGATCTGCGCCGCCACAATGTCGATGCCGGTGATTTCTTCGGTGATGGTGTGCTCCACCTGGATACGGGGATTGATCTCAATGAAGTAGTAGCGGTTCTGTTGGTCCACCAGGAACTCGGCCGTGCCGGCATTGCGGTAGTTAACCGATTTTGCCAGTTTGACGGCGTCGTTGAGGATCGCGTCTCGGACATCAGATGGGAGGTCCTTGGCCGGGGCGATTTCGACCACCTTTTGATGTCGCCGCTGGACACTGCAATCACGCTCGTACAGGTGGACAACATTGCCGTGATTGTCCCCCAACAGTTGGACTTCAATGTGCTTCGGCTTGTCCAGGAAGCGTTCGACGAAGACGGTGCCGTTGCCGAAAGCCGACTTGGCCTCGGAGGTGGCTCGCTCGAACGAGTCTTTCAGACTCTCCTGGTCTCGGACGACTCTCATACCACGGCCACCACCACCGAAGGCAGCTTTGATGATGATGGGGAAGCCGTATTTATCGGTGAAAGCCTTGACATCCTCGTATGCTCCGACGGGGCCTTCGGTACCCGGGACCACCGGCACGTTGCACTTCATAGCGAGCTTTCTGGCCGACACCTTGTCACCCAGAGATTCAATGACCTGGTAAGTCGGGCCGACAAAGATAATGCCGGCTTCCTCGACCTTGCGAGCAAACTCGGCATTCTCAGACAAGAAACCGTAGCCCGGATGGATCATCTGTACATCGTGGGCCAGAGCAATCTTGATGATCTCGTCGCCGGCCAGGTAGGCAGCAACGGGAGTGTACTGGCCACGTTTTCCAATCATGTACGCTTCATCCGCCTTTTGTCGGTGCATGCCCAATCGGTCTTCATAACTGTAGACGGCCACAGTCTGGAGAGACAGTTCGTGGGCCGTTCGGAAGATCCGAATGGGGATCTCGCCTCGGTTTGCGACCAGCAGCTTCTTGAGGTGCATGATGGTCGAATTGGCCCGCAGACGGTGGTGGACAGTATGCTGGAGGGGGTGTCCATCCTCGAGGTCTGGGGTGGCCGTGCCGCTGGTAGCCATGATGGAGGTGGGGGAACGATGCCTCGCTGCTAGCACGAGCAGCTGTCGGCAAAGGCGCTCTTAGCTCTCACGGGCACGCAACAAAGTGTGAGAGGGTATCGAGGGAGAGAAGAAGAGGAAAGAGAACGATCTGCTGCGACTCAATGGTTAAGTTTTGTTGCGCCGCGGGAAGAAGGATGACTGGCGGTGCAGAGGGAAAAGAAATGAGTGGGGAGCTCCCGTGCGTTGCTCGTGCCCGGCGGGAGCTTTGGGCTGGAGGACTCACTAGCAGTCGGAGTAGAGGGATAGCACTGTACACAGTAGGTAGGTGAATGGTGGGTGACGACTGGTGGGCCGTACCTCTGCGATAGGCCGAGATGGTGGGGGAGCTCAAGGTCCGCAGGCCGCTTTTCGTTGAATGCGATTCCACGGCTCGGCAGGTTTTGGTTGATCGGGTTCAAGTTGAAGTTTGATAACAATACTAATAATAAAGATAAGCTGCGGTTAGTAGAGCGATTGCAGAGATGCTCAACACGGACCAGCAGCGACATACTGTAGTAGGAAAATGCAGCAGGGGTGTGACTGCTATGTACTGTACTTACTGCGGTACCTTCTCGACTGCTGTACTAGTCCTGGTGAGCGGTACAATAATGTACCTGGCACCTAAGGATCTGGACTTCAGAGTCTGGGGGTCGTCCGTTAGTATTGGGGGCCGGCCGATAACAAGGCGCTGGGGACGAGGCAGATGGGTATTTGGCACCCAACCACTCACGGATTGCTATTTATTATTGTTATTTTTGATTGATGGTATCTGTGGTCTTTATCTTCACGCCAACACGAATGCGCTTCAATGATTTGCCTAACAACCAAGGCATATGTTACCCATTTTGCAGTCGCTCCGTTCCTCAAACGTGTACAATTGAATATCCTCTTTCCTATTTCCCATCAACACAGCAAAAATTCTCCTACTGCATGTAGGTGCCTGTTGTAGGTCGGAGACTCCTGCCGCTTGTGTCGGCCTGTTTTCCGTCACGAGCGTGGCTTTACCGAAACCTCGGACTGTCCCTTGGCTGTCCGGTCCAGATTCGGTCAACTGGCATGGCTAGTACCACCGGATCGGACGTACCAAGGTAACTAGAATTTCTACCGAAGTAGCCGAAAATGTATCACTTCAATGTACTCTTGTACTATCATGATATTCAACTTCAGCTGTTCACGTTGTTGACGGGGTCCTCAACACTTTCATCGACGTCACTGCGACTGAAAGAGCATCTGTGGTACCCTAATTAGTGCCGCCAATGCTCGTCAATCGCCCCTTCATCTGTCCCACCCGCCAACCCACCCTAAAACTGTACAATTCGCACATTACAATAATTGCTGCACCATACCGTATCATACTAACAGTGGCATTATTGGGAATAGTTATTACTTTTCTACAAGAGCAACCCAGCTTGTCAAGGTCAACTTGCTCGTTGCTATGCCGCTTGATTGAATACACATCACCATTTATGTCCCCATCAAGCCAGTCTGAATTTGGCGTTGAACCCCGGACTACTAGTCAAGTACATCTTACAAAGCACCTGCTTTGGCCATTTTGCTGATAAGATTGGCTTTCCTCCATCCTCGCGTCAAAAGCCTCCGACATTGCCCCCCGAGGAAGCACATCGCAGACCTAGCCGCCCCATATGACTCGATCTTCGCCGGTTTTTTCCCTAGACATAGTTCTGTTTACACATGATCTCGGATCCGAGCCTAGGTCCGCCCCGAAAATACCCGCGGGTATGTCTCCCCGGAATCGCTTGGCCTGATCTGCTCACCTAGAAAGCCCGAGGGAATCCGGTGGGTTGCGGGGTGATGCCGTTTGTCTGTCCAAAACCCGTCGGGGTTGGTGCCAAGTTGGCGGGCCCTTGTGTTAGCATGAGTCGGCTTCCAATGATTGGAGTGTTGTCGTCAGTCTTCTGCTGACTCGCCTCTCTGGCCTTGCGCTCCTCATTGTCTTTGCGTAACTGTTCAATCGTGGCCGACTGCTGGCTCATGTAACTGATCATGAAGGGCATGGTGAAATCATTGAGGCCGTGACGCCACGAAATCTCCATCACAAGATGTAATGGGATCAGATCGTAGCATGCATACAGCATTCCGACGTAGCACTCGCGGCTGCCAATGTCGACGAACTGCATATATATTAGCACAATCCAGACACCTCGACGCCGGTGGCAACTTACATATCTCAAGAGGTCTTCCACCACTTCGGGCTTTCCAGACATCGCCGCCGTCTCAATGGCATCACGGAACAGCTTGTCTTGTTTCGACAAGGCAATAGACTTCTCCCATCGCTTGTTCTTGCGATAGATCTGCGCCGCAATCTGTCGGAAAAAGACAAGGTCGTGTTTTTCGAGCCGTTGCGCAAGTTCGACCGCGTCGTAGTTGTCGTAGTTTTCCACCGAATCCTTCAATGTCTTGTAGTCTTCCTCTTCGATGAGGAGGTCGTGGATCGCCTTGTTCACAACCCGCTTATTCTGGCTTTGGACGCTGAGCAGGAATGGCTTAATGATGGGGATGTTGTCCGACTTCTCAAACATGCGCACCACGCGATTCACATCAATCCGCGGCGTGAGCACTTGCAGCAAATCGGTCAACAACAGAGGTTGCTCCTGCAGGTAGTGGTTCAGAGCCCGATAGTAGATTTCGAGGTTGGCCACCTTGACAATGATGTCCTTGAATGAATGGTGCTCCCAGGCATCCGCAGCACGTTCCATCATGGCCAATGCTGCATTGTCCCACTCGTCATAATGGCAGTACAGGAATATGAGTTCGGGCCAGAGATGGGCCTCCTCGCAAGCCCGAATCATCTTGGGAATGTTGATTCTCGACCAGAAGAGCTTGAGGTGCTCCATCACCCGCTCGGGGTGGTACTTGGAGAGCGCAATGCCAAGTTCAGTAAACATGCCCATGTGCGCCCGCTCAAGTCCCAACCCGGCTTCGAGCAACGAGATGAGCTCCTCGAAGTATCCTTCACGCTCGTACTGTTTGACAAGGTCTTGCAGTTCTTCCGCATGGACAATGAGGTTGAGACCGCAAATCTGCGCAAGACGGAACTCCTTCTTTGCAACACACGCCTCGTTGACTTGCTTCCAGACTTTGACGCTGTTTGCCCGCCGGGCACAGTCCACCGCATTCTGATATTCACCGAGGTGAACCAGGGTGGTTGCCAACTTGGCCCAGTTGGAGATGCTGGTGTAGAAAATCTTGGCTGCCTGATGGTAACCTTCCTCGCACGCTCTGTCACCACAGGCTTCGATGTCGGCGACATTAGGAGAACGGAGGAAGTCTTCAAGCTCGGGTAGCTGATCCAATCTGGCGTAGCAGAAGGCGAGCGCAGTATCAATGGCCGGTTCACGCAGGGTCTTGCGCGCCATCTTGAGGAACTTGACAAGGTCCTCGTCTTTACCTGCGTGCGTGGCAGTCTCGATAACCTCGTTGTAGTTGCTCGGGTCCTGTGCTTTGATGTACGACTCAATTGCATCGCTAACTCTCAACCCGTCAAGTTGGGCCTTTGCAACTTTGCTCCAGACTTCAGGTAAGTCAACGTTCTCGGCATACTCTTGAGCACGGTCGATGCTGACAATGTGGTCAACCAGGACGTTGGCAGCAGCAAGATGATCATTGACTTTCTTGTAGATCTCGAGTGCCTCCTCGTACAGGCCTTGTTGGATACACATGTTTGCAATCTCTTCCGTGCTGAACTCTGAAAGCCGCTGAATGTAGTCCATAAGACGAGACTTATCAGCTTTCGCCGCAGTGAGCATGAGCAGGTTTTGCAGGCTGCTGTTCTCGCTGAAAGGAGATGGCTCAAGAATGATCTTTTCGAGTAACTCAATCAACTCAGCTGGGAGATCCGCATCCAAGAATGCCTTGACTGCAACCGAGACCTTATCTGGTTCTGTCGACTCTGGTACCGCTGTGGCAATAACCTGATCGATCAGTGATCGCCGATGGGGATTGTTTTCCGAGAGGACGAATGCCCAGATCTCCGGGTCGGCGCGCTCGAGAAGATAGCGGGCTTGAGCTCTGAACATGGAGTTTTCATTGGTGACATTGATCAGCTCGAGGTCATTCTGACCCTTGCGATAGGCGATGTAGGCCAAGTTGGGATCGCGCTTTTCGCAGTATTTACCGATCGTCAGGGTGTCGTACAAGTCATTCTCCTTGAGGAACTTCTCAGGGTCGTGGTTACTGTCAATGTAGATCTTGGCCAGGGCGTTGTAAACAGCAGGCTGTTGAATGCCCTGCGCCAATGTTCTCTCGAGGAAGGGCAGTAACAGCTTCAGGCGGTTCTGGGTCTCAACTTCGTTGACGAGCTCATCCATGGGCACTGCTGCAGGATCGACCGACGACAAAAGGTCCCTGATGACTGATTCCTCACAATCCAGGGCAAGCAAGGCTCCGACCACAGCTGGGGTGCGGGATGGATTTACGCGTTGGACGTACACCTCGATGGATTTGAAATGCTGGTTGCGGTACAGGTAATTGACCAAATCCTTAACAAAGTTGAAACGATCGCACACAATGATCAGCGGGAGTTGATCAGTCAAGCGTGCCTCAATAAGGAAGTTCTTGACCTTCTCTGGGTTGTAGTGGTTGTTCTCGCGACAAATCCTCTCAACTTCTTGGAATTGCTGCATTGCCACGGCAGCCTCGATATATTTGAAGACAACGTCTGGGTCTTCGCTGAGGTTGACGATGCTTCCAAGATAATAGTAGAGGCCCTCCGCCGTCCGATGCTTTTCGAACAATGCAATTAGACGGTTTGGACCTAATAGATCTGAGAATTTGGTCGCGATTTGAATTGCTGGAGCCAGGTTTTGACGAATATTCACCTTGAGCATCTCATCCAAACATTCGAGGGACTGCTCAACTGTCAATCGGCCAAAGTATTGCTGGAGCCACTCAGGGTTAAGCTTGTCAGTTTGGACAATGATGCGCTTGATAGTGGCTGGGTCATCGGTGTTCTCAAGCGCACGCTGCAGCAAACCCGCTTGTTCACATAGACGAGCGATCCGAGGCTTGTCGTAGTAAGAGAACATCTCATTCCCAAGAATAGCATCGGCGACTTGTGGTGCATTGATGAGATTCATCTCTAACAAGCGCGTCTGCAGATGACCCTGGTCCGGCCGATTCTCTTTTAGAGCATCAAGAAGGAAGGCAGTTGCCTGTTGGATCATATTCTGAGACATGAAAACATCAACGACTCGCTCGATGTCAACCAAAGGACCACCTTCATTGTTGGCCAATTGGGTTGCAAACTCCGCGCCTTTCTCAGGGTTGGACCGCACAACGTGTTGGAGCAAGGTAGTGAAATCTGGCTGATAGTTCGACTCCCGCGCGTATGGAAGGATCTCGTCTAGCCGTCCGGTCTCCGCCAAAGCTGCCACTACCTTTGGGGGCACGTTGGCTTCGCGGTAAATCTTCAGAGCAAGCTCCAAGTCATGCAAGCGAACAATGTCGCCAAGCTCTTCCGATGGCTCCAACTTGCCTTCGCTCATCCACTTGTCGAGGAGATTTTTGCGATTCTGCGCCAAAACCGGTTTGATCAATTCCACGCTCTCATACTTGTTCAGTCTTCCCTTGTCGAGTAGCTTGCCGAAATACTGAAGGATGACCGAAAGTTGCCCGGGCTGTTGTGGTGCGGTCTTGAAACGATTGATAGTCTCGGGTGTCCGTAGGAAACCTCTGGGCGAGTCTGCCGCAATCTGAGCAGCCTCGGCGTAGTTGCCTTGAGCAAAGAGGGTCTCGAATTGTTGTTGGTACAGACTATCGGCACCTGGAAGCCCGGCTCTTGACGCCAGCTTGACAGCCAGCGTAGAGTTGGCGGGGTTCTGGAGCAGGTAGGGAATGATGGTATTCTCATCAACGCTGACCGAAAGTACCTGGCCTTTCCGGTTGATGCCAACAATGCCGGCCGACTCTGAATCAGGGACCGTGACAAAGATGGTTTCGCTGGAGATGCGGTTCATGAAGATGCATGTGGCAGTTTCAAGATCGTACAGGTGAATGAACCCGTATTTCGTGATCATGTAGATGATGCTGTACTTCTTGGAGATCTGCATGGCCACGGGGAAATCGTTGACAGCCTCATCGGGGAAGTAGACATCCACGGCTCTCTTGGTGAACCTCGTGTTGCTCTCGCTCGGGTCGATCTCCACCACGTGGAGTTTACCTTGACCGGCGGCATTCCGTACGGCGAAGGTAAACAACTTGTGCGGGAGAGGGTTACCCTCTGCATGGAAAGTCCCAAACGCTGCGGCGTGACCTTCGATGTGTTGAGAGATACCACGGTTACGCGAGTAAAGCTGCATCGTACCAGCCACTCTGCCTTCTCTCTGAGATATGCCCACAACCACCATCCACTGTTCATCGTCGCTCACACGGTAATTGATGATTTGACAACCATTCAAGTTGGGATTGCGCTCGAACATCTTGACGGGGGCTGTTTGTGTAGGATCGAAGACGTCCCAGTGATAGACCGAGGTATCTGTAACCAGGCCCAAGCTGCGTTCGCTGTACCATTTCCAGAAGACAACGTCCTCGGCCATGATCGTGGACTTCAATTTGGCCTTGGCCGCAAGATCGAAGACCTGGATTGTTTTTCCTTGTGCCTTGAGAGCCAAAATCCCACGGGTCCAATGCATGATGGCACTGTCGGCGCTGATAGCGCGTTTGATGACTTCATTGTTGTTCTTGAGGTTTACGATTATGACTTGAGGCTTGTCTTGTTCATTAAGTTTCTGTCGTACGCAAACATAGTGGTCGGATTCTAGTGTCTGTAGGCCATGTCAGAAACGCCATGCCAGTGCTGGATGATATGACTTACACAGGTATTGAAGGAGATCGAAGCTGGCTGTGAGAGAAGCTGTCAGATCGATTCCGCGGACATCGCGGCCTGCGGCAGCCAGGCAGCTGCGACAAGGCCAGAAGAACCTGGAAAGGGCTTACCGCAATGTCAAGGTTGGTCAACTATGGTGTAACGAGTCAGTTTAATGTTCTCTCCAGGGCAAACATTACAATAACGTACTTGAACCAATTCAGTGAACTTGATGGGAAGCGCCATGATTGCGACCGGCCCCCCTGCGGCCTCGGGCACGTCCACTGGTGATTGATCAGCTGCTGGGCGGCTTTAGGCGGGCAACAGCAGAAAAGAGTGTGGGCTGAAGGAGAGAACGGAGGAAGAATAACTCCACAACAGCCGTAGGAGAAGAAAGAAGAAGTGGACGTGGAATGGTTGTGTTGGTTGTTGTGAGCTCCTGGAGACACCTTTTCGAAAGCCAACGGGCCGGGGATTGCTAGTCGTACTTTGGGAGACGCTGCTTCCGCGCCAAGCGCAGCGCAGGGCCATGACCGCGCTCCTTCCACCTTGAACCTGCAGCGATAGGGGAAATGTGATCACGTGATGGGGGTTTAGCGTGTTGCAGCCTCTTAGTCAGCCAGCACCTTACTAGAATTGTACTAGCACTACGGCGAAGTAGTGTCGCCTCAAGTGTCTAAGTCCAGCGCGTCGCTTGTCGTCATGGCATTTTTCCTGTACTTTCGTGCTATCATCTATCCTGAGTTTACAGAGTAGCACACCTGCAGCACACCTAAAAACCTCTATACTTACAAGGAATGACCTTGCGTCTGCCAGCCAGAGTTCTGAGCAGGGCTACACTCCCTCCCTCCAGTTGCGGTGTCAAAACTCGCTCGCTGCTCCACCGTCAGTATTCCTCACCGACACGAGCACCTAAGCCGACTCTTGCTCAGAACTCGACGAAACACCAGCCCGGAGGTCAGAGCGCCAGGTTACGGTTTTTTCCATTCCTAGTTCTCTTTTTGCTCAGCAGTGGCTCGTACATTCTATTGGTGAGGCGGAGAGCAGGGCACCAAGGGACGGTCGCAAGCGATAACCGCAGGAAAGCGCACACAGAGAGGTAACTGAAATCTATCTGAGACTCGAAATGCCTGCCATACCTGCCATAGACCCAACCGCGGGCACCTCGCCCCTTGTCCAACCTGAATCGATTCTTGGGTCCAACAACCTTTCACCCGTGTTTGACCCGGAGAAGGTCACCGTGGTCTACATCCTAGGCGGCCCCGGTGCCGGAAAGGGCACTCAATCTGCCCAGCTGGTGAAAGACTACGGGTTCGTTCACCTTTCCGCAGGCGATCTATTGAGACAAGAGCAAGACACCGAAAACAGTCAATACGGGCAATTGATCAAGGACTACATCAAAGATGGCAAAATCGTTCCAATGGAAATCACGGTCAAATTATTGGAGAATGCCATGCGTGCGAACCTGGACAGTGAAGGGCGCGGCAAATTCTTGATCGATGGCTTTCCTCGCAAAATGGACCAAGCGATGTATTTCGAGCAGGCAGTTTGTCCCTCGAAATGCACGATATTCCTTGACTGCCCGGAGGACGTAATGCGGGAACGGTTACTGAACAGAGGGAAGACAAGTGGAAGAGCAGATGACAACGAAGAGAGTATAGTGAAGAGATTCAGGACATTTGTGGAGACCAGCATGCCTGTGGTGGACCATTTTGCTGCGGAGGGCAGAGTGGTTAGGGTCCCAGCAGTTGGTACAGTGCAAGGAGTGTATGAAGGCGTGGTGGAGGGCTTGTCCAAGATGGGCCTTTCACCATCCAAGCTTGAATCATCCAAGCAAAAGTAGCGCAACGACTTCCGAATTCAGCGAGTTCAACTTGAAGGATTGCAAACAACCGTGGCGCAAGTGTTGTATTTACAGGCCAGGAACACCTGCCAATCTTCTACTTGCCAGACACCCTATGGGCACGTTTGCTACTACTCTTATGGCGCAGGCTGCAAGGGATAAATCATAGTCAGCACGATTTGGGAATACACGTCAATAGACGGAGGGGTAGAGGATAAATACTAGTATTCTTTTTCTTGAAGGTGCCTTTCTGACATCCTTTCAATTTGCATTCCGTATCCTTTAGTCATCCTCACTGCTACTTTCGCCTTCGCTTTCCTCCTCTGTTCCGTCAAACCCGCCGAAATCGCTATCTTCATCTCCCAACTCATCATCGTGTGTAGATGGTGGCAGCATAACAAATGCTTTCAGGCAGGTGATTCTATTGCCTGTTTCATATGAGCCAATCACCGTACCCAACTGGGCATGCTTCCGTGACTTAATGGCAGTCAAAATATCCGTACTGGAAATATGGAAGATCCGGATCGTGCCGTCGCTGCTTGCGGCTACTATTCCCAGATCTTGCTGCTCTTGTTGAGTCCCTGGAAGAAACAGGACCTCAAAGTCTTTAATGCGGTTGTTTACCCCAGCCGACCGTCCACCCACACTGGCGCAAAGAGTGGCGTTCGGTATCGACGGCGAGTCTCCGCTGGTCCCATTCGCGGCGGATTTGGTCAACTCGTCAGTTCTGTAGAAAAGGACACGGCCATCCTCAGTCGAGACGACCAACATGGCCAATTCCTCCTTCTCAGAGATAGACAGCGATAGATAGCTCATCTGATGGAGCTTGGTTAGGGGCTCTGGCAAAACCTTGCATTTAGCCTTCGAATCCTCTCCAAAGACCACAGCTCCCCTCTCAAAAGCGACGGCGAATTCGGCGCCGTCAGGATGCCATCGTATCTTTCTTCCTTCCCCGCTGCTGTATTTGCTCTCTTTCACACTCTGCAAGACATCACGGTTGAAGTTGAGCACGCCGGCCTTTTTGCCGGTCACCAGGTTCCACAAACGCATGCATCTTTCACCTCGGCCAACACTGAGCATAAGCTTGAGACTGGGATGGACGGCGAAGTCATTGATGCCGGCAGGTGTGGCACCGGGAGGCGCAGTATCGCCGCTTGGTTGGCCTTGCACTTTCGGTCGTGGTGCTTTGATGGTGGAGACCACGGTGAGATCCTTTAGCCTCGTGACCGCAATCGTGTTATCCTCTGAGCCAGAGAGTAGCTTTGACCGGGTTGGAAAATGCAAGGCGGTGATCGAGGATGAGTGATGCATGAGAGTACCTAGCTCCCGGTTTCTGGGATCTTCTGAAATGGCATTGTTCCCCAACGATGGCATTGGGATTCTGTCCTTGGAAGCCACTGGTGATGCGGAAAGACTGTAGACATTGATTTTCTCGTCAGAACCTCCGGTGGCCAGATACACGCTCTGGTTTTCCGAGGACTCCGGCCCGGGCATAGGAGACAATGCTAGACATCGTACCCCTGAGGCGTGAGCGTTGAACAAGAAGGAATCCGTGAATTGAACGGATGGGGAAGACTTCGACGACGAGAGATCTGAAATAGTCGCAGTGATACCGTGAAGGACACGTTCATATGAGCCAGCAACAATTTGAATGACGGGAACAGCAGTCTTGACATCAATGTGCCCGTTCGTTTTTGTGACTTTTGCGGTCTCAGCCTGGCCGTCAGAAGTGCTTTTTGAAGTTACGGCTTCGACGCCTCGCTTTCTTTTAACCATGGTGAAAATTCAATCGAGTGCTGCAAATTCCGGCTGAGGCTGAACAGACAAGAAGTTGCACAGAAATTATTGACGGTACTAGTAGCAAGGCGAACCTATTGCTGGTTGCAACTTCTGTGAAGTGGCCCGAGTGTATCGAAGTCTTCAATATCGATTGCAAAGCGACGGAAAAACGGAAAAAGGGACTACTAGCAGGTGGTGAGCCGGTACGATAGTAGTATGAAGAATTTTCCCCATCTCTGTGGTGGTAGAGCGAGCAGAAACGGGGATGATGGGCAGATTGACCCCCCTGCCCAAAATGAGTGACAGGCATAGGCGCACCGGCGCCTAGCAATAATCTAGTAGTTGAACTATTAGGTCAGGTTTAGGCAGTTGGGCGACGCCAATGGTCGCTGCACCCTCCCTCCGCTCCCACTGCAAGCCCCTTCAACTTGCCTTTACCACACTCCTCTTCCGCTGCACTTTTGGCTGCACACCCCAAATCTGGACAAACCGATCTGGCTGTGCAGCATCTTCATCAGTCTCAAATCAACCACAACGCGGCCGAACAATTCATTTTAAGGGTCTCTTTCATCTCCAACTGTGTCAAGCTACCATTCCTGCAATTTTCAGCAATTGATTCGGATGGTTTCCGCCCGTAGTAGCCACCGATGAAATGCACGTCGAGCAATTACGCTCGAAGAAGTTGGAAGCACAGTGAGTAATGTCATTTTCGAGCGACTCATCTGGTTCTGCCAGTGTGATTCTCCATGCTGATCGATTTTGGTGAATTTTAGAAGTCGTTTGCTGTCGAGAAAGCGCAAGTTATCTGAACTCTTCTCCATAACCGCGTATCCTCTTACTGCCGACGACCCAACCTACAAACAAAAGCTCCAAGCTTTCCAAGATGCAAACAACCTCGAAAGGTGATATTACTCTGTCGCAACGACTGCTTCGTCTATGCTACGACTTGCAGCAATTGTGGCCCGTGGCTTGACCAGTTGGGCTGACCGTTCTTCAGTGGCCGTCTGTTCGACGAATCTACCCTGCCAGCTCGACCGCATATAACCCTCCAACACCGCAAAACCCAGCAACCTCAACCATCTAACACGCCTGTACAGAATTCCGAGACCCAACAACGCGTACAAGCTCCTGCGAAAGCTGAGGCACCCTCGCCTGAACCAACAACCCACGCGACCAGCCCTGCCCTCCAGACAGCACCTTCAGAGGTTCAAGAACGTGTCGAAACAGAAAAACAGCCCAATGGCCACCCGCCAGAAGCAATTCAGAAGGAGGAATTGGGCGTGAAACAGGTCTCTCCGGTGGATTCAGAAGCATTTGCGGCCGAATCGACAGACATCACGAAATCTCCGAATGCTGAACGTCGCTCTAAATCACCAGAAGGTCAAGGGTCGTCTGCGGGACAAGGAGTTGCGACACTGGCTGGGTTATCTGCGGACAAACCAGGTTTGACAGCAACAGCGAAGGAGTCCGGACCGCAACTCAGTGCTGAAGGCGGAGATGAGCCCAAACGACTCACGCCTTCTCTCCCGCCAGTCTCTATACCGGCTGAACCTCAGTCTTCCCCATCGTCTACAAATGGACGAGATTCGGCAAATACTCCCCTACCAATGGCCGCCTCTCCAGCAACCAGTCCTGGGGTTAATGTGTCTCCTGACATATCTCAACCCACCCAGGTGAATAAGACGGTTGATCGCACTATTAGCAGCTCAGAACCGTCAAAGGATTTGACGAACGGAGTCGTCCAGGACAGCGAATCTGGAATGCAGCCTTTGAATGATGTCGAAATGACGGAGACGGCCGCCATGGACGTTAAAGCTGATGCTTCCAGACAGTCGGAGCAGTCAGCGGAAGCTTCCAAGACAGCCATCTCCCAAAAGCCTAACATCAGCGTTGAGATCCAGACCGAGAAGGAAACGTCCATCAAGGTACCCCCCAGCGGACATTTGGTGGAGAGTCCGGCGCCTATGACAGCTAATGTTAGGCACAAGCATCTCCCTGCAACATCTCCTTCTGTACAGGAGCCTCCAAAACGTGCGACTAGAATATCCTCCGGTGTCTTGCAAAAGAAGTCGGTTTCAGAGATCCTCGGTGAGACGCCCAAGGCGATCAACACGCATGTTGGATCTCCGTCCTTGACGCCGAATCATGAATCACCTGGCTCTACAACTCCCCAAGGACGTACGGGTGACCGAGATCGTGATCGGCGTGACAGAGAACGGAGCAGATTGTCAACCGTTGTCTTTGCCAAACCTCCGAAACCCGCTGCTGATGAAGAGACCGTGGAAGTGGCCCGAACCGAGGATCGTGACTTGCAGCGAACGAGCCCTGGACAGAAAGACTACTTGTACACTCTGTTCGAGAACAAGGCGCATTCTATGTCGCGACAGACTTCCATGTCTTACCTTATTCAAAATGCCCACAAAACACTCTCAACCTCGGATCACCTTATCGAATACGAACTGTCAGCCCAATGCCGGATACTAAAGCGTCTCTATCAGCTACAGGAGAAGGGACGCTGGCCACTTCGACAGTATAAGCGTGCTGATGAGGCTCCCAGGCCGACCTCTCACTGGGATTTTTTGCTCGACCATATGAAGTGGATGCGCACTGATTTTAGAGAGGAGCGTAAGTGGAAGCTTGCTGCCGCCAGCAGCATGGCAGAATGGTGTGCAGAATGGGTTGCCAGCTCTGCTGAAGATCGCAAACGTCTTCAAGTAAGGGTTAGACCAACAAAACTTCTCCCCAAGCCCGACACATATCAGGATGTGGAAATGGAGGATGGACCGGGTCCAAGTCTCTCCTCACAGCCAACGCCAGAGTTGATGCCTTCCAACGAGGATGACTCGATGAGCGATGATATTGCAGACCCTAGAGATGTACAGATCTCAAGTGCTCCGGCTGCGATATTCTCACTCGGGCCGTCAGACATCAATTTTGCTGTCGACAAAACCCCCGCGCTCGATAAGCTTCTGAACGAATTACCCCTCTACGAGCCCGCTGCAATTGTGCCTGATCTTTCCAAGTCAAACCTGGCGGAACGACTAGATGCGAAATGGAAAACTGATATTGTCCCTGTCTCGAGATGGGCCACCGAGAAGTTGCCGGTGAAGGACTACAAGCCTCCTCGCAAACGCAGTAGGTACGAGTATGAGTTTGAACCTGCCTCCGAGCCGAAATCCGCACCGCTACCTCCTGAAGAAACAAATGTGGCTCTGTTTATGCCTGAGAACAAGCACATTCGTGACAGGATACATCCGGGCCACTCCTTCCGTCCGCCATCAGAGCATCCGATGCCGACGCAGGCTTTCTTTGAAACCAGACAGTCGTCTCAATGGACGCCTGCCGAAGACGATGAGCTCAGGAAGCTGGTTAAGGATTACTCCTATAACTGGTCCTTGATCTCCAGCTGTCTCACTCCCCGAAGTTCGTACACATCGGGAGCTGACCGGAGGACGCCATGGGAGTGTTTCGAGAGATGGATCGGCCTGGAGGGCCTGCCTGCCGACATGTCTAAGACTGCGTATTTCAAGACGTACTCGGGCAGAATCGAAGCTGCTGGCAGACATGTCGCTGCTCAAATCGAAGAAGCCCAACGAAGGGCCGGGAACAATGTGCAAATCTCGGCGCGTAAGAGAACCACTCAACCAGTCCGAGTCGAGCGAAAGAGGACGCAACGGCATCTCGCCATGCTTGATGCGATGCGGAAGTTGGCCAAAAAGCGAGAGACGGCTCTTCAGAAACAACAACATCAAGCCGATCTTGCTGCAATGCGCAAGGTCAACGATGCAAATGTTCCGAAGCCAGCATACAAAACCCCCGCGGAGTTTTCCCAGCTCAAACAAGAACGCGAGCAGAAACTGGCCGAACGGCAGGAGATCTACAGGCAGCAGCTCATTGCCCACCAGCGTGCTACTGCGCAACAGCAGCGTGGACAGAATGCCCAACCGTTGCCAAATGGAATGCCGCCCGGTGCACCTGCAATGCGTGGTCCTCCGTCGGCTGGGGGAATGCCGGGTGTTCCCAACGGAAACCTCCAGCTTCCCAACGGCCATCCTCGTCATCCTGGTATGATGGCTATGCAAGGCAACATGCAATTACCGCCGGGGATGGTCCCGCCCAAAGGCCTCACTCCTCAAATGCAGGCGCAGATGCAAGCACAACTAGCGGCCCGAGGCGCTGCGACTTCTCCGCAGCAAATACGCATGTTGCAAGAGGCAAGCCGAGTTCAACAGGAGCAGCTGATGCGACAAGCCCAGCAGGCTCAGAATGGTGCTCATTCATCCCCCAACAATCCTCATGCTGCCCTCGCAGTTGGTAAAGGCATGAACAATGCCGCTTACCTTTCTGCTATGGCCAATGCTAACGGCATCGGGTCACCCTCAGCGCCGGTCCATGGAAACTCAGCGTCGCCCCGTCCCGCCACCGCGAATCCCGGTCAAGCCTTATCAAGTGGACACATCCCTGTATTGACTCAAATAGCCAACAAGATTCGAGAGCATCATCCTAAACTCTCAGAGGAAGATATACAACGTCTAGCTTCCCAGCAGATCACATCTTACCAACTGCAAGCGACTGCTGCGGCTGCAGGACAGGCTCCGAAACGGCCGCAGCCTCATAATCAAGCCGCGCTGAACGCTGCCATTGGGGCTGTCAATGCTGGCAATCATGCTTCGAATGCCGCTGCGGCCGCTGCTGCGGCCGCTCAGTTTGGTGGCCATCCCGGGATGATGACAAACGAACAAGTACAACAATATAACCAGCGTATGAGAATGCAGCAAGCCCAGCAGCATGCTGTGCGCGGCATGCCGGGCCAAATGCAGGCAGGCGTCATGGGAGTCATGCCCAATGGAATGGCTAATTCTCCTGTCATGAACATGGCCAGACCTGTGAGCCAGCACGCAAATCAAGGGCAGTTGAGTCGCAGCGCCACACCGAGAGAGCAGAGAAGTGGCAGCCAAAGCCAACCCAACATGAACGGCGCTGGAGCACCGGCGCAAGGCCAACAGAGCAGTCCTCGACCGGCGCAACAAAGTATGCAGACGCAGGCGTAGCCAAGTCATGATGTACATACGATATGAACAGAATTCTCTTCGATGATGCTGCTCTTCCTGCATTACTGTTTTATTCAATCCTGCTATGGGATGCGCAATGTCTATGGTCGGCGCACTACTCCTCCTCTGAATCTGCTGTTTCACTATGATGTATAGGCTACAACGGGACTGGGTGGTGTACTGTACAAGACAGGACGTGTGAATTCGCCTGGTTATGGTCGAGGCCTTGGTCGGTCGTCGAGGCCTTTGCCTTCGACTGGAGGTCTTTTGAACGTTAGTGTTCCTCCGCAAAAGCGCTGCTTAGGCGCAGATTCGCACAAATGCAATAAATGGGAAGGCTCATTCAACTTTATGAAGAATGGTTTCCACCGGTACCTATGGGCGGATGAGCGACATGGACACAGCGATACAGTCCCAGCCTAGCACTGCATCGATTGATACAAATACAATCAAATGTTAAAATCTTTCCTTCTTACTAGGTACTTCCTTGCGTGAAATTTTTCGAGAACCATGCCGTTACATCATTGAAAAGTCTTGTTTTATTTTCATTGTACACTACAGGAAGGATGCAAGGCTAAGGTAGGTAGCCCTGGAAGGCGAGGCACTCACTAGTAGCCCAACCCTGTCATGGAGCGTATCGAAGCACGCATTGCATCGTAGAAGCATAGGCATTGGAACACCTGAAGTGCAATGGACAGAGTTCCAGAATGCTTTTTCGCTTTTTATGTCGGGATTCCGCCCCATAACCTGCCTCCTTCTCATCCTTTTTCCAGCCGTGTCTAAAGCTTGCAGAAACGAACGCCAGAACGAGGCCATGGAATCACTAATCTCCACCACCCACAGCCTCGACTTCTCGCAGGGTTTGCTGCTCACGCTGCTCACGGTACTGGCCACCACCACCACCGCCTCTCCGGCCACCACCGCCCTGGCGTCTCTGCCTATCACCTCCTCTCTGATTGTCACCAAAGTCGCCGAATCCATTGACACCGGCATTGTCGGCGTTGCCGGGACCGTCGCGCAGGAAGCGCTCTCTCTCCGTCTTGACGACACTCAACACACTCTCGAGACTCCGTCGCCAGACCATCAGACGGCCCTGGATCTCGGCCCACTGCTTCTCGCCAAAGACACGGTACGTGGCTCGCTGAACCAAAAACTCCTGCTTCAGCTGGCTGAGTTTGCCTTCCACCAAACCCGCGCGGATCGTGTCAATAACCCACATCTCCACATCCTCGCCGGGCACCTGCAGCGCCGAGGCGATGGTCGAGTACGGGATCGAACGGCTCTGCGAGCTCGCGGCCATGCTTGCCAAAGTCAACAGGCGGATCTTGTTGCTGAGAACGTCGGCGCTCTCTTCGGGAATGCCCAGCGCGGAAAGCTCGTTGGTCTCGAGGAAATCCAAGTACGACGAGTAATCGTCCGAGGAGAAAATCTCGAGCAAGTCGAACAGGTTGCTGTCGGATCGGCGGATCGCTTGGATGGCGTCGTTGGCGGTCAAGGCAGTGAAGTCGATCACGCTCGGGTTCGTCAGGGCCAGCCGCAACGTGCGTTTAGCCAGCTCTTGCGATTCGTTCTCCGCCGCTGTCTCGGGCGGGATCGTTTCCAGCGCCTTCAGAAGGTATGTGTAACTCAGGTCATCATGCCCTGTCGCCGAAGCAACGTCGGCCACAGCAGTGTATAGGTTGCGAGCGTCTTCATCGTCCAGTTGCCACGCCGTCAGCCAGTTCGGGATGTTGGTTTCCAGCTGCGGTATTAATGCCTCAAATGCCTGTGACGATGAAGTGTTCTTGATCACTTTGAGAATCGCAAGGAAGACGTGGTACCGAGCTTCGCTCGTCACGGGGAGAACGTTGAAAACCGTAGTCAGGGTCTGGAGCGCCAGCGATGCGCCGTAGATGGGCGACGAGGTCACTGGCTGTTCCGATAGGTATTGGCATATCCGGGCGAACAACTGTTCGTAGATTGGTGATTGCAATGATAGGCTGATGAGGAGGTTGTATGCTGGAGTAATTTCTGTAGTTTGGTAAAATTCCTATGGTCAGCGCTTTTCTTTTGCAATACACAAAGCCATTGTCCTTTTCCTTTCACTCTTCATCTTGCATTTCTGTGCATTGGAGGGGCAGGGGGCCTTTTTTTTGTTTCTGCGTACCTCGTTCGGGGGCCGAGTTCAGGATCGAGGCCTTGGTCACCAACTTTTTCAGCACCTCATCCTTTTGGCTCTGGAGCGCCGCGTCGTCGACCTGCTCTTGTGTCTGTTCTGCCTCTCGAATGTTGTTCAACGGCTGTCCAATCTCTGCTAGCACGCCTGCGCCCTCTTCCGCTTTCGACAGGGCGTCCAGGTACTGCGCAAATTCTTCCGCGAGTTCGGAAAACGTCCCCTCGATCAACAGTGTATTCGTGGGGCCCGGCATGGCGGCAGTGTCTTGACTGTGTGGAAGAAGGACAACTGTAGGGGGTGCGGTAGGGATTGTCAGGTGGTGGTTCTTGCTCTTGTGCGGCCTGCGCCTCTCGTCGTCGTCGTCGCTGCCCAGTCTTAGTAGCGCTGTGGGAGCGAATTTGGGACTCGGAGGGTTCGAAATCTTGGCGGAGATAAGATTAGATCAGCATTTTGGTTCCGCTCCGCAGTGCTACTTGTAGTATGCGTACTTCACCAACAAAAAGGAATTATGAGTCTAGAAATATTGAATATTAGATTAATAATCTAAGTGCTTAAGATAACTCATTTTTGTCTGCGTTATGTGGTGGGGCAGCCACAATCATGGCCCTCCGCTCCGCATCATCTTTGACTTCCAGCATGGTGTATCATCTCTAGGGATAGTGCTGTAACTAAAATACATCGTTCGAAGCTGCGACTGTCGCTGGCCCGGGCACTGGGACAGCCGTGTTATCTCTTGCACACATCTCGTCCTCGATGAATACGCCGAGCCCTGCAAATGCCCGCAGGAGACATTCGTCCATATATTGCGCGAAGTCATATCCACCAGCAAGCATCGCGTCGGTCGGCTTCCCTCTAGCTTTGTTGACGTAGCTTTCCTTGACTTCATAGTAGTTTTTAGTCCGGGGCATACCCATGAATGGGTCATATGGTGCCTTCGCTTCGGGAATGACAATCTTTTTCAAACCCTTGATCAGCCCGCTTGGGTCTGCTGCGTCCGGCGCAACGTCCTTTCGTCTGGTGGCCTTGCCACCCGCCTCGGTGGTCCCATCGGCCGAGTCTGTCTTGATCCCGTTCGCCTGTGCATATTCCTTGAGCTTGCGGTTCGTCGCGGCAACATCAGTGCGAAGCACAAGGTTCATAATCAGTTCTTCTTTTAACTCCAGAAAGTCGTCATAATCGCGTTTGGTCTCGAATTCTTCCTCCTGACGATCGAGACTGCTCACTGTGAGAAAGGAATATAGCAAGATGTAGAGGTCAGCTTACATTTTGTTGACACGTTTTCGAATCTCAACTTCGCGTTCGATTTTCAGATCTTCAAACGTCTGCGTCCGCCATTCTCGCTTCCAGAGACTGACATGGCACCCTGCTACAGGACACTCTGCTTTGCCGCTTGAGAAATGCCGGTCGACGCATCCTTCACAAATTCGGTGATAGCATTTCGTGTTGATCTTGAATCGGAGCCCTGGGTGTGTTCGTGGATCACTCCCACAGACAGGGCATTTGTTGGCCCCTGAAAGGTGCTTTATGTCAGTACAATGCGAGATTCAGAACAATAAAGTCTGGCACAGCCTACCAACAGAGTCTTCTTCATCCATCGCGTTGAGCCTTCATCGACCTGGTATCCTGTCACCCTTTCTCGTGGCCCCAATCACTCTTCGCTGCCTCCTGCGAAAGATTCTATCTTTTGTTCGCCACGTAGAGCCTCATACTCCAGCGAGCTGAGTCACGAGAAGCAGGTGTAAATTTTGATTACGGGTGATTCTCAACAAAGGAGATCACGCTGAAATGCACAAAGGAATTTGATTCATTCACATGAGGTCGATTCCATTGTTGATGAGGCTGATGTTGTTAGGTACTAGTAAGGAACGTGGATGACTAAGCATTTCTAGCAGCATCTGTGGCGTCAACCAACGTCAACTTGCCTTCATCCTTTCGCCAATTTTTTGCAACCTTCCTCTTGGTCTTCCACCAGCTTGGCCTCCTTTTAGCAAATTGACACAGATACAACGTCTGCTTCGGTCTTCAGACATGGATGACGAAACCCTTGCTCGTGTGGAGCAGCAGCGTACCGAGCTTGAATCGAACATCGCCAAATTGCGCAAAGCGCTGCGCCACTGGCAGACGTTAGAGATAGATTATGAAGGCCTGAAGGAGGAATTCCTTGGTTTACCAAATGATGCTCCGGCTGAAGAGTGCTTGCAAGCTGCTAAGGACTTCAAGCCAGAGGCAATCGACGACAAAGAGCTGCAGGAACTACTAACGGACAGCAAGTCACGGCCCCGTCGACCTGCTCAGTTGGTGGATCTTTTGTCTAAGCGTGTTGATTATGTTACCCGTAACGTTGAAACAGTACGGAAGCAGCTTTCTGAGGCCGAGAAGAAAAGAAACGTTCTTTTGCTTGCTGAGGATCCGAACCATCAAGAGGACGCTGGCCTTCCCCTCGCAGAGATCACAGAGGAGCTGGACGAGTCTGGAGAAGTGATATCTGGGAAGGTGGAAACACCCGGCGCTTCCACCAATCAGTTGATCGACGCCCTGCGAAGGGCCGGTGTTGAAGATTTGAAGGAGACAGATGGAGAAGTTACCAGTACCGACAATGGGAGTAGAAAGAGCCCGCCAGCACTAGATCCGCCCACGAGTACCTCCCAACAACAAGACTTGACGAATACTTCCGCAGAAAATGAGCATAATCCCACAGAAACTACACTTTCAGAAGACTCTGTCGATGAGATCCCTGCCAATCCTAATGATACTGAAACCGAAGCCCAACTTCGCCGAGAAATGTGGGAGTACTCACAAGGCCTGGATGAAGTTGGCGCAATCGTCGCGGAACTAGACCTGGAAGAAGATGCGTCTGATGTTTCTTACGATGAACAGGATGAGCCGCTTGATCTAGGTTCCGATTTTGATGACGACTTCGATGACGAGGAGTCGGAGGACGAAACCGGCAAGAGCACGCACCCACTCACCGTACCAAGAGCTTATCGGAAGAAGATGGAAGAATTGCAGGAAAAATTGGGCTTGAAGAATATGGGACCTCAGGCAGCCACGCAGATAGTTGAAGAGACCCTCAAACAGTCACCAAGACCACCAGCGGCCGAAGCGGCTCGAAAAGCAGCAATTGCCAGAGACGAAAAATCAAAGAAGAGCAGCTTGAAGTCGGCAGTGAAGAGTTCTGTTCCCAAAGGGGATGGTGGGAAGGCTGAGAGCTCGAACAAGAAGAAAGTCGCGTTCTCTTCGGAGCTGGACATTGCTTCCGATGAACCAAGTACTAAATCTACGCCTGTCGCTTCAACCACCCCTAAGAAGCCATCACAGGCACCCAAGGTGCGACCAATCAACGAATCCATTGTTGAGAGAGAAGTTGCTCCGGTCGATGAAGATAATGTCTTTGCTCCGGCGCCAACGTCTCGCTCAGAGAAACCCTCTCGATTCAAGGCTGCACGACAAACACAGCCACAGACGCCCATGTTTGCTCCACCAATGTCTTTGGGTGCAGGTTTGTCAAGAGCAGATCAGGACGAGTCCATCTCCCCGACACCAACATCGAAGATTATCTCTGCCAATCTTGTCGAACGTCCGTCGTCGAGGATAGCTACGGCTCCAGATCCAGACGATTTCTCGGAAGAGGCCCACCGACAGGAAGTTGCTATAGAATATCAGAGACACCGGATGAAACGGATCCTTGCCCAGGAGGACGGCTTTACGGGAAATGGAGAAGGAGACAACTACGGAGAAATGATCACCCCCGGCAGGGGTCATGACGATGAAGATGGCAAGGGGAAAAAGATTAGCAGGTTCAAAGCCGCAAGAATCAGTCGACAAATGGGCTAGAATCCTCAGTGCCACGTATGCGAGGCTGTGTCCCCTACGTTACCGGAACAGTCCGGTGCTGGGCTTGTTTCCTTGCTCCTTATGTTGTCTATCTCAACTTGAACCAACCCATTCCTGTTACTGCTGGTATGGCCTTTCTGATAACCCCTTCCCTTTCTTCCCATGCAGGCTCTCCGCTTCCTGGAACCCTCAACAAGAATATCTTTTCTTTAAAAGGACTTGCAGCCCTCCTTCCAGCACCAATGGATGGTGGTCTATCTGCATGGTTCCTCATATGGGTTCCGATAATAAGCATTGCAACTGGGCTCTCTGACACCTGATCCGTTAGTCGCGGTCTTTCGAGACCCGATTGAGAGCTGTGGATCCGGTGATTCGTTTCACCCAGCACATGCCGACTGTAACATTTAGGTCAATTCCTTTGGTGTATTGTAGCACGACAAGTCAACGTGAGGCCGCGGTCGATAGCAAGTGGGTGCCTACTTAGGTACACTGGCAGTACACTGCATATAGTACTACCTCCCTGGTCAGCAGCGAAGCGAAGTACTGCAGATCATACCAACCTGGTAATGATATGGTGGAATTCTGCGGAGTGTAAGCGCTGCAATGGCAGCTCCACCATGAAAACTCATTCCTCGTTTCCATTGGTCAGGACGAGACACTGGCAGTTCTTGGGCCTCCTCCACTCAATCGAGACAGCTCCTTGCGTGCTGCCCGTGGGAGAATGGATGACACTGCGCTGACATTGGCTCAATATCCGTCATGATGGTGATGATGGCTACTCGACCGCTACAATTGCCGTAAGTCGGATCCGCATTTTGGGATACTATCTGGTCTCGATCTATTTTTCTTTCTTCTGCTTCTTCTTGTTTCTTTATATTCGGCCTTGCCGCCCGGGTATTGCAGCCTGACCATCTGACCTCCCCTCGCCGTATGCATTTTGAGAGGAGAAATCCACGCGGAGGAGGAAGCTATGGACAAGGGGCAGTTTTCAGCTACGACCCCGAATCATAGTCCGGCTGTTGCTCATGAACTGGATGTAATCTCTGCACCCCACGATCCAGAGAATGTACCTATCGAGAAGAGCCCCTCGACCGAGGCTGGCCAGCCTGGTTCTGCCTCGCAAGTCAAAGCCAGGAGCCCGTTCCGGCTCACGATGATTCTGATAGCGCTCTACCTATCGCTCTTTGTTGCGGCGCTCGACGCCACCATTGTCGCTACGGCAGTGCCTAGGATCACCGCCGACCTTGATTCAGCGGCGGGATACATATGGGTTGGCGGGGCTTACCTGATTGCAAACGCTGCCGCGGCCCCCATTTGGGTCAAGCTCTCGGACATCTGGGGTCGGAAGCCCATCTTACTTGCAGCAGTCACCGTTTTCTTTGCCAGCTCCATCATCTGTGCCGCGGCCGTCGACATGCAGATGCTGATTGTCGGTCGAAGCATCCAAGGAGCTGCGGGTGGTGGTCTCATCTGCATGGTCAATGTGGCAATCTCAGATCTTTTCAGTGTTCGGGAACGAAGCCTGTGGCTTGGTCTCTGCGAAGGCATTTGGGCTCTCAGCGGTGCTGTCGGTCCTCTCTTGGGTGGCGCGTTTGCTCAAAAAGTAACCTGGCGGTGGTGCTTTTATTGCAACTTACCAATCGCTGGTACTGCATTTGTACTTCTTGTCCCTTTTCTCAATGTCCACAATCCTCGCACTTCAGTGGTTGCAGGTGTCAAGGCCATTGACTGGTTTGGCTGTATTTCCATCCTTGGAGTCACAGTCATGTTACTCCTGGGCCTCGATCTGGGCGGGTCTGTCTACCCTTGGGGCTCTGCTAAAGTGATTTGTCTGATTGTCTTTGGGGCCTTGATGATTCTTGTCTTCATCTACAGTGAGAAGAAGCTGGCGAGGTATCCTGTCATCCCACTTTCTCTCTTCGGCACGAGGAATATTGCTACATTGCTGGTTACCTTTTTCCATGGCATGGTAAGTGAAGCCTCAGTATTTCTCAGCAAAGGTTGGACTGACCAGAAAAACAGACTTTCATTGCCGCAGAGTATTATCTACCTCTTTACTTTCAAAGTGTCAAGGAATCTTCACCGCTTCGGTCGGGTGTACTTTTGGTACCATTGATCGTGGCTACAGCCGTGACCGGTGTCGTGAACGGCCTCATCATCCACCGAACAGGTCAATATAGACCTTCAATGTGGATAGGCACTGTTCTGTTGACTTTGGGAACTGGTCTGTACATATTGTTGGGCCCAGAGACCTCCATTGGCACCATCATCGGCTTCGAAATCATCGAAGGAGTCGGTGCAGGTCTTCTTTTTGAGCCACCACTGATTGCTATTCAGCAAGATGTGGAACAGGACGATGTAGGGACAGCGACTTCCACTCAAAGTTTCATCAGAAGCATGGCTTTGTCCTTGGGCGTGATAGTCGGCGGCATCGTCTTTCAGCAGAGCATGGACCTCCGCAGGTCAACTCTCGTTGCAGCCGGGTTACCGGCTGCCATTGTGGAGCAGCTTTCTGGCAAGAACGCCGGTGCCAACGTGATGGTTGGCCATGGACTCCCACCGGCTCAAAAACTCGCTGTCAAGGAGGCCTTTGCCTGGAGCATCCGGAACATGTTTATTATGTTTACTGCTCTGGGTGCCTGTGGAGTGCTTGCTAGCGTTTTCGTCACCAAAAAGAAGCTGTCCAAGGAACACAGAGAGACCATTACTGGACTCAAGAAGGCCGATGCAGAATCCTAGATGCAACGCCTGGGAAGCCTTTCTCCTGGGGCTTCAATGGGAATGAAAGAACATCAACTCTCACACCGGTCGAGACGGGGACGATTGCTGCCATAACCACCCCGCTACGGTCAACTCCCGCGTCACAGAACCCTATCCGATGTCTTGACACCATGTTTCCGTTGATGGCAAAACTGGTGCATATGACTTTGGTTCCGTAATGATTAAGATTGGTTAGGAAAAAATGGGTGATAATCACTCTATAGCGCCCGTGGTTTACAAATTGTCTAAAATTGGATAGAGTGTGAGTCTGGACGAGTTTAACATGCACCTCCATCACCTTGGAGCTGGACAATATAATATATAACGGTGGTCCGGCTGATATGCCGACGGGCTACTGACCGCCTGGTTTGGCAGCTGTATCCACCTCCTGCGGGTGATGTGCAGGGCACTGTTAGATTACCTCGGTGCTGGATGGTGCACTTGTATGATCTTTTGGCGATGGAGCTAATAATCAATATGGGCTTCTTTAGTAACCTATATATTTGTACCATATACTTAGTATTTCTGTGCTTTCGAATTTCTAGGGCTCTTTGATCCGTCGATTGGTATGACACAATTTAATGCCCCGGGAGCGAAGCCGATAGCTGCGTGAACTGGGTGCGATCAACATCGCAGCAGCCGCTTCTATCACTTCTCACTTGCTTACTAGTTGACTCCTACACTTACCTCCAGTCAGTCTGAACACCCAAGGAAGAAATCTGACTACTGTGTTCTATGTTCAGACGTCCACCATACCTCAACTTGTCGCAGACCCTACGGTTATCGAATAATAACCTGATTTATCTCCTTTGCATCAGACGCTCACCGATGGCAAACCTGGCTGAAGCGAGCACCGCTGCTGCTGCTTCTGCTGCTGCTCCCAGCCGTGGCGGTGCACCTTGTTCTCAAAGTGAGTTCCGTTACTGCATCAATCTACAGCACAGTATCTAGTATCTACTATCAAATCAAGAAAGGGCCCACTGCCCACGAGAGCCAGCAGCATTGTTCCACAATTTACCTACTTACCGTTACCCACGACAATGTTTCTGTTTCCACCACCCTATAGTACTACTACTAACCAATGCAGCCAAATGGCACCAACCCATCGGCCCTACAATCCCTTCCTCGCCAACAGGTGTACCACCCCGTCGGCCCACCAGGGTAACTCTACCCGGCAAAAGCGTGACCATCCAACCACTTTCACCCTCGCACGCGAGCGATCTATACGCCATCATCGAAGGTGAATCCAAAGCCCACCTATTCACCTACCTCTTCGACGACCCATATACAACACCATCAGCCTTTTCAAATGCCGTGACGACCAAATCGCAATCCGAGGATCCCTTGTTCTTCGCCCTGGTTGACGAGGAGACCAACAGGGCTGTGGGATGGGCGTCACTCATGCGCATCGATCCCAACCATCGAGTCGTGGAGGTTGGGAATATTCTCTTTTCGCCTGCTCTCCAACGTACGAGGGCCGCCACGGAAGCCATGTATTTGTTGGCTAGGTATGTTTTTGAGGATTTGGGCTACAGGAGGTATGAGTGGAAGTGCGACAATTTGAACCTTCCGTCCAAGAGGGCGGCTATTCGGCTTGGATTTACTTTTGAGGGGGTCTTTAGAAAGCATATGGTATATAAAGGTCGTTCTAGGGATACTGCTTGGTTTGCTATGGTTGATGAGGATTGGCCTGTCATAAAGAAGGCGTTTGAGGATTGGTTGAGGGATGAGAATTTTGATGAGAGTGGGAGGCAGAAAAGGAGGCTGGAGGATTTGAGGGAGTTGATGCCGGGGCAAAGGGGGCCTGTGGTGTTGGAGCTCTGAGGGGGATGGAAGTTGAACTGCTGGCCCTGGGTCGGCTTTGGATTTATAGAGGGGATGGACTGGGTAGATATAAGCTAGATGAAATGGGTTTGGGACGTGACTGGGTGTGGTATTTGTGTTTTCTTATAGTGAATACCTAATAGTTAGATATCAAAATAGACGAGACTGGTAGAAGAGGGTACAAGGTTCAATGTTGTATGTACATAGGTGAGAGCAGTTGTCTATTCTGAGCCGAGTCCATGCCAAACTGGACGGTTCGAACGAGGGAAAGAAACATAGAAGAAAATGATCATGAGTGCCGTGGCGATAGATTGATGAGCCTGTGCATGGCTGGGATGATGCCTTGTCGATTCTCTGGTGAGGTCTTTATCAAAGAGTCTGCGGCACAAAGGATCAATTCTACAAATAAACAGTACTTCTATTCCTACAAATTAGACTGCGTTGCTAAGGAGACTGCCTTCTTGAAATCAATCGATCTCAGATATAAGTCAGTACCGTAACGATTGTCAGGTAAGCTTTCTTCCTCATTGACAACAACACTCAATCACCGCATAATTCAGGTCCGTGAGGTAACTTGAACGTCAAGAACGAAATGAATACGTGGATGTATTGCTATTGCTTACTACTAATCGACACCGCGCCGATAGTCGTTTAGCTAAGGTAAGCTGCAGCTCTGGTACGAAAGCCGTAAACTTGCCTTGGGTGGGGCGGACCGACAGTTCAACATATGGCGACTGTGCAGCCGGCCAAGGCTGATTGTAGTTGTAGCAGCAAATCCAGCCGCAGATGCTACTGTGTTCGGGTTGATTATGTTGCTGTTGTGGCTGAACACAGGCGTGGTCCAGCTTCAATAGCAGGTCTCCACCGTCAATCGACAAAGGGGACAATTGATGGCAAGACAGCCGACTCTTGAAGAGAACTAGGGTTTCATAATATCAATGTCACAGCCAGCGAATATGTGATTGTCTCGAGGAATGCGATGACGGGCCGATGCCAACGCTGGCAGCAAACAAACGGCTCGCGAAATGAATAAGGTAACCTGTGTTCTGGTTCCTGATCTGGCTTCGATCTTTTTCTGCCCCAGAACCGGAATCGCACTAAGCTGTTTGCGGCAGGAAGGCGCACAACTGTCGCCGGCAGAGCCACTTCACCACCTCAAGTTCACCAGCTCAGCATCGACAACTTCAGCCACCCTCGCATCTCACACTGCTCGCCTTGTCTCTTGGTCTCCTTGTTTACTCATTTTGCCGTTCTCCTGCCACAACCCTGGCGCTGTGCCATTGTTGGTCTGTCTTGTAAACACTTTTCAATCCGCAGGACGGACAAAGACAGGCCCCCTGTGGTTCAGATTTAGGCGACGTGGCGGCGCTTGAATTCTCAGATCTCACCACCACCAGCTCTGCGGATTCGGCCTGGTTCATCAAGGACCCGGACATGCCCTCTGAAAGACGTCCACGGCGGCTAGCAACCTCTTCTACCAGATCCAGCCCTGACCGGAAGAGCTTTGATTTCTCCAATTCAACTACTCGGACTGCCACGCCTAGCCCAACCCTGTCAACCAACGACACTCGATCGCGCACAGATCCAACCACATCCCACAGTGACTCGGATGAGTCTGTTGGCACCTCTCAGCCGCAAACTGCTTCGTCCGCTGACATGGCCGCTTCGGTCTCAGATCGGGGACGCCGCACACGAGGTGGTCGTGTGAGGAAACTGACCGCCAAAGCCCAAGCGCTGAGTGACCGCAAAGCCGACTCAAGCTCTTCGCCGCCGCCTTCAGACACCATTGTGGTTAGCTCTTCACCACCACCACAGCTGCCCCCACCAACAAAATCCAAACCTCAGCCTCGCCGTAAACAAGGCTCCACTACTCCGAGTCCTAGTGCAGACACCTCGCAGCAAGCTTCGGGAGACTTTCAAACCCCAGAGACGTCAACAAACGACCTGGTTGAGAGTGCCACTTCAGCATCAAACGCCGAGGTCGCCACTCAGGACGAGACCAATTCTTCAACTCTCAACTCACCAGCCAGAAGAACCTCCCAGCGAGAGAGGAAACCTTCCGCCAAAGCACTATTAACACCTCCGACTGCCCGAAAACGCCCAGCCTCTCCAGCTGATACTCAGGATGTTCCGGCGCGCAAGTCTGCCAGAATCTCTTACGGCGGCGCCAAGGTCCCGTCCAAGCTTCGTTACTCGTTGTCTTCCTCTGTGCCCGAGGAGCTATCTGCTGAGGATCAAACCCCGGAGAGGAGCCAAAACCGTTCTACCGGATGTCCAGTTCACCAACGCATGGGTTCAAATGTTCAAGACATGCTTGAAAAATCTCCAAAGAGCCAACGAGCTCGTCAAGTTGTGGAAAACCATTTTCGTGACACGTGGCCTTGGCCCGTACCGACCAAACCTCCAACCCCTCCACAAATGCTCAGCCCTCCAGAAGGGCAAAGCGACCAAGACGTTCGCGACCAGGGATATAACAGCCAAATGCACGCTCTTTCCGAATATTCTGGCAAGCCTGTTTCCCAAGAGCACCAGCTGGAGGACGATCATGCTGAGATCCGTGCCAAACGGAAACAACCTACCCGCCGGGACACGGCTGAGATTCCTGCCACTCCAACCGGCAAGAAATCAAAGCGTGTCACACTGAAGACGACGCCGACTAAAGTCGACAAACCTGAAACTGCCGAAGTCGCGCAAACCACTCCCTCAAGCAGATCGAAGGTAATCACACTAAAGTCGAAGAGACTTTCTGAGATCAACAACCCAACTCAACAACCTGAAGTCGATAAGCCCAGCCCTAAGGCCAGCAAGGTTCGAGCAAGCCGACGAAAATCCAAACTCAAGCAAGATGCCCCCCGGAACGACCGTGTTACCGTGCAAGACAAGCCTTTGTCTTTAGCATCATGCGACCTGTCTTGTCTTCCTCCTTGGTCACGACTCGTAGCCTTTGCCGAGATTGCCAAGCGAATGCCGGATTCGGATAATGACGACGAAGAAATTGTGCCTGGGAGTGACCAGGACTGGCGGTCTTATACCCAGCATTTGTGCCAGTGCAAGAAGGAGCCCCGACTTCCCATTGACGACGTCAATGCCAGTGAACTTGCACGAGCCCTTCTACCGAACACGGTTTTCCAAGGCACTCAAGTCGATCCGATCGATCTTACGGAAGCACCTACAGCCGAAAGCGAGCTTTTAGCCCAACCGGTCAATACTATCCTGAGGGCCACCGACGCGGAGCGGCTCTCTCAGCTCTTTGCCAGTCCTCACAACTTAAATGAAAGTGAGAATCGAAGACGGTACACCACCTCTGCGACCCGTAGCTTACGCAACTCTGCCGAGTTTGGAACCCCCCCTGCCTACGGAAACGGAAATCCACTTCGAAATTCAGGTTTCTCAGAGAATGCTACCAAGTTCCTTCCAACTAAACGAACGTACGAGGAGCGCATGCGAGACGACCACAAGGCATTGGCGGACATTCGCAAGCGCGCATCAGCGTTGGGAATCGAGTGGAATTTCAACATGACTTTTGACGACATTTCTTCTCTGGTCCGGGAGGCTGAAGCCTCTCAGACCCAGATCTATTATGACCAACGCAACATGACCCGTGAGAACGACATCTCTGTCGGCCGCCATGGGCACGGTTCGGTTATAGAAGGTCACCCAGGCCACGGCATCCCGGCCGGATATGGTGGACTGTATCCAGGAAAAGCGACATCTTCAACTCCTACGCCGATTGCAAATGGAGCAGCAGTAGCTGGACATGATCTCTACCAGCATCGGTCGCCGCCACCGGCCCCGCCACAGCAGCAGCAGCCCAAAAACGGCCGGAGACGACCCAAATCCCAGTTCATTAACTACAACTACACTCATACAAATGGCTTCGACAACAATAGCGGCGGCAACAGCCGCGGCAATCGCAATGGAACTGGTACACCTGAGACCGCCGGCAAACACCTTGGTGGATCGGCCAGTCCCAACACAACCACCATCAGCTTTGTTACTGAGGATATTGGCGCAACATATTCTTCGTCGGGTCCGCACACGTCGCTGCGTCGACCTTCTTCCCCTAGTCGACCCAAAAGCTCGCGGTTTCGAGTCGATCCTAGAGGATTGCTAGGTGAATCGCCGGGGCCCGGAACGATCATCAATATCGACGAGCAGCATCAGCATCAGCATCAGCAGCAGCCGAAGAAGGCTGTAGCTAATGGTAGAGCGTCACGTCGGAGATCGCGTGGCTCAAAGGTTGCAGAAGCTCAGAAGGAGGCTGAAGTGAATGGCCCAGAGGCCAGTTAGTAGTGGGCTGGAAGCTTGCTACGGAAAGATTGATAGGAGCAGAAGACCAGAAGACCAGAAGAGCACAATGGCACTCTGCTTTTTTTGCTGGATGGTGGTTGTTGACGATGATTTGTCAGGATTGGATTCCTGTTGCAAGGACAGGACAAAAGAAAGCACGAATTGCCGTCAGATGGTTGGAATGATACATGAGGGAGGTATTGGCTGTGGTCCTGGAAGGTTCTGGACTTTGGTCAAGGTACCGCTGTACACAGGTACAGGTGCAGGTACCATATTGGTTGATGATGGCGGCATTCTGGGCCGACTTGTATCGCGGCGAATTGCATGCGTTCCTGGTAGCAAAGCGTTGCAAGGCATTGGCATCCTCTAGCACAGGGGAGCATAGCATAGCATAGCATGGGTACCTTTTGAGATCTTGCAGTGCAAGACTCGGAGGAGAATGGTGAACAGTGAGCGCCACAGTGAGGAGCAAAATGTGTTAATACCTTACTAATGATCACCATCAATCATAATTGTCAGTGGTATGGCGCTGGGACTTGTACTTGTAACTCATTAGGTACAGTACCTAGCTAGGTACCATAACGGTTATAACGTTGTACAATGCTGTACCTGGCACTACCGTAGTAAAGGACTGGAATAGACATATAATGCCAGGGTGTTCTGATTACCACGGTAGGAACACACTAATCGTCGTAGTACTGTAAACTATCCACCTACCGCAGCGTTGGTGCTAGCGAAATGACATCCGAAACACCAAATTTCCGCCCCACGCGTCACTTTTTAATTGTCAACTTGAACGTGTTGACAACGTTCGGCAAGTCACGCGTCGCCGCGCATTATTATTGCTACTCACTTGGACCCCCATTTGCATAGGTACAACATTGTACATACTACCGTACATACATACCCGGCTTCACGAGCGTTGTACATACTCTGAGGTTCATTCGAAGGGAAAAGAATCATGTCCGAAGAAATCGTGGTGCCCAAGAAAAGAGGCCGGCCGCCGAAAAAGGCTGCTGCTGCCGCTCCAGCCGCGGAGCAAGACAATGCCATTGTTATCGACGTGCCTAAACGTCGGCGAACGAAGGCGAGTATTGCCGATAATACTTCTGCGTCTGCAGAGTCGAGTTCGACTTCCTCTGCAGCAGCATCCAAAAGAGCGCCCAAGAAGAATGCTGCTGCTGTTGGCGGGACTGAAAGTGTGCCGGAAGTACTGGGAGTGAAGACCTCGTCTTTGACTACGAAGAGGAGAGGAGCGACGAAAAGCGGTCCTTCATCATCTTCTTCTTCGACTACGTCTACGTCCACCACCACGTCGACATCTTCGGCGTCAGCACCAGCACCAGCACGAGCAGTAGACGCCGAACTCGGGGACAAACAAGTCGCCGATATTAAAGTCCAAAAAGCCACTGTGAGTCAGGCAGCGTCATCGCCCTCACCGTCGACCGTGGAGGGAGTAGACGCTGCGGATGCGAGTTCTGCAAAGTTGAAGCCGAAATCTAGGACTCGCAAGGCCGCGACTGCGACTGCGACTGTGGTGGAAGGATCTGCTGGATCTGTCGGGCCTGCTTCTGGTTCTGCTGCCGTTCCGGCCGCGCCAAGGACCATTAAGTCGAACTCAGATGGTGCAGGAAACGCAAAGGCCGTCGGCACCGCGGCTCAACTTGATGCGTCGGACGCAAATGAGAGCCAGAAACCGGGAGCACTAGCGACTTCGAAGATTCTGCAGCAAGCTAAGGCGTTTGCCGAGAATTCGCGCGATTTGCATGATCAGGCTGCCCGGTTGGTGGAGGAGCGGGAAGCTGTGCGTGAGTCTGTCCTCCAGCAGGACCAACAGGTGGATGTTGGCGAGGATGTCCGAACGGAGAGACAGACGGTTGATGAGGTGGCCGCTACAACGACGGGAAAAGACTTGAAGGAGCCGACCGCCCGTGATTTGCACGACACGCAGATATCGTCCAAGGAGTCTATAGCTGACGCTGGGATCACATCGACCACAGCAACAAGCTCACTGCGCCAGGAGGAATCCTCAACCGTCGATCCTGTATCAGCATCCCAAGCCGCCCCGCCTAGCCAGCTACCATCTACATTCGTTCCACTGGCCACAAGCAGCACGTCCACCACCATGTCCACTCCCGCCTTTGGCTTTCCCAAATCGAAGCCAAAAGTCCAGGTCGTCGTACCCAAGTATATCCTTCCCAACTCGACCGTCGCCGCCCTTGCTGCCCGCAATGTCCATTCTCAGCGCTCGTCGTCCTCCCAAGGTCCAAGTCTTCCACCGTCGTCTGCTGCTGCACGGAGACAGCAACAACAACAGCAACAACAAGGACAAGGCGGATTCGGACCCAGTGGCGGCGAGAGCGGCCGACCGCGTCCTACACAGATCCCACTCGACCAGCTCAAGAAAGATCCAGAGTTCCGAGCCCTCTCGAGGCGCTGGACCAGTCTTATGGTCGCATTGCCGTTTGCCATTGTAACGAGTTATTTCTTGTGGCAGAGATGTAAGTTGATCCGACCCTGCACTTTTCGTTTATTCGCTCCCGTTTTCTATGCATGATATGGCTACCAATTTGACCACTTTGTGGTTGCCCACAATACTGCGGACGAATGCAATCAAGTCAAGCGGAAATGCCTCGCCTTGCCTTCCATTTCATAAGTTGACAGAGTTCTGTTTGCTGACCTGGCTCGCAATTTAGACGAAGAACATCAAGCATATCTCAAATCCCGAGAGGCGAAGAGGACATTAGATTCTGTGAGCTGGAAAACAGCTGGATCGGATGACGCGACCTCGACCTCGCCCTCTACAGCCGGCCCACCGTCGACGCCGGCATCGAGCTCGACATCAAGTCCTCGACGACCATAGAGACAACCAGCAGCTTCGTGTGATATGCGGCAAACCACAGACTACGCAAGGGTGTCGCTACAGTTTCCAGATGGTCATTATACCGAATATGAAGGAACGGCGAAGTGCTCTACATCGTTTCGTGGCTCATCGGGTTCCCTCCCAGGCCACAGCTGTGATGAACGCTTCTAAGCCCCTAGGGCTATGATATCGATCTGATTGTCGGCCTCTGTGGCAGGAATATTTGGGACTCGTGTACCGGTCTTCCACAGTTACGGTTTCTCGCCAGCTCCCCAACTTTTCAAGGCGGTTCGTGCTCTCGATACCCTGAGCCTCCTGTCCGCAACTCCGATGCTCGATTCTCGATCTACCCAATCTGCCTTGCGTGCACGACTTGTAAGCGTCGACAATCTTCAATCTTGGCGGTAACCCGCTTGGAAATATCTCGCAGATCAACTCTGGGCAACCAGAGTAAGGTCTGCTTAACACCAAGACCAAAGCCGGATCCCCTATGACTGGATCCTCCGCCCTGTGTCTCCCTCAATCAGCGCTCTTCAGGAAACTGACCCCGGAGATGGTGAACACAACAATGCATTGCATTGCAATCCCCCAAATTTCACCAAGTCCCGGGGCCATCGAGCGTGCCAGATGAGCAGCATCGCTCGCCTCGACCAGACCTTTTGTGGTTGTGCTTTACACTGATAATCAGTCCATAATGGCTGGACAAATGAAGCCTGTTACCATTCTGGGGAATTGTTTCCCTCCTCTCCTCTCCTCTCCACCGATTTTATTTGTTAATAGTGCTGGAATGAATGTGCTATGCCATACCATGCTACAACACAACGCGACCCGAACTATTCATTGATGAGAATTGCTGGTCTGGTTGGAGTTAGGTGGATGGGGTAGATATCTACATGCATACCTAGGTACATATTACTTCATGTTGTAGAGGTAGGTTCATAATCTCACCAATGTGCATACCCACATTCTATGTATCTACTAGCAGCGCACAAAGAGCCACCTTACGAACTACTGTAACTACTAAGGACCGGGCCAGTGGTAAGCAGGTACGGGGTACTCGTACTATTGTGACCTAGGTAGAGTAGTACTTGGTAGTAACGGATGGTAAATTCTAATCTTGGGTGATTTTATTCTCATCAGGTCATGGTAAGTCTTGCAATCCTTCGGACTCTGTTCTTGGTCCATGTTTAGCGCACCAATGCGAATCAGGTCCCATTTGGAGGCTCTCGCCCCTTTCACTGTCGGTGAACTCTTCCTTGTTCTTTTTCTCCAGCAGTCCTAGCACGCTTCTCACAGCTTACTCTCAAACGCACAGGTTCCCTCCCAAGCATCACCAGCCTCAAGTTTTGTCCACGAACTGACCGCACCAGGCTCAATGCACAGGTACCGTCTCCAACCATCCTTGGGCTCAAAGTCGCCCATAGCCTTGATCTTGTCCTCCCAGCCATTCCAGACCGTGACATCCGGCAATCCATCACGAGTGACGACGAACTTTTGTTTTCCATCCTCCTTGACGACCAGAGGGACCGATTCATTGTCTTTGCCTGCAGGTGGGGTGTAGACCCTATCTGTCTCTGAGGAGAAGCTCAGGGATGACGAGGATTCCGTGAATTTCTGGGCGGAGCGGACTTTGTCGACGTAAGGAGAGGATTGGAGTCCTTCGACGGTGGTTTTGGTGATGTCCTAAACGAGCACGAATGATCAGTACATCATAGCCTCGAATAACAGTATGCGTATACATATGTATACGCAAACGTGTACTGTACCCACCTTCACAGCCAAATACGTATGAAACAAACAATGAAACTCAAACGGCCGATCACCCTTATTCTGAACATGCATCTGGCATTCCAGACGGTCCTTCTCCAATGTGACACTGTAGACGAGTCCGAAGTCGTAGGGCCACTTTTTGCGCACATCCTCGTCGAGCATGGCGCTGCTCAGTCCAAAGTCAAGTTTCACGCTGTCGTCCGCCTTGCGGCTCAGACTCTCGCTGCTGCTCTTGCCCAGAAACTCCCAGTAGCTGTTCCTGGCGAACCCGTGCTGTGGCAGTTGGCCTGTCGCGTGGGATTTAGGCGGGGGGCCGAATACGGGGAATACGAGTGGGATGCCGCCCCGGATGGGCTTCGAGCCGTCTAGAACTGCTGCTTTGGACAGGAATAGTTGTTCTTCTCCGTTCGATGTCTTCCACGATGTCACGGTCGCGCCGTATAGGTAGACTGTTACGGAGTCGCCGCTGGGTAGGCGTGCGGTGAGAACGTTGTCTTTGAGGTCGACGATCGGTTGTGCCATTTGTGGTGATACGGGGAGTGTTGAGGGTTTATGCTTGCGTTCCATGGTGGGAAGGGGAGGGGAGCGGTGGACGAAGGACGATGGATGGACACAGGAGGACCCCGCTGGCTGGTGGGTCGTTGTATATGTGGGAAGTTGGACTCTCAAAGGGATGGTAGACTGGACGAGATATGACCTGTATTGAGGCGCTGAGAAAGGGATTGACTTCACGAGACCAAAACACTTGCAGTGGTTGGAGTGATGAAGGGAATATGCGGTCTGAAACTGAGGTCTGTTTGGATGTTTAGTTAATGGAACGGTCGTCGCGGGGCCCAAATCATGATGCTTGTAACGACGGGACTCTTGTCATTTTACGGTTGATCGGAGAGCGTCCAGGTACCACTTCGGACGCCTTGCCTATTCCGGTGCGGTCAAACACCAATGTCTACCAGGTACGGCGGTGTGGCCTTTCTCTTGTTGACATCCATATGGGCATCGTTGCCATATAATAACCAGGTGTCAATCTCGTCATGAGAATCGCCCAGGCTTAGATATCCTCGATTGTTACCCTTGTTATCTGAGGAGAGTGCAAGCGGCCCTTGAGTGGGCTCTCAGCCTTATCACGTGATAGATAACTATCCACGTGATGTCAATACCCGCCGCAAATACTAGTAGTACCAATACAGCCACAAGAACATCGGCCTCCGTTGACATCAGCGTCAATGATGATTTCTTTGTCGGCCTTTGTCTGACCCTTCTCTCAAAATCCTAGTCAAACGTCTGTATCAAGACTCTTCAACAAAGAATGGGATCCTCCAGCTCCAAGGTTGCAGGCAGGGCTGCCGGCGCTGCTCGTCGACAATATCCATCCACATCCTCCATCACGAACACTGGTGCCTCAACAACCCCGAACATACAACCATGTCCTGAACCTCAATCTTCACCCTCAGCCCAAGTCCATCCTGACCCAACTGTCTCGTCTCCAGCGGAAACTCGCTCCGAACATGTTGAGCTCGACGGCAGAGATCCGCAATTCGACTCTGCGCTGCGGAAGATAGGTCCTGCGAAGGCTCCGACATCTTGGAACGGACGGCCTGTTGAAGACGCTTTCCCCACTTCCAGTCAGCCCATGCAGCCAGGTCGCAATATTTTCCCGTCATCCGCCCAAAATCCTGCTATCATGCTGGTCGAGGCACGTGAAAGGATCAACAAGCGCTGGGAAGAGGAGCTGGACAACCAAGGAAAACGGGCCTTTACGGGCAGAACCCTCGTGACTGCCAAGGACATTAAGGAAGTCTTGACTCTGCGAGACGAAGTTGGGAAGCCTTCTTCTGAGATTGAGAAGCAAATGCAGTTGAAGCCGGGGATATTGGATCAGTTGGTCCCCAAACGAGTGGTTGCAAATGCTTGATGATTGTATTACGGACCGCTGTCGCTAGGAAATATTTTATTTGGCCCAAGGAGAACTACCCTCAACGATTTGGACAGGCAGGACTGTCTAACATTTTACGAACGATTCTGAAATGGCGCTATCATATCGAAATTCAATGACAGCGGCGGATGGATACTGAAAAGCACCATATGCGGACCCCGTCAAGTACATTGGGAAGAGTCGATCCTTATCGCGCACTCACAATCTACTCAGGAATCGAGGACTATGCCAGTCCACCAGGCAGCAGACACCTGCCAGCATATTGCCGTGACGTCCAGCCGTCCTCGCCTTGGAGGACCATGGACACTGCAGCGCTCATGCTTGTCTATAGCTGCCTCTTGAGGACTGCAATTGTGACCATGAAGCACTGCAGTACAATATGCATTTGGAGCTCTATGCGATTCTGTGCACAATGAAGAAGATTCATTGTTCCATTGTTCGCTGCCAACCGTCCCTTTGTCAGCACTCAGCCATGTTAATAGCAGAGATTGCAATCCGGGTACTACTGTCAATGACCCATTCACACTGTGGGTGCTTTCTTTGTCACCATTATGCACATGGTTCAAGACTATCCGGCAATTCCTTTGTCCCGCACTGCGATTCCTTCAGTGCCGCAGGTGTACTCGTGGGGTGCTGTCAAGCATCCCCATACTTCAGGATCTACTGCTCTTTACATATATATCAATATGCCTCGCTTTCTTCCTCTCCCCAATTACGACAAGATTTGCTCGTTCTCACTCACTTCCCCTTGCACAGTCACCACTGTGAACAAGGCCCGATAGTACCACTACAGCAAATCAACAATCAATCAACTCTTTACAAGCAACATGGCGACTTCAGCAACGCAACAAACAATGTTACCATTGGCCTTTGGAATAGAGATTGAATTTCTTTTCGGGATCGATAATGCAAAGGCCGCCGCTAATCCAGCATACGAGGATATTCTCAGAAACAACATCATCCTTGACAGTGATCAGGTTGATGAAATCTATGATCCAGAGTTTGACGATGCGTCTGACCGGAACGCGGAAGGACTTTTTCAAGCGGCGAGTGCCCTTCGCCGGAAAGGTGCTAATCTGAGAATCCGATTCGCAGCTAAGTCCGGCGGCCTCGAGGACTTTAGCCGCTGGATCCTAACTCAGGAGGAAGCTGTCGAGTTTCCGACGTCCAGTGCAGAATTGTCTGCTTACACAAATGGTGAGTTTAGGCGCTGCGAAAATTGTGCTTTTGCTGGGCTGGAGCTAATCAGTCCAATCTTGAAGGTGCCAGACGTGAGGGAGGGGTCGCTCAACGGACTTGTCGAGGTAAATGAGTTTCTGGGTCACATGAGAGGAAGACAAGATGTGCCCTGCTTTTTCAGTGCTGAGCCGAAAAATGCCAGCATCCATGTGCACATTGGCCTGCCGCCCACGGCTGGTGGTAAGGCGGTCGACTTGCCACTCAATCTTTTGCGGCATCTTGCTTTCATCTGCATCGCGTTCGAAGATGTGATCAGTTTACTTCATCACCCTGAGCGGTTGGGCTTCCCGGACACGAAAATCGAGCTCTATGCAAAGCCGAACAGGGTATTTCTAGGGAGAAACCCCGTCACATCCCCGCTCCACAACTGCCGCGAAGGCCCAGAATTTTCCGCGCAAGACGAGTTCGTCAAGATCTTCAACTACGGCCATGGCTCTGACAGAATGGACCGCGCTCGTCTGTGCGGAATCTTGTGTTCAAGAACAGGCTATGACATAAGTAGGTCAATCTTTGTCAACTTTTCGAATATTATGCCCCCGCCTAGTCCAGCACCACATTCGAAGAAGACGGTCGAGTTCCGTCAGCATCACGGCACGCTTTCGGTCGAGGAGGTCAACCAATGGGTCTTCTTTGTCACTGCACTCGTTCGCGCTGCAGAGCGCAAGATGAACCAAGAGTCTGTTGAGGTCCCACTGCCATATGACTTTATTCCCAAGGTCATTGAGAAGCAAGGGGATTATTCCAAGCAGATCTTGACAGTCCAACAGGCCTGGAAATATCCGGAAATCATGTGGAACAAAAAGCGCAGCCTGAAGGAGTTGTTTGACCTGCTGGATATGCCTCTTGAGCGGCGAATGTGGTGGTGGCAGAAGGCATCATACTCCCGGTCCAACGCATTCAAGGAGTACCGTTATCTAAGCACATGTGCCGCGCCTTGCGACAATCCGCCTCGGAGGGATTGCGACGGGTGGGACGGAGAGGGAATACCTAGGCCTTACTAACTGAACCTGATGTACTGACCGATCACAGTGATTGACAGGCTTATAGCAGAGTGAGAAATATATTCACCTATACAAACTAACCAAGTCCTCTTGCTCGTTTGTAACTGATGCATAGTTAACTCCACTATTGATATGCATAGCTACCAGTGTCACGTCTTTTCTTTTTCTTGCCATGAAATCGTCGGTCGGCCACACGACCATGTTCCACTACTTTCTCTAGGTCTTTCATAACTTGGCCCCATCCCTCTTCCCATTCTCTTGCTTCCCCTTTCCAGCCAATAAATCCTCAATCTCAATTTCACTCGTACACAAGATCAAAGTATCTTCCAACGCAGGCACCCGATACTTGAGATTGACAGCCTGATAATCCTCACTGGCCAACATATCCGCAAAGTGCAAAATGGACGGATACGACGCGAGAGCGAACTCGTCCCAAATACCGTTGGCGGTCTGTTGTTTCACAACATTCCCCACCAACTTCGCATTCCCACCCCTCCTACTCCCAATCGACTCGGCAAACGCCTTGCCATACTTCAAATACGACTCCTTCATGCCCGGCTTGAACGCCAACAAATTCAACATGGACAACGGGTTCGCGCCGGCGCGGGTTTTGGAGAATTGTCCGATCCACTCGGCCAGTTCGGCGGACAATTCGAGTGTCTGTGCGGATTCCCCCATGCGCGGCTTGTCTAGGGCGCCCGACAGGGCTGGCACGGAGGAGGGGTCTGGATGCAGGATTTTGTCATTGGTGTCGGCGAAGTTTTGGGTCAACCGAGATGGAATTCCTGCGGTGATGGACCAGTGAGTTTGGATTTGGGATTGGAGTTGTGGAGGGAGAGTGGGTGTGGTGCTGTGGGTGTTGGTGGTGGTGGGATTGACTGGGAGGATGAGTAGCAAATCCCATGATGGAGTTAACAGTGTCGAAGCGTCGATTTTGCTTGGTGTGATTATCCAGCGGATGACTTTGCTGATTACGAGGGGGTGCAGAGAAGTCTTGGTTTTGAGAGTTTGGAGGAAGGAAAGTATTGTGGTTTCTGGTTTGAGAGAGATGAGGTGGATTGTGGCGAGCGGCATGGTTGGAAATGGATCCCTGGTTGAAACTTTATGGTGTAGATGTTGATCAATGGGTCGGTTCTGTTTAGAAGAAGGAGGATGTTGTTGTTGGTATGTGGTCAACTGTAGTGTGTTCGAATGCCTCCGTCCCAGGGAGTGTGAGAAGGTAGAGGGGCTTGAAGAACCACGAAACACCATAGGTGACTGCGATTGACCCCAACTGTATTGAATAGAGTCTGGGATGGAGGGGTTCTGGTTCCGAGGACCTTGAAACAGATCGGAGCACGGTAAGCAAGTTATGTACTGTAACCGTGCGAGAGGGCTGGTAGTACTGGCAGTGGGAATGGTAGGTCCCTCGGTAGGTTTGGGTTGAGCGGACTTGGGTTTGGGTTTATCTCGTCCAATACCGCCGCAGTATAATCTGTCCAATCTTGGGCTGTATAATTGCTTTTCAAAAGTCTGTACTTAAGATGTAGTACCAAACAAGAGAATATATAAATTCTGTACAGTACATGCCTGATATATCTTCTCCTCGAAGTGGGGATGGGATGCTGTGATTGACGTTCATCACCAGAGCCTCGGTTTACGGACACCTAGGTGACGGATATTAATGTCGAAGTGGGCCCGACTCCACGGGCAGTCAAGATCTTATCTTATCTCACTTGACTGATTTGCAACTCCATCAACTTTTTTTCTGAGACGACTTTCTCCAGCACAGCAATCGGCGCGACAATTGACTCTACCACTACTACTGTACTACGCATAATTAGCCACCGCTCTGGATCCCAAGAGGTTGCGACATCCCGTCCGACACTATCCTATCCGACCGCCTTTTCTCTTTCTTGAATTATATGTTGGCGTTTGGAGGCCTTTGGACAACTCCCTTACCTATCTACACTTCCCATCCATATCCGCGACTATAACCCTACAATACTCTTGACGCAGTGCGACAATCACAATCATGGCCGGTCTCACCCCCCTCCCCACGCACCGCATCCACAGCACCACCCGCCTCACACACCAGGAAGCGCACACCTTCCTATCAAGCTTCCTCGAACGCGCCGACATCGACGCCGCGTATCGCCCAGACTCGACGCTGACGGAGCGTGGACCGCAAGCCGTGTCGACGGGCTCGGGTCCGAATCTGACGCTTCACCATCTGAAACGTATCCTGGTGGGCATTGAGGGCAAGAGAATAGGAGGAGCAATCTTAACCGAGGGTGGAGACGATAACAACCAAGAAACCACCACCTCCGGCAAAGGCACAAAACGAGAACACCAAGAAGAAGAAGAAAGCGCCGACAAAAAGCAATCAAAGAGAAAAATCTACAATGCAGCCGACGACGATGCCACCAATGTAATTGCAGATGATAGCGATGGGCCCGCCATAGCTGTGCAGCCAGACGATGGTGAGGCCGGGTGGCAGGATAAAAATACTTTTGCGCTGGCGCAGACCGAAGATAATCTCGAGGCTACGGCTGACGATCGCCATCCTGGAGCGGACCTCGAGCAGCCTACCAATGAGGCTGAGGAGGAGGAGTTGACTTACGTAGAACAGTCTATGAACCAAAAAGGCTCCAAGGACAAGGAGGAAAGGAAAAGATTGAAGAAATTGCGCCAAAAGCAGGAAAAGGCCAGCAAGGCCGAACAGGCCAGGAAGAAGAGCAGCAAGACGTGAACAGAGGAGACAAAAAAGATCTTCAGGCATAACATTGCCCTGTCAGATCGCAAATCTTCTACCTGACATCTCCTCGAGGATGGTTTGAGATCTCACAACTCATGCCTGCTCGAGATCGTTGCAGCTGCTGCTCTCCAGATCACTGATTCGGCTCGAGCTTACATGCGGTTGGTTTTCTTCCTGACTCCACCAAGCATCTCACTAGCATGGCTGGAATGGGCACATGGAGCATGGTGGTCCTCCCCCACCTCCGATTACACCTCGCGACTCAGCCATACCCCAGGCTGGTCAATGCAAACTGCACATCTATCACCAAATCATCATTCGCGATATCTCTCAACATCCCGCTCCAAGAACTAAACCCGGACCTGTCATCACAGCTCTCGGTCTTTGGCCTTCACCACCTCTGCGTCTGCAACTTTCTCGTCGAGTTCCACAACTTTGCCGTTCGAGGCCGGCTTCGGACTCTTCCAACCCAATGCTGCCAGTCTCTCTGCCAAGATGGGGTGGCTGTAGTGGTAGCTTGCGTACAATGGATCTGCGTCCATGGTGCTCAGATTCTGCACTTGCAATTTGATCAGACTCTTGGCAAGTTCCTTTTGATACCCAAGATTTCTGGCGAAAGAATCGGCTTCGAACTCGAATTTGCGCGACAGGCTGTTCATCAGGAGTCTGACAACGGCATCCATTGGAGCCAGGGCGTCCGAGAACAGGACGAAGCCAATGATGATGGGGTGCGAGTCGTGGAAGCCAAAAGAAGAGTAGAGGGAGTGGTTGTCAATAAAGACGCTGAAGAGGGCGAAGATGTAGAACATGTGGAACTATACAGAGACGCAATCAGCATATAACTCACCCTCCCAGGTCCTGGACAACTTACTTGGGCGATCGCGAAGAGTTTGGTGGTGTGCGAGAGACTCCAATGGCCAAGTTCATGTCCGAGTACCGCAACCACCTCTTGGGGCTCGCTCTTTTCAATTAAAGTGTCATAAATGACAATGTGCTTCTTCCACGGTAGACCGAAAAAGTACGCGTTGCTGTGCGCACTCCTTTTGCTACCGTCAATGACGTACAACGACTTCAGCGGGAACTTGAGCCTTGACGCCAATGCCTCGACGCCGGATTTAAGCTCTCCAGGCTCCAGAGGCGACAGTTTGTTGAATAACGGCAGAATAAAGACCGGGTAGATGGTGATGGCGAAGAGTTGGACGACGATGCCGAACAACCACAAGTAATAAAAGAACCTTGTCCCCGTCACCTGGATGATTTTCAAGAACGCACTCAGCAGCGGAGTGCCCAATGCCACCATCAACGCTTGACCCTTGAGCATGTCCGTAAGCCATAGTTTGACCGTCTGCTTGTTGAATCCGAACTTCTCTTCCAACACAAAAGTGCCGTAGTAGGACGTAGGGAGCGACAGAATCTGCGAGATGAAGTTGAATGTCAAGAAGAACAGGACCGAGTGAGAGATCTCGCCGGAGAATCGTGAAGGGAAATACCGCGCCAGCCAGAAGCCCGTCAACGACCATAGTTTCGGCAGGATATCGTATTGGATGAATAGGACGTTCTGAATCTGTGAGATGAGACCGGAGACGAAACCGAACTTCAGTTTTGCCCGTCCGTATGCCTGGAGGTTGAAATCAGCATTAAACAGAGGGCGTCATGCGATATGCGATGCAGTGGCAGGCACATACTTGACTCTGGTCAAACACTTCCTGAGAGATCTCATCTTCCAATGTCTTGGGCGGCTTCTTCCTCTGCAATAGCTTGTATTGCCTTAGGGACAAGAAGCCTTCCAGCACGAATTGACCGAGCGAAAACCCGACAATCAGCCTTTTCCACGGGAAGCCAGGGCGGTCGAGGAACGCTGCGAGGCGCTGCTCTACGTTAGTCACAATGCCATTGTTTCTTGCTCGAGGAGCGCAAGGGGAGACGAACTCGAGGGAAGTCGCTCAACATCTGTAATAGTGAGGCCATTTTTCCCGTCTCAACCAAAAAATCAATCACTGTTTCAGTGTGGAGAGACGTAGTAAGATCACAGCATCAGGCTAAATATCTGTCCAGTGGTTGCGATGCGGACAACTTCAAATGCTCTCGATACTGCTGGTACTAGTAGGCGCCCACTGCCGTTGTATACAGAATGCGCAATCAGCCCCAAGGTCTTACTAAATGCTGTGAAAGTGGTGCTAATCACCTAGGTAGTCTACGGTAGGCCGTATCAGGCAGGTGCGGCGACTCCGTGCTGGCACTGGCACCAAGCCTCGTCGGTGGCATTCAGTTATTTTCGGTGCATGAACGAGTCAAGGTCATTCTTTGATGCCATACAACGATCCTACGAAGCACACGCCCTGACCCTGGCCGTCTTTGTGCCCGACCTCTTTTCTCTCAGTCAGCCAGATTCGGTTTGAGGGAGTTTTTGCGACCATGTGTCGCCTATGTGGCCGCGTCGTCAAGTGCATATTCGACACGATGCCGTCTCGAATCCACCATGTCCCTAGCCGAAGGTGAGTGAGCTCTTCTTGGATCGTCCTCAGCTTGGGACGCAGCGCAGTACCACTTGAGGCTCGGCAGCAGCTGACCACAATGTCTATGAACAGAGCTTTCACAACCATCCGGCGACTCGCCGCGCCGTCTGCGGCAGCCTCGAGCCGTTCGCCTTCATCAGTCGTTTCACTAGCTCGTGCTTTCCACGGACTTTCCCTTCAGACCAACACGACTGCTACCACGTCTCCCTTAACACCGACAAGTTCATTATTGAGCACAATGTCTGCTCGCCCTTCGCTATCCTGCGCGTCGCCTCAGTCATCTCTTCCGGCGCTCTCCCGCTCTTTCTCCACAACTTCCGCCTTGTTCGGTTACCGCCGGCGGATGGACACTTACAGCCCTTCCCGCCGCGTGCAGAAACGTCGCCATGGATACTTGGCCAGACTAAAGACGAAAGGTGGGCGGGAAGTCCTCAAGCGACGGAGACTGAAGGGGAGAAAATACTTGTCGTGGTGATATTGGGGGTTTGAATCAATTGGTTTTGCGTTTCTGCTCTGAAGCAGAGAAAATGTCCCAGTAGTAGTATTTACAGGTCATTGCACGTCATCGAAGCGCATTTACAGTCTTGAGACTTTGGATAGGAACAAGTCAACTCCGCAAGTTTACTACTTTTCCAGGACATTGTGGATGTATGAAGTCTTATTATGCATCGTTAATCTGTTTCCTTATTCCGCTAAGCCGCCACCTCTGGAGCAGATTTACTCTCCTCCCGAAGGTGAGTAAAACTTTGGGCCTCAAACTTGGGCTCCTCAACGACCTGGCTGGCTTCAGTCTGCATGGGTGTGAGACCCCATCGCTCAAACATGGCCTTGTCCTCATCCCAGCCGTTGCATTCGGTAGTCAGCATCTTCTCGCCAGTGAAAATGGCGTTGGCCCCAGCCATGAAGCACAGCATCTGCTCGCTTTCGGGCATGGTCACTCGTCCTGCCGCAATGCGAATGATGGTTTTTGGCATCACCAGACGGGCTGTTGCAATGCATCGGACAATGTCCTCGAGTTTCACGGGTTCTTGGCCAAACATAGGTGTACCCTTGATCGGAACGAGCTTGTTAACAGGGAAGGACTCGGGATGTTCAGGCAATGTGGCCAAGGTGTGGATCAGACCGACGTGGTCTGTTTGCGGCGTCTCACCCAGACCAAGGATGCCACCACTGCAAACATGGATTCCAGCTTCACGGACATTCTCAAGAGTCTGTAACCGCTCGTCGTAGCTCCTTGTAGTGATGATCTTAGGGTAGTGTTCGCGCGAGGTGTCGACATTGTGGTTGTAGGCAGTCAATCCGGCTTCTTTCAGCTCTTTGGCCTGCTGCTTATCGAGCATGCCCAGAGTAACGCAGGCCTCCATTCCCAGAGCGCGTACACCCTTGACCATTTCCACAATGTTCTTCAGTCCTCTGGTACGGCCTCGCATATCACGCCAGGCGGCGCCCATGCAAAATCGGTTCGAGCCATTGGCCTTGGCGATCTTTGCTGCCTCGATGACTGAGTCGACGGTGGACAGTTTGGTGGTTTGAAGATTAGTCTTATAGCGGGACGATTGAGCACAGTACGAGCAGTCTTCTGTGCAACCACCAGTCTTTATATTCATCAATGTGCATAGTTGGACGGCCGAGGGTTTGTGGAATCGTCGGTGGACAGTTCCCTGTAATGCAACACGAACAATGAGCTCGAGTTGGGACGCCACGATTGATTGATTGATCAACTCACCGCTGCAAAAGCCAGCTCCATAAGAGGCATTTGATGTATTTGAGAGATCTCATCCTTGGTCCAGTTGTTGCGAGGCCCTGTGGCATTGACGGCCTGTTCAAACACAGACTGCCCTTGGGCCTTTGGTGGGGGAGGAGTCTGGCTCAGACTTCCGGTGGCCGCAGTCCGGGGCACATCGTGGACAATGCTGTAGTAGCGGGCGTAACTGAACTTCTTGGTAGCTCTGCGAGCCACAGCCCGGCTCATGCTTGCCAACTCCATTGCGAACAGGTAGTGTGAGCAAAGCAAAGCCCTCGAAGTGTGTCGGGCCCTGGGAATGTTGGGCTAGTAGTATATAGATTTGTCTGGGGTTCAATCGCGGACCCGGACCATTTTTGGTGGGGACGGCACGGACTTGCCAAAGACTGGAAATCGCGGCGGCGGGATTGGTTCGGGGTGTTGGGTCTCCTCGGCCTCGGCCTTCGACTCCTGCAGGAACAAACTTGGCAGTGAGGAACACGATTGAGGAGACCCTTCATATCCCGTCTCCCAGACCTGTGGTTAGGATTGTGTAAATCGGCCTATCATCATGAGTTGTGTGTATCTGATGTTGCCGTGGAGTGCAAAGCGAAGCTACTGCCCCCAGGGGTGACTGACCATCGCCAGGTAGGTACCCGGTACCATGCTAATGTAGCATGAGTCACAGGGTACGATCAAGCGTGTGCACACGCAAATCCCTGTGTTCGACACATCCCTTCCATTCAAACAACAGCGCTCCTTCTGGTGGACACATATGCGCTGATGCGTTCCTTTCTGCCTCAGCTATGCATGTCAGACTCGCTGAAGCCAGGAATCTCTCTGATCTAGCTACCGTGGCGACGGATGCCATGTGGGACGATGAATTGACAGTGTTTCTCGCACCATACCGTCATAGGCATCCCGAATGCCTGCGTCAGGGGTTCCTCCGGCGAGCAAAGAAACGATTTTACGGTGGGCACTTGCTGCTTGCTGCAGTGACAGATCAGGGGGATGTTTGGTGGGATGGCACGGAGAAGATCGTCGGATACCTCTCAGCGACCCCTAGTAAGGATAATGCTGCAGCAGCCGGTAAATGCCGGTTCTCATGGAACGGTATGGTGATTCAATGATCAAAAAGGCATGTCGTGGGTTGACATTATCAGGGCTCGAGATTTCTCTGCTTCGTTTTGAGGAGCTGTTCGTATGGTACACTCACTCTGACAAGTCAATCGATCGAGCAAATTGGCTAGAATTCCAGAATCACACTGGGAACCGGGGACCTCTGGATGATATCAAGGACTCTTGGCAAATCAGTCACTTGTCGGTGAGCCCTTCGTATCAACGGCATGGAATCGGATCCGCTCTTGTCGAGTATGTCCAAAATATCGCGGCCAAAGAGAACATCCCCGTGACTTTGCTAGCCAGTGCTCAAGGGCAGCTCCTGTATAAGAAACTGGGATTTGCCGGCATTGGTTCAGTCGACTATGGAGCAGGCAATTTGGCGGAGGCTATGGTTTGGTATCCCTCAAACGCTGGACATTGAAGCTCCTCCATGTCAACGAACCAGCCGGGTTGAAGGAGGAGTCTGGTCTTGCATCACCAGGCTGATTACACTGGGAAGAAGGTTGAAGTATTGAAACCTCATGGAATAAACTACTAGGTACTGTAGGTTGCCGTGGTCCATTCCACAAAAATCCCTCCACATGTTTCGTGGTTGTTTGAACGTGCAAAAAACTCCCAATGCATGTTTCTTTTTTGTTCAAAAGTGCAAAAAACTTTTTCCCCCAAAGCATCCACATTATTTTGCGGTGCATTGGAGGGAAGTGAAACCTCGACTTATGAAGAGATTTTTTCCGGGGCTACGGGACTACAGTTCTAACAGATTGGAAAGCCGTCGTCAGCTGGGTCGTGGTGCTGGTGGCATTGAACCACTGCACCATCAGGCCCAGATAATTTAGGCACTTCGAATCATGGGAGGAAATAAGTTGCGAACATATTTAAGGTGATGATGGCGCGTTGTGGTGGCGGAGGGCACCAGCAGTTTTCGACCTTATGCGCCCGGAGCAGAGGCTCCCCTTCCCAGAGTCGCGGCACTGCATGAGTTTCGTGGACATCACTTGCTGTCAACATAAAACAGCGGCAGCCAACATACTTCTGCGAAAGTTTGCACTCTGGCCGTGTGTCTGAGTCGATCTTGCTTGAGACAGAAAAATGTAAACTTTCATGACGACTCGAAACTGGTTCCTTACCTGACTTGTCCCTTACTCCGTCCTATGTCGACACCTGGTGCCACTTCAGGAGCAAAAGGACATATGACCATTCATCGCCAGCTTTGCAGATCGACTCTCGGGCTGTTGAAGCAGTTACATGAAACAGAAAGAAGTTTGTCAGCCAGACAGGTCCAGCTCTCCTGGGTATTTTGCTCGTGTTATGCAAAACTGAAAACCTGCAGAACGTCCGTTACCATTGACTGCAGACTGATCCTGGTGAGTTCCTTCTGACTTACTTTCAAAATATACAAGATCGGCGACCTTTCCAGCCTTTGCAGGCAATACACAATACTTCATCTTGCTTCAACATCAAATTCGGGCGCCTCCGCATCATTCCACAGGCTCTCCATCTTTCGTGGATGAAAAATGCGTTCGTTTCTGGTTCTCAGGGGTGGACCATGGTCGAACCCTATCGAGTTCGACGACCTACTCCAGGCCCAAATGCAATCCGAGTTTGAAGCTCGATGATCTTCACCGTTCCTCTGGTTCCACTTATTATTCGCAACGGCTGTGGATACCAGAGTTCGGACGGTTATTCAGTCCCAAAAGGTATGTAACGGCTCTCCATGATATGTCTCCATACTGAGGGTCAACCTCTCTCGAATTCAGTATTCGAGCATTCCCTCCAAGGTGCCTGGTCAAGAACCATCTATGGCCCTACCGACCATCTTGCGGCGCCACAAAGTAAAATGGCCTACCTGAATTACATTGACACGTCCCTATCGCTGGGGTGTCCCTGAAAATAATGGTTCAAACTCAATCTGGATACAGAAAGTATGTGCTCGAACCTATTCTTCGACATTGGGCGATTCGTTTGGTTCGTGTCATTGGCCGATTCCTATTTGAGAGAGGATCAGCTTGGTTGTTAGCATGTGGCCGGCCCCCCTTGCGGGCCGGTTGAGGTTTGTGTATGGTAAGAGGTGAGTTCTCTGGCACTGGAATCCGCCACTCTGTCCACACGCGTTCGCCGAGCGCCCGACTGGAATGTACTTAAATTGTGGAATTCCCGTTGCTAGTATGGCTGGTGTCTCCGAAGCTTGCTTTCAACTCCTGTTCAGAAGACCTTGAAGTTGACACACGATGATTTGCCCTTTTTGTGCTTCGAGGGCAGCAGTCGAGCAAGCAATCATGTCGAAAACCCGGGCGAGAGGCGGAAGTGATGAACCGGTCACGGGGAAAGCTGCAGCAGGCAAAAGAAGCCACAGTGCCGGTGAATCATCTCCAGAAAAAACGACAAAAAGAGCCAAGCAGGTGGAACCAAGCACGGCCAAACAAACAACTCGGCCTACAATACGTGCCAACACCTTTGGTCTCGAGTTCGAATACATCCTCGGGTTCAAAGAGGAGCTGTTGCAATCGACTTTGGCTCGTTACAATTTGAAGGCCGACATGGTCAAGCAATTCACCGATCATGAGCACAGGAACCTTCTTGGAGAATATGCTCCTCACTTCAACGATAACCCATCACATAACTGCAGGCTACGATATCCGTCATGGGCTCTACATGTCCCAGAAGACGATATTGTCTGTGCAAACGGGTTACACCATGGCCAATTCGTCACGAAAACATCGAACGACAAACAGTGGATAAGGCCATATGTTATGGAGCCACTCCTCATCGCAAAAGATCGTCTTCAAGAGGCTGGATTCACTACCAATGTCATAGGACTGATAGAGCCAGATCCTGCCAGCCCAAACGATCCACAAAAATCAGAAATACCATTCCCTGCAAAAGACAAAAACATCATGATCCGAAAGAGCACAGTGGACTATTCGAATTGGACATTGACCAACGACCACACTCTTATCGGCGTTCTTCCAAGTCAGCTAAAAGACCACTTGAAGACACGAGGCATTACAAATTCCAATACAACGAACTGGGACAGCGCGGGAATAGAGCTGATATCCCCAGTATTCGACTTACAAACCAAGGACGAGGCATTTCCACAAATCAAACAACGTTTACAATCACTTTCGGGCAATAATGACACGTCAATTCTCAGCTCTGTCTGGGCCAGTCTACACGTACATATCGGCCTCAATTTCCAAGATCCAAAAGACATGCCCATACTATTATTACAACACCTCGCCTACATCCTTGTTTTACACGAAGACCTCATTTCAAAGTGTCATCCAAGAAGTCGCAGTGGTATCCCGGTCCGGAAGTCCACTCCCGCTGAATCACTTGAAGAACAAGAAGATGAAGATTTCGATGTTGATGATGATGAGTTCGACCCAGACGCTCCGTTTCCCGAGCCACCTCCCTCGCCCACTGAAGAGGAAAAAGCAAACGAAGACGAAACCAAAGTGCTGGCTTTCGAGGCCGAGTATACCGGAGTCGATAATGTCGACTCCAATGCTCAATACCTACGAAGTCAGTTGGGCGGACATAGCCCTCGACAGCAACTTCTCGATATCCGAGACAAGATCTTCCAGGAACAAGGGACGATCTTCGACTTAATTTCACTACTACAACGACCGAAAAATCCTGCTTTGCCAGACGGTCACCGACATCGTGGTTACATGTACAACTTTGCAAATCTATGGACCATGGCCACAGGCGACACGCCATGGAAACCTATCAAGCCAACCATCGAGTTTCGACAGCATGCCTGTACAACGGACGTTGATGCTGTTAGACACTGGGTGGTCCTCCTGGAAGCCATAGTCAGAGCAGCGGAGCGGAAAGCCGCTCAAACAACCGAGGGCAATACTTCAATCTCAATTGATGCTTCGCGATCATTTGCCGAACGGGAGACTAGCAAGTATCGGACTGGGACTACAACAACCCTCTCGTGGCCGTACGAGAGCATGTACAACTTTTGTGTCAGATTTTTGGAGCTGGATGAAGACGAGGGGAATTACTGGCAGGGTCGATTTGATTTATACAAGGAAGACCGGCCGGATGGTATTTGATGGAAGATCCAAATTAAACAGAGGGCGCATGTGGAGGACCACCATCTTGGCATTTACTTTCAGAAAAATTCACTTGTTGGCAATTTGAAGGCTCTCTTGCAGAGTAGAGCGTTGCTATAACATTTCATCTGCACTTTTTCAATCAATCAATCAATCTCAATCAATCAGTCGTCCTCCATTAAGTGTTCTGACTCTGTTCTGCCTTTATCGCACGTCGGAATAAATAGAGGCTTAAAATAATAATAAGAGCAGAGCCCTCGGCCTGTGCTCAAGCATAGACTATTTTCCTGTCCTTGTTCAAGTTCGGTATTATTTATCCTGCTTCTACACCTGTTCTTGTTCTTGTTCCTGTCTGTCCGTGGCTCTGTTTCTAGTCCGACTCCTGCTCATGATCGTGTCCCTGTTGTCGTTCAAGTTGTTCCTTTTTCTAATCCATTTCGTGTTCGTGTCCTGTTTCTGTTCAGCCCCAAGTGCGCCCTGCGGCACCAGCTTCGGTTTGGGCTCTCAGCTCTTGTTCTCCCGTACTACCAAACCATCATCGATCATCCCATTATTCACCATTCATTATTCACCATTCATTATTCACCATTCATTATTCATCATTCCGGTCCTCACTGCAGTACCTACAGCAGTACCACCACCACCACCACCACCACCAATACCACTCCACTCCCACTCATACGGATATCCTCTCGCATCCCATCACCTCCTTCCCATATCACTCACTCATTTATCAATGCCATTGCCACCACCTTCGTAAATAACCCACAACAAACACCAATTACATACGGCAACGACCGCAACCCCCCACCAAACGGCACCGACACAGTCCTTCGCCAAACCCACACCTAACAGATACCCGCCCAGAGTTGGACCGACGGTCCTCGCGGCAGAGGAAACACTCTGCGCGACACCATGAATGGTCCCCAACACACTCGGATGCGGCGTACAGTTGTTCACCAGGATAGTAGCCGATGGCAGGGCAAAAGTGCGCGAGAGGACCTGACATGCCAGGACCACCGTCAGGGCCGGCCAAACCAACAGTGGTTTATTAGGTATGAGGGCCAGATATGGGATGGCCGTGTACGCGACCACGGAAAACGGCAAAAAGAACCGGTAACTCGAGAGTGTGCCTAGTTTCGCGTTGAGGGAGGGATATAGCAGAATCTGGAGTGGAAACCCAAGCACGCCGATGATGGCTGTCGCCAATCCCACGCGGTCGGATGATAGTCCCAAACCGCCGGAGAAGCGGAATGGGAGTTTGGCATGAGAGTTTGACGAGCGGGGGGCGGGTAAAAACAAAAAGATTAGGGCGTTGAATGCGCTGACGTGGAGTGCGAGGAGATGGTGGGTGAGGAGGGTGAGGAGGACGTTTTTAGTGAAGATTTGGCGGAATGGCGATGTCTTGCTGTTCGTATTCGCTGGAGGTTTCGATGTGGTGCCGACAGTGATTCCGCTACTATTAGTTTCTGCAGGTGGATTGCCTCCCTGCGGTACTCTTGATGATGACGAACCAGGAGCCGATCCTCGTGCTTCGTCAGTAGTAATGGCTTGCATCTCGACCTGATCTTCAAGTTGGTCGTTGTTATCGAGCCGAGTATATTCGTACTGATAACCGGCGACGTCCGTCCTCCGGCGGAAAACAAGCCGAACCAAATATCTTCCCAGTCTCCGGCCGTAGTCCGGTCTGTTTCGCAGTGCTGGATGTGTTTCATCCAGACCAAGCACAACACAGAGCGCGGATGTAAGAATAAAACATGCGCTGACCACGTTTGGCAACGCATATGGAAAGGCCTTCATCCACCGGACCCCGTCTTTGCCGCCGATTAGAGATCCAGGACCGAAGATCCCAGGGAAGGAGTCGATGGGGTCTGCCAGGAACCCTCCGAGAATGGGACCGATGACGACGCCTGGTTGATATCAATCAGTAAGTGAAAGGACCTCTCTCTAGCAGTTCAACAGCACTCTCTCCGATCCCAAGAAAAATTGACACGGTTCGACATACCTATATTGAAGCACATTGGCAGGAGAAGAAAAGCACGAGACTGGTACCTAGATAATAGAGCCTAGTCAGATGAAAAGTCGTCCGAGTGGAAATGTCGCATAACTCCCAGTGAAGCAGGGAAGTAATTGGTGGTTGCTTACTTCTTCTCCTTGATAATCTCGCTAATCATGGTCCTCATGACCCCCACGTTTCCATTCAAACAACCGGCACAAGCGCGAAAGAACAGCGCTTGAGCAAAAGAGGTCGAGAACCCCACTCCAATACAACTGATGCAAGTCCCAAACAGACCAACCAGCAAAACTCTTTTGCGGCCTATCCATGGTGTGTCGGCTGCTCGACCCCACCAGACGGCCGTGAGGAATTGAGCAGCTGCGAAGGACGCCGTCAGCATCCCTCCCTGGCTGGTAATGGTGCTGTCCGGGAGACTTGAATCAAAAAATCGTAGTTGGTAGAACATGTATGCTGCCAGGGATCGTTCGGTCAGAGGCTCCGATAAGCGTGCGATGGTTAGGATGGCCAGTTGCCCCTTCTTAGGGAGGGATGTCCATGTCACGGGAGCATCAGCACCGGCTTTCTTTGAAGGTCCATCGTCGGAGGGAGAGGATGGCTCCGGATGTGGAACTATGGGCTCTTCTTCCTCATCAATAAATGACGGACGACGGACTGGCGAAGACATATTTGGTCTAAGGGCCGGCCTCCTTGATGCCGGTACAACATTTCCATCCTTGTCGGGCGACATGTGTGCGTTACCCTTGCTGCTTGCACCTGGAGAAGTACCAGGTCCTCCTCCCGACGAGGAATCAGCGGCCTCGCCTACATCTTGATCATCGGTGTCGTAACGCTGCTCGGAGAGCGGTGAGGGCATTCGTTCCCAGTAGTAGACCTGGAATGATGTAAGTGGGGCATAGGACGGGATTTTGTGTAAGGCACGTCAAAACAGGAATGTAGTTCTGAAGAAGACCAGAACGATGAATATTAGCGAACCGATGCCTGCTCTACCAGTATTACGGCTCTTTGCCCTGCCAATTGATCTACCCGGGGTCAGCGACTTTCAAATCCAGCACGACTGGCAGTAATACTACAACCTGCTAGCAAGTCGTTGGGTGGCTACTGCTCTACTATTGGCCGATTCGGATCGGGGGGCCGCCCGCTCGGATCTTGCGTGCCGACAAGGCTGAACTTCCCCAAGTCCACAAGGCTGGGGAAATGGAGCAAATTGTCTTGGAAGTGGCATGGCATCGGCTACCAATTTGGCGTCGATCTTGTCCCACCATCCAAATAAGCCTCCGTCTGTTTTGACTTCCGATAACGTCAGGACCTCCATGAAGGACGATTTATTCCAACAGAACCAGGACCGGCGACAGAAGTAGGAAGAGGAGCGTTGAGCTCGTTCAGTCAATTAATTGTATTCATGTCTTGATTATTGTTTGTTCGTACATACGGTGTCCAGCATTATTTACCCACGCTATGCCATGGGAAGCCGGTTTTCTTAGAAGGATAAACATAAACAGATCGAAAGATTAATTACACTAACAAATGTTTTTTTGGTATTAAGTCTGTCCCCCTAGGTACTGACTGAGCAAGCGAAACCGAGGGCACTGCAACCGAGACAATTCGTATCTCCCTGTGCCTGTGCCTGTGTCTGTGCCTGTGCCTCCGGTATCATGTTTGCGCTCCATTAATTTCTTCCTTCGGGAAGATTGATTACTCATACATTTTCTGAGCCTCCGTTCTCGTCATGGCTCGTGTCTGCCGTGCTGGAAAAGATCAATAAAATCATACGACCCGTGTGATCATGCATGCCATGCCATGATCCACCGGGGAAGAGTGGTAGAGGAAAAATCAATCCTTTTCCATACCGCCCGCGTTCCGTTCCGTCCATGTCCTTTCTCTCGAGTTGGCTTGAAAAGTCGGAAAGGCCGAGAGGAACCTCTGTCATGTTTCACAAAATGTTCACGTCGGTTCGGCGTTGCGCAGCCTCCAGTCGAAGCAAGCGTCCGATTTCCGAGTTTGCAGGCTGTGCATCTGCAGCCGCCGCCGCCGCCGCCGAAGCCATAGCAGCACTGACTCCTCCACCCATGACCTCTTCGCGCTGCTTGACTTTGCTAAACAGACAGGCCCATAGATCTTCCTTGTCGACCATTTCGCCGCCATTCTTGCCGGATGTCAACAGCCTCGAAAGGTCCGCGGCTTGCAATTCCATCGAATTGGCTGCATCGATGGCGGTCTCTTGTAACCCTCCGTTAGGGGTGCGTGTGCCGCCGGTTGCGGATCCGAATTGCGATGCTGATGGCTCCGCAGCCCCGGATATTTCAGCTGTCAAGTTCTTACCTCCTTCGGTATTGGTGCTCGACTTGCCGTGACTCTTCAGATGCGCGAGGCGACGGGTGACGCTGATGTCGTAGATGGCTTCTTCCACGGTGTCGGCAATGAGATACATCCACACAGTGGTGGGACGGACTTGACCGATTCGATGGACTCGTGCAATGGCCTGCAGCTCGATGGCGGTGTTGATGAGCGGTTCACAGAGGAAGACGTGGTTGGCAACCACCAGGTTCAGCCCCGTCGAATGAGCTTTGGCGTGCAACAAGAAACACTCGACCGTTGGGTCCGACTTGAACTTCTCAATGCCATTCTTTGCGTCAATGCGGGTCGAAGAGATCTTGTGCTCGTCGAAAGCCCGGGCCAGCACGTCGATGAATTCACGATACTGCGAGAAAATAATTGACTTGCATCCGGGATCGTGCTCGCGCAGCCATAACAGGTGCCGACACAGAAAGTCGATCTTGCTGCCAAAGCTAGGGCCTCGCAACTCGACGTTCTTGATCTGGTTGAGCATGCCGGTGCTAATGTCCGAGTATATTGACTGATCGTGAGCTCGATCTGTAGTACCAGAACCCGAGTTAGATGGAGAGATTGAGCCGGATGGCGACTCGGCCTGCACGGCAATTTCGGCCGGCTTGTAGGTGATGTCTTGGAAGCTGTTTGGGTGCAGTGGTGTCTTGCACACGGGACAGTTGCGATGCTGGGCCCACCATGTCAGAATACAGTCTTTGCAGAATTGATGTCCGCAGGACGTCATGGTTCCAACCTCGAAGTTGTCGGTACAAATGGTGCAGATCCGGGGAGCGGCAGATTTCGACTCGGTTTTCATGTGCAACAGATATCGTAATTTGCCGGACAAGGAAACGATCTTCTGCTGCAATTTCGCCTCCTCGGTCTCAAAGGCGCGATATTCCTTCTGAGACAAAGGCCTGCCAACGTTCTCTTCCTGGTAAGGAGCCACGGTATCTGAAATCTTCTGTAGTGCCCGATAGTAGTCCAAACGGCTGTTCATGGTGTCGCGGAACTGATTGACTTCTTGCTCGAGAGAATTCATCGCCTTGGTTTGTCCGACGCCGAGCTGCTGGACGTGCTTCAAGATCCGCTCCAGAATCTCAAGTTCGTGCCCAGCCCGATCATGTCCATTGCCTTGTTGCCACTGCAGCGAAATGACCAACTGCCTGATCTCAGCTATGATGCCGCGGAGAGAGCCATATTCTTTGACCTTGACGCGTTTCTCCTGCCGGTCGGCTAAAAGCTTCAACATCAACTCTGGTGCTGGGCCTTCACCATCCTTTGCAGCGCGGAGAAACTGTTTCATTTCTTGTTTGATAAGCATGTTTTCCTGCCCGCTGATGGCTTCGCTGCGGTCGGCAACAAGTGCTCTCAATGCTTCCATATAGGCATACATCTCATCTTGGTGCTTGGTCGAGCTTTCGTACTCATCTCCTTGCAATTCGACTCCTTCGTCTTCGTCGATCAGTGCCCGACTCAAGAAGTCGGCCATTTTCTTCCGCAGATCACGAAATTGTTGAGCCTGCACGTTCATAGCCCGGCAATAAGCTGCAACCTTGTCGAATAATTTCCTGCTTTCGATCCCTGTGTAATCGTCCTCGGGTTCCGGCATATCAGGGAGTTGAGTCAGGCCTTTAGCCACATCGGTTCTGACCACACCGATGGCCTTGTTCACATGACGTTGAACTTCAGCAAGCAGCTCTCCACGAATGGCCTTGGCTTCTTCGTACGCAGCGGTTTCGCGTTTCTCGAGTTCCTGGTACTTCTCACTCTCTGGATCTTCAAGCGACTTTAGTTGAAAGTGGGCATTGGCAATGAAGAATATGGCGATATGCTGGACTTCGAGTGCATTGCGAAGCCGTAGTCTTGCCGCAATCAGTCGGGGGTTGGCTTCTTCTTCGTCCTCGTCCTCCTGCTCCTTTTTCAGGTTGGCAGCGAACGCCTCTTCCTCCAACAACTGCTTTCGGCAATCTTGCACAATGGCCACCGACTCGTCATATACAGACCGCCATATGTGCAAGGCATCTTCAGTCGCTTTGGCATTCTCTTTGAGCTGTCCTCTGCGAATCATCGCCATCAGCTTACCTCGTTGAGCGGTTCGGAGCTGACTCTCATGTTGGTCGATCATCACCTCTAGCACTTGATCCACCGTCCGAAGAGGACCATTCGTGTTTCGACCTAGAGCTCGACGATTGCGCCCACCAACTTCCGGATGAAGACATGTTTGTCGTAGACGGGTCAGCCATGTCCTCATTTTTTCTATCGTTGCCGGTGAATTTGGGTCCCAGTCCCCAGCGAGTGGTGTACCGATCCGGTCTAACTCGCACTCATCGCACATTTGCTGAAACAGTTGTGCATAGTGCTGCTCTTCAATCGGAGTAAAGGGAATCGTGATCGTATGACGGCTTTGCGGGGGCAGTCGCAGATCCTCTCGGACGTAATCTTTGGTATGTCTCATCGCGATCTCCTGCAGCATCTGCCTAAACAATGGTCGGTGATAGGTGACGAGGTAGTCCCAAAGTCGAGTTGAAACAGACCAAGGTTGATATCGCAGAAACAGCAACAGCCCATGAAGATCACGATGACCCGATCGCAGTGGTGTGCCGGTCACAGCCCATGCATTGATACGAGGTATAAGTCGGGCAACTGTGGCAGCAGAGGATACGCCGCTCTCAACCATTTGGGCCTCGTCCAAGCAGACTCGCCACCACCAGATCTGGGTCAGGGGACTTTTCGGCGGTTCTACACGGGGACGGGTGCGTAGATATCTGTCCGGCTTCTCCATAACATAATGAATCTCTTTGGCGATGACATTGTACGTCGTGAGCACCACATCTTGGTCCAGCAACTCCTCAATGAGCGCGTCGCCTTTCTTGCGGTAACTGCTCAGACCCTGATAGTGGTGTACTCGCAAGGCCGGGGCATGTTCCTGAATTTCTTGCTTCCACTGCTCGAGAATTGAAGGAGGCGTAATGATCAAGGTCGCCGAAGACTGTCTCAAACCGGGAGCGCAAGCGATGGTCCGCGTTTTCCGATGTAGGCAAATGAGCGCAATGATCTCCAAGGTCTTCCCGAGACCCATCTCCTCGGCAAGGATTCCGCCTCTGATACTCGAGAACTCTTGCAGGACTGATGAACGGTTCGTGCTGACCACACCCAACGTGTGATTGACGAAGCACATTTGCCCTCGATGTGTTTTCAGCAGCTCGAATCCCCGGGGCATGGAAGCCCCACGGTCATCATAAACAGTTGTGACCTGGCCATCATACTCTAGTGATGCGCATTCTCTTTTCAATAGCCATCGCACAGCACGTCTCTGGAAGGGGAACAATTCGGACTCTAGGTACGGGATTTTGATGATATCTGCCGAACCCAAGCGAGGTTTCATCGGGACATGGACATTGTCATAAGGTTTCATCGGGACATGGACATTGTCATAGAATTGCCGGGGATTCCACGTCTTGAAAGCAGGGGCTGAGACGGTGTCGCACGGTAGATAACGTCCCAAAATATCCAGGAGCCTCGGGTCAATACGGTCTCTGATATTTGTGGTATTCTCCCAGAGTATGGAAACGTCAACGCACAGCCCAGTTGAGGAAGGGTGGATAGAGGCATAAGCGCAGGCAAGTGGGAGGGCAGCGGGAGCCTTGTACTTCGCGACGGATTCAAGACGTGTGGCATCCTGCAGGATGTCGCCACTACCCGACGACAGGGCCTTGACGTAGAGATGGTACTTCCATCTCGTGTTTCGACCGACAGAAAATGCGATCTTGTAATGCTGATCCTGTGCTTCTGCATCGTAAATAGTGATTGCAAGAGGTTCACTACCCGAGAAATTTATGTCCAGACGGTCTGCCTCGGAGTCGTTGGCGATCAGTCTCGTTTCGGCGATCACCAGGTAGGAGTGGAAGGGAGGCGGCGGGGGCGGCGGTCGAGAGGTGTACAGGTCATCAGGTTCGTGTGTGATCCTGCGTCTTTTGGGCGCGGGCTCGTCCAATGCCGCCATTGTCGGCATTGATAGAGGCTATGGACACACTGTGTGCGCGGTGTGTTAAAAGTATGAACCTGGTGAAAGAGACGAGAGCAGGCAGAGGTGAGCCGAGACAGAGACGGAGACTGCGCGAGATGATTTTCAGGGTCGCTGGCACTAAAGTGTCAGGCAGCCAATAAAAACTCGCAGCGGATCCGTACGCCCCAGACGCGATAAGATAAGCAAGTCACGTGTGTGGGGAGCTGCCTGCGCCTGTGCGAGTCATTTACTGGTCACCACGCGGCCCCTTATAAGTCAGCCTGGTGGCAGCATTACCGCAGCCTGAACAGGGAGCAGCTATCTACTTGGAGAACAGTCTGCTGGTAGAAAACCTGAACGGGCACTACGCACATGTCAGGATAAGACAAAGGATACTATCCAACTCTCAACTTGGGTACCATGTGGCCTCTTTTATATAACCCGGTTCACCTCCTGCCATTTTTTACTAGATGTCACACTACGCTATCAGGCTGTTTTTTTGGATCGACAAGAAGAGTCTTTGTCACGTAAGCTGATGAAAGCTCTCAAGACGCCCTGCAGCAACATCATCACCTGAGGCTCTTGCGACGGAAAAGAATACCGAGGCCCTTGGAATAACTTGCCGTAAAGGTTGTTCTTCATCTGCAACTTTAGTTCATATTGACAGAGCCTCCACTTCGTCCGCGCCCACATTTCAGCGTACTGATACTCTTCTGCAGTTCCTGGTTGGCTTCCTTGAGTAGCGCAATCTCCTCGGTCTGCGACTGGATTTTGGCTCTGAGTTGCTCCAGCTTTGCCTCCCCCCGTAACCGATGGTTGCGTTGTGCTTTTCGGTTTTGCTCTTTTCGACGCTGTGGGTAACTGCCGTCAGTCTTCCAGGAATAGGACAGCCCGAGAGGTTTGATCAAGGCTGGATAATCACAAGGGCGGTTCGGGGTTTATCACCACTCACCTCTCTTTTGTCACGTTCACAAACTTCGCAGGGATGATGGTGATGATGGTCTCGTGCATGACCTGAACTCTCAAGCTGTACCGGTGCACCTCCTTCAGCGAAAGGTTCTGTGGGATTCTCAGAAGCCTTCCAGTCTTCAGGACTGCTGTTTTCTTCCAGCAACATCGAGCCCAGAGGCGAGTCGAGCGTCATGGTCGAGTTGGTATCATTGAAACTACCAACATGGTTGAACGTCGACGTCGCAGGCACTCCAGAGTTCTAGAAACTTTGTCAACTGATTTCCTCACGAGAATGCACCATGTGTGCCTACTTCAATGGCACTGGAGAAGATGTCCGTGGACATGTCATAGTAGTCCAAGGTCTGCCAGTATTGGCCGGGAATATAACAGTAGCTCGGGGATCTTGATGATAGTTGTTGCTGTGGATGAGGACTGCTGGCATGGAAGCATGAGATCAAGCTTTCCATGTTGGATGATGGGCGACAATGCTTTCCCCCGGCGTTCAGTGGTCGGTCTTTCATTGTTTAAATTCTATAATTGCTGCAGCCAGTCGCGGAATGAAGACAAGCGGTCTGCTCTCAATCAAACCAGAACAAAAGAGCCGTAGGGTAAATATACATGCGATAAAAGCAATGGTAGCCTGATGGCAGGATAGCCGGCAATGTCACCGTCTCAGCTCGCTCAATGGACGGTCAATTGATGAGGACCGTGGTTGAAATGGTCGTCTTGTAGACCAACGTCAATCTTTGCTGCCCGAAAGCTGACGATGTTCAGTATCGGGAGGTGGCTGCGAGTAGTGAGTTAGTGTCGGGGCAGCATTAACAGAGGCAGAGCAGAAGATAAGAGAAGGGATTCATGCTTGACCACATGGTTTAGTCTTATGGAAAGACGCCGTCGGGCCCGAAGCCAACAGCGTGCGGCTTATCTCAAGAAGAGTTTCAGCGCAAGCAGCAAACCGAAAGTACTGTTGCTCACGGGCTATCAAGGCAACCATACCAAGTTCAAGGGCAGTTACTCTTTGGCCGGTGTGGAGCCACGTCGATCGAAGGACATGCAATAAGTGATAGACGGTTCGGAAACATTGTCGTGGTTTGAGCTCCTGGGTTACTGATAGGAAGAAACACTGCGTTGTTGAACAGTGCATCAGGCGTCCTGTAGGATGGTTGGGCTAGGCAAACCTTGATCATGCCCACATGTGAGCCGCGCGAAGATGTGGAACTTGAAGGGCAAGGAAGTGTGTACGTGCGCTCAAGGGAGTTCCTAAGGGTCGACATGCTGCAGTTTCGCTTTCCATACGATGAACTAGCGTGAGATCTGGATGGACAGCATTCAGTTTCCACCAGGCCACAGCCTGCCACAGACTGAACCATTGGGATTTGGGAAGCATCCTGGTGGGCACCGAGCAGGGGGTGCCAGCCCCCATCCTGTACTATAGTTGAGAGAGTTCCAGTGGATGAAGTGGGCAATATTTGGGCTGAGTCCTCGACCCCGACCAGCCATGTGATTTCAATGGTTCGTTGGTCAGTCTCCCCTCAGACGAACACGGGTCGACGCCTGATGCGGGACAGTTCTGTGGTCAAAGAGGCCTGCTGCCTTGGATGGAGCCGGCAAGGATCGTTCTCACCCGCCTTTGTGTTTTGAATATCCATTTACAGGTCGACTTCTCGGCAGGCCTACTTCTTCCTCCCTGGTCAAATGGTTCCGGGATATCAAGACAAGAGCTGTGCTGCAGGGCGACCCATTTTGCTCACGAAGGCGCTCTTGAGGGGTTCAAGGACACTGTCCAGGACGCCTTTCCACCCACAGGTTTGCTTGGGTGGTTGAACACTGCAGCTGCCCGTGTTGAACTTGAAGGTGATGTGCTCGGGAAGTAGGAAGTGGCGGCGGGAATCCCAAAAAACAACTTGAAAGGTACAGCATTTCTCCGTCCAGCATAGCTGTCTTCAGAGTTGCCGTATTCCAGTTGTCTGTTCGGATCCTGGAGAACATTGTGATACCTCACATAGTCGGCTCTTAGTTGTGAGTTTATAAATGTGGTGACCTCATCCTGTATAGGCAGCCTGATGAACTCTGTTACCAGTAGATGATGTTACCACTGGAGTCGAAGGGGCCATCGGTGGGCTCTCTACTTGAATTGGGGAGACGAATGGGTTTCCTGGTGCTGACCCGTGTTCCGTTTTCCTGTCTGGCCTAAAGGTCTCCAAGGTTCAAGTTGTGCATGAATTGTCCCGCGGCTTATTTCTCTCCAGAGGACAGCCTGAGAGAGCAGCCGTGTTGCCGGGCAAGCAGATTACAATGCAAGACTCTTGAAGTAGCAGATTCGTATGAACAATCCTACTAGTAGCGGCCCTCTGGCCAGGGCGAACAGTTGATGCAATCTACCCACTCGAGGCGTTGGTAAGCTCGCCTGAATAGAAGAATTACATGCACGCCTATTCACACAATCTGGAGTCTCAGCTTATTCCCAGGTAACCACGAAAGAAAAATCTCAATAAGTGTACACATTAGTCCATGTTGACGTCGCTTTCTTCCACGTTTGCGTCCTCGTCCATGTCCACGGAGTCATCATCGTCCATTTCTTCGTCGCTTCTCTCGGCAAGCAAGTCTTGTGTGATTTCGTCGTTGAGATCCCGGCTGGTTGAGGTTCGTGCCGGTTTGACAATTCGTCCACTGCCACGGTTGCTCGCTCGTACTGGTGTTGGCCGCTTGCGAGGCTTCTTCCGCGTGCCATTGGCGACCACCGGGGTGGGTGGAAGGGCAATGGGTTCTACCACAATCTCGTGACGCTGATTGACTTGTTCGATGCGTCTCTTCAATTCGGTAATATCCCGGTCTCCGTCCCAGACTTCAAGGCGATTACGCGCTCTCTTAAGCACCTTGGTCCAAGTTTCCGCTTCTTCGCCACAGTCATCAGGTTCATAACCGGGAGGCACCCCACCCAGCTGGTCTTCCTGTGGATCACCGTACCACTTTCGACCCATCAAGCCGCCGAGGCCGAAGCAACCATGTCCCTCATCCTCCTCACTGTCATAAGTGGCAGGCAACTCGACGATACGTCGGGCTGCCCTGAGCACAAAACTGGCGCGCTCTCTCAGTTGCTGAGCTTCTTTCAATGCCTGTCTTCGTCGCCGCCGCAGAGCCCACTGCACTCGCTTCATCCTATGATCCTCAAGTTCGCGTTGATAACCCGTTCTAGCCCTTGATTTTGTGGTAGAATTACCTGATGCCAGCTCCCCGGCACGGCCCAAGCCTGATTCCACGCGATGCGCACCAAGGTGACTTGTAAGACCATTCGCTGACGGCTGAGGAGTGCCCCTGGTGCGTTCGACTGTATCCGGGGTTCCAGTGTTGCGCCCAGATCGTAGCAGGCTTTTCGCGCCATCACTTTGGCGAAGAGCCTTGGATCGTGTCGGCGTGTTCTTCCCTTTGACACGCTTATAGCGCCCTCGCCCAGGATGAGGATCAACCGCCTCCCAGTCATCATCCAAACTATCCGCTTGGCCACCAAGTGCAGTCATCACATGTCCATGCTGGCCCAAAGCATCAGGAGCTGGCGACCGACCAAATCCGGGGCTTGCGCGCGAGTCTGCATCAGATATCAAAGATTCGTCGTCTGCAAATGCCCCCTTCTTGAGCCGCTTCAATACTTTATGGTCTAAATTGCCCGGGTCGGCCATGGTCAGAGGTGGTTCGTTGGCGACTTCAAGCATGATTCGTTTTCTTTCTCTGGTCATTTTCTCTGCGAAGGCAATCTCTTCTGGAGGATCCGCATTCTCAGCATCGCCTTCCTCCTCGGATATATTGACCAGCTTCGGAACGAGTTGCGGTACCGTGTCCGGATCATCCGGGTCTTCGCCTTCTTTGTACTCGCCTGGCCCATAGGGATTATTCAAAGCATCTTCCTTGGTGAAGTTTGATTCTAAGTACCACCACATCAACCATAGAAATGCCCTGGCCCGACTTGCGGAAGAAATGGTCGGGCGCATGGCAAGGTCGAAGAAATCGACCTTGTCAGTAAAATGCGTTTCACTGACATCGGGTGCATATTGTGAGAGGACGAAAATGAGGTTAACGGGATTGGTTCTTGGAGCCGGCTTGGCTTTCAGCGCAGGAATCGTTCGCGGTTCATCGGTGTCCTCGCTGGCACCTTTCAGGATGCTCTTCAACCTTGGAGCATCCTGAAGAGATTTGTAGTCCTTTTGACTTTTGTACGCCTGCAACGAAGGGATGGAATGGTACGTCCGGAGTTGCGCCCTCATCTCCGGGAAGAAGTTCAATGTCGTATTCATCCTGGCAACATTGACCAAGAGACAGATCATCGCCATGTTCTGGGCAGCTTGTTTGTCGATCTGGAGTCTGTCCTTGAGGACTTTGCTGGTTTTGGAGCTGCGGGCCATGCAATCCACGTAGACTTCGGCAAACGTACATCCTTTCTGACCATCGCTGATTCTCGTAAAGACCGGTTTGTCGTCCTCAGTGACTATCTTCAAAAATTCGTACTGGATCTCCTTACGCCATAGAGGAGTGCCGTCTGGTTTCTTGATATGTCGAATCTTACTGCCTGAGTAGACAGAGCCAACAGTCCCATTGGCTTGCCTCCGAGTACCAACTGTCGTCCCCACCGTTCTGGCTTCGGACTCTGGAGTGGCTTCTGATTTCTTGGTTCTTGTGGTGGATATGACGCTGCCTTCATCCTCTGTGCCCTCTTGCGGCTGCTCCTGAATCCAAATCGCTCCACCCTTGGGTTTCGCCTTTCTACCCGTGGAGGGCCTGGTACGACCTCCGCGACGTCCCACCACCGGCGTTCGGCTTGGAGCAGGCTCGTCCATACTCTGGGATTGGTCTGGATCGAGTTCGGTAATGTCGGGTTTTACATCTTCCGCTTGGTCGTCAATAGTGTCGCCATCGGAGGGCGCTGGGGAGGGCGCGGCAGAGGGATCGCGGGAAGTCATGTTGGCTCGCTATGAGGGAGGGATTGAGTAGGTTGCAACACTCATTCCAGAGCAGGAAAGGAGGATAGTAGCACAAACAGCTCGGAAATCATAAGCCAGGCATTTGGAGACGCGGCAAGAGTTAGACAAAGGATAAATATAAACCAGAATGTTGTGAAGTGTACAGGTCTCCTTCTCCTTCCTGTCCGTCACTGCGATGCGCGAATTCGTGACGCTCGGCAAACCTTCTACACGAACTCGCTGCCAGGTTTCTTAGCATACTAGTACTAGAACAACAATTAGGTAATGTACTAGCACCACCACTACCAGATACTCCTCGTATCTACCTACTTGTACCACTACCACTGGCAAGTCGGTGAACCAAGCATCATGCAACGCACTGAGAGTGACTTTGATCTGTTCACCGTTATCCGATCCTTGCCCGGTCGCTGATTAGGCGACCCGTAGGTCAATCAAATCACCGGTAGGTTTCCCCAGCAGAGTCCTTCGCTGTACTCTCTCATCCTTCTGCAACAATGACCAACTGGATCCTTGGGGAGAGATTTCACCAGCGTTATCCTCACCTCGATGGGGTGAAGGCGCTCTGGGAGACTAAATGGAAGCTTCCTTGCAGCCTGAGCGTGAATCCTTTCCGTGACGGCAAAATCGAAGATTTCGCACCCATTTTTGAGAAACTGGTAGAAGACAACGTCAATGATGCCTACTCGGATACCTACACCGAGTACTTTCTACCGACCGCGGGAAGACTCACCGATGCAGCGACGTCCGCCCAAGGAGCTGACCGTGCCAAAGCCGCAGAGCTCTTTAAGCGTGCAGCGTGCGTCTACCGCATTTCCCGGTTCCCTTCGGTCGACGCCGGCACCGGGTTGAAGAGGAAGGTCTTCGACCTTCAGAAGCAAGTCTACTTGCGAGGGGCCAGCTTATGGGACGCGCCGATCAAAGAGATAGTTATTCCTCACACTTCAGCCGAAGGCGACGATGGTAAGGAGATCCCGCTGTATGTCAGGTTACCATCAGGAACGGGGATCACGAACAAATGCCCAGTGGTATTACTGATCACCGGGCTGGACGGCCACAGACCAGACACACAGGCGTAAGTCCAGAGGGGATGTGTTTTTTCCCTGTCACCAGACTGACATGATGTTGTAGCGTACTGACGAGTTTCTCTCGCGCGGATGGGGTTGTGTGATCACAGAGATCCCCGGCACTGCGGACTGTCCTGCTGCACGGCGAGATCCAAAGTCACCAGACCGGTTGTTCACTTCTATACTAGACTGGATGGACCAGCAGCCATACTTCAATATGCGAAAGTGTATAGCATGGGGCTTATCGGCTGGTGGATACTATGCCATCCGTGTTGCTCATACCCACCACTCACGGTTGGCTGGAAGCATCGGTCAAGGGGCCGGTAGTCATCTATTCCTTTCGCGCGAGTGGCTTGAGCATGTGGATGACCACGAATACCCATTCGTGTTGAGCGAAGCCTACGTGTCGAAATACGGCTACAAAGACTGGGAGGATCTTCTGGAACACGCGCAGAAAGACTTTAGTCTCGTCGAGAGTGGGTTGCTCAACGGCCCCTCCTGCAGATTACTCTTGGCCAACGGCACCTGGGACGGTCTCATGCCCATTGAAGATAGCATCTTGTTGATGAACTATGGTCGGCCCAAGGAAGGCCGGTTTTACGACAAGATGTTACACATGGGATATCCTCCTGCGAACGAGAGCATTTATCCCTGGATGGAGTCCATTATGGCTGCCGCAGCATGAGTTACGAGAATTAGGACTGCAAGAAATTCACATGTCATGTTACATATCCCAGGTAATGAAAAGGAACCCCGATCCAAGTTCTGGACCTTGCTTTAGCTTCTTATTGCGCCATTTACTTGCCAAAAGTCGCGGAATACAAACCCGACACCACATCTACATGCAAGGCAACGGGATGCTCCCCGCGTCCGCGTCTGCCTTGTACCATAACGCCGTCGAATCGAGCGACTGGGATGACGGACAAGGCTGAACTGCCCCTTTCAGGCTCGACTTCGATCCCTGATTTAAGTAACGGCCACACCGGTTTGTCCAGAACTGCAGGATCATGTGGCATACTTTGTCCTGTGGTGGTGGGCCCATCCACCAGAAGGCATTCTTGGAGACTGACTAAAGCTACCTCCACTAGGTGACTCCAAAGAAATATATTGCTGATTAATTCGAAGACTCACCATTCTCCAACTTCTCCCACCGTGTCCCGCTCTTAGCAACATTGCGCCATATCATGTTCCGGATATACTCTGGATTTGGAAAGGATCAGAGTACGCCACAAGTTGTGGTCTGCCCTCGATCCGATTTCGGGCAATGTTTCCTCCCATACCTAGGCCTGGCAATCTATCAACTTTGATATTTAGAAACGCTGACAAACAATCGTGGGCACCTCCAACTGTATATCGGTACCAATCTAGACTTGATGCTCTGATGACCGTTGATAAAAACTTGATCTATTAAACTATCTCCCTTGCAGCTACTGGCGGATAGTCAGGACGAGCACTCTCGCGGTCCCAACCTGATATCCCCTTTTTCTTGCCTGTTGCCGTCCCATCTATCTACTCACAGGCGGAAACAATGTCGGCAGCCCTCAACACCTCACCGCACCCGGCCCGGGCCAGCGGTAGCGGCAGCGGTAACAACAACAACAGCAACAGCAACACAATGCTCGAAGCGCACATCCACCACCCCCTCCGCGTGACTCTCCACAGGATTCCCATCCCGACGCCGCGCGCTTCCGAGGTCCTGATCAAAGTTCACGTATCCGGCAGCAACCCAAAAGACTGGAAACGACCTGTCTGGAACGCTGAATACAACGGGACCAACCAAGGCGACGACATTGCCGGGGTTGTGGCAGCCGTGGGATCTGCCGTAACCCAATTCCGACCGGGCGACCGCGTTGCCGCATTGCACCACCTGCAAACACCTGGGGGATCGTATGCCGAATACGCCATCGCGCCAGAACACACGACGTTCCACATCCCGGCGAGCACGACGTTCGAGGAGGCGGCGACGATTCCGTTGGCTGCCATGACGGCCGCCCTGGGATTGTTTGTCCAGCTGGGCCTGCCGGAGCCGTGGGTTGCCAACGCACATCCGGACAATTTGCCCAAGGGTGGCATCGTCATCTACGGCGCCGCCAGTGCCGTAGGTGCATTCGCCGTGCAGCTGGCCAGACGGGCGGGGATCCATCCGATCATTGCGGTTGCTGGCAATGGGATCCCTTTTGTACAGAGCCTGTTGAAGACCGATACCAATATCAGCGCCTTCGCCAATAATGAAAGCGGTGGTGACGTGATTGTCGATTACCGCAAGGGCAATGACAGTGTTGTGAACGAGATCAGAGCCGCCGTTCCGAAAGGCCAGAAGCTTCAGTATGCCTTTGACGCCGTGAGTGACGGGGCAAAATCTTCTTACGCGAATATCTGTAAAGCCTTCAGTTCTCAGGAGGAGCAGGGCAGCGATCATGGTGCTGGCGACGGTTCTCCGCGGCTGACCATGGTTCTGCCAGCAGCACACGATGACCCAGACATCCCCAGGACGGTGCAAAAGTCGTTGACTATGGTGAGCAGCGTGTTTGGACCAGATAAGGATTTCGGGTATGCCTGGTTCAGACTTCTTGAGCTGGGGCTCAAAGATGGCTGGTTCAGGCCCCATCCATACCAGGTCGTCCCGGGTGGTCTGGACGGTATTGAGGAGGGGTTGAAGGATCTGAAGGACGGCAAGGCCAGCGCCACGAAGTATGTGTTTCGGATCGCCGAGACGAAAGAGCTGAGCGAGCGGACGGGTTAGTAAGAAATATACCTAAGATTTGCTTTCGCTCCAGACATATGAGACCATCCAATCTCGCGGTGGCCGTGCTGGAGAGAAGCAGTTTTTGCTTGTCACACTCGTGGTAGAACAGCCTACGACTAGCTGGCAGGCGTGAGCCGAACAACCTTTTCAGGATTCAACAGACACAAAGGATCCAAAGCCAGCTTGAGGCGCCTCATCGTGTCGACGCTGTCGACTCCGAGCTCATCGATAAGCCGATCTCGCTTTTCCAAACCGATGCCGTGTTCGCCCGTGATGGTTCCATCGACTTGGATGCCAAGTTTCTCGACTTCGAGCACGACCTTTTCGGCCTTTTCCTTTTCGGCGTCGCTGTAGAATATCGCCGCATGGACGTTTCCTGTAGGTAGCGAACAAAACATTAGCCATAGCCATCCATATATCCAAGCCCATCCTCCTCTTTGTTCTTTATTGTCAAAGACTGCCGCCCCCACGTGTTCAATCACTCACCGTCTCCTACATGCCCACAACACGCACCAACCAAACCACTCTCTTCCAACTTCCGATTCGTAACCTCAATAACATCACCAAGCCTTGAAATCGGCACCGCCAAATCCGTTCCCAGGAACTTATCATCCGGATTGCGTTTCAGCGTCATCAGACTCCAAAGCATAGTCTTCCTAGCCTGCCAGTAAGCCTCAGACTCTTCATCATCTCTCCCAAAATCAAACGATAAACAATGTGTATCTTTCCCAATGCTCTTGACCTTTTCAATCTGCTCTGCAACAACAGCCTTTGAGCCCGAGAATTTCAAAAACAACGAAGGAGCCTCAACCAGCTCTTTGGCACAGTATCCCGAATTATTAATCGCACGCATAGATGTCCCGTCAAGCAACTCGAGCGCACCGAGTGGCAAACTCTTCTGGACGATTTTGACGGCTGCATCAACTGCATTTTGAACAGAAGGGAACGCGACCACAGCAACCCTAGTATTTTCGGGAACACTAGTCACCTTCAATGTGGCTTCCGTAACGAACCCCAGGGTCCCTTCAGACCCGACAAATAGCCTCGTTAGATCATAGCCAGCGGATGACTTTTTCGGTCTGCGTCTCGTTTTGACAATCGTCCCATCTGCCAATACGACCGTCAGGCCCAACACCCAGTCCTTGACCGTGCCGTAGCGATAGGCTGATGTGCCGGAACAGCCCTGCGAAATCACGCCGCCGATCTGTGCTCCTGGACCTGGATCAGGAGGGAACAGGAGATTGTACTTCTTCATAAGCAATTCGTTCAATTCGAGATATGAGACCCCAGGTTGAACTACCACGTCCATGTCCTCCTCGTGAACCGCGAGGACTTTGTTCATGCGTCCAAAGTCGATGCATACTTCGCCGTGGATCGCTGCCAATGTTGCTTCTAGACTTGTACCGCCGCCGAATCCGATCATTGGTAGTCGACGGCGGTGACATATTCTCACGATCTGGCTGACTTCTTCCGTCGTGCGAGGATACACGATCATGCATGGGCGGTCCAATGCCCCGTGAGGAGCGGGCGACCATGCTGTGCTTGAGCGGGAGATCCGTGCCGGGAGGTTGTCGTCGATGCCGGAATCTCCGAGCAATAAACGGAACTCTTGCTTTGCACCTTCAATGTTGGTTTGGGATAGGTCGTACTGAGGCCTTACCACTGAGCCCAGCGGCGACGTTGAGGTCGAAGACATTTGTGGTTTCGCCTCCGTTGAAAGGAGTCCACCGCCGCCGGAATAGTATAGCACTGTCAGTACTGTGCCGACGCCCATGAATAGTCCGCCTAGGAATTGTTCAATCCCATCCCCATGCGCTTCCGCTTGATCATGACCAGGACCTTTTTGCCCTGTGCCGGACGTGGACGTCGAGAGAGCGCGCCGTCCCGGAATCGTCGACAGTGGAATCCGCTGCACACGTACTGACCGTCCGAGTCCAGAACGGCCAGTGGCAATCCCAAACCTCTGCAGACCCCGGAGAATAGGCCGCACCATATGTTTACTTGCCATGTTGACGTCCTGTCCGTTGGCGTCTCGTCAATCCTCTCTGCATGCCGTTGCAGATAGAAATCGTGTCTCGTGGCTGGACTTGTTTATCATTCATCAAGTAAACTGTCGATTATGCACCCTCGGCCGAGGTACCTACAATACTAGTAGTCGCTACGCGTACCCACAAAAACATTGGCTGATGGGGTGGTCTTCCTCCCCGTGTAACAGACTACAACAGCGTTCACAATGTCCGTCCGGCTGCCATGCATCCAGGACTCGAGTACGACTAACCGGCACGAGATATCGAACACTTTTTAGCAAGGACAAAAAGTTTCGGAGCAGAAGAATACAAGAGCCATGCGAAACATCGTCAACTGAGCAGGTAGTGTCATTCCCAGACTTGAAAAGCTAAATCTTTTATTCATTTCGTTTCGTTTCGTATTCATGGTGATAGTGCGTCCCGACTTCGTCAAATCAATTTGTAAATCATAACACGCTGCGCCTTTTCCCTTCCACGAATCCCACCCACATTCGCCCTGCAAAATCAAAATCATGCTCTGTTGTCATCATCCCCGAGCCAGCTCAGTCCGTATTCGATTCCTCCCCGTCAAGTTGTTCCTCATCGTCAGCCACCTCGAGGACGGGCCCTGCGATGTTCAACCCATCGGGGGCAACGGCCGGCGCTTCTTGCACATACGCTGTGCCTTGTGCTTGTCCCACTGCCGCGATGAGCTCCGAGACCTCTTCTTCATCTTCCACCCGGATGTCTGGCAAGGCGAGTGCGGCCAGTGATCCAGGTCGAAACTGCTCTCTAAGTCGCTGAATTCGACGAATCAGGTCCCTAGCCAAAGCTCCCATGTCTTCCAATTCCTGGATATCGTGATTTGGCCCTGCTCCCGTCTGTGGCAGAGGTTCCAATTCACCCACTAATATGGTGTGGTCATGCTGGCCCATCCCAGTACTCTGCGCATTTAGACTCGTGAAGAATTCCACCAGTCCATCGATTGCCTCTTCGGTGGCTGAGACGGAATCGTTGGTGGTAGAATCTGTCCGTCTGTCTTCCAATGGTTTCCGTATCTTCTCCTTGCGCCTTCGACGAGTTTTCAATTTCTGCGACGCGGATTGGGCGCGAAGGAATGCCTCTGACTTTCGCTTACATTTCCCCGTCAGCATTCTGTGCCACCGACAGTTGGGGCAAAAGAATGGCGCGTTTGTTTCTGTGGACAATGTGGTCGGATTGCTCGTGATTGTGACAGTCACGGTGGTGGCAGCGTTTTCTCCTTGAGCTGGCCGGCATCCCCTACAGGGACAGGGAGGGTCTAGTGCATTTGCACAATCACCACATACGTGCACCTTGCATTCGGCACATTGCTTCATCACCGCCGTGCACCGTCTTCTATGATCTCCGGGTGTACGCATGGTGGGACAGAAGAACGCCTGGCAGCCTTGCCATCTAGGGACGGTTGAAACCTCGGCGAAAACTTGACCTTGAGGAGCACCGCTGGTCTCGGCGACTGTGACCGAGTTGACGGATGGTGTGGGAGAGGTTGAGCGAGAAAGTACGCCTGTGCTGTTCGATGCAGGAGATAAAGGTCGATGTGGAAGATCCATTTCCGCTAGAGGCGATTGCAGCTCTCTCAAGAATTGCCCAACCTCGGCGTCCAAAGAAGTTGGATCCCCAGCAGCGCCTTCGCCAAGTCCAGAAGGTAGGTCCCTCGAAGGTCGTGATGCCGAAGAGGCGGAGGACATCGGCTGGGCTGTGGCAGTGTTATGAACAGCTGCGCTCTTGGATATCTCGGACTCAGTAGAGGCTTGGTTTCGGGGAAGCATTTCTTTCCTTTGCCGCATGAGCGTCGTCAATAAGTTGATGGCTTTTTGTCGTGATCTGTATTCTTGTTTCTCTACCGCAAGATCTTTGTACCCACAAATTCTCGCCCGCATGCGGTCACCGATGTCATGCTTCAGGCACAACGCCGTAGAACAGGCCTTGCATTTAACTTTCCACTGGTTCATGTTGTAGCACTCATCGCATAGCACTCGAGGAACTGACACTGCAGGATGTGCTGAAGGGCTCAAAGTGGCCACACTCTGGAAGAAACTGTCAATTGAAGACCATCGTCCGGCCGGGCCGTCCAGGGTGGTGCTTTGCGAAAGGCTCCTCGATTGCCCTGTTCTGAGTGTTTCGAACTGTGGGCTGCTAGGGTCAAATTCAGGATCTTCCCACCCCTGACCTTGCGGAAGCGGAGCGGCGCGAATACGGTCAGTGTCACGCCCTGAATTGGGTCCAAACGTTATGCCACCTCCTCCAGAAAAGACTGGCTCCGTACAACACCATCTGAATTTGGTGTTAGGAAGCGTATTAGTAACTGTGTTCTGCTGACCATTTGCCGCTCCGTTGGGAGGGAGATCTTGGTCCTGCATTGAGCAAGGTGAGACTGCGCAACCAGGAGCCCACCAGAACTTGTTCCTCTCTTCCTCTGGAGCGTTCTTGTTCCGGAGATATGGCCTGTCAAAAGCACAACTTGCACAAAGAGTTTTCCTGCATCCTGAACAGTGCATCATAACCGAGCACTGTTCACATCTCTCAAGGATCGGGTCCGAGCAATTCTGGCAGATGATGTTTTCCACAAACTTTCTGTGAGATTCTCGAAGGTGAGTTGGCGTGGCTTTGCCCTCAGCTCCTGTCCCAATCGGCTCCCCGTTGAGTGCTTCTTCATCAAACTCCCAACTCCTACAGTCATGTTTCCGTTCCCGAGCGACTGTATCGCTGGAGGTGGCCGGCGGTTCGACGGGACCGAGCCAGTTGCGACTTCTCCACAAGCGGTCATAGACCACCCACACCTCCCGAGGGTCCTGGGGCATTCGCATCTTAACGTAACCCCTCCTGCGGTAACAACGGGCGCCGGGTGTAGTGCACCATGCAGTATCGGTCCAGATTCCCAACTTATGACAAGTAAGAACCAATTCGTGCGTGGGTTCGCTGTCGCTCTCTTTGCGCATAAGACTACTTGGTAAATACGGCCTTCTCCTGTGGTGTCGACATCTGTACGTATACAGGCTCTTTAGTGCGAGCGTCTCAAACCCGGGCGGACCAGCGGCAGATGGACACTGTCGGGCCAAAGCATGCATCTGCAGCCATGGGTTGATATGATATTTCAATGACACATTCTTGCAACCCCGGACCGACACGTGTGTTAGACTATCTCGTCTGAGGATGAGGACGGTCGAAGTCAATGTCGCACCGCTGACTGCGGTATTGTCCAATTCCAGACTAGTCAGTCGCGTGCTGAAGGGATTGATGATGTTTAAAAGAATCTGATCAAGGGCATAATTGCTAGATTGTTGTCGAGGAGCCGCCGCTCCGCCAGCCGCAGCGTGTCCCGGTATTGCGGTGACCACCGGTTGATATAGACGCCATGATATGTATCGCCATGATGTGGGAGACTTTTGGAAGAAGTCCCTGAGCAAGGAGGATGTTTGGTACAGCCGGAAGATCGTCTGAGTCGGCACCTGAGATAGTAGCGATTCAAGGATAGGAGGGTTACAGGTAATCAGGAGCTCGAATGCTGAAGGAGTCCTCCGTGTCGGCGCCGGCGTGGCGGACATACTGACTGATGGAATGGTGTTTGCCCGAACCTAAAGGCAATCGATGCCACGCACATTTCAGCATCGACTGAATGAATTGTGAAGCTGGTTAGAAGAACGGATCATGGAAACAGTGGCAGCCATAAGAGGACTCGAGGACTTATGAGGCTGGGCGTGGACGACGTTCGTGAGGCTGCGTTCCAGGGCGCCAGTGAATGAGAGACACGACGCCCTCAGGCTTGTGCTTAGGCCTGTCGCTTTGTCAGAGGCGCAGGAAGACAGGTCATGTGACTATGCCTATTTGGCGGCAGCCTGGCGGGACTCGGAAGTGAAAGCGTTCCTGATAACAAATATAAGCGGCAGAGTGATAATGCCAAACGATGGTGAATTATATCAGGATATCTCAGAAATAATGCCTTTGCTTTCAATGTTTCAAAGAGTAGCGGATCGACGTAGAAAAGTTAAATGTATACAGCGATGAGTACGGGAAATACCTAGGTATGTATGTTACAGCTGTGCACCAACACTCCTCCGTAGAGGTTTCACGGTGAAGCACAGAACTTCTTACGCTCTTACGCAGCCCGGCAGCCTTTCGCAGACATGATCATATATTGTTCGCGAAGTTCGACAAACATGTTTCCACAATGTCGCAACAAGGCTATCGGAAACCGCTGCTTCTGGCCTTGGCCGGGACAGTAGTCCTTACAGCCGCTGCCTATGCATACGGCCATTACTTCCACCATTCCAAAGCACAATCACAGCGAACGACTGCCCTGCACCGTAGCAATGCGATCCGTCGTCCCAGGCATAGGAGGCGCTGGCGTCATGGATTTGAGCACACCACTCTCGATTACGATCCCACCGAGCGAGCTATCGGTCACTTGGAAGAGCGAAATGAGCGAAGAGAGGGCTATGGAGAATACCAGAATAAATGGTTCTTCCCACTTCCGGAGGACTCGCAGGAAGTGGACTTGACGCTTGTTCCCTGCAACTTAAGATCCATCTATGTCTATTTGTTACAGCACTCACCAGCGCCATTGTCGCCATATCAACAAGACTGTCTGCGGCTGCACATTCACGGCGTCTTCACTCAGAATTTCCTCCGCGAAGAGTTTCCGGAGGGTTATATCATTGGTGACGATGCTTACAATGTGGCGCGGGGATTGGAGCTCCTGGATGTGGCGGAGGAAATTGTGTTTGAGGTAGTCAAGGCCTTTGACGAGGGCGAGTTCCACCTGAGCGAGGAATGGAGCCCTTTGGACGCTCCTATTCAAAGCCCTCGGATTCCGGCCGCGGCGACTGATGGCGCAGCGGAAGATTTTGCTCCTCAGGATGCGCTGGATGCATTGGCCAATCCGACCCGAGAGGATGATAACGAGAGTGAATTCTCGTACCGCAACAATAACAGCAGCAATTATGACGATGACCCTGAAGGAAGCCAGAATATGCTTGACCTCCTCTACCATGTTGCTGGTGAGCAGGCCCGGAGGGAGGGGTACATTCATCGTGGTGTGGAATGCAACAGCTGTGGCGTGCACCCAATACAGGGCATACGCTATCATTGTGCCAATTGCTTCGACTTCGATCTATGTGAAAGCTGTGAGGCAACCTCAACGCACACCAAAAGCCATGTGTTTTTCAAGATCAGGATACCAGCTCCCTCCCGAGGAAACATTAAGGAAGTGATTCCGACGTGGTATCCAGGGAAACCGAACCTGTTCCCTACATCCCTGCCTAAGGATATATCCAGACCCTTGTTGGAGCAGACTGGAATGGATCGCACGGAAATGGATGCACTGTATGAGCAGTTCAAGTGCCTCGCCGGTAATTTCTACCCCACCGATCCGATTGGGTTGGGCATGGCCATTGATCGAAAAGCCTTCGATGCATACTTCATCCCTTCCACGGCCGACAGACCTGCGCCCACCAACTTGATCTACGACCGCATATTTGCATTCTACGACACGAACAATGATGGTCTTATCGGCTTTGATGAATACGTACGTGGACTTGCGCGGTTGCAGGATAAATCACGCTATGCGCGCCTCATGCGAATATTCGACGGCTATGACCTTGACGCTGATGGTTACGTCGATCGTAAGGATTTCCTCCGCATATTCCGTGCGTATTTTGCCCTTAGCAAGGAGTTGGGTCGCGAGATGATCAACGAGCAAGAAGACTTTGGTTATGTGGAGGAAGAACTCAGAGATGTCGTTCGAGGAAGCCAACCGATTAGTGCTGCGTTCGGCGGAGGGACACTCTATGGCCACGAGTCTCGCACCGGCCAGGACAAGCAGCGTCAAGCCAACGGAGATCTCGAATTGTCTCCTGGCTCTGCCGGCGTGTTACAGCCTGATAGTGACATGCAAGGGGATCGTGAGCGGGCGATCGGTAATGTGGCTATGAATAATCGGACGAGGAACAACCCTTTCCGATCTTTCAGGACAGAGCCTGCTCAGGATGAGCCCTTGATGCTCCTTCCCATAGGGAGCAATTTCAACCATGCTGCGATAGTGGACATGGATGATGCAACCGAGGAAGAACTTGCAGGACCAGACCCTCCACTACAGACATATGGCTGGCCGCCCATCCTGACCCCGGAGCCCCAGGATATCGTCGATGCACTGGGGCAAGAAGTGCCGCTCGAGGACATCACTGATCCAGTTGACCGATCTAGAGTGCTTTTTGCACAGTCTCAACGTTTTGACAATGAGGGTGACGAGGAAGAGAAATCGCTAAGGGCGAGGGCCGTGGAAGAGCGGTGGCGGAGAAGACAGTTTTATTTGGATGAAGAGGAGGGCTTGACCAAACCTCCAGGGTACACAGAACCTGACAGCTCAGATGAAGAAGCAACCGTCTCAAGGCCCAAGAAGTCCAGTCGTGTTACAGGAGCAAGACCAAGGAGGACTTCGATACAGTCACGCTCCTCGTCCAAAGTGCGATTTGATGATAGTGCCATCGACACTGATTATGAAACACGGTCGAATGCATCCTCACGCAGCATACCCATCAACGAAAGATGGGGTGGGTATGAGCTTGGTCAACCAGAGGTAGATGTTGGGAAGGACATTCTCTATCAGGCTGTCCAGCAAGGATTCAATGAGCTCTTGGACGCCCTTTTTAAGGAAAGGGAGGATGAGTGCCTTGAGGCACAGTCCACGCGAGATGATCGCCAAAAATTCCGCAAAGAAATGGAGAAATTCAAGGAGCGTCTTGAAACAGCCCAACAACAAGAGGATGAGAATTGGTTGAGAGAAGCCGACACGCTGAGAACGGAAGAGTTGTTGCAGAGCACGCAGACATCCAGCCATCCCGAGAGACGGAACGAAGCGTCATCCGAGCAGGCAGCCTCGCCCGTGCCTGATGCGGAGGACCACATCGAGTTGATGTTCGGAAACAGCGGCGCAACTGCAAACGAAAGCCGAGACGCAGAGCAACAGGCTGGGCAGTCGAAGGACCTTTTCGACCCTACCCTCCCACAGTTCCGCCCTGACGAGGTCGAAGTGTCCCACCCGGAACCACCATCCGACCCCTTTTCTGGCGACCCGACCGAGGCGCGAGCCCTCTACGATCTCTGGACGCGACATGATGAGATCGATCTTGAAGCGCAACATCGGGGTGGGTATGGTAAGCTCAGCTTTGCTGAGTTCCGCCGGAAGATGGTGCCTGAAGACGAAATAGGCAGGGCCTTGGGCACGAAGGGTAAAGAGAATGGCGAGGATGGTGACCAACGGACATGGGAGAGCAGCGCCGACCTGGGCAGGCTGGCCTTTGTTGGCACATGGCTCGAGATGGCGAGCTTCTAAGACTTGCGATATGCACCAGTACGCGCATGTCCTGGTTGTGCATGGTTACTACAGTGTAGGTATATAGATACCTTGATGACATTATGACAGGCAAAAGAATGATACCCCATTGCTTTCTTGCGAGAAGGAACACAACATGCAAATTGCTCATCAAGTCCGTGGCTAGTTCACACCGCCACCCGTGTCGGAAAGGACCTGGAAATAGAACGAACACAGTCTTGTCTTCTCATACAGGAGTCTGATGAGCCGCTTCAATAATAAGACATACCTAGTAGAAACTCTAGACCTTCATATGGGGTCACATTGAGTGGTCTGCCCGAAAACCCACGAGGATCAACATACTGTACCCTGTGGTGATTGCGCGGATCCAGTCGATAAATAAACAGCTCGGTAGAGCCTCTCAGGTTCTCCGCTCCATCACAACGTTCAAGGGCAGGCACATCAAGTGTTTCTGTCCACTTATATTAGATTACCATCTATCCAACCATACAGTATAATCGATGCCCGCACACCGTGAGAGAGTTCCGGAACCTGGCTATTTAGGTACTTGTATGCGCTGGAGTTGTCTGTCAGGCGAGAAAGCATGAGTGAACGAGGCTGCTCCACGAGACCTCGTCCTGAGCCGTGACTGGCTGAGAACGCCCGTTGGGGCCCCTTCAATGTCCATCATGGCACCGCAATGCACAAGGTAAACATACACAGGGAAGATTGTGTGAGTATTTAGGGATAGAATATATATATCTAATTGTCCCTCTAGAGATGCATGGAAAGGTACATTACAGCAGATCCTGCTATACCACATCCACGGTATCTTCGTCTCACTTGTGTTGAGGTGGACCATACCGTGACCCAGACAATAATGTCCCATCCTACATGGAGGACAGGAGTAGTATCCCAACCGTTACGCCGCCCTGGTCTGGTCAGCATGAACCACAACCATTACAGATCATTATCCTTGATTCGCTTTTTGAGGGGATTGTCAAGCAGTTCAAGTTCGCAAGGCGTTGCGCAAGGCGGCGTCAAGCAGCTACAATTGCAATCCCCATGGCTAGCCCCGGCCATTATTGATCTCCTGTTTCCACGACACAGATTCGGGTCCAGTCGATTCAATGCGATTGTCCTTCTCTTCCTCCGATTGTTCTACCATGCGGCGTCGTATGAAGGTGCCGCTGCCGTTGCCACGCCCAGCATGGATGGCACTTCCAGTCTTCTCACTCATCCGATTCCACGGCACTATCCTTCGGACGACTTTGTTGAAAGGCAACCCACCGATACTCATCCCTTGCCTGGCCTGCCTTCACAGCTAAAGTCATACCAAAAACTGTCAACATCAGCATGGCTAGAAGCCATTCAGAATGAGGCAGGTCAATACAGACACTGTCGGATCCAGTCCATCAGTTGGATCAAAGCACTCGCATCTCCCTTCTCGCACGAGTTCATCCAGTTCATCGTCGAGGACAGTGTCAGTGGAGAACGGACCCGCGTGGTTGCTGGGCGTGAAGACTCGGGGGATTGGGTGTATGTAGGATGGAACTGGCAGTCTGGACAGGTGCCGAATGACCATTACATACTTCCTTTGCCTCTGTTGACGTTAACTTTTGGGTGTGAAACTGGCGGACGACTGCCGGATGTGCATTCGCTCGCGCAGCTGTTGGCGGCCACCACGGAAAGGCAACCGTACTATACCTTCCACCGGGAGATGTGTTGGTGGTATGCCGAGACGGTGTTTGATGGCATGTTTTCAAAATATGGTGGCAGCGTCAAGGAGTGGGAGTGGGCGAAGTATCGGTACTCTTTTATTGTTAAGACGAGTCTGTTGAGGAGAAAGGTCTTGACTGAGCATGCTGAGAGGTTTAAGAGCGAGTTGATGGAGGGGATGGAGTATTAGGGTTTGTGGACGATAGATACCTACAGTAGTACCCGTCCCACAACATGATTAGGACCTTTGGATATAGTGAGCTGCCGAGAACCGGAACGAGGTGTTGATAGGTTCCGTACACTTGGTCCTAGCACTTGTAAATGAAGTTGTACATGGACGGCTTACAACGTTGTAGGTATGTAGCAACTGTGTGAAGCAACCAGCTGAGCGCGAGGCTGAGGCTGAAGCCGAAGATTTGCCGCCGTTCCGCGTCATCCTGCGATTGGACTACTACTACGTACACGGCATCCCACTTACTTCTCTGGTACCGTTGCCTGTTCACACCTGAGTCTCATCACTGCTGGATCCTCCCCCTTCTCTACCAACACCCTCAAACCGCGGTAGTAGAGAGCTACTCCTATCGCCTAGAATAAACAGCAAACAGGTCCACATTCCCTTCATTCCACAAAACAATGTCGTCCGGCCCCGAAGTCCACCACCTCTTCCACCACCCCATTGCCGACCACTCGTTCTCCGCCGACCGACAGACGCTCGCGGTCGCAAGAGACAGCAATGTCGAGCTATACCAGCGCTCAGGTGGTGGGGCCAAATTCGTGCTGAAGGATGAACTCAAGGGTCATGACAAGACGGTCACGGGCGTGGACATTGCTCCCAACAGTGGCATGATAGTCACTTGTTCTCAGGGTAGGTGACACACATATCCCAAGACATACACACACATACACGCGCATAGCACCCATCAAGCTACCTTATATCTTATCTACCATATCCAATCAATTCTAACACTCTACAACTAGACCGAAACGCCTACGTCTGGGAACCCTCACCCACAGGCTGGAAACCCACCCTCGTCCTTCTCCGAATCAACCGCGCCGCAACATTCGTGCGGTGGTCGCCCTCAGAAAAGAAATTCGCCGTGGGATCCGGAGCTCGCGTGATCGCAGTCTGCTATTTCGAAGAAGAAAACGACTGGTGGGTATCGAAACATCTGAAGAAGCCAATCCGGAGCACAATCACGACCGTGGCATGGCACCCGAACTCGGTCCTTTTGGCCGCAGGATCAACGGACTCGCACGCACGCGTGTTCTCCGGCTTCATCAAGGGCGTCGACGACCGACCAGAACCAAGTGTTTGGGGTGAACGACTTCCGTTCAACACCGTTTGCGGCGAGTATCTCAACGACGCGGCGGGGTGGATTCATGCGGTTTCCTTTTCCCCCAGCGGCAATGCTCTCGCTTTTGCCGCCCACGACAGCAGTATTACGGTCGTGTACCCGAGCGCTCCGGACCAGCCGCCCCGCGCCATGCTCAACGTCTCGGTGCACAGTTTGCCGTTCACCAGCTTGATCTGGAACGGTGAGGCCGAGATCATTGCTGCCGGCTACGATTGTGAGCCCTTCCGGTTCCGGGGCGGCGAATCCGGCTGGGAACTCGCGGGTAGTGTTGAGACCAAGCATCGTCCCGGTGCTGGTGGCTTGGCTGCCCGTGAAGAGTCGGCTTTGCATATGTTTCGCCAGATGGATCTCAAGGGAAAAGTCAAGGATGATACGCAGTTGGCTTCGACGCATCAGAACACCATCAATACTATTCGTGTCTATGAGGAGTCTGGAGGTGCTGTCAAGAAGTTTAGCAGCAGTGGCGTTGATGGCCGTGTCGTCATCTGGACTTTGTAAACAGGCATATAGAGCTGATAGAGCTTAAAACAGCGGTCACGCAAATGAAAATGAAACCTGGAAAAAAGGGGAGAATCCACAATCCAGTCCACAGTCAAGAATACCGTACGAAGTGAAATCGAATTTCTGGCCATAAAGTTCGGCTGTCTCGCTTGCCCTTGCTCCTTGATGAACGTCTAGTCTTCACTTGCTCATGTGTCTTGTCAAATGCCAGTCTATCCTCCAAAATGAACCCACCCTGCGTAATCTCATGATCCTGCTGCCTTCTTGGACAGTACGTCGTCTTCAGTCACTCTACGTGTCTTGAATGTCCTCAACTTAAACATGAACATCCTCCCCGTTTTCTTCTTCGTCATCATCATCAATGACAACAACATCCACGTCTTCAGTTCTGCTCACATGGTTGTGACTTTCAGTATCGCTTGTTTCACCCTCTGCCTCGGCCTCGAGCGCTCTCATCCGCACCGAGAACTCCACCTGCAGCCTTGCCAACCAGGCTCTGAGTTGCGCAGGGTCAGATCCAGCACTCCGACAGCTCTCTCTTGCTTGGGACAGCTGTTCGCGCAGGTTCAACAGCAACTTGGACCTTCTGGCCGAGACCAGGGCGCGGCAGCTACGTTTGCGGGCCTCGTTGCGCTCATGCAAAGCATGAGAGACGCGAGTGGCGGTGTCGACCACCGACACAGGCAGGTCGAGAACACGGGCGAGCGCGAGACCATAGAACCTCTCCTCCTCGTACCCCTGGGCGACCTGGTATCGCATTTTCAGCTTGGAGGCGTCGGCGTTAATGTCGACCGCCAAATGCAGATTGACCACGCCGGCACGCTCGGCCAGAATGCGCGGCAGGTCGCGGAAGTGCGTGACGAACCAGACCAGAGCCTTGGACTGGATCAGCTCCTCGGCAATGGCAATGGCGATCGCAAGCCCGTCCGTGGTGCTGGTTCCGCGGCCGAGCTCGTCGATGAGAACAATGCTGTGTGCCGACACGTTGCGCAGGATGAAGGCCAGCTCGCGCATTTCCGACGCGAATGTCGACACATTGGCTTCGATGCTGTCGTCGGTCGACACACGTGCGAACATCTGGGATGTGACCGGGAACGACGCGTATGTGGCTGGCACGAAACAGCCGATTTGCGCCATAACGGCCATTAGAGCGATCGACCGAATGTATGTGCTCTTTCCGCTCATGTTGCAGCCTGTGATGACTTGGAAGCGACTCTGCTCGGTCGCATACATGTCGTTGGGCACGTATCTGTCCATCTGGCTCTTCTCGCGGATCGGATGCCGACCGGCCTTGACGGCCAAAGTGTCTACTAATTCCGGCTGCACGTACTCGTTGCTGCTGGCCATCTGGGCAAACCCTGAAAGCATGTCGAGCATGGCAATCGCTTCACTGATCTTGAAAAGAGGATGGATCTTCGTCCGGACTGCCTCGATCAATTCTTGCACTGCATGGTCGCTCAAACTGATGACTTCGTTGTGAGCATCCTTGATTTTCTGGTTCATTTTGATCAGCTCCAGGGTCTGGCATTCGATCCATTTGTTCTTTCGATACACGTTCACGAATGCCTCGGGCATGGACTTGTCCTCGACTTGAACGGCTGGAAAGCGAATATAAAATTGCCTTCCGGGCTCGAATTTCAACTCCAAATCAATTTCTTGCGCATCTGCGACGGTCAGAACGTTTGCTAGGAGAGCCTGTTGTATCAGAGGCCACACTTTTAAGCTCTTCCATCATATCAAACACATCCTGGCTGATTTCACTGTAAGTCTGTCTTGCAACGTCGAGAAGTTCGTTAACTCCAGCCTGGAAAAGATCAGATTAGAAGCCACGTTGGTCGACTTGAATTACCTGCACTGCATACACCCGCTGATTGCGCAGCTCGATCGGCTTCGTCGAGTGGGACACATCAGGATTGAGACTATGCCTGATCATAGCATCGATTTCTGAATAGCTGGCAGGATCGCAGAGCTATGACAGGTTAGTCTCATCACGATGGTGATGCTACGGCTCCTTTCCTGGCGGATCTCATCCAGCTCTTCGCTCCCGGCGCCAGTAAGTGCTTGCCAAAGAGGTTTGGCGGAATCCACAAAAGTCTTCAGCATGAGGACGTTGTTGACTGCTTGCTCCGCATACTGGATCCCCTGCTTTGTCTGTATCACTACGAGCTGTGACAATTAGCTGAGTAATATGGGAGGGAATGCTTAACACAAACAGCGGCCAGCACGCGGTCAGTGTCTACGAAAGACTTCAAAGCTATCTCGCATTAGCAAAGTCTTCCAAAGAGACAATGTGTGTACCAGATCGGATTGCAAACAGCATGTCATGCTTGGAGATCAGTTCGCCGACAGCTTCGTGTCTCTTCCTGATTTTCTCGTGGTCGGTTGAAGGCTGGAGGATATTGCTTCGCAGAAGTCGAGCACCCATAGGTGTTAGTGTTTCATTCAGCAGCCCATAAAGGCAGTCTTTGGACTTGGCATGTTCGATGTTCTGGACCAACTCCAGAGAAGCAATGGTGGCTAGGTCAATCACCATGGAACCCTCCGCGGTCTCGAATTTTATACGTAGTGTTTGAGGTGCGAAGGTCTTTTGCAATGCCATGTCGGCGAACTTCAAAACCTACCCTCATCAGTGGTTAGAAGTAGCCGGTAGCTGGTGCCATACTGCGGAGAAGCAGCATATTGCAAGGTGATTGCCTGCTAGAGCCAATTTCAGCGACGCCAGATCGTCTGGAAAGGCAAGGCGTTGTAGATAGTCGTAACCACTACTTTCAGACCAATACCGGCGGTCAAGTTTCGTGCCTACTGGGCCGCCGTTATCCACGTCGAGGTTCTCAGAGATGATAGATACGAGCTTCGAATCTGCAGCTTGCGCCATGTAAAGTACTTCGGTAGGTTCATGGACCATGAGTTTGTGGCATGTCCGAATATAAGTTTGAGTGTCTGTGAACTGACAGAGAACAGCTTCGGAAGTGGTAACATTGACGAACGAAAGTCCGACAGTGGAGGATATCCCGGGAGCTTCGCTGATTGCACAGATTGTTTCACTGTTGCTGTAGTCAGTGGATGTTCTGGCTGTCCTGGGACGTCGGCGAGTTGTGTCCGGGACCGGTGTCGTTGCCAATGTAGGCGTGCTGCGTGTGGTACTGAGCGAATCAGTAGCACTCCGGGAGGCAGAAGATCCGCTACGATACGACATGACTGCGAGACAAATGAGCGTGTCTGTCCGTCGGAAACGTTGGGCAAACTCTTGCTTTGCCAACTAGAGACTTCAAGTTGTGGAAACATTCCCTTTGAGAGGACAAAAGACGCGGGGCTTCAAGTTGAAGTCCGAATCGGATATCAATACATCAAGATAAATGGAAGGTTTGCCGACGAGGCTGTCCCCTCACAAGGCTGAGGTCGTCCATTATTTTTTTGAGTCTGCGCTACTACGAGTCTGCGCAGCGACTTCTTCTCTGATCTGCCTACCACTGCTTCAAGAGGCTGACTCAGTCATGGCGACAGTGGTGCCTCCTCCGAGTAAGAGGCAAAAGATTGCCGCTGCCGAAAAGGCAGAAAAGGCTCTGGAGGATGCCAGGATACCAGAGGACTTGGGCAGTGTCAGGGTCCAGTTTGTCGACCAGAGTACTGGGAAGTCGACGGGTCCGGTTGTTGCAGTGCCTGTCAAGGATGCAACTGTCAGGAATCTCGAGACACTATTAAACACTATCCAAGGAAATGTATGGACACTTTTTGCTCGCGGTCGCGCCAGAGTTGCTTGCATGCTGACAGGAAGAACCAGGAACCTGGAGAACGCCTCCCATACCGATTCTTCTTCCGCAACGACCGGTCGACAACGTCTGAATCCGAACTGCTCGATGTACAAACCGATCTATACAACTCTGTCCTGAAACCAGGATTTAAAAGTACCGAGGATAATATCGTCCTCCAATTCATCCCGCAGGCTGTCTTTCGCGTACGTGCCCCCTCGAGATGTTCCGCGTCGATATCTGGTCATGGAGAGGCGATCCTTGCAACAGCCTTTTCACCGGAAGGTTCCTCTAGGATGGCCACCGGCAGTGGAGACAACACTGCGCGAATATGGGACTGTGACACTGGAACACCATTGCACACGCTAAAAGGACATACGAGTTGGGTACTCGTGGTTTCTTGGTCCCCTGACGGCCGCATCCTTGCAAGCGGGAGTATGGATAACACTATAAGACTATGGGATCCAAAGTCTGGCGAAGCCTTAGGCGGTCCACTCAAAGGCCACAACAAATGGGTCACCAGTCTGGCCTGGGAGCCCTATCACACTCAGACACCTGGAAAGCCTCGATTGGCATCAGCCTCCAAGGACGGGACCGTCAGGATATGGGATGTTGTACTACGCCGTATCGAGCAGAGTCTCTCGGGCCACAAGAGTTCAGTCACTTGCGTACGATGGGGTGGCCTCAATCGGATCTTCACTTCGTCACAGGACAAGACGATCAAGATCTGGAACACAAAGACATGGAACTGTCTTCACACTCTCTCGTCGCATACGCATTGGGTCAACCATTTGGCCCTGTCTACAGACTTTGTGCTGCGCACCGCTTACCATGACCACACGGGGAAGGTTCCGGAAACAGTGGAGGAGAAAATCAAAAAGGCGAAATCCAGATTCGAGGAGGCTGCCAGGCAAGAAGGCCGGCTGGTGGAAAAGATGATATCGGCATCAGACGACAACACCATATTCCTCTGGGATCCCTCGGCCATCCCTGGCGACTCCAATGCCACGGTCAAGCCAATCGCGCGACTGCTCGGCCATCAGAAACAAGTCTTGCATGTCTCGTTTTCTCCGGACGGTCTTTACATCGCCTCCGCATCCTTCGACAACAGCGTCAAGCTTTGGAACGCCCGAGATGGCAAGTTCATTGCCACTTTACGGGGTCATGTTGGTGCTGTATACATGGTTGCGTGGTCCAGCGACTCCCGACTCCTGGCCAGTGCTTCGAAAGACACAACAGTCAAAGTTTGGGATGTGAAGACGGGAAAACTGAAGGAGGATCTGCCAGGCCACAAGGACGAAGTCTTTGCCTTGGACTGGAGTCAAGATGGGAAGTGTGTCGCCAGCGGTGGCAAGGATAAACAGGTGAAGCTCTGGAAGCATTGATTGTTCGGCTTACATGATGGTTATTTAAAATGACGGCACTTGGGAATTGTAGAATTCGGGAAATTCGCTATGGATGGGAAATGCAGATACCCCTGGGTTTCGAGAATGGAAAACACGGACAGCAATGCGATCGGACTCGCTTTGGGTAAAATTACAAACGTTCAATTTTAATGAAATTTGTATGTCTCCATTCTTTACAAAACAAGCACCGATCGTCTCACCAACTGGGAATATGACGAGTTCTTGCCCACTTGACCGAGCGCCTTCATCTCCATCTCCATTTGCTATACCGTCATCACGGCCGGGGAGGAGCCCCACGCCCAACAGGAGGATTGTACACGATTTTTCTGTTCTTGATAGGAGTCCACTTGTATCGCTTAACCCAGCCGCTCAAAGCTAGTAGGGCCGTGCCGATGATGAGAACCTTGATACCCATTTTCTTGCGGTCGTCCATCTCGGGTTCCGCAGTCCAGTTGAGGAATTCGACCACGTCCTTGGCCATCTGGGAGGTCGTAGCCGGGGTGCCATCTTCATATTCCACCAGGCCATCATACAGCACTCGCGCCATTGCAATACCGGTTCCAGGGAAGTAAGGGTTGAAGTTCAAGCCTGATTGAACAGTGGCGCCAGCGGGTGGCTCTTCGGGGTAGCCGGTCAACAAGCTGAAAATGTAGTTGCAGCCGCCGTGTCGGGCCTTGACCATAAGTGACAGATCCGGAGGCAAAGCACCGTTGTTGGCAGCACGCGCGGCTTCGTCGTTCTTGTACGGGGCCGGGATATAATCCGACAGCTTTCCGGGTCTTTTCTCGATTTCGCCCTCGTCGTTGGGTTCGGTGTCGTATTCGTTCTGTTCTGCCAGAGCCTTGGCTTCATCGACCGTCATAAACGTTCCAACCAAAGCTCGATATGGGATACGCTTAAGAGAGTGGCATGAGGCGCAAACTTCTTGGTAGACCTGGAAACCTCTTCGAAGACTGAAAAATGTCAATTTTGTGATCCTGTCGCGATTCAATCAATGCTTACGCTGCATGGTCAAAAGTCTTCGTCCACTTCGCGTGCTCCCACGGGTACTGTGTCGGGTGCAAACTAAACCCCAGTCAGCTGCATCTTCCTATCCGTTGACCGCGCAAGCTCACCCCTCCTCTGCTGGTGTCATGGCGAAAACATCTCGGCCGTAAAGATGATAGTACCAAGCGATCGAGCCGATCGTAGCTAGGGTTGCGGCGGAGGCGCCCGCTGTGAGGTAGAAAGGAGATGAGACGGCCTCGGTGGAAGTCGAAGATGCGGTACGCTGCGTTAAGCGTCAGTAGAGATGCCATATGCGTACAATTGATCTTCGTGAGAGCCAGTCCGTATGGAGAACACTGACCGTCGTTGTCTTGCGGACAATGTTTCGTGCAGCTGCCCTCAACGGGGTGCCACGGACTGCCGACGTGGCCAGCATCATGTCCAGAAGCCGTATGCGCCCTCGACAGCAGATGTTGGATCGTCCGTACACTGGAGTAGAGAAGCAAACGATGCTCGTTTGTGGAGCTAGAAAAGAGTGTTGAAGTCCACAATTGCGGTAGAGGGACTGAAGTTGCAAGCTTGAAGAACTGAAGCTCAGATGCACATTCTACCAACTTGGTATTGGATGGCATCTGATTGGCTGAAAGATGTGTGGGCCTTTATCATTTGCTACAGCGGACCACAGCGCAGCAGAGAGCCAAACCGCGGAGCACACGGCAGCACAGCGCCAAACTATGTCTACCGCGTCACTCTGCTGTGGACGGCTGCGCTGCTATATCCGTGTGTACAAGTACTTGGTGATGTCCGACCGGACGCGGTCCAGTTAATGATTCGTCTAGCTTCACCTCTGACAGACGCCGACTGTGAGCTTGTATTTTCTCTCCACGGCCACTGACCAGAGCTGGTGATGTCTCTAAATGGCTCCAAAAATCCCTCTTGGAATGATCAGTTCAAGAGCACCAACCAGCGCGACTTCAAGGTCCAGCTCATCATCTCAGTCGTGTTCGGCCTGAGCGCATTCCTCTCCTTCTGTGTATGACCCTATCCTCTACGAAAGCTGGACCTGCTTATGCTGATTGCGCTCAGGTGCTCCGACCAAAATGGACGAGTCTGTACCATGCCCGGAAGAAGCAATCCACCGCTGCTTCACGGCTGCCCGAGCTGCCAAAGACTATGTTCGGATGGATCCCAGTGCTGTACAAGATTTCGCGAGAAGAGGTGCTGGCATCAGCTGGGCTTGATGCATACGCTTTCCTCGCCTTCTTCCGCTATGCAATTAAATACCTGTCGATCACGTTGTTCTTCTCGCTCACGATCATCTTGCCGGTCAACTGGAAATTTACTGGACAACCGCCGCTACTCTATCCTCCGATCAATGGATCCGATCCTGACAGTGCTGCCATTTTCTTTGTACTGGCTGACAAGTCGAAAAAGCCGAAGAACCCGGCCATTGAGAAAGACAACAGCTATCTGTGGATGTATGTTGTGTTTGCATACTTCTTCACGTTCGTGGCTATTTACCTCCTCATTGCCGAAACCACGGACCTCATCAGAGTTCGACAAGCATATCTCGGCAGCCAGTCGACGATCACTGATAGGACGCTGCGATTGTCCGGGATACCTCCGGAGCTGAGATCTGAACAAGCGATCAAGGACTTTATCGAGGGGCTGGAAATTGGCAAAGTTGACAGCGTTATGCTCTGTCGAAATTGGCGCACGCTGGACAACCTCATGTCAAAGCGCATGGCATGCCTGAGAAAGCTTGAAGAAGCTTGGGCTGATTATCTAGGTCATGATCGATCAGTACATGCATCACGCGGCCGCCGCAGGCGTGCCAACCCCCTGGGTACAGAGCACGAAAACGGGGCACTCTTGTCGCGATCGGAGATGGAGGAGGCGCATGCCACAATCGGTGATAGGCCTAGGCCTACCTTCAACATGCGGTACGGGCCACTCAACATCTACAGCAAGAAAATCGATGCCATCGATTATTATGAGGAAAGATTAAGGATGTTGGACGAACGGATTCACGCCTTGCGGGACGCCGAGTTCAGACCAACAGCCCTGGCGTTTGTTACAATGGAGTCAACAGCAGCCTGTCAGATGGCTGTCCAAGCCATCCTAGACCCTACCCCTGGCCGACTACTCGCTAGTCTGGCACCACCACCTGCCGATGTCGTTTGGAAGAATACTTATCTTTCGCGAAATAACCGAATGATACGATCCTGGACTATCATGGTGTTCATTGGGCTGTTGACCATCTTCTGGGCTGCCGCGCTGGCTCCTTTGGCAGGTCTGTTGAGTATCGAGGTTATTGATAAAGTCCTTCCAGGACTTGCCGCAGCCCTCGAGGAGCATGAAATCATCCGCTCACTTGTTCAAACCGGTCTTCCAACATTGCTGTTCTCGCTCCTGGCTTTGGCGGTGCCCTATCTGTACGATTGGCTTGCCAACCAGCAGGGGATGGTCTCTCAGGGAGACGTCGAGTTGTCTGTCATCTCCAAGAACTTCTTCTTCACTTTCTTCAACCTGTTTATCGTCTTCACCGTCTGGGGATCGGCATCTACATTTTATGAATTCTGGCAGGACTTGCGAGACATTCTCCGCGACACAGCCGGTATTGCCTACGCCGTCGCAAAGGCTCTGGAGCAACTCTCACCGTTCTACGTCAACCTTATTGTCCTTCAAGGGTTTGGACTGTTTCCATTCAGGCTCCTGGAATTCGGTTCTGTTGCACTGTACCCCTTCTACCTCATCACGGCAAAGACGCCTCGAGACTATGCAGAGCTTGCCAAACCACCCGTTTTCAGTTACGGCTTCTACCTGCCGCAGACCATGCTCATTTTCATCATCTGCATCGTCTACAGCGTTCTTCCGTCATCCTGGATGATAACATTGTTCGGCTTGATTTACTTCCTCATTGGTGGCTTTATCTATAAGTACCAGTTACTTTACGCCATGGAGCACCGCCAACATTCCACGGGCCGGGCCTGGCCGATGATATGCGACCGTATTGTCACTGGCCTCATTCTTTTTCAAGTGGCGATGACCGGCATCTTGGCCCTGCGCGGCGCATTGACCGCTTCCTTGTTTCTCTCACCGCTCCTGGCCATCACGGTCTGGTTTACGGTGTATTTTCACCGGACTTATGTCCCTCTTATGAAGTTCATCGCACTTCGAAGCATTGATCGCACAGACCTTCTGCACCTTCCATCGCCTCCGGAATCCACCTGGGACAGAGATACTGATTATGGCCGGAACGTGGATACGGACCCCGAGACCGGTCTTCGGTATATCAACCCCAACCTAGTGCGGCCACTGGAGAGTTTGTGGATACGGCGTCCTGGACATGAACGCTCTCAGTCCGCGTAGGACTTCAAACCTCTAATTTTTTCGAACTTTCATTGTCTTGAGCATAGCAAGCGAGCGATTGATTTGGTTTCCAAATATTTAGATACCCAATGTCGCCATTATTATCACACCACCTTTCTAGGCGTCTTTGGAGCACATAGCCTTACAATGGTGCAAAGCTGCCAATCGACGAATCTGCGGAGCATTCAACCAACGACAAATCTGATTGCCCCTTGAATGTATGAGTCAGTAAGCAATCGGGGCAGCATTCCGAGGCTTTGATCACGTCGCTCTTCCTTGTCGGCCACAACCCACAGCATGAGCACTTGCCGTCAATCACCCGTCTCCCACTCTTCAGCAGTAGCGACTTCGCACCTCGATGTTCCTGTAAAATCTTGCCATGATTTTACTTCTTGAGTCCGCTTTATTTATCCCTCTCTTTCTAATCCCTAGCCCTAATTTTCTTACTCCCACAGTCCGTCTCTCATTATCCCCTACTTATACATACACCTTCTAGCTCAGCGCCACCGTGGCGTACGAAATCCTCGTGTCTCGCGGGATTGCGTCTGTCCACGATCGCGGAACCAGAATGCTTCATCTTACGGAGCAATCCCCAGTCGGACGACTAAGCTCAACAATATATGCCGAGCCTGCCACACTTGCTTTTACCTCTGATCGATCCTTGCGGACGGTGATGGGCCTACATGTGAGGCCGCAACCACCACATGGGAAGCACGGGAAGTGCTACCAGCAAAGGATTCTCACGGTGCCGGAAGGTTCATCGGAGTACAACATTCGACAACTGTTTCATCAGAAGCAATTGGCGAAAAGAGAACAGTCATTCGTGCGATGCCGGCTGCAGGAGAAAGACCCAATCTGCCATACTCAACCCTGCTCGTGCGGCACCGAAGTTGCCATGTCAGCTTACCCTTGCGGCAAGTCTGACAATGAAGGGTTTCAGCATTCTTGTTTCAGCGGACACAGTGATCGAATGATTGGGCTGCCCAACTACCTACCCACCGCTGATGTGCATTCCCCGAGCAACATTGCCAACTTGGACGGGGCATGCGATGAGCCGGACGAAGACTTAGCTACCGTCATCAAGCGAAGCTGTAGCCTGTTGCCCTTACATCCTCAGCCTGCTCGACTCTCGAAAGTCCGTTTCTTATCCGATGAAAATCTCCGGTCCCGGGAAAACTCTCTACTTCCCAATGACGCGCCTTCTCAGCAACAGATAAATGGTTTCACTAATCCTTTCTCTGAGGAAGGCAGTATTCAATCCCGAAGAACTTCGAGTTCTTCTGACACCGCGGGTTACCTGCGCCCAAATGCCTTTTCCGGTCATCGCGACACCCTAGCGAGATTGCCATTATCGGGCACAATGCACAAGTGTAGTGGAAGCATCTGGGCCACAGAATCCACGTCCGACGATTCGGAATTTGCAGACGAGCCGTATGAATGCTACGGGTTTCGGGGCTCCGGGCCTATCTTTCCGCGCCGTGTGATTGTTCTACTACTCAGCTATTTGTCTTTTGAGGACTACAAAAATCTGCGGTTGGTGTGTCGTCGGTGGAACAGCGAACTTCCTCGGCCAAACTTTCCTGCTCTTTATCGTATACCCCGAGAGCTGCTTCAAGAAATCTATTCTTACCTATCCCCTTGTGACTTTGATGCAGCTCGGCACACTTGCAGAGCATGGTACCTTGCCAGTCTCGATGCGGGTATTCAAAAGCTCATGCTTCAACGCAATGGTTGTCAGGACGCTTTTTCGGCGGATATTTGCTGCCTGAAAGAGGATTCATTTGGTTATCCGCGTAATTACAGCGAGACGGTCAGACAAACGCAAACGTTGGGCCCCAGCGTTTTCGGAAAGGAGTGGATCTGTTCGAAAAGACTGGCTACAGAGAACAGGCTCTCGTCGCAGTGGCAGAGGACTGACTCGGGCAGTGGGGATGGTATCTCTAGACTCTTTTTAGTAAAAGAAGTGGATTTTTCGGCGGTCCTGGACCAGCAATCGGCGGAGGAAAGACATATGTTTACTGCTTCGGCATGCGGAAACTTTGTCCTTGTTCTTCAAAACAATGACATCCTGGTATACAGACTATGGGATACAGAGCAAGCACTGAAGCCAATCGTTCGTCTCATTGCTGGCACACAGGCCTTGGAGGTCAGTATGGATACCAGCTCAGAAAGGTACGCCGTCGCCGCCCTGCTTGAAGGTCGCATTGGTATGCTCTGGGATATCAGCGAGAATACATCAGACGTTCGGCGAGGCCATGAAGTTGGCGAACCGCTGAACCTGGGTTTACAAACCGACATCCAGAGTTCTGCCCGAGCTCCGACATCACAGTTACTCCACGGTCACGTACCTGTGCGCTCCCATGAAATGCATGCAGGCGCAGCTAACGGATACTACGTTTCACCTTTATCTCTGTTGAGGGGTACTTCTTCACCGGGATTTGTCCCTAGTCCTCCGTTTATGTGGGATGAGCATTTCCCTGGACAGAGTGGTACACACTCTGGAAGCTCTACGCATGGTGATTCAGACGAAGAATCTGCCACTACCGGGATACCAATCCAAGCTCGGCCCACAGCAATTTATACCGATCTTGGAAGCCCGGAGGACCCCCCACGAAGCGTGGCCATCTGTCCCAATCGGAAATGTGTTGCATTTGGTTGCCGCCTGGGCATCGAACTTCACTGGGTTAACGCCCTGACTGGAGGAGACCTCAGTCGCTGGTTTCCCCTTGCGGCGCCTAGTGATTATCTCTACTTCTTGCCTCAGCGACCTGGCATTGACTCGAGGAAGAAGCTGAGATTAATCTCTAGCGCTGCAGGGCCGATGACCAGGCATGCAAGCAAAGCTGATGCTTCGACTTCCAGATTGGTTAACACGCCGGCATCTGCTGCCTACGGCCGGCGGCAGACATTGACGAGGTTGTTCTTTGGCAATCTGCCCTTTCCTACTTCCGCTACACCCGTTGGAAGCAGGTCTGATCCGGAGATGCCTACAGAGCGGGACGAAACCCAAGGCGTTCTGAGGACTGTGGATTGCGATCACTTCCGTGCAGTGCCGATCAGTGACGGCTCTCACCTGCTCTTTACTGATCCCTCATCTGGACTTCTGTGCTTGGGCAGTGATGCACCACTAGGAGGCCCGACAAAACTCGTTCGAAAGATTATGTTTATGCCTCCGACGACGGAGTCAGTAGGCCCAAGTGTGCCTTTGGTCTACTCTGCTGGCAAGGCTCTCGAGTGGGGCTTGCGTGTCGTTTCGTTCTATGCCAACGGGGAGCTTGTCCTGTTCAACGTCCCGTCTGACTTATTTCACCAAATTCAAGCCGAGCAGACCAGTTTTGACGCATGGGACGGAAGCTCTACGATTGGAGTCGATCCAGCCCCGGCAACGTCCCCTGCCAATGCCACTAGAAGCATCTTCCCAGGCACTATTTCCGGTGCTAGCCTTGCCTACGTCGGGCAGGATTTTATTGATGATCTTGCTGTTCATACGCAGGGTGGTGGCTTCTCCCTGTGGGTATTTTACCGAAGTGGCCGTGCTGAACTGTACCGCATCTATTCGCCTGGCCCAGCTCGAAAGATACTGGAGCATGTGGAAGGTGATGGGTTGGTCTACGAGGATACATACGGCACCGAGGAAGACTCTCGCCAGAGCGATGAAGGAGTTGTGTTGGATTTGCAAGCTTCTTCGACTACTGGGCATGTCAAATGGGCCGGTAGACACACATGAGTTTTGGCTTGTACTGTAGTATTGGTGTGATTGCATGAGCCGATGGGCAACAATTGAGCTCACACTTGCGTTTGGTGCTGAGACCAACCAATCTTCACTTTCATCTGTGCTCCCACCTGAACTTGTGCGAGTGGATCGGGCGAGGGTTGTAGGAAGCGCCATCAGTGGGCAAGAGCTATAGGGTGGTCGATAGATTAGGCTCTATACAATAGGCCTTCCAACCGGGCTATTCCTCAGTACTATTTTCCGTTCCGGACCATCATTCAAGCATGATCATGCACTCCTCTTATATGCACTCAAGATGTTCAACAAAGTGTAATCACATGAATCGCGGCTGTGCAGCTGTGCCGACATGCAAACGTTACTGCTCATCCAGTGCTTGCAGGATCGCCTTGGATAATCTCTCGACCTGCTCCTGGGTTGTGATCAAACTTGTCATGAAATAGACAATATCACCCAAGACGCGGGAATGGATTCCACAACCCTCGGCGTCGAGCAGAGTAAGCAGACGTGACTGCAATGATGACGACGCGGTAGATGTGTACCCCGAGCCTTCGGAGGCAAGCTTAAGGACGAGGACGGTGCCGAGGGCGAAAGAGCCATGGATGCGAGGATGGTGTGACAAGCGTTCAACCAGAGACGGCGACCAGACAGAGTAAACGTTGGGGGACGATGATGTAGAAGGAGACGATGAGGATGTGGAGGAGGTAGATGTGGAAGAGGTTGTTGTAGTAGTAGTAGATGCCGGTGGAGCTACTAGCCAGGATTTCTTAAACGCATCCCAGGACCCGTCAATGTCCATGCGGCGGTATTTGTCCAGGGCTTTATTGGCGACCATGCAACCTATCGGATGGGCGGTGTAACTGTGGCCATGGAGTAATGCGTCGGTCTTTGACTCGGACAAAAAGGTCTGGAAAATGGATTCGCTGGCCGTGGTCAATGCCAGTGGAAGTAGACCTGCGGTCAGGAGTTTGGCGTGGACGGAAATGTCTGGAGCGATTGATGCTGGTAGTAGAGATTGTGGCTGTTTGGCGGTGGAAGGGGTGACGTTATCCGTGGGAGACGACAGGAATGAAGATGAGCTGGCGCGGCCTAGACGATATAGACCGGTAAAGACTTCGTCTGCGATGACAGGGAGACCGGACCAGTTTGTTGCAGTACTGGTACTGGTACTGGCATTGGTATTGGATGGGTCAGTCGGTGTGCCGATGAGCTCTGGATTCGATCTGATGACGGTGATTAAAGACCGTTGAAACAGCGGATCTACAAAGATCATTCCCCCCGCGCCCATGAGCAATGGCTCCAGTATCAGTGCACCGAAGCGGCGGCCTTGGTCACGGACGAGTGCGTTGAGGGTGCTTTTGATGTGTTGCTCGTAGCGCGCGGCGTCGGCGGCGCGAGAGTCGAAATCAAAGATTTCATCGAGAGAGGAGAATTTATGGGTATTACGGCCCTGGCTCTGCATTTGCATTCCGTCAGGCAGAGTCAATTCCCATTTCCCCTGGCGCATTAAGAGAGACGGCGGCTCGAACCAGTGGCCCCACGGTTGATGCCAGTCGACTTTTTCGTTGAACACGTTGGGTTCGGAGCAGTTCATGACCCCGATCGTGTCGCCGTGGTAGCTGCCCTTGAAACCTAAAATTGAAACCGGAGGTTCGGTGTGGTTGTTTTCTTCAGGTTTGCTCCATCCGTATCGCTGGCATGACGCACGCAGGGCCATCTTCACCGCGACTTCCATCCCCGTGCTGCCGTTGTCGGTGAAAAAGACACGGTTGAGGCGTGGGTTTTGGAGTGTCGAAAGTAAATTGTATGACAAGTCCAGCGCTGGCTCGTGTACAGCGTGGGCAAACATGACGTGTCCGTACCGTCCGGCCGCGTGGGCTGCCGTCAGTGCTATGTCCGGGTTGCCGTGGCCTAAACCTTGAGTCCACCATGAGGCGGAGGCATCGAAGAGGGGTGTCAAAAGCGGTTTGGCAGGCGGTATCGCTGCAAGGGGAGTGAGGCTGCCGCCGTTGATTGAGGGCGTTGTAGGAGTGTTGGTGTTGGTCAAGGCTGGATCGGATTCTTGATCATAAGCTTGGAAATAGTCCCCGTACGCCGAGTCGATGGCAATGATGTTATGCGGGATCCCATGCTGTCGGAAGGGATGCCAAATGACTGAATCGGCCTTGGACGGCATGGAAGTCAGCTTGGAAACGCGCGAGAAGTGCTTCTGCTGCAGCAGGTCGATCAGATTCGTGATGAAATCCGATTCAGAGCATTCTTGGTAGTAGTCGGCAAGCACGGCCTCGTCGTCTCGTGGATCATCTCTCCTTGCAGGTGGGAGCGGCAGCGCGTGAGTCTCGACGCCGTGCTTCTCCTGAAAATGTCGTTCCAGGTACCCGTAGTTGCCCCATTGCGGGTCGTCGAACAGGATGACCGAATCGAGATCGTAGCCTCGCACGTGCAACGATTCAAATGCCGAGATGGTCGTGCTGATCCCGCCTAGCTTGCTGTCGCCGATGAGAAGCGTGGGTAGTCTCAGCGGTCGGTATAGGTCTGCTTGGAGTGATCCCGATGGTCCCGGAGATAGAACTCCACCGGCGGTCTCGAGGATGGCGTATCTGCCGCCTGCTTGGCTGTGGTTGCTGAGGATCTCTTTGATTTGCCTGACGATAGAAGCGTCAGACCTGGGTATCTGTATTCGCAAGACGATTGTTTGTTAGAATCGGGTTGATGTACAGGGGGAATGGGATATCATTTTGGGGACTGGGTGGTCGAGTACCGAACTATTTCCGTGCTGTTGGGCTGCCAGGTGAGGACTCAATGGTTGCGAGAACTGCGAAATGCATTTCGAGTTGATGCCCGGCACGTATTGTCTTATATGTCTGTTGCCGTTCAGGTGAGATTGATACAAGCAATGAAAATATGATCAGCTTACCTGTCGTCAGCCTCAGCTTGCGGTCCAGTCGAGACGGGCTTCAGGTAAAGGAGACCGTTGGGCGAGGCTCGACGCTGCAGGGCACGACATAATATGGTCGAGACGATGGTCTTACCAACGTCGGTGTTGGCCCCGTAGACCTGCCATGCCTTCAAGTCCCGCCAGAGCATCCCGAAGAATTAGTCAACTGGGCATAGGCGACGAATTGAAGTATACCAGATAGCTTGGTAGAAAGAGCTTCGTTGAGATCCAGGTACCTGGTCATAGACCCCAAATTCCCCACTGAATCGTCTTTCCCCTGCCAAGCTTTTAGATCTCTAGCTCCCGAGATTTGGATGTTTCCGATTGGATTGACAGCCGAGGTACATCGTTTGAGTTTCCCGTTCCGATCGTCATGCGTCTTGTTCCCCGGCCCCGGGTCAGCCTTTCTCGATTTGTTGAGTCAACATGTTTCTATAGGGTTGAAGTGCAATCACTCCTCAGTTATTAGCCGTACTTGAGAGGCTGGAGATGTCTGGGTTTTAATGTCCATTGCTCATTTCAGTCAAAATGTCCCCAGGTCCACTGGAACAGCGACTGAGCGCCCTGCTTGAGAAGCGACGTGCTCAGTCCAGGCTGCGAATCTTAAAGTCCAGCCCACCCGACTCGGTGGACTTTTCATCAAATGATTTCCTCTCGTTATCCACAAACAGGGAGTTTCATGATGACTATCTTCGGCGGCTGAACGAGAGCAGTACGCCCTTAGGCTCAACAGGATCGCGATTACTAGACGGCAATTCTCAATATGCTGAGGACCTGGAACGTGAACTGGCAGCCTTCCATGGGGCCGAAGCGGGACTTTTGACGAACTCAGGCTTTGATGCCAACATCAGCATATTTTCATTCCTCCCAAACGAGGGCGATGTGATTGTCTACGACGAGTTGATCCACGCCAGTGTTCATGACGGTATGCGGCAATGCCGAGCAAAGAACCAGATCCCATTCAAGCACAACGATGTTGAAGATCTGCGGCGGATCTTGAGAGAAGTACAGCAGCATTCAGACTTTCCCGGGACGGTCTTTGTGGCTGTCGAGACAGTCTACAGCATGGACGGAGATCTGGCACCGTTGACGCAAATCGTGAAATTGATGGAGTCAATGTTTCCCAAGAAAAACGCCCATCTCATCGTCGATGAAGCCCATGCTACGGGCATCTATGGACCGAATGGCTCAGGAAGGGTTTGCGAACTTGGACTTGAAAAGCGCGTGTCTATTCGGCTCCATACGTTCGGCAAGGCTCTCGCGACCAATGGTGGTAAGTCCAATAAGACAGTATAATAGTCTTCACTCGAGGTACTGACTGATTGATTTCCAAGCTATCATCCTCTGTTCTCCGCTCATCCGGTTGTATCTTATCAACTATGCTCGACCTTTGATCTACACCACGTTTATGTCTTACCCGAACCTTGTCGCTATCAAAACGGCATACATTTGGCTTCGGGGCGGCAAAGCAAACATTGTAAGTCATAATTACTCTAGGTCATCTCAAGTTTGCTCCAGCAAGCTTACCTTTGTCACTCTCTACTATAGCTTGCAGCGAAACTGTACCATCTCATCAACCATCTTTACACAAAACTCCAGGCCCTGGCCATACTGGCTTCGGAGGCAACTGATGCATCAGGAGTCCCGTTAGTCACATTCCCCACGACATGTCCCGAATCACCCATATTTGCCCTGTTGAGCCCCCATCCTCGGTCCCTGGCTTCATACTGTCAAGCCGCGGGGTTTATTGTGCGTCCTGTCGTGGCTCCGACGGTGCCGGCAGGTACTGAGCGGGTGAGAGTGTGTTTGCACTCCGGAAACACAGTTGAGCAGATTGACAATCTTGTTGCATGCGTCAAAACGTGGATTCTGAAGGAGAGGGCAGCATCTGTTCAGCAGGATGAAAGACAATTACTCGCTAAGATTTGAGTGAGTGAATGAGCTTGATAGTACGTACTGGCATCGTATTAAGCTATGCTTGGCTATTCTATGCTATGCTTTGCTCCTGGCATCCATTTTCCTGGACACTCAACAAACAGCCTTTCCTCAGGCATTGATCACTGGACTTCAACCATGCCCGCACAATTTGCTACCTGGGTAACACGGCACACCATCATTCTTCTCCGACACCATCTTCTTCGAGATCATCTTCTTCGGAACCAACTGTCACAAGCCATCTTCGTGCCAGAAACTGGAACTTGCGCAAATTGAATGGACTTGGCCAACCGCATTCTTCTGCTGCACCCGCGACAAGCACGTATGTGCGATCCCTCTCGTAACACTAATTTCAGCAGAAATTAGCATCCAAGCCGTTCATTTCATTTCGTCTGGACCTGGACAAAAGAAGATATATTTGTTCTTACCTGTGATCCATCAGGGTTTGTACGCAGATGCATAGTGGGCTGCACAATCTCCAATCCGTAGGGGACTTCGTCGAGTTTGTGACAGCGTTGCTGGATTTCTCTCAACACCGTGACTGCGTTTCTCGCTGGCACGGACTTGAAATCGCCAGTACCGTCCCATTGGCGGATTGTACCTAGATGGAAAGATCTGGTTAGTATCATAATAGTAGGAGATCATACGAGGTCGAGGTCTTGCTTACCTTTAGCGACGTCCAAGACCAAAGCATAGCCACGACCATTCTCTCCAAAATTAGTCAGAGCAATAAAGCAGTTCTTGCGGTCCGCGGGATGTTGGCCAGTTGCATTATGGATATGTTCCGCAGCCAGGAGACTGGTCGTGGACCCGAAGTCGACAATCGGGGAATTGGGAATCATGTCGCCACTTCCTGCAATGGCCCAGGGAAGCGCTTCGAGGAATTGGACTGCGGCGAGGCTCATACCCATTCTGAGACACTTGTTGCCGTCGAGGTCGTGTGGTGGATATTTGATGTCACGATGCTCGATGTAACCGATCTTCACGAACAGTCTGTAGATGGCTCTCAGGGACCTCGCGATTCTCTGGGTTCTCTTGGGCATTCGAGCGAAGAATTCGGCCACTTTCCTTGGGTCGACTGGAGCGCGTGCCATGCCGGGAGGATTGACAGAAGGGCCTGCCATGACGGGTGGAAGCTGCGCCATGATTCGGGACTCGGTGGTATAAAAGATGTTTTGGCAGGACAGACTGGAGGGAGAAATGGATCAATGCAGAGCAGATTCATGGACTTGAAACAGAAGAGCATAGCTGTCTCCAAGCACTCTGGGTTAAGGAACTCAGAGGAGAGAGGAGAGACAAGTGATGAAGAGAGAAGGACAGAGACGATAGAGAAGCGTGGTGTAGACATCTCAAATAGTGCGCCCATTTGGGTCGAGCCGCACGTAAAGGTGCCAAGGACATCAGGGGATTCAGCCTCGCGGCTGGAGAGTGCGGCTGATAGGGAGATGCGGCTGAGTTGTATGTTTCCTTCCAGTGGTAGAGGGTCCAAGACAGTGACGGGGCTGGAGATGCTACCGTTGAACTGACTCCGTACCTGCGACGCTAAGTGCTCTGTCTTCAGCCTGTGTTGTTTGGCTTGTCGTATTCTTCCTAGCTGCCATGCCAGGGTCTTGTTAATTTTTCATATATAGTCCTGGAGAACATCGTAACTCTCTGTCTGAATGCTTGTTGCCATAGACGGGCCACGACATGGCTCACACACTTAACTGTGGCTGCCCTGTCTTTTGTTGTGGCTGTTCAACATGGAGGTCCAGGTCAATCCATTGTCACCGGAAGCACTTCATCACCACGACGACAGTCGGTAAAGATAAAGGGGGATGCAGCAAGAAGGGGGTTTGAGGACAATACCGTTCGTGCTATGGCCCATGCTTCATTCGACAGGTAGGCGGTGGGAGTCGATGAATGTCGCATGGCGGCCACATGCTTTGGTCGAGGGTGCTTCAGCGCCTTGAAGCATCGCTCGCCAGGCCCTTCTTCTGGACAGGGCGCGCGGGGAGGACAAAGATCTGATATAGTATATAATGATGAAGCTGGAATAAAGGCTGTGAGGCGGTCGCATCAGGTGTCGCCAGCGATAAGGCTACGCTAATCCCACCAAGCCTTAGCGCATTCAGAGTGCGAATTGCCACTGACTTCAATCTTCCACTGGACAGTCTATGCCGGAGTGGGATCTCAGAGTGAATCTAGTGTCATACTTGTCACTTTACGTCGCTGCCCAGTCTTTGTGAAGGTCCAACTTGACATTAAATTATTCACAAGTCATGAGTTGATGAGTTGATGAATTCGTTCCTGAACAAATGCCTACGTAGAACTTGCACTTGAATCTTCACAATGTCGCCAAGAATGTTTCACCGTAGCGCCGCTTTAGCGTGAATGAGCACCCCCAGCTTGAGGCAGCAAGATTTTGCCGTCGCCACAAATTCGACCACTTTCATCTACCAAAAAGTCGGGCCAGAAGCCGGGCTCGAACTGCTGACCTCTGGAAATGTTCGATCTACGACCTGAGCTTTTTGTAGTAGCAGATTCAAGCAGCAAAAAAAACTTGAAGTACTCTTTGAGAAGCGTGTCATCCTTAGTGCAGGGGCCATGCTAATCTTCTCTGTATCGTTTCAAATTGACCAAATTGCCGTTAAACGGCGACAGAATTTGGAGGTTACAAACATATAAGCTATGATTTTTCGAAGTGGATCCGTGCACGTGACTGGAGCTTTTTGGCATTCTTGCCTGTTGTGGTCCTTCACTGCGCTGCTCTATCTCAGCTTGGTCGCACAATGTGCCTGCAGTGGTTGCAGAGTGATGGGTTTGGCCAAAGTGGTTGTCTTGAATGTCCCTCGTGAATGTGACAACTGTTCGCATTCCTTTCTGCATCGAGGTGTTTCACTTGTCAATAGCAATGCCTAAGGTAAGGAGCCTAGAACGACGTTGTCGACAAAAAATATGCCCAGGCAAAGCTGATTCATATTATACACAGATAATGAAGGTCTTGCTCGATTCTTCCAGTTCTGTCAGCTTTTGCGTCCTGGTTCAGTGTGATATATAACATACAAACGACAGCGGTAAGGTGCCCATTATAACGCAACTATGCGCTGTACTTGAGTTCTTACCAAGCGCTGAACGGTTGCTTCGCAGAGAAGGATGAAGGTACGAAGTATAACTTAACCAATGCACGAAAGTTGGAGTTTTGGATTGTGCGGGAGAAGTAGCGGGGCATTGGCATATCCAAGTGTGGCGGCTCTACAACGTTACAGCCCCGCGCTTCGGTCTGTTTACACCGAAATCATTTCTGCTCGTATTTTCGGCCTTTTCAGCTACCTAGGTTATCAACGTCCAATTGCAACGTACGGATCTTTAAAGGTTGCGTCCTTCGGACAGAGGCTCAAGGCATATATGAGGTCACTGAAAGCACCCTGGCGCGCATAGGACCGTGGTCTCGTGAAGTCGAATCTTGAGCTTCTTGGGCGTTGCAATCTGTCGTGGAAAGAGCAGCATGACACCGATTATCATAGCGGCGTGTTATACCAGACATATCTGCCACTTCCACAAGCCACAGGTCCTCGCAGAATGCTACCTATACAAGCCATCATATTTTCTCTCAGCAATCGCCCGAGTGGCACCAGTCACGTCCTTCTGCATACCTAAATATAAATACAAGATATTGGACCTTGCGGAGACTCGTCCTGCTGCATCCTCCTGATCCCCACTTCAAGTTCTACCTTATTAGCTTGCCTTGCTATGGTAGTGTGCCTAGTGAACGCTCCCGACGCTGCCGAAGTACAAAACTGTACAATCCGAAGAAGGCGGAAGAGTCCCTCATTGTCTGTCGTACAAGATGATTTGCAGACCAAGGCATCAGGCCGCAGCAGAAGAGTGAAACGCGATCCCTGGCAGCGGGGTTCATATCGTATCCTCGGCCGCTGCAGTAGTTGTAGTTGTGTGCTCAAGCTCAAGTTCCAAGTCAAGATTGCATCTGTTGCTCCCAAGACATAGGGTACAGTATATCTGCACTACAACGTACAGGCTATACAAACAGATACTACAATAATGTAGGAACACTAGCCACACTGGCGGCTTTGACCGCAACTTGAAGCCCGGTTAATAGCGGCTGGCAGGCAGCACGACTGGCAACATCAATCTCGTGCTAACCAAATAGCACTGGCACGCAACTTGAACGGCATGGACATTCCTGAAATGGTAAAGAACGCTGTAGATCTCGGATGCCGGCGTTGCCACTTGCATGATCTCCGAACTTGAATGCAAATGCACGGCTGGGTGCTAAGGTGCTGCGGTACAGTACTAACCACCTCAACTTGCATGCCTTTGGGTCCTTTGGGACACCTTGACCTCCTATGCTGGGGCTTCTTCCGGACGCTCAGCTGCCTGAGGCGGCTATACAATGTAGACCTGCGCAGGTAAGCTTGCGCAAAAGCACAAACACAAAATGTACCTACAACGTTGTAGTTAATGCTGGACAGGCACTGCACGGTATTTACCTAGGTACCTAATCCACCCACTATCGAGCGACTTCGGATACACCCACAGCCACCCGGAATTGCAAACAGCGCGGAACTGAAGCATGCTACCTGTAATCTCCATAAACGTCTCCTTACTACTAGAACCTTAGGTAGTATACATTGTAGGCACGGTGCCTGCTATAATAAGGTAGCTCTCTAGGCCGTAGCTCTAGTAGTAGCCCAGGCCAGAGCCCCTTTTCCAATGGTCCCTGACAGCATCCTCCGCAAAGGTCAAGGTATCTTCCGGCGACATAACGTCTCTTCGGCGACCAAGCCGAGCACCACCTCCCCGCGCCGAGATCTCAAGTCAAGGGTAAAGTTACTTTTTTACCCTCATGAGCCCAGCACAGCCCAGCCCAGCCCTTGCGTCGAAACACGAGTCGTTTGGTATCGCGGCGGAGAATGCTCGGCCACGCTCTTTTCTTGGTCAGTGTGCCTGCAGAAATGAGGCCTGAAACATCATACCTAGATCTAGAACGTACTACAACTCACGAGCTGCAAAAAGTCGTTACTTTCTCGGCCATGTGGAACGTGATGCAGTACGTGATTCTGTCATTGCCCCTGCAATGGTGCTGTTTGTTCTCGCAGGTATTCAGACTTCTTTCTACCTCTGCTCTCGAATGTTTTTGACATTGATCATGATTTCGTATGTTCCTAGCTGTGTAGCTTTCTCTGTAGCACTGTAGCTTGATCCTGCTCTTGATTCTGTTTCTGCCTCTGTTCAACCCTTGTAACCATCCCAACTCTGGCGGCGTGGTGCTCGACTCCAAATCTCAAATACTCAAATATTCAATTGAGAGCACAGCCCATAATGGGCAGCTCGATCAATATAACCTCAAACTGCCCTGTTCCCATTCAATAATATTTCTGGGTGCTGTACTGGGCCTCTCCTGCCCTCAAAAAGGATGTGAATGCACTTAGACAAATATGCCGTGACTTCATCTCCTGGAAACAGCCAGGTGAGCACGAACGACACCCAGCAAATGCCCAACATACGGTTCAAAAAGGTGGGCTGTGGTTCTTCGCCATCAATCCAGCCCATCCATCGCAAAGACTGCTGTCTGGTATCACACGGCGCAAGCGCAATATAATCACACCCCAAAATTGACGATGCGCAAATCTCTCTCCGCCATAACCTCCACCCAATCCACATCGAGACTCTGTCCGGTATTCATAAATCGTTCATTCTGTTTCTCATAGACCGCAGCCAAGGCCCTGCGCGTTATCGTAGTGTTGCGTCCAATGCTGGTCTTCTCCATAGTCCGGATCAGGTCCAACGCAACCATTCTTTGTGCTCCATCCAAACTGGCGTATCCGGCCATGAAGACCGGAAATACCAAATATCGACAATCAGACCGGTCTTCAGCAAGAGCTTTCCGCGTCATATCGAGAATCTGATTCGAGGCGACCGCAATTTCGGTATCATAGTCCGGCGAAGTCTCGAGCCTCTGTCCCGGCCACATGGAAGTATGAGAATAAAGGATGCATGCGCGATAGAGGGATGCGGCATGCTCGTATAAAAGTTTTGAGCGTGTAGGTAGATTCGGCGCAAGTTGAGACACCATCGAAACCCCCGGCGCTACCCATAACTGTCGAAGAGCTTCTTGCACTTCGAAAATCCGCGTCTGTCGGACCCTAATCGACTCCGCTCGGTGAAGCATGTCTCCAGAGATAAAAGCAGATGCTTCATGCCGAAATTCGCGCGAGAGTAAACCCAGCCGTACGGCCAAAATGGTCACTTCGTAATCGAGTTGTAAAATTGTCGGTAAAGAATCCAGCTCTTCCTCATAAACCACGCTGGATCCATCAAGTCCTAGCGGGTGTAAGTGAAAACTCGGGGGAGGTATTATGTCGTGGCTGAGCATGTATCCGACATATTCCCCTCTTCCTGCGCCGCTGAACAGGGCGTTCAAATCGATATTGCAGATCCACCAAACGACAAACGGAAACCTTTCTCCGCCATAAACATCGCGCCGTAACAGAGTAATTCGCAAGAGAGTAGATAAGTGTGGTGACCAGAGGTTCGAATGTCCGTCTTCGGCTGCAGCAATCTGTAGACACGAAAATTAGCGAAAAAAGAAAAAAAGGGCAAATTTCCCAACCATACCTCGTAAACGAGCAGTAAAAAGTGAGTCAAAAATGCTCCATCTGATGACAGATCATTTGGACTTTTGAGACTGTTTTGTAACGCCGGTAAAGCTTGTTGGTAGTGTTGCAGAGCGTCTAATCGTTCTTTCCCTTCCCGAATAGCAAGACTGAGAGCCGCGACCGCCATCATGGCGTGGTGTAGCTAGAAACAGAACAGTAAGCAAAGATGGCATTGTAGTTAGATATGTAAGGGACATACCGGAGGAAAGGTCCTGGCCGCATTTTCCAAAACATTAACACTCGACATGGCCATGCCATCCCTGACATCCCTTTCGGTAGGTACCAGCTGTCGCCAGACAGCATGGCGGAATTGTCGCAAGTACCGAGCGTCCTGGCCAATCTGTTGATTATCTTCGTAAGATTCTGGCTCGGCGGTAAAAACAGCACCATCTGTGTCTTCGACTTTAATAATTGTATGTCTAACAGATGGCGAGAGAGGGGACTTGGTGTCCTTGGAATGACTGAACGTGTTGCGTCGTCCGATGTCCTCAAACCTGGGTAATACCACCACATTGGGATCACCTGGAATGGGTATGCCCTCGACAGGAATGTCGCGACCAGTACTGCTGGCAATTGACGCGGCAATAGACCCTCGGCGTAAGGGTGATAACGACTCTGTTTTGATGTCCGGATCGTCGCTATATTCGGGGAGATGTTGAAAACTGTCCTGGTTGACTACAACATTGTAAGTTCCGGGACTCGACCGCTCGGCTTTCTTCTCGCGTTCTTCGTCGGTCGTCAATGATGCAAATGGTGGCAGGTCATCTATTATAACACCAGAGCCGGAGCTAGTCGTTTCGGTTATGGAAGGAGACTTTGCTATAATACCAAACAAAAAGAAAAAAATGTTAGCAGGATGTAATGTGGTGAGGGTAACGGACCTTGACTGACAATCCCACACTGAGCTGGTAACAACCGTGACATCCTGCATACGTTCTACCACACGTGGCGTGTCATCTCGAAAGGCCAAACGAGGACTATAGTCACAGGTATGGCCGAGACGAGTACACTGTCCGCAAACCGGTCTGCCCTCATCGCATTTGACTTTGCGAGTGCGACAGGTCCAGCATCCCGTCCTTGATCGTGGAGGCAGGCGGGCGCGTGGAGGGACACTCGGGCCAAGGTGGCTGCTGCGGCTGGAACTAGCCGAGGAAGAATGGTCGTCCTTGGGCGCAATAATAGGTAAACGGACTGGTGGTTTCCTTGAGGACTCTCCTCGTTTCGCGTCCTGCATTACCACCGTGGTGTTTGAGGAGCTCATGAGCAGCTCTGCCCAGAAAAGCAAATAGAGGCAGACTTGGAGGGGGAAGAAACGCCCGCTTAGATGCACATGTCAACCGGCCTGAGCTGCACTAGCTACCCAACGCAATTCCGATTGTTTCAACCAAGAAGTGGCAACTGCCAACGGGCACAGACAAGGCTCAGGCGTGGGCTTGTTGTAGCGTGGAAACGAGAAGCGTGCGCCCATATAAAATAGACAGAATGGAAACCGGCCGCGTAGGGTAAGCCGGCACAGATCCACAGTACCTAATGGGAGGAGACAACTCGCGCATCCAGGCCGATCTGATTTGTCTTCAGGGGGCGTGAGCGAAGAAGGAACTCATTCGCAATACGCTAACAGTTAAAAAGAAACAATGAGAAAGAGTGGAGGATTAGTTTCCTAGATGAAATCTGAGATGTGGTAAATAGTCGACCACCAGGATTGACCATTTTTGAATTGCTTTAAGCCCTAGGGTGGTCCCTATGTCATATGTACAGACCGACAGCCTGGTCGCCCGCACTGATTGGAGTGCCACACAGATCAGTCCAGGGAGCTATCCGGCGTCAAGAAGCGGCGCCATCTGCATCTAGCAAAGAAGCCCAAGAGCAGTAGTGAGTTATAGTATAGATGGAACCAGGATGAAGCCTTTTCTGTCGGCTTAAGCCTCAGCAAAGATCCAGGGAAGCGATGCCAGGGGGGTGGAGGTGCCAGTAGATTTCGGGCTTGAGGCGAGCGAAAAGGACAGGGAAGTGGATATTCGGTGTGGATGTGTGGTGTGAGGGAGGGAGATGGAGATGGAGCTGGAGATGGGTGTGTCTGGGAGTCCGGGTGGTGACTAGAGGTAGATTGGGATCATCGAAGCTGAACTCGATGTTGGAAACTGACTCGGACTAACCGCGCACTGGCAACTGGCAGGAGCAGCCCATTGAACTGGAAGGTGCCAGGCGGCCCCGGAACGGAAAATCAGTTCGGCCGAGGGATGCACCGTGCGGCCGGTGATTGGTCTGTTCAGTTGCCTAGTCCCTTGTTCTTCCATCTCGACCCTGCATCTGCGTCTTTTCCTTCCCATCGCACGCTTCACATTCGTCCATCCGCCGACCCTTTCGCGCTCTCCGGATTCCTTCTCAGACCCTGGACTCAGCAGACTTCGTTTTTTCTTTTTCTCTCGTAACTACATTGGCCACTCTGGTTGGTGTGCACCGTTGCAAACGGGTACATCGGGGTTTGGGCCCCCTTAGTGAATCCATCTAGCGTACCCCTTTCTGAGACGACCTCTTCCTTAACTTTCCGAGTTCCTGTATTCCGAGAATACTCCTGTGGTCGTTGTGTGCCCGCCTCAATTTGGTCTCAAAAGTCGCCGTGAGGGCCCGAAAATCGACTTCAGAGAATATGCATGTTGCAGCTCCAGATCGGTTTTGTGGAGAAGACACGCCACGAGAGTTTGAAGAGACAGATTCCAATGTAGTCCTGGATCCACCTCGCTTGCTGCATAACGGGGATGTTTGAACGGGAAAAAAGTAGGACCAGGGTTCAAGGAGAACACCGTTGGGCTGAACACGAGTAAACGGTTTCCCATTTCAAACCTCTTGGGGCTTGCCGTATCGCCGTCCGAGGCTTCAGGGTTTACAACCACTAGAACAAACGCAGTAACACAACGGTGTTCCCTCCATTTGCCGGATCATGGGAATTCCATCGGCAGCAGGGGACCATGCCGTGTCAACATTATCACCCTGACACTAACGGCAAAAATCCCTACTGCCTCTGCATACAGCCTTACCGCCCACATGGGAGGCCTGCGGATGCCACAGGGATCTGGCAGACCCAAAGGTCAAATCCTTCACTACCGGAAAACTGGTCCGCAGCAGCATGGTTGAAGAAGAACAAAAGCGGGTCGACGTTGGGTGGTGTGTGCAGGGATCTCTGCACACGCAAAAACACTACTGAGGACTCCAGACCCAGGGGCTCAAGGCGTAACGGTCTGGCGAGCCCTCTCCATGTCCTCTCGGAGAGGTCTGGACCGTTCGGTCTGCAACCAGCGGTCAAGGATCGCCGTGAGTGCGGCGGGATCCTGGACGCCACGCTCGGCCAGGGCTTGCGCAAGGCCCACACGTGATCTACGCTGGCTCTCTATTTCCGACCCTTGGCGAGAAGAATCGGCGGCCAGCACCGCCATCAGCAGTGGCTCAAATGGCTCAAACCTGCCAGTGCCGCCGTCCTTTCGTCCATCTCCTTCCGCGCGCCTTTCCGTAGCCTCCTCCACCATCACTGCCGGCGCCGATCCAGTGCCTCGTGCGTCATCCGAGGCTGCGGCATTTTTGTTGTTGTCGCAGCCTTCCATCTCACCGTGAACACCATCCTTTGTTTTGATTTGCGGTGCATGCAGCACAAAATATTTTGCACCCTCGTAGAGCGCAGAATCAACTGCCCTGGATTGCATGGCAAGCGCTTTCTCTACAATCTGCTTCGCCTGATCCAAAACCTCGACCCTTAGGTGGGATGCGAGGACTTTGAACAAGCACGACACAATTGCGGTCGCCGTGGCTTCAAGAGCGGTACTGTCGGCTTTGTTAGTGTTGCACTGCATTGATATCAAAGTGGAGGCGTCTTACCGATTCGTAAAGTACCTGCTGATAGCCTCCTCATCAACTTCCATGGCGTCCGCGTCCGTTAATTCGTTCAATAGCTCCGCAAGATAGGGGACCACCTCCTGAGTTATGTCCAAATCTTCCCGGACAGCCGCAAATTCCCCTAGCGCATCGATCGCGTACGGGCGATATTTGATGTTGGTCCTTTTCGCCTCCCGAATTGCGACCTTCTTCATTTGTTGGGTCGTTTCAGACCAAAGCGATCGCGCTTGTTTCACAAACTTCGGATACACCTTGATGATCTCTTCTTTTCCGTCCCAGGTCTTGCCGTCAAGGGCCTCTTGTACTACGGGCCAAAGAAGAGATGCATCTCTGTCATTGTACGTCTCCTGGACGTCCATGGACGCCACTAATTCGGCCACTGCCAGAGAGCATGCATGCTTGATGGGCCACAAGGGCGATTTGATATGCGTCGAGATCAGGTCTACTATTTCCGGTAGGTAGAGGTTGATGGAGCGCGATCCGCCAATGTTTTCTTTCCATGGTACATCGAACCGTTCCCTGACTTCCTTGTCGGTGTCGCGGCGTCCAATAAATGCGAACGGTAGGAAGGCCGATGCATGATTCATGAAGACATCGTTGGCGGCCTTGGAGATTGCCTGGATGATTTCCCCAGCCACAGATCGATGGGCCAACTCTTGGGACTCGAAGTATAATTTTTGAGCGTACTTGCTCGTGGCCTGGACTTCTTTCTCGGAAGCCAGCCTTAGCAGGTAGCCCAAAGAGGTGCTGAAAGCGATGCTAATGGTGGCGTTACGATCGAGGATATGCTTCCTGGTCACTGCGACGAACTTGTCGGCATATGGCCGAAATGCGGACGGGTGTCGAACGACGAGCGTGGTCATCACCCTGCTGAGGCCCACCTTCGATGGGAGCCCGATTGATGCGCGATATGCGTTCACCAGTCTCTGCATTGCATCCTCCATGGGCGAGACACTTGGCTTTGTCCCAGAAGTAGATTCAATTCCCTGCATCACATCAGCAGCGCTGTTGTCTTCAGCGACCTGCATTGTGATACTGTCCAAGCAACGCTCAATTGCTTCCGTGACCGGAGATGCGTTGATGCTGGAGACCCTCATCTTATCAAGCTTCTCAGCTGTAAGGCCGTATTTGTCGGCATTCAGATGGAGGTAGTTTATGCTTTCGTGTTCAAGTGAGCTCAGAGACACCACGAGCGTTTCCAAGATCTTCGGTGCAAAGGGCCTCAGAGATTTGTGTGGGCACTTTTTCACCACTTCCAACAGTGTGACGACGGCATATTGCTGGACGTCTTTTCCCGCTCCACCTTCCATCTGCTGTAACAGGAAAGGCATGGCATGGTTCAACATCGTTGCAGAACGTTTGGAATTCCCTTCTCCTACTTCGAGGTTCCGAATCAGCATGCTTGTGAGGGTTCTGCATAGCTTCATTGCAGCAACTCTCACGGTTTCTTTGACGTCGTCTAGGACCTTGAAGGCCACTGTCCATATTTGGTCGAGATATTTTTCAAACATCTCCACATCCCGACCCTGAACAAGATCAGCGATCGCGGCACAGCTCGCCTCCCTAGCTCGCCATTCTTTCCCAGACACGACACTTTTAAGCAGATCCTCCATGATGAGGTCGAAATTCTCCTCAATCACTCGATTCGGATCCTTGACCAGTGCCCGCCAAATCTCCTCCATTGACCGCTGAACGTTTGGATTGGGGTCAAACCGATAACGGAAGAGCTTGGGATAGAACTTTTTGTTCTCGGATAGGTAGGACGAGTCGGCCAGGACCTGACCGAGCCCAAATCTACCAAATGCTGCGCGGCTGTTCCAGATGGCATTATTTGATGCCAGGTTCATGAACCTGTACACCAGGCTTGGGTCGCCCATTTCCGTGGCCAGACGGACAATGTCCTTATACGTGGTCACAGATTCCCCCTTCTCTGTCGGCAGCGCGCCAGCCTCGAAGAGCTGTGTATCCTCGTCGACCGTCCCTGACAGCTTTGCATTGCTCCCCGTGAAACTCTGGACCAGGTCCCTAACCAGGTCATCTCGAAGCTGCTTGTCTCCGTGTTCGTACACTACGCCGAGACCTCGGGATCCTGTTTCTTGGACAATCTCATCACGATCGTTGAGGAGCCTGGCAAACGCAGCTTGACAATCTCGTAGTCTTGCTTTGACGGCTGACATATCGCCACAATATTGCACTATGCAGAGCAGCCAGATTGCGGCCGCCTTTTTGAGCGAGGGTTTGGTGGTTTTGCATTCCCCAATGACTCGGTCAACGATGAGTGTCGTCAAGGCTTCGCTGCTTCCCCGACTTGGCAGGTCAGCATCCACGTCGAACTCAGTCATGGTGGATGATGAATTGAACCCAGCGCACGCAACCGAAAGCGACTCCCCGAGGGCGAAGTGAAATTCGGGGCGTCTGACTTCGGAGAGGCCAAGGAAACGGTCGAGCAAAGACTGAAAATCTGACTCGCTTCCACGTGCATGTATGATCGCTAACAGAGGACCAGCAGCGGACACGGCCGTTTCAATTTCTTTCTTCCCATCGGAGATCAATTTGTCCAACAAATCGTGGTCTGGTTGTGGTCCATTGGCCAGTGGTGTGCACAGAGCGAGCTGACGCAGACATCGGTATGCGGTCTCCTTGAGAGTCTTGTCAGTAGAGGTTTTGATGATGTCGAAGGTAAGCTGCGTCGGTTCCTGCAGAGTGTCACCGTGAGCGTCTAGCCCGCCCCTCAGTGATTTGCGCGTAAGGCACCAAGCAGCCCGTAGTAGATGTCCTTGGACCTTGACGAGCTCTTCTCCGATGGCTGACTTCCAACTTCTGGTCTCGTTCAATTCTGCTGTGGCGATCTTCACTGCATCATCGGAGAGCGAAGCTACGATTCCGAACACTTGGGCAGCTCGAGTCTGAAGGACTGAATTCGCCACAATCCGCGAGGCAGCCTCCATTGCCAGCTGCTGGATCTGAGAGATCAAATTATTCGGCGCGAGTGAGATTAGTTCCAGCGAGAGGTCGACACACTCGCCTGAAGCCCTAGACATGCCCAAGAGCGCTGCCTTGGCCAAAGGTAGGGAGACCTCCAGGGGCAGACTTCGCAAACGAGTGCGTATCCTCCGACGGACATCTCGGTCGTTGCTTACTAGTGCATCGATGGTTTGTTTCCAGTCGGCCGATTCTTCAGGCGCCAGCTTCGTTTCCTTCAACGCATCGCACCAGATAACATTTCGACAGAATGTGACGGCAGCGGCGAGGACGGCAGGGTTGTCGTAATAACTTGTCTGCTCTGGACTGGAGCCGAAAAAGCGACTTCCCAGAGCAACAACATCAGGCAGAGCCATTTTCTTGTCATTTTCGCCCTGCGCAGGCGATGCGGTTGCCATGCGTGCATTGGATGCGTGCCAATATGGATCGAGGCCGCGAATGCCCTCTTCGGCAATCTCCCTCCTATCCGTCGAAGAGCTCAAGGCCAGCACGTCGATGAACCGCGCGTCCACGTCGGAATAAGGGAGACACTTGTTGGCGAAGCGGACGGCAGGATACTTTGTGCTGTTCATGGTAGGCAAGAAGTAGACAGGGTCTTCCTGTCCAGGGGTCGCAAGGACATTCCAGAGTAAAAGCTCCTTCAGTCGTGCTGTTGATGCCTCGTCAAAGCTGGCGACCGACACAGTGTTCATGACCCGTCCGATTGCCTCTTCAATGCTGCCTCTGATGTCCCGGGTCGTATCGCAGCGAAGACTGGTGAACAGCCACGTTATGAGATCTAGCAAGCGGACATTCCTCGCGATTTTGTCGGTGTTGGCCATGGTGGTGTCTTCGTCATCGGCTGCGGCTGCAGCGGCGAGGAGTCCAATACTCTCATATGCTTTGGCGCGCAGCTCAATCTCGGCGGCGGTGGCTGCCGCTGCGCGATCTCCTGTGTCGCTCATTGTCGGCCAACCTTGTAGTTCGATATATTCCTTCAATAAATCCTGCAACCGCACGCTGATGCTGGCAAGGTGCATACTCTGCCCGACGCGGACAGTCCACGTCAGATAGGAGAAGAGTGCGGCACGGAGCTTTGCAGCCTCGAGCCCGCCCGACGACCTGGCCGGGGCGTCGAGCAGCTGGGCCTCCACCATGGCCATGATCTCCTTGGTGCGCGTGGTGGACTTTTGGCTCCGGGAAAGAATGGACAGGATTCGCGTCTGCAGTTTTGGTCTGGTTCCGGCGCGTTTGTAGAGGGCAAAGAGAGCGTCGACGGTGGCATCAGTTTCCAGATCAAAAGTGCACTGCTTGAATATGACGTCGCTCATGGACACTGCGGATGCGTTGGCGTCCACGGCCATGATGACGGCGGGAATGAGACGTTGTTGGTCGGTGAAGATGGAAGTGAACAGAAAGTTTGCGATGGGTAGAACGACTTCCGAGCGGCGGCGGAAGTTCTTGTCAAAGACGGGCTTGAAATCTTCTTGTTCTTCGTCTCGGCTGCTGGATTGTTGTGATGACTCTCCGGAAGAGGCAAAGGCGGTGCCGGCAGTGGTGTTGGCATTAGTGTTGGCAGCGGTGCCGCTACCACTGATGCCGATACTTGGACCAGCGGATTCTCTAGGGTCGTAGAGCAAGAAATCGCAGATCCGACTGACCAAAAGATCGGTCTGTGACTTCGAGAGGGCAAAAGTGTCCTTTAGTGCCAGGTCTTCCTTACTACCACGTTCAGGCAACGATTTGCCCCATTTGCACAGCACCTCCAACAAGAAATCAAACGCAATCGTCCACATCTTGCGGTCTGTGGCATCATAGTTGGACATCGTGGGTACCGCGAACTGTAGGACGCCCGGTAAAGTGGCGATGGCTTCGTCCACGTCCAGCCTCGGCAGCCCTTGCTCAATGAACAGCAGACAGAATCTCCGGACAAAGGCGTTCTCTGCCTCTCGGAACGTCTTGACCAGGGCGCTCACGGGCAATTTTATGTCTGCCGTGATCTTGAGCCGTTGGTTGATGTACTGGCACACTTTGATGGCGAGGTTGCGGTTCCGCGGCGTAGGCGATGCCAGCTTCAACAGTAGTGCTGGTAGGAATTTAGAGAGGATTGTTTCTAGTTTGCCGTCTGTCGAGGCGGATGCGATTCGCATCTCGAGTTGGGAAATCAGATTATATTCCCGCTCCGGGTCGGGAGCGGGAGCGGGAGCTGCTTGTTGAGACGAGGAGGACATGATTGTAGGTGTTGTTCAATGGCGGTGGTTACCTTAGTTCAGTATGTTTTGCAAGAGAACATTTGATTGAATGGCTGAATGTCCCACTGGTGTTGTACTCCTGATCTTGCTTCGAATGGGATTGTAATGTGAGTACTCCGAGGGAACTGCTTGTTCGTCGTAGGGGGATAACGACGGTCTCTTCTCATAGACAGTCCAGTGTTCGAAGTTGGGATGGATGTAAGAGCACAGTGGCCTCAGGAGTATTAAATGCAGTGGGAAGGAGCAGCTTTTGGGAAAGAGGCAGCCAGGACTTCGTCATCAGACTTGAACACCGCTTCAGCCACTGTACTTCAGTTGTCGAGTTTCTATTGTCATCCATAGACGTTCCCTCGCCACGTCGTCGACTGAAGCCTTGCGAAGTACGGTGTTCCCACTAGAACCATTAGTCAGCCATGTCCTCGGCCGCCATTGGCTGACTACCCGCCTGTGAGATCGGACAAGGCTGAACTGGCCAGCGGGATATGTTCATGTTCCACGTAGCACGTTTCCTACAGCGAGTCTAGGGCAGATGGGACTGGGCGTTGTCTGTTGGTTGCAAGTTAACATGACACCGCAGGCAGCATCGTTGGCGTATTTACAAAGTTCTAACCGGGGTAAGACTCTGATATGGCGCACTGGAGGTCATGGAGGTTTCAACCTGTTAAGGAGTCCACGCCACAAAAGTCCTAGCATCCTACGCATTCGAGCATTGACGATCGGTATCCAATGCCATTTCAATCTGGAGCTGCAAAGTATAAACCAGTCGCATTCGGTCAGGCGTTGCACGTGAAGCGTCCGCAAGCGATGTGCAGTTGAACATGTGAGAACCAACAGATGCTGCAATTGACACAAAACATGACCCGTGGTTGGAGACAGTGTAACATAGCTGGAATTTTTGATTCATCATGGATATTCGATGTCTTCATGCAGAATGGTCGATAGTCGGTCTTGACAACCTCAGACCAACGCCGGCCCGCGAAAATCCGACGAGCAAGCCCAGACGACGACGCTCGCCTTTCTCAGACACAGAGAAATGGTTTCTGGTCTTCATTTTCTGTTCCGTCAACACCTCGCGCGGTTTCCCCCGGTTTTCGAATCTGATCCCTAGCCACGAGCAAAAGTTTGCAAGAAACATCCCCCAACACGTGCACACATGCTTATCGCAGTCTTCTGGCTTCTCTCTCGGACTCGAGCAGGCAAAGGATATCGTCAACTTTCACTGTTTGCGCGAAAATCACTCATTAGTTATGTGTCCGCCATTCCCTTGTCCTGTCGGATCTGCATACCTGGTCCCTTGACGTTTCGGATAATGCTTCGGCTCGTGTCGTCCATGAACTCGACTCTGACTTGGGTGACACCACCTCGGGAACCTGTCCAGAAAGTCAACGCATGCTCTCTCTCGACCACAACTCTTGTCGCTGTGATTGTGAAGGCGCATTTACCTGTTCGGCCGAGGACTCGGGTGACCTTGACGAGCTTGACGGGGGTCTTTCCAGCATCCATCTTGACGGTTTGCGACGAAGAGATTCAGGGCTTTTCGACGGGTAGATGGAAGGCGGTGGGAGTTCGAGACGGAGAGATTGCTTGCTTGTCGCAGCGGGCAACTTGAACTGACACTGCAGCGAACTCGAATGTGGGTGAGAGCGCCAAGATTTTAGGCGCCAAGCCCGATTCGGCCTGCACTGGCAGGGCGGCGCAACGCTCGGAGGAAATTTTGGAGGGCAAGGCTCGGACTCAAATTATTGGCTTGGGGGAAAGCCTCGTCAGATCTGGACGAATGACTTTGATAGCTCTGCTTGTTCACGGTGAGTCAAGAGTTCAACCTTCTGTCGCTACCTTGTCAGTCGCTCCAGTGCGCATAGAGAGACGCTCAATAATTGCATCCCATTGCACATACATAGTCTGTGTGGTGTATCAATTTATCCGGAGCCTTTTACATCCGTTTCGGTAAACTATCTGCGTGCGACAACCCCCCGAAGTGATTGGCCCTGGCCGACGAGAAGTGTGACTCTCACAAAACAGAACCTCAAAGCTTTCAGAGTATAGTCTTATAAACGGAGTTTCTACGTCTTGAATTACTAGTCAGGAGTTTTGTCAATACTGCAGCTGCAGCGCCCACACATACCATGGATCTCGTCAACCACCTTTCCGATCGCTTGCTCTTTGCAGTCCCCAAGAAAGGCCGACTCCAAGCCGCGACGCTGGACTTGCTCTCAGGATCCGACATCCAATTCAGACGAGAGACGCGACTGGACATTGCACTAGTGAAGAACCTACCGCTGGCACTCATCTTTTTGCCAGCAGCAGACATTCCCACCTTTGTGGGTGAAGGCAGAGTTGACCTAGGCATCACTGGCCGAGACCAAGTGGCCGAGCATGACTCGCAACTCACTTTGGGCGAGGAATCCGGGGTTGAGGAAATCATGGATCTGGGCTTTGGACGGTGTAAGCTTCAAGTTCAAGTTCCCGAGAAAGGCCCCATCCAGGACGTGAAGGACCTAGTGGGCAAGAACGTGGTGACGAGTTTCACGGGATTGGCAGAGGACTATTTCGCCCGCCTCGAAGGCATGGGCTCACGCAAAGAGAGCATCAACGGGACGGCGAGTCCGATCCCGAAATTGAAGACGAAAATCAAGTTTGTCGGCGGCAGTGTCGAGGCCGCCTGTGCGCTGGGCGTGGCAGATGGTATTATCGATTTGGTCGAGTCCGGCGAGACCATGAGGGCCGCTGGTCTTAAGGCTATTGAGACAGTTGTCGAAAGTACCGCCGTGCTGATCAAGTCCAAGTGGGTGTCGAATGAGAAGTTGGTCGACTTGATCGCCGCCAGAATACGCGGTGTAATTACGGCTCAGAAATATGTCTTGTGCCAGTACAATGTCCCCAGGGACCGGTTGGCTGCTGCCACAAAGATCACGCCTGGAAAACGTGCTCCTACTATCACTGCCCTCGAAGAGCCGGATTGGGTCGCTGTCAGCTCGATGGTCGAGAAGAAAAATATCGCCACGGTCATGGACGAGTTGACTGCTGTCCAAGCTACGGACATTTTGGTCCTTGACATCGCCAATTCACGCACTGGTTAAAGCGCAGCTCAATTGTTTCAACAAAGAATCTGGGTGTCAAAACATCTTCTTCGCAATCTATGTATTGGTTACCTGGTAGCTACAAGAGACTGAAAGAGTTGGGACAGTTGGGGCATGAAATGGTGTTTTCTGCCCATGGCACATCTTTGGATGTCTGGGAGCATATTGTGGGTTTATTAACAGCACCGGACCGCACACGCAGTAGCCATAGCCGCTCGAGCTTCATCCTCCCTGTCAGCCAACAGTAGGTACCGCGGCGACGGTATATGACTGCCTGAGGTAGACCAGAGTGTCATGATCGAACAATTGTGGTATTTGCAGCGCTGGCTTCGACGTGCGCACCGAGTCGCTACATTTAAATACACAACTGCGGAAAATCGAAGGCTAGGAGCAAGACAGCATTATAGGACTGGGTCTTGACATTTTCCGATAGATCCGAGAGACTTGAACGACACTCAAGATACTCGTCGGCCCCATACTCATAGTTCGCTTGAAGTCGTCTACCTAGGTATACGAATACGTCCCCTATTGAACCAGCACTTTTGATTTGCTGCCTTTTGTGCAGCACAACTTGAACAGATCCGGGTCTGACATCACGGTTGGGTGACTAAGCGACCCGCGTTCCCAATCGTCCCCTTCATCCTTCATCGCACCACAGCCCATATCCAGGCAGCCATTATTGAACTGTACAACATCGTGGTCTCGACTGGAGGGCAACCTGATCGCGCCTACACAAAGCACACTTTTGTCGCCTCAGGCTTCTGAGCTCGATGACCAGACTTTCCGCCAGCGGTCTTGCCATTCAGGATGCCACCGAACAAACCACCAGCTTCGGGATCAAACCCAGTTCCTGAACCTCTACTCACAAGACTGATCGTCGCCCCGGTACTCTTCGTCTCGTTTCTGATATCCCTGTTCCTCATCGACCGCCAGACATACGCCAGCATCTTCGGCCGGTCTCCTAGCAAGGATGGGTATTATCATTCCCACCAGCGCAAGCTAGCCAAGCGAGAAATGGACGAGGCCTTCCAAATGCGCCGGAAAGTGATTGTCGCCCTTTGCGCGTTAAGCGCCGTGTCACTGGCAATTGTTGCTTGGGGGATTGAGTCGTTGTGGACCGTGTGGAGGTTCAGAGCGTCACCACCGACAAGATGATGAATCTTGGCCGAGCCACCGCATACACTGCTTGCAAGGCCATAATTTGTTGGAATTGATCAAGGACATTGATCTTGATTCTTTTGTCATTATTTTTCAGGGGCGTCTGTTTGCCAAAACGTTAGCGGAGCTTTCTAGCAATCGTCTTGGCTATTGCCCGGTGGTGACATGGAGTGCAAAATGAGAAACCGGATAGGGAAGGACATCTGACGGCAGTGAAGAGGACTGCGGAAAAAGGGTGAAATCCGGCAACGCATGCAAAGGCCTGAACTCACCTGGTAGTCTTTCGATCACATATTTCCCTCTGGCCACGCTCATAATGGGCACACCCGGTATCTTGCGTATTCTGCGCTTGAGGTCTCGATCGTTGGTTGCCACAATATAAATCTTATGCCGGGCGACCCTGTCCACGATACAATCATCGGCGTAGGTGCCCTTGTGGCCGCACTTCAGTCGCTCCCAACGTTCGTCCCGGGCGATGCGCAAGGCTATTCTGTACTTCGGCCCCAGCTTTTCAAGTTCGGCCATGACACAGTCTGTGATAATAGGGGTGCATTTCGCGTAGAGACAATCCATCATTGTCGGTAACATATCGAGTTTCTTCTGCACTGTATGGGACAGGAAATTTGTATCGACAAGGACCTGGTAGGGAGGAACTAAGGCGGTGTTGTATTGAAAGAAGAGAGCCGATGAGACTTGAGGGCTGCAAACAGTCAGCGACATCCATCGTGCGGCTCATGGAACTTACACTTCTCTGATCACCTCGTCGTCGTTCTTGTTCTTCTTCTCCGCCGCTTTGGCCGTCTCTTGATTCTTCTTGAGGCGAGCGTCTCGTTGGCCGATAATCCTTTTCACTTGCGCAAACTTGCGAGTCTTCTTTTGGACACCCATATCGAGCCCTCCGATATGTGTTGCGCGTAGATTGGCCTTCTATGCCCCTCGGTGATCACAGTACCTAATGGTCCACAAGTACTGTAAATTGTTTGCCGCAGAAAAGAAATGTTAGAGGGATGCGGGTGTAGGAACGCAGTCGACGGTTAAGGCCGGGCCTAGCCGAGAGCAGCCTAGAAAATCCTGCCCGGGCTGCGTGTACCGGGTCAAGTTCCAGGCGTCAGCCACAGTCGCTCACGTTTGGTCTGGGGGCGCAATTAGTTCACTGCCACCACCAATTAATACAGTGTTCTCTGGCATATCCAGGTCAATCATGTCTGAGAGTCTGCGCAAGGACCACTCACAAAGCAAAGCGAGCATCTAATACTTGTCGAGCCGCTCCCTTGAAGTTGCACTGCGATCTTGCCTACCTTCACTTGTCACTCTGTTCTGCTTGTATCACACTGCAACGACCTTGCTCCTCCCGTTCTCTTTCCTACGCATAATCTATCGAGCCACTGCAATCTACACCATGGTCGCGGCTACCAACAGCAAACTCCCGACCCTTCCCGGCGGTTATAATTATCCTGCTCCTACCGTGCCTCCGAAAGCCGGTGCCCCTTACCTTCAGACTTCACGCCTGCCTGAGAACTTCGTCTTCATAGTCGTGGGAGCCGCTCTGGGGTTTGTGGCTCTTTTGATATTTGCCTGGAGGCTCCTCCTGTCGTGGTCCATCAACCGCAGCTTTAAACGAGATGCCAATGCTGGTACTGCAGCCGGTTCTGCAGCCTACACGCCCCTACCCGACCTCAAGAAGAATGCTGCATCACAATCCGGTCACGACATGGCCGATCTGAGCAAATTGCCCAGATCCTTCTCGAGTGTTCCTAGTCTTTTCTTCTCGCCCACCGCCGAAGTTGCCAAACAATCACAGCGGCCGCCCAGCCAGCACCTCCCGGCGGGTCATTACCGCGATGCCTCCGATAACTATCGCCGATGAAATCCATAAGATACGATTTATTTTCCCGATTAAAAAGATGTGCCCTGTTAATTTCGAGGATATTGTCACCACTTCTACGTTGAAGGGCATTATTGTGAATGTGGCGGACTGCATATTTTCATGGAACATTCATTCGTCCGGAGGCGGCAGGCCTGAAAATGAACCTGTTTGACAAGCAGCATCAGGCAATTGCCTCGAGCAGGATGCGACCCTGGTGGATTGCTCCAATGGACAGCCGGTGGGCTTATTGAGGGCCTTTACCTTCAAGATGTTGACCTGCTCGAAGGGACTCGTTCAAGCATCGTCCGCCCCTGGGGTCAGAGCCTTTGTGTTCTCGAAATAGGCATTTGGGGGAGGAGTATTTTGAGATTTTCCATTGGAGTTCATGCCGTTTGGAGAGGTCGGCGATCTACATCAGCGGTATTACAGAGATTGGGTCAGTTTGAGAGTGAAGATTTAGCGAGGCGTTTGCATGGGAGCATTTGGCGGTTCTGTTGCGGATTGAACTGCATTGCGGCCGGCTACATAGACACGCCGTAGGTTGCGGGAATTCTGATTGCTTCTTAAAAATGCCTGCCATGGTGTTCAGCTCACTGTTCTCATCAGGAGAACACACCCATCGAATAATAGGCGGACTTTGCCTTGAGCCATATGTCAAGCCTACCTATGTTTTATACTTCAGCATATGAGGCTTCGGCTTGGAATCTGCAAGGCTCGGGAGTGGCGGTCTCGCATGCCAGGCCAGGACCGTACAGGACACCGGCCAATCGGAGTGTCGAATCTTTTCACCATCGTTAAATGCCCATGGCGCCGTACTTCCACAGCTTCAAGTTGACCACAAGTACGGTATCTCTACAGTTCGGTGCTTCCCAACCCAACACCAGTGTACTTGTACATCATTGCCAGCAGCGGAGATACAATAGATATCTTCCTGTCTGTATAGCGCTTTTTTCTGTGTTCTTTTGCCGCGCGCCACGATTAACCTTACGACAAGCAACAATGTCTACCACCGCCGTCTCTCACATCGCGCTCCGGCGCACCCTCGGTCTGTCAGCCAGCACACTGTCACGAGCTCATGCTCCGAGTCAGCGTCGTTGGGCCCGCGTACACGATGTTCGCTTCGTCACGACGCACCGCGACCCTTTGGACCGATACCGTGAGAAACTGGAACAGAAGGCAAAGCAGTAAGTACGGCAGTACTGGCAGTACAGTACTACTATAGTACTGGTCCCTTATGGCGATCGATGCATCTATCTATCCACAACGGTTCTTCTTCCTACGCGGGATCTATACTCATCTCCTAGGGTGGGATACAATACCTCCCACCCTAGTTGGCGGTAGTAGTGGAGAAATGGGAGTTTGATACACGGGCCTGATATGGTTTAAATGACATTTTTGGAGGGCTGACGAGTTTTATCGTACAGAGAAGGCCTTGAGTCCATATCGTCGCTGAAAGAGGCATACAAGGACAAAATCGAGGAGTATAAACGGTCGGCTCTGAAACCGCCGCCTGGGGCAGGTCCGGTTCCTGTTCCGTCTACGAAGACGACGACAACAGCTTCTCCTTCACCTTCGACCGCCGCTCCCTCCTCGCCAGCACCATCGCAAGCCTCAAACCAGACTCCGTTCCAGCAGCCGCCGCCTCCACCGCCCACTCCCAACCAGGAACCCATACGGACCCCGTCACAGTCAAAATCGTCGGAAAAGTCCAATACGCCAGGAATCAAGCCCCTGTCTTCCTACCTTGATCTCGAGAAGGTCACTGCTCTCGGCAACAAAGAGGTGGAATACATCTGGAGACTTCGTCATGCCAACGATCCCCGCTCTCTATGCGCCGTCATCCCCCTCGAGACATACAACCGTATCTACCAGAATGCCCGGCAACATCCGCAGTTCGTCCTTCCTTTGCCACGGCCGACGGCCGACGACGGGAGCGGGGATGTGAAACAGTCGCCGCAAGGGTTCGAGGGAGGCGAGCGGTCAGCCGCTGACATTCATTTCATGCAATGGGGGTTCCATCCTCCGGCCGGCGCACCGCCGACTCCCGGTTCCAAGACCGCCAATAACCACACCAGTACTGTCATCTTTACGCATTTGGCCGCCTATAAGCTGCACGGGACGTATGCGGAGCCACACACCACCATTACTCATCATCTTGATCTTGCCGACTCCCACGGGATCGTCTTATTGAATGGGTCTGTTGTGGATGGACGCGGCGTCAGTGTCGAAGAAGGCAGATGGTTGCTGATGTGCCTGCAAAAGTTCTATGACTATGAAGCGCATGGCGGAGGTATCGGTCGTGAAAAGCGGCGAGGCTTGTTGCAGAAGTTCAGCAGTGGCGACCAGGGATTCAGCCTCGAGGAACTGGTTGATGAAGCCGAAAGGCTCTCATGATGGGGACATCCCTCTGCCTTGTGAGAGCCAATCTCAGGCCCACAGCTCGCTCCGATCGACATCGACACTATCCCGCTTCAGATTCTTCTTCTGGGCGCCTCTGAGCACATCTCGAGACAGAAATTCCCAGATGGTGTCAAAATACTCTGGTTCTGCCACGGTTGAGTTGTGGTCACCGTTGGGGAACTCTTTCCACACTTTGCGGGTACTCGGACATTGATCGTACAATGCCTTCATCATAGAGGGAGGTACTATTTCGTCCTGTCGGCCAGAGAGAAACAATATCGGCATGTCCTTGTCGCTGATCTTGGCCATGGTCTCTTCGGAATTCCATTGTTGATGGCAGAGCGCTGCGATGTACTTGGCAGGCGGCATCACCGATGGTATCAGTTTTCGAATGGACAGAAATGTATTTTCCAGGATCACACCAGCAATATCGCCCGCCTGCTCGTTCGCCTGCAGAAGTTTCACCGCCACCGCGCCTCCCAGGCTCTGTCCATAGAGAACGATATGTGTTTTTCTCAACTCTTCGTGGCTCCGGACGAAGTCTAGAGCTGTTTGGCCATCCACGGTCAGGCCGTTCTCATCCGGCGAGCCAGTCGACAGACCGTAACCTCGATATTCGACCATGAATACGTGGCAACCCACGCTCTCTGACAACACCTTACCTATAGGCAGTCGGTGGCCCACATTGCCAGCATTACCGTGGAACATAACCAGTGTGATATCTTTCTTCAAGGTGGGGGTCGGCGGTCGCAAAAGATATGCATGAAGCGTTTCGCCGTCGGGTGTAGGGAATTTGATGGATTCGGCGGCTCTGATGCGGAATTGCTCTGGTTTTGGTACCTCCGTCCTAGAGCCGGGTGGAAGATTGGCGGGATAGATTATGTCGTTTTGCTTGAAATAGAGCAGACTACTTCCTAGAGCAGCCAGCCCGGAAGATGCGAACAAGGGAATCCGCAGGTACGAAAATGCGGTGCCCATGCTGGCGACTGTAAACAATGGCAGAGGTACGAGGTGCGTAGAAGCGTTCAGATCGAGTATTTAGAAGGCAGGCATATGCCATTCAGGAGATGCGCAGGGAATTAGGCAGAACGAACATCGGGCGGAAAAGTGGCCCAATTGTCGATGTTCTGCACAAGGCCGTTCAAGGGATGTAGGGCGCAAGTGCTCATTGCGCAGTAAAAATAAATCGAGGTTGTTGAGTGTCTGTCTAGACGATGCTGCGGCGCTGTAGTTGTAGGATCGGAGGAGGTCGAATCGTCCGTCACCGGTGTCAGGCGCAGGCGCAAGTCGGAAGAACCCACGTCGAGGCTCCGGAGCTACGTTGGCGCAGAAAGCTAGCCGCTTGCCGCCAGCCCAGGCCAAAGCTCTCTCTTTGGCGCATGCAGTGCAGTGTTAGCCGCCTCACTTGCAGCGCAATTGCACCGTTGGCGGAGAACGCGTTTACCTTGGTGTGCCTTGCCTTCAAGTTGCCCAACACTGCAATACATATCGTATCTTCATTCCACTGTTGCCATCGTGAACCAACCTCAACCGCCGTTACGAAAGGTTCCTCTCGCCGAATTGCCCTGAACTGCATCGTTTCTGCTTGCCACCACCCACCGACGTCTCTCTCTTCGTTCCTACAGCCACAGCTCCGCAACCATGATCGCCGGCCCTGGTACGGGCATGCTAGGTGAAGATGGAATCCACATCGACATGAACCACCTGAAATCCGGCGAGGTCAACTTGGGGACATCCATCATGGCCATCAATTTCAAAGACGGTGTCATCCTAGGAGCTGATTCTCGAACGACGACCGGAGCATACATCGCCAACCGGGTAACAGACAAACTTACTCAGGTGCACGATACAATCTGGTGCTGTCGCTCAGGCTCAGCAGCCGATACACAGGCCGTGGCTGACATTGTGCAATACCACTTGGGGATCTACGGAATCATGAACAACGAGCCCCCTACGACTCAGACCGCGGCTGCTCTGTTTCAAGAACTGTGCTATGATAACAAGGACCAACTAAGGTAGGCGATGTTTTCCCTTGAAACTGCTTGTTGGACTTGAGCTGATTGTTCTAGTGCTGGCATCATTATTGCAGGCTATGACAAGAGAAATGGTGGTCAAGTCTACTCGATACCTCTGGGCGGATCATTACACAAGGGCCCTTATGCAATCGCAGGCTCTGGTTCGACCTACATCTACGGTTTCTGCGACGCGCATTGGAAAGAGGGCATGACGGAAGAAGAGGGAGTTGATTTTGTGAAAAATGCCCTAAGAGAGGCCATCAAATGGGACGGCAGTTCTGGTGGTGTTATCCGAATGGTGGTTTTGACGGCCAAGGGGGCACAGCGACATCTGTATCTGCCAGATCAAGACTATCAAGGACCAGGCTACAAGAGCGTGTAGACATAATCCCAGGCGTTAAGGATCTTGTTGCTTTGGGTCATGCATCGAAAACGGAATTGCCGGAGTCAAGACAGGTCATGGGGTGAAAAAAGACCGCCATGGATGTGCCTGTGGTGGTTAAGACTGCGTTCGGGGTTGGATGGTAATGTCATCCGATCCATCGGGATCCAAAACAACGTCCACCCAGGGGCAAGCACTGTTGTGTTTGTAGATGTACCGAGTCTTGCCTCCTGTTGTAGAGCGGCTGATAAAATCTGGAACCGGTCAAAACGGCATACATACGTACTGCACGCTGTGTACCACTCCTAGCTGATCGGCTACATTATAACAATTTGAATAGCGTGCATTATAAACCGACTGCTATCTCATGCGGTAGCGTACAGAGGTGGGAATACGTTGTACAGTACCACAAATGTATAAGGTAACAACTATATTATTAGGGGTCCTGGGCGCCTGCAAAATGACGCCAGGCTGCTGGCCATGGACGAACCCTGGGACACGATTATTGAGAGTGCTTGATTTGGGCATCTGCACTGGCTGCACAACGGTATCCGTCCATTATTAGCATTGTACTAAGCCCTCTAGCATTCTACTAACAGGCTCCGTCACAGTACTTATTCCTGCCACTTGTATACCGGACTGGGGAACTATCGGCTAGTACCACTATTATTGCTGGGTCCTAATGCTATCTAGTCCCGCCCGGGCAATTCTCGTCCTTCGCCTGCGGTCTGTGCCTCTTCGCTGCGTCCCTGCGCTACTCAACTTATCAACTCCCAGTTCGTGATCTGTGATGCCACCCAACCGCCTATTCTTTGTAACTCCGTTGTCCTTCACGTTGCTTCCTGTTTCACCTTTCCGTCTTCACTCCCGCTGTCCGGAATCCTTGTCTTAGATCAACGCGCTAGGCGATTCTCACAACACCAAGCGGACAACGGCATGGCTATGGTAAGTTGCCAGCGTCCTGTTCCCCCCACCGCTCACCAGCACATGCTACTGCAGCTATTCCGGTCTACCACTGGCACTTCTGTACCCTCAGTCTGTCCCCTCTGCCAGACATGAGCGCCGTCACATTCAAAGTGTATTTCCTCATAGAAGTGTCCTCTGGTCCTTCCCGTCGTGTCCAATGCATCCCTCCTGCGACCGGCTGAGGCGAGAGCTTTGGAGAGACACGTTGCCATCATGAAAAGAAACACTTTGCTCACGAGCCTATGGACTGTGACTATGGGGACACCATGCCGTGGCGGACTCTGATTTGGTTTGATGCAGAATAAGAAGTGCTGACGCGACTCACCACAGACACTCCACGCGACTGAATGAGATGGGCTCGTTGGTGATAAGCCAAGTGGCGCCGGGACTTGGTCAACGCCCTTACCACATGATGGTCGACAGCAATTCTCATTCAGAAGAGGCCTCCGGCAATGCAGCTCAGGCATCAAGAGGAAGAAGCACATCTACATCCACCGCGACGAGGCACGACGCCGCCTTCAACAGAAGAGAAAACTCGTCCACGCCGACTTCACATCCCACGCAGCCGGCATCCTCCACCGACACGTCAACGTCCTCCCGACAGCATGAACACTCCAATAATCATACCATCATTCAACATAGCCGCGGTTTTGATCAGTCCGGCTTCCCATTAACTGGGGATCCTTCGGTAGTGATGGCTGCATCACCTCCTTCTCCCCGATTACAACCGACATACCGGTCGACGAGGTCGCTTGGCGGCTCCGAAGCCACTTCTCCAAGTCGCATCAAAATTCGGGACTTGTCGCATATCCGGAGTTTCGCCAGCGAAGAGTATCTGGCCCGACCTCGGATGGGAGCTCGTTCGTCCAGCTCTTTCTCAGACCCGGGAAGACAATACGAGATCAGCTCGATGCCAGTTACGGACATTATCGAAATGGTGGCCGGACTCTTGACGAAAATCACCACCACAAACGACCGACAACACGAGCATCACCGACCAATGCCACTTACAGAAGAACAAAGTCATTTAAACCCCCACGCATCTTGCGTGTTGGCCTTCCATGGACGAAACGTCCCGGGAATAACGATCCTGAGTTATCTGAGTCGGATTCATAGGTACTGTCCGACCACATATGAGGTGTTTCTGAGCCTGTTGGTATATTTCGACCGAATGACAGAGATGGTCAATCGAGGCCTTCTCGAGCAGGGCCAGTACCGTAGCGATGGTTCGCCTGCAACTGCTCCTCAAGCATCCACACCCACACCCCGTTCTCCAATGCCCATGCACGTGGACAGTCCGCACGAACATCAGGATGTCAGCGGTGGATCATCGTCGGAACCGCCATCTCCGCAGGCTTCGTCCAGTGCCCCGGCCTCTAGGACACCTGGAGATCTGTCACAATTTTTTGTTGTTGACAGTTACAATATTCATCGGCTTATCATTGCTGGTGTTACTTGTGCCAGCAAGTTCTTTTCGGACGTCTTCTACACCAACTCCAGATATGCCAAGGTATGTGATTTGCTTGCTGTCATGTCCGTTGCCACTAATTCTTTTGCAGGTCGGGGGTCTTCCACTTGCCGAGCTCAATAACCTCGAGCTCCAATTTTTGCTCCTCAATGACTTCAGACTATCTGTGCCAGTAGAAGAACTGGAAGCCTACGGCACGATGCTTGTCGAGTTCTATGCCCGCGAACTAGTGGCGCAGCAACAACAACAACAACAGTCTGCTCATGCAGGCTCGTCGCCTCAATCGAACGATGGAATCTACATGGAACCAGGGTCGTCGAAGGCAACGGGACAACCATCTTAAACAGATGGCACCTCCCCAACAACATCATCATTGTACGACATAGATATCGCCCGACTGTTACGAAAAACCATTAATCTTCGACGGGGCCACAGCTTTAGATGCATCAAGGGCCTCTTTTCAGGGCATGACCACACTGGTAGAGAGGGACGAGGGAGTCTCCTGTCATTAACCGGGCAGAATTCACGGCCGATTGTCTGATACCGGAACGATAGATTCCAACGAAGTGATGACAACACAACCATGTTACTCTTCCACGATCATCCTTTCCGAAAAGTGCTATCCGATTACGTCTGGTCCGGTTTTCAGCATCCGACCAATTTGATGTTGGTGAAGAGATCCGGCATCTGGGTTTCTTGTTTCGGTGCATTCGTACGAGGTTTCGTTGGGAACTATGATGATTGTCCTTTTTCCCCCTGGTCTTGCTGTGCGACTGGGCCTCGCTAACCACCCCCTTTGTTTGTCTTTTGCTTTCCGCTCTCCAGTCATTCACGAATGAGACCCACATTAATAAATGCCCCTAGCTACGGCTGTTATAGACTGCATACCATACCCTCATTGCTTTTATTTGAACTCGTCGATCGTTTTGCTTTGCTGTGCTTTCTCATGGCTCGGGGTTTTCGTCCAGGTTCGGTCTTTGGGATGTTGTCGATTCCACTAGTGTCAGTGGAGGGGAGTCTACAGATATAAATGGTCGGTCGGAAGGTGGGCCAGGAAGAGGGTAGGAACAGACAGGACATGGCAGTGCTGACGGTAGGATGTGGTCGGGGAGTTTTGAGAAGAAGAACGAAATGAAATTCTGATGATGGGGTTGTTGTTATTATTGCCCAATGGCAAAATGATGACGGGAACTTGCAAATGAATGCAAGGGAGGAAAGTGGCAGAGGAAGGATTGAAGGGGTCGAAAGAGGACTGTCAGTGTTCAGGGGACTTGAAGGGTTGCTGTGGTGTTGAGTGCTGTACACATACAGTAGTATTACAGTACTTGTATACAGACCGGGGAGACATCAACTTGAACCGCCATTCGAGATGGTGTCGGTTGATCCAATTGTCAGTCACGGGTCAATCAATAAATTCATTGAATCAAGCTTGTTACAGTATACCTGCCTGGTCACCAGCCTGCCTTTTGCTGTTACATGGGTCATCGTTGATAAATTATGTACAGTAGTAGAAATAGCTTTTGTTTGTTGACATACTAGATCTATGCTGTAGTTTTGTCAAATTTTGTCTCCATATAGTAGTCGTCCACAACGAAACCTCCCACACACGGCACTCATCACTGCATCAATAATGATAATCACAGATAGCCCGCATACATATTTGTAGTTTTATCATTTCCGATCTCTGGAATGTTCTACTGTACAGTACTGGTATATTCATATCTTGTCAAAACAGCCCTGGAACCTCGACATCTCTTCAGTCTTCAACCTCGAATTCGTCAGTCTTGTCTTGAGACACGTCTGCATCGTCGGTCTCTGCTAAATAAAGTCTACCTGTCCAAAGTACCGTTGCAGTGCGGCGCACAGAATTTAACCTCACGGCAAGGCTGTTTAACCAAAGGTATTGTAGCAAGCTATTTGGCACTCTAGACACAGCGCAAATCAATGAAATCTAATTGATTTTTGCGACGACCCGCAAGCCGCAGCCTGCCCTTAGACCATGACGAAATCTCTTCCTGTATGTCCTCTGTAAACGCCAGTTTATTGATAATGTGCAGACGGTATGATACATGCAGAATAAGCACAGACGCAACCCACCCCAGAGTCCCATGCAGAGCAAGCCCGAAATCCCAAAGCCCGAACCTATGCACCTATGCTGATGCTGCTGCTAAAAAAGAAAGAGAAAAAAACGCCCCCCACCCATCAATTCATAACCGTGAGCTCATCCGTCGACTAGTCAATCCTTTTTAAACTTGTCTCGTCATAGCTGTAGTGGTAGTCTTTCATCAAACAGTTTGCGAGTCGTGAACCCGAGTTCGCTGCAGCAGCGATAAGCGAAAGACTAAGATCCGCGGAACAGAAACTGCATATCTTCCGGTGTCAGCTTGTCGAGAGCAACCTGATCATTATTGACCGTGCCGTTGATCATGTTGGCCTTTTTCTCTTGTAGCATGACGATTCTCGACTCGACTGAATCTTCAATGACCAGACGTGTGATGACGCAGGGACGACGCTGACCGATTCGATGGCATCGATCGGCGGACTGCCATTCAGCAGCAGGATTCCACCACGGATCAACAATGTACACTCTGCTGGCCTCAGTCAGGTTGAGTGCCACACCGCCTGCCTTCAAGGAGACCAAGAAAACTTCGACATCCACGTTGTTCATGAAATGGTCAATCGACTTCTGCCTCTGGGCCGGGCTCATACTACCATCGAGGAGCACGGTGCTGAACCCGGACTTTTGCAGGCGCCACTGCACCAGTTGCAACATCGATGTAAATTGAGAGAAGACGATGCTTTTGTGGGTTTGTTTCTTGCTCCGGAGTTTGTACAAATCGTAGACGAGCATTTCGATCTTGGTCGATGAGGTCCAGTCCTCCATCTTGATACGATTGATGATGGAAGACTTCTTGATATTGTCTTCATCCTGTTGGATCTCGGGCTGATCCCAGTCGATGACCAAAGGAATGTGACAAGCGGGACAGTCGGCTTCTCCGCCATCACCGGCAAAGGACTGGACATATGACTTGGCACATTGACGACAGAATTCGTGACGACAACGTGATCGAATTGCCTCTTCAGCCGGTTCATCACAGATGCAGCAAACGAGAACGTTCTGACCTCCTTCGGCATTTCTGCGCAGAATCAAGTCGGGATGGTCGGCGACTTGTCTCATTTGCATGATCAGACCAAAGATATTGGCGTAATTGTTCAACATGACACCCTGTGCAACATATGTGTCGAATTTCCGAGAGGAATTGGACATGATACTCTGACTGAAGTCACGTTCAATTTCCCCAAAGAACTCGTTGTGGATAATGACATCTTTGGGCGGTAGTTCCATGGAAGATGTATGGTCTCGTTTCATGCGACGGAGCATGATGCGGTCGGTGATCAGGCGCAGCTTGTCAAGACCCTGCTTTCGCAGTTCGGTGCTCTCGCTTTGAGTGATCGGATTAAGGATCTCTTGGTTGAAGACTGAGACGTGATCGAAGCCACTATGTTTGCAGCTGGTGCACATCTTTTGCGAGTCCTGACTCCAATGAAGCTGACGACATTTGCAAGCCTTGCAGAAATAACAAGCAAACGGCACCACCTCGAGGAAGCGGAGCAAGGAGAAGAACTCTCCAATTCGGTTCTGCACCGGCGTTCCCGACAAGCACCATTTGTAATCGGACTTGAGTGCAAAGCATGCTTTGGAAACACTCGTGGTGCGTTGCTTGATGCTGTGGGCTTCATCAAGGATGATGCGGTGGTACTTGATGGCATGGAGTACACTGTCCTCTTTGACGATTCCATCGTTGCGGTTCCAACCTTTGTTTTCCTTGCGGAACATTGATTCAAGCCCCGAATAGGACACCATGATAACGTCGTACTTCTTCAAATCCTTGACACTTAGATGCTTGCACTTGGGGTTGGCAGAGATGTGGTAGACAAGCACGTTCAACTTGCCACTGGTGTAGTCTTTGATTTCTGCTTGCCATTGCATCAATGCAACCGGAGGAACGACGACAAGCGTAGGGTCCTTGGCCGGCCAGTCGGACATGATCAAGCTCACCGCTTGGATAGTCTTACCCATGCCCATTTCATCGCCCAGTAGACCACCTTTCCACTGGGATTTCTCCTGTTTGATCATCCAATCTAAGCCTTCTAATTGAAAGGGTTTGAGCTTGCGATTGATCCCGGTTGGCTGCTGAGCGGGAACAGGCTTGATTGGATCGATCGCCTTAATTTCTTCCCACATCGTCTTGATCTCCGGATGAGCTTTCTCTAGTCGCGCGCGTTCTCTAAACCGACGACGCTCCACGGGATCAGAAATATACGCGAAGTGGTTGGAGTGATGGCGGCTTTTCTGTGCGGAGGGCGGATTCGCACTGTTGGCAAGATCCAGAGCCGCTTGAAAGGGCGTTGAGGCGGAGGAGCCAGAATCAGAGTCGGAGAGCTCACTTTCAGTGAACAGCGACGAAAGTTCAGAGTCTTCATCATCGAAAAGAGACAAAGGGTCACCTCTCTCGGCGGCGTTTTGAATCTTGGACTTCAAGTTGGCCCGCGGACGGCGTCTGGGAAGGAGTGGAACATCGTCATCTGTCTCCTCTTGCGAGTCGAGCACTTCTTCGAACCGGCCTTGTGCTCTACCAAAATCCGATCGGGTGCGACGGCGTTTTGATAGTGGCTGAGAGTCAGAATCGTCGGACTCGGAATCTGCAACCATATTGTATTCTTCCTCTTGAAGTTTCGAGGCGATCTGGAAGTCCAGGTCTTCAGAATCATTTCCAGCCATATCCAGATCTGTGACTGTCCGTTTTCGTGAAGCCCCGTTGCCACCACTCAATGCAAACTGAGAAGCCTGCAACTGTAGAAGCCTCGCAGTAGCCCCAACCTTGGTGTTGGTCCCTGCTTGTTCCATGGCGTCCGGTGTTGGGACTGTGCTTGTACCGGGAGTCTCATAATTTGAGGATTCTACCGAATCTGCGATGGAAGACGGCGCAGTAGAGTCTGGACGGCTGAAGCCTTGACTAGCAGCAGCATTGCCACGACGACTGGGGACGTAAACACCCTGGAAGGTTGCTTTCGAGATCGAGCTGGACGAGACTATGTCTTCGGGGCCATCGGAATCTGGGATTTCCTTTGGGAAAGACCGTGTGGTCCGCTTCGAGGGTTTTGAGGGCAAAGGCAGGGATGGTTCTGGTGTGGCGACTTTTGAGGCTGCACATGCATGGTTAGATCGGCCGCGACACCAGCTAGTTGTATGTGAATAACCTACCAGCAGCTTTCCTGGTGCTGGAAGACCTTGTAAGACGAGCGCCGGCCCCCATCTTGATCGTTGAAGATTGTTCGCAATGGTGGAGGGTAGATCGGTAAAGTCTCAACTTTGTTGCGGGCGCGGGATCAAGGCCTAAGCGGGAGAAGGGGCTAATCTTTTAGTGTCAGGGACCCGCGTCCAAGTCAGGTTGTTAGTGCATTTTCTGCCTGGATAAAGGCGCGTCCATCACGTGAACACGTGAGCCCGCGTAAAGTGGTTTCTAGGCTGCATTGCACTGCAGGCAGCGGCATGTTAAAGTTTACGCTCACACTATTTAAAGGCTTCAAAGTCCGCTTCATGTCTTCCAGTTCCTTTTCTCTCATCAACGCATTATCGTAGGGTGACAAACAGCTGCCGATATATGCAGGAGGGACAGAGGTTGACTGCTACTGATGATATCGAGAATTCCCAAAGCCGTGAAGCCCTGCTTTATTCGGGTGCTTAGCGGCTGATAAAGCGGATTCCTTTCTGAAGCACATCATGTTTTGAGGCAAGCAAGGCCACCTTCTTTGGACCGTTACTATTTGCGTCTGCTATTGGAGGTTTGCTGTACTGTGTATAGTGCACCCGCTTGCCACTTTCATATACAATGTTGTAGTTCTGTCAGGTTGTCTCCATCACTGGAGTTCGTCTCCATATGATGGACACGCTTTATTTAGGCTGTTTTGTACATGTGCATAGTCGGTGTCACTCCCAGACACCTCGTCTCCTTTCCTGGAACAATTAGCTCCTTCATGTGTTGGTGACCCAACCACAACTATTTCCCGAATTGATGGCCGTGGCGACTTTGTCTGTCTTCTTGAATTCTGATCTAAATGTATGTGTGTGACACCTGCATTGAGTCCAGGTGTATGCAGTCGAACAAGAATGTGGCAGCGGTGCAGGTGCAGATAAGGCTGGGAAATCAGGAGCTCCACAAGGCTGCAGGTGCTCTATCGATAACAATTTCCCCCAGATCTCAGATTCTCTCAGGGCCTGGTCAGAATCCACTAATCACGGGCAATTATAGCGGGCTTCTGCCTGGCACTAGTCCCAGGGCAGTCGCGTCAATTGGTCGCGTAAAGTGGTTTTCTTGGCGTGTTTGGTGCATCACTGCGCAGTGATGCGACCCTTTCAGATCCACTCGGGCCTTGAATGAGAGAACCGATCTTCACTTCCCAAAGCAGTTTCCTGTTGAAAGCATACCTCTGGGGTGACAATTGCCAAGGTCGGATGCTCGATTGCGCCACGTCTTAAACTATTCTCCTTCTCTCCAACTGACTCCTGCAATTCCAGACATCGGCTTGTCGCGACAACTTTGGAACCATTACAGTGGCGCTTCGCCACCGATCTGACAATGTGAGTGATGCCGTTTCTTCCTAAGAGACACAAAGAATGCCTCTGACACTGAGTTTTTAGGGCTCCTCGGCGTGCTTCCGCTCGCGCTGCTGCGACAAATCGCATCCGTGGGCCGCAGTCGGCACTCACGGACTTTCTTGCATCCCACAACATATCGGCCGCACAGATCCATGCAGACTACGAGCGACGCTTGCAAGAATCGGTGCGTGCCCAGGAAGAAGCGGACAGGAACAACAGCAATCAAGAAAACGAGGAGGAAGATGACGACGAGGATCCAGTGGAGCGCAAGAAGCGCAAGCGGAGAGAGGAGAAGACGTTGATGAAGATCAAGCAGAGCAAAGAGTTCAAGAGACGCAAGTTCGAGAATCAGCAGGATAACATCAACGAGGACGATGACGAGATTGCGCGGAGCATGATGGCGAGCTCGAAGCCTCTGCCGGGACAATTGGACAATTGCGAAATATGCGAAAAGCGGTTCATTGTGACGCCATACAGCAAGACCGGACCGAACGGCGGACTCTTATGCGCCAAGTGCTCCAAGGAACTCAAGGACGAGGAAAAGAAAGAGGCCCAAGCCAACAAGAAGAAGAAAGCGGTTGCTCCACGTGGTCGACGACGCCAAACCGAGAGCGACCGGTTGATGGGAGACGTCAAGCCAGGCGCAAAGACTCTGGTGGACATGTGCGTCCGACGAGTGGCCAATGTGGTGCACGACATCGAAGAGTTTGGCGACATGCCACAGAACCTGTTGGACCGATTAAGCCAGATCCTCTCGAAGCAGCGGGTGATGACGCCTCGGGTGCTCGAATTGTTCTTGCGGCCCGACATTGACCGCATCGACATCTACGACTGCGGCAAGCTCGAGGAAGAAGACTTCCAGAAGATTTTTGCATACATGCCCAATGTCGAGTTTGTCAACCTGCGGTTTGCCGGTCAAATGAAGGACCCGCCGCTGCTGTACATGGCAGACAAGTGCAAAAAGATTCGTCACCTGCAGCTCGGGGCAACCAACCTGGTTTCAGACGCCGCTTGGCTGACTATGTTTCGAGAACTCGGCCCGCAGCTCGAGAGCTTGAAGTTGTCGGAGCTGAACGACGCTCTTGGGGACGACATCGTCAAAGAAGCCGTGAAACACTGTTCGGGTCTGAAACGACTGAAACTTAGGTCGTGCTCGCACATGGGCGAGGCGTCGATTGAGGCTCTATGCTCGCTCCACAACCTCCAACACCTGACACTCGCTATTGCCCAGCAGGAGACATCGGCTGCCACACTGGTCAAGCTGGTTGAATCGCTTGGGCCGAACCTCCGCACATTGTGTCTTGAAGACTATGCGGAACTCGACGACACTGTCCTGGAAGCCATCAAGACGCATTGCAACAAGTTGACCAAACTGCGGATTCGAGGAAGCAGCCTCTGCACCGACGCCGCCTTTGCAAGCCTGTTTGACAACAAATCGCCTTTCCCGTCCTTAGTCTATGCCGACCTCTCCGACAACCGGGACATGGACAACATGAACCCCGAAGGCCCACAGGACAATCCAGTCGGCTTTGGATCCGCAGCCCTGATCTCGCTCATGCACCACTCTGGACCACGCCTGGAACGTCTCAACCTCAAGGCCTGCCGGCACATTTCTCACTCAGCCCTCATGGACGTCTTCGACGGCGTCAAGCAGTATCCGGCTTTAAAAGATGTGGATTTGTCATTCGTCACCCAGGTCGACGATGTGGTCATGAACGGTATCTTCAAGAGCTGCCCGGCCCTCGCGAAGCTCGCGGTCTTTGCTTGTTTCAATGCAAGACAGGCCAGGATACCTGCCGGCATTGCTGTGGTCGGTTTGCCCAATGCCCAGGATAGCATTGTCATTGGCGGAGACGGCTTCGGCGATTTGTGACCGCATTGACGGAAGGTTTTCTGATTCTCATTCTTACGGGCATGAGATTCCCCGGCCACCTGTGCAAACCAAAGGGCAGTTCGGTCGGTCTGCTTGTTTTTTAAATGCTCCCTCGACCTCGTCACCAGGCTGGACTGGAGATCAGGAATCAATGATCTGGACCTGAGAATCCGAGGCCGGAGGACGGAGTGGAGTGCATGGTTTAACGGACAAAAGAATCATGAGATTCACGACATTGGGCTGGCGGAAACCCAATGTACTGTATGTGATTTGCAAGCGGCTCGGAGAGACAGACAGACTGACTCTGGCTCTGCACATCATCACGAAACGAAATGCAGCGGTTCTAGCATGGTATTGCTAGTACATAGCTAGAACCTTAGTTACGAATATCAGAAAATACCCCCTTTTTCACTCTTCCTTTACTCTTGTTCATGTGCATAGAATCGCCTCATTTCACTTTGAAGGTCAAGTAACACTTCATTGGAGTATGTCATTGCGCAGAAACATATTCTGTATTTCCTCTCACTACATGCAACATGCCTATGTACAAGAGTCTATAGGAGACCACCTACACTTGGACTGTACTAGTGAAGCCTTCCTTTGCAATGTAAGATGCTGCAAGCTGCAATGCCTACTTGGATCAAGACATCTATTAAGTCTGTCTCATACAGACATTGCGCATGCATCCATACCAGTAGTGTACCATCATACACTGTAACCACAATGCTAAAGTGGTTTTCCCGCTTCTTTTCAACCCGAAACATCTTTGCATTCTTTCTGTCTTTCTTTTCCCCCTCAGTCACGATTAATCAATGGACAAATTAATGATGCTTTACCCTGCTGACCACAGACCAGCAGTGCTGCAGTGGGGATGGATAAGGTATCTGTTTTTTATTCTTGAACAGACCTAAAGCATCTCGATGCCTTCGACAACAGCATCGAGTCTATATTCGGGATCGAGCTTGCTGCTATGGCCGGCCCCGGTGCCACCATTTGAGTCTGCAGCCAGCAACATCCTCGCCAAAGCAGAGAGCTGTCTAGCCTTCGTTTCAGTTTCCAGCTCGGCACTCTTCTGCCTCGCGACATCGATGACCGACTCAGAAATATTCGCCAAGCGGGCAACATTCAAGCCGTAGCTCCGATGGGCGACGCCCTCAGCGACCTCATACAGAAACGCGACGTTCTCATCATCATCCTCGCGGAAGCGCATATGGACATTCTTGAGTTCACCGTTGGGAAACCCATTCGCCATGCGCGCGAGCATCTGGTAATGCGTAATGAACAACGTCAGACACTTGCGGTCACGGACCAGATAGTCGAGGACCGAGGCTGCGATGGCGACGCCGTCGTGCGTGCTGGTTCCTCGACCCAGTTCGTCGAGAACGACCAGACTGCGGTCCGTGGCGAGCTTAAGGATATCGCTGGTCTCACTGAGCTCGACCATGAACGTACTCTCGCCGGACATCATGTTGTCGCGGGCGCCCATGCGCGTGAAGACGGCGTCAAGAATACCCAGGGTCGCCGACGTCGCGGGCACAAAGGACCCGATTTGCGCCATGATGGAGATCAGTGCCACGGAGCGCACGTACGACGATTTGCCGCCCATGTTGGGGCCCGTCACCAGCAGTGCTCGGGTTGTGTCTCGAGAGATGGAGATGTCGTTGGGCACGTACGTGTCAATGAGCAGCTGTTCGACCATCGGGTGGCGACCTCCCTCGACCTCGACCACGGTGCCCTCGGTGAACCGGGGTCGGACGTAGCCGGGCTGCGAGGCCACGTTGGCCAGCGACAACAAACAGTCTAGCCGGGCGAGGTTTTGCACTGTGTCCCGAAACAGCTGGTATTTGGTGCTGATGTCGGCCAAAAGGTCCTTGTACGCCTTGTCACACGCCGCCGCGAGAGACTCTTTATGTTGGTCGCGTTCGCGCAGGAGCTTGACAACTTCCGGTGCATGGAACCGGGAGATCTTCTTGGTGCCCGAGATCTTGGTCCAAGACGCAGGCACTTTCTTGATCATCGCGGAATTGTTGTCCACTTCAACCAGGTAGTCTATCCCAGCCACTGTCGCGTACTCGACCGGCCGCTTCTTGCCCAGCTTTTCGGCTGCTATCGCCCGGAACTCGTCCAGGTCATGCTCCACCGCTGCTATCCCGAACTTGTGCTCCGTAATGGTGTCGTTTTCGGCGCCTTCTTGAAAGAAATTATATTTGTCGTCCGATTTGGCTGCTTGCAGATTGATTTTGTCCAGATACCCTACCACTTCGGTGAGCACTGATGGCAAAGGTGTCATTGCAGACGAGATTAGTTCCGAACTGAAGTTGGTGGAAGCGGCGTCGGTCACATATGCAAACTCGTTGGCCAGGAATTGCAGTGCCTGTAATACGTTCAACAACTCTGGTCGGGTGCATTTGCCGTAGTAGATCCGAATTAAGCTCTTTTCCAGATCCGTCTTCAGTCGGGATAGAGCATGCCTCAACTTCTCAACATATGTCGCCTTTGCAGGATCCAGGAGCTCCTCAACTGCGGCCAACCGTTCTTCAATTCCCTGCCGGTCCAAGAGCGGACGTCCGACCCACTTGCGAAGTAGTCTGCCTCCAAATCTGGTTTGCGTTCTATCCATCATCCAGTAGAGACTCCCTTTTGTGGAGTGGTCCGTCTGATTTTGGTAGATCTCGAGACTGGTAAGAGTGTTGCTGTTCAGCAGCATGTGCGAGCGAGCAGAAAATGGCTGGAAATACTTCGTCAGCTGGAACACATGCTCCAGACCATAGTCAGACAAGTGGTCGATCATGGCAGACAGACAGATCGATACGTTCTCCGGCAAGCCTAATATTTTGTCAAACACTTTGGTTGCTTTCTCGTGATCTGCGGGAGATTCTTTGAGCTTGTCAGCATAGAAGGAAGATATGTGGCCGTGGGCTTGCGCTGCCATGGTCTTCGGCTTGGGTGTCCGTTCTACTCGGATCTTGTCCCCAAACACGTTCGTCTTGCTGCCAGACAAGTGCATGACGAGTTTTTCCGTTGCCCTTGATAGTTCACCGACGATTAAGAATTCACATGGTGCGATGTGAAGTAGGCGAGTCTCGATCTCGCCTCGCATGAACCCGTCCTCGAAGTCGTCGTAGATGATATCCCCCGTTGCAGGCTGGACCGCAACCAGGCCCACGTGAACCTTTTCGTCGTTGCCGTAGCCCTTGGTATTCTCTTCCGTCATACAAAGCAAGAAGCCGGTAGACGGTGATTGAGGTGTAGGGCTACCTCTGCCATTGTCCTCAATGCCCTCTATGTCATCAATATAGGTGCCTTTTGTGTACAAGTTTGTGAGCTTTCGGACAAACGGTGCGTTTCTGTTGTCGCCCACTGCCTTCAGGGCCGCAGTTTCGAGTTGGCGGACAACACCCACTTTGTGACCTGCAGCTACCAATCGTTTGACATGAACATGCAGTCGATGGACAGGAATACTGGCAGAGGCGAAACGATCCAGATGGGCTTCGGAGGGATGCTCGTCGAACCGATACTTTCCCGGTATACACACGATCCCTAACTCTCGGGCCGCAATTCGAGCATCCTCTCCAAAGAATCGAAACTTGTAGCCGACTTCGACCACTAAGAGAGTATCCATATGCGCCTTCTTGATCTCAATCACTTGTTTCTCCATGGGTGTAAGTTTGCTTCCGCCTTTCTTGACGCCTGACTTTGTCCGAGATGTGTTCTTCGGCGGTTCATCAGCAGCCTCGTCTTCTCCATCCTCGTGTTCTTGCTCGTCAGCATCTTCGTCGATTGCTCGGTTTCGCCTTTTGATCTCCGCAATGCTGTCTGGTTGGCCTAATTTCTTTACAAACTTCCGGTGCAGCTCGTCCTTTCGTTGCCTCTCAGCGCTGTCAACGTCGTCTTCATGGTTTTCTCGGAGAGGAGATGATGAAAAAACGTATTTAGAAGTCTTGCCGGAACCCGAAGGAATAGCCAACGGCGTTGCCGTGGCCTGGCCATTTGCTGCAATTGGTCGGAGTGTTCTGATGTGTTCTTCATCGCCTTCCTGATCACCCTCGCCACCCTCCAGAGAGTCCTCAGCAGGAGTAATCTTGCGCCTTTTCGCCACGGGCAACACCACATCGTCGTCGTCGTCCGCTTCAGGTTCAGAGGGCTTGACTGAGGAATTTGTACAAGGCTGACTCGATGGGGGTTTCTTGAAGAACGCAGACAGGGTCTGCTGTTTCTTCTGGGAGGATGCCATGGTGGACCTGTGGCATTGCTCACCACGTCGGCGAGATATCGCTCAGGACTTTGTAGCAGTGTGTCGATTCTCCATCAATTGTCCCCAGACCTATCAAACATTGCCAGTGAGTGGCACGCGGAAGGAGTTCGCCAATGACGCGAATAGTTGTGGCACTTAACGCGAGATTTACAGTGGTAGACGCGTCGTAGTGGTATACGGCGGAGTATAGTGCTTAATGCGGCAATCCGTGCTGACGAGGCTCTGCCACCCACAGCCTCGTGGCCGGGGTACATCATCGTCACGGTTGACCGGTACTAATAGGACAAGGACCATGAACGCAGCATATGTATGACTTTTATGTACACATGGGCGTTGCAAGCTATTCACTCGAAGACTACCTTCCAATACCTGATAGACCTTTTGAACTTTCGCAGCACCATCACCTCAATTCTGGACACGTGCGCTAACGCAAACAATACATGAGATCCGCATAGCTGCTAGCAGAGAGTGAGCCATTTCGCCATATCTATACCTCACATAATCTGTTTGCTAGTTGAAGGTCAGGTTGGAGATTGGTTGCCAAGACGGGATCTTCTCAGGTGAGAGGTGCTGAGAGAGCTCTGGGATGAATCTCGATGTTTCCGGCTACAGCAGACATCCCATCCGCATGCGGTCTCTGAGGCACTTTCATCGACTGCCTATCGTGTTCGCCACCAAGATGCTCCAAGGCTGGGGCCAAAGGGTTCTTGGTGGTCACAAAAGGGTCGTCAGGTGGCATGCCACCTGGAAACAATCCAAAGAAGCTGCTGAACGGGGACTCTGAAGGCAGTAATGGAGCCATCATGCCCCGGTCAGGGGATTTCCATGCTAAAGGATTTGTGCATGTCCCTTGAAACTCCGGGTGAGACTGAGTAAGAGGTGGGTCGCCTTCTTTGACATCCATCGTATCATAAATGTTTTCATGCTCCCGGTGACTATGCCGATACAACGTATAAGGGTTTGTATATTGCCAGGTGGATTGGTACTCTGGCTGAAGCCATGGCGCTGTAACGGCGGGTAGCTCGGTCTGCGAATCTCTTCCAAGGACGAGGTGATTAGTAGCTTGGGTGTGATTTCGCCCGTCCTCTACAAAAGAGGCCGCGGTATATCCCGGACTCCTGTCCTCAAAAATTGTAAACTGGGCTGGGCGCTGCCGTGAAGGCATGTCACTGAGATTCGACTTGAAGCCGTCCTCATCCTCCTCGGTTGCAAGAAAACGAGTGCCGAGGCCGTATGAATCGCCTGTCGAAGAGCTGGGCAGATAAGGAAGAGGAGGCAGTCCATGCATAAATGGATAGTCGGCCTGTTTCTTCGCTGGAAGCCCCTTTATCTTGCGTCTCACCAGGCGGGGTGCGTTGGGGTCTTTTTCTGCCAGAGGTTGTCTTTTCCGTGCCCGTACTGGCTTTATCTTCGGAAGCGGAGATTCACCATCAATAAGGCTGCTGTCATCTTCGAGATCGTCGATATGCCTCGCTTTCTTGACGTGCCCACCAGGTGAGTATACCACCTCTCTCGGCTCAACTAAGGCGGACAGACGTTCCATTCTTCTCAGCACGGAGCCGTCCTTCTTCTGGTTCCTCTTCCTCTTCATGTCATCCGAAGCCGCGTCGAACAGGTCCATGCCTGGCCATACAGTGCCTTTAAGCTTGCTGTGCTCCGGCGTGACAAGGATTTGAGGGCGATTCTCGACGGGGACGGCATCGTCAGAAGAATGCTGTCCATCAAGGGACTGGGCACGTCTGACAGGAGAGGTGATACGGCTTTGACGTGCTCTAGGCCTGGCAGACCTGGTTTAGACAAACGCAGCGTTTCGCAATCTGAGGGACAATTACCTTGATTTCTTCACAGGGCTGAAGTCTAGGTCACTATCATCATCGATTGCACGTCTGGCGTGTCTTCCCCGAGTCTGTCTGCGCTGACCCTGCTTGCGTCCTTTGGTCGGTCTATTCAGTGGCATTGGTTGCTCGGACGTCGCGTGGTTGCTTGGGCTCTGTTGTGCAACATATGCTCCTTTCCTGGCTGCATTTTTTCTTCTTCCGGCCTTTTTGGCCTCTTTCATGATCATACGCTCCGAGAGCAGCTGACCCAGACCATGTTGCTGGTACCATTGATTGTATGTGGCCAGCTGTACGCCGGCCGCAATTTCTTGGTGGCTTCGCACTTGGAGTTTGTGCAGATGGGATAGATGGCCCTTGGAACTGACATGAGTAAGTAGGTGAGATGTGTCGCTGAAGGAGGGCCGCTTTGGACAGATGCTGCAATTAAGCAGTTCCAAGTCCATAGTGGGCCTGCGAGTTTGTACAAGTGCAAATGAAAAGCAGGGAAACAGCAGGCGAAGCTCGATCTGACGACAGCGGGAAGTCGACAAGCACCCAAAAAACAGGCAAGATAGGGCTTGAAGAATCTTCTTTCTTCAGCACAGTGCCACGGAAAGAAGGCGAGCACCAAGCGACACTGGAGGTCACAATGGCCTCAACACCTTGCAGCGGGTGGTGGCTGCGAAGATCAAAGCATCATAATAACACAAATCACTTGGACTAAAGGAAGATAACCAGAAGGAGACAGATTGATGCCACTCGAGGAAGCTGCGTTCACTCCAGAAAGTACCTACTGAACAGTACCTTCCTGAAAATACCAGAAAGATTGCAGTCTTCATATTTGGCTTAGCGCCTCATGTCTTTCTGCGTGAACACCATCAATTTCTTGCAAACAAAGCATCTTATCCCGCCCCTCGAAATTTTCAATGGCGAGAGGGACAAAAACTTAGTTTCTCATGTGCCACAATGTCTATGTCTCCTCTCAACTGAGGAAAGTAGAGTGGTGAAGCGGAAAATAGTCCATTGTGGTGCTCAGTCTCCTCTTGCATTGTATCCCATCTCTCATGTAGCACATCAAGAGGGTTATTAGATTGCAAGAGGTTCAAGTGCGAGAACGCTGTATCACGCTAGATGGTACGGCAGTGCTTGGGTGACTTTCCGCGGCATGCAGCTGCGAGTATCATGGTTAGCTACATGTTAGACATAAGGACCAGAGACTTCACTTACTAGACGGGGTCGACCTCGACGAAACCGGGATAGCCGAGCAGACTGAGGCCGGCCACTCCAAATACAGTATGGAAGACGTCAACCATATCTCCCGGACGGTCTGAAATCCCTCCCTGCTCTACATCCTGGCATTTCAAGATGAATTTGGTCAACTCTGCCGCATCAATCCAATGCAACTTCCCCAGCATGGCCAGGCTGCTGAGCACCCACCAGCTGTAGCACACATCCACCAACTTCTCAGGTCGGCCATTAAGCCCACCGTTGGACAACTGTCTTTCACTGAGCCAGGCACCGAGCCGCTCACTGTCCACCAGATCAAGCCGCTTTACGATGCTCAGGGCACCGAGACATGTGAAAATTTGACCAGCATGCGATTCGGCCCCAGGAGACCTTCCAAAGCCGCCATCAAAGTTGGCACATGCTTGAATGTAGGACACGGCTTTCTCGATATCGACGAGATGCATCATATCAAGAATGGACAGTGCATTGAAGGCACCATACAGAAATCGGGTGTCAGTTTCACCCCATTCATCTCCGGCAAATGTACCAGAATTCCTATCCTGAAGGCCGGCGATATCTGGTTCGGATAATGGTGAGCACATCATAGCCATGGGATATTTCTAGACTTACATCTTGCAACCGCTTCCTTCCCCCCTCTCTGGGCTGTTTCAAGATCTGACAGAGCGTTAATGGTGGCCAAGACTTGCACTGCGCTCACGGTATAGAGCATGTGAGAATCGTGGCCTGGGGCGGCGCCGAAGCCTCCATCGCTGTTTTGACAGGCAAAGACGAATTCTAAAGTTTTGTCCCGCGGTATTGCATCTGGATGGCCCAGGAGGTGCAGGGCAGTCAACCCCCAGTAGACTCCGTTGAGTCTCAGATGTTCGGTCAACCAGTAGTCGAGCTCATCTCTTCGCTGGCGCGGCATTAACATCTGACGAGGAGGCACTCACGAATTCACGCACACTGTCCAGCTCCTGAATATATTTGACATGTTTGTCCACGACCAAGGTCAGTTCTGCAGGCCCGGGTCCGGTGGCAGAGTGACTACCCCCGACGCCCGGTCCGGCCACCAGGGCCATTGACAGCGGACGTTAGCTGCGTAACAATCTCTCCGCCGACGCACCCTAAGCGAAAATAGCCACAGCGAGGGAAACAACCGGATATGCGGTTGAACAAGTTGTCAGGTAGTAGTGGAAGCCGAGTAATGAGAGGCAGATGGTGGGATGTCTGTGAAATTAATAAAATGTTCTAGCTGTCCCATGCCAGTGCTTGGCAAATATCGTGCACTGCAGCCTGAGTAGTGCCAACGCCAGCCTCCGTCTGGACACGACCTCCTACCACTACTTCCAAAGTGTACAGTATGTAGGTGGTAGTTCATGTTAAGCGGGCTAGGAAAGAGACTGCCAACTATGTTCAATGATAGCTATGGTACAAGCACTCGCAGCTGCATTCGCTACAATTCAGGTAGAATTCCTACCCGGCTCCCCCAAACGGTGGTGTTGGGATTATATTATTGTTTACGGAATGGGCGACGTCCGGTCCTCTGCAAAATCAATAGCCGTGGCTGCTTTGATAGACGACGGCAACGCCGCACGATGATGAACGAGTTGAAAATTACTGTTACCACGCTCATACAGCCGGTGGTGGCACGTACAATACGAAGGTACGATAAATTGGCTGAGGTGAATGTCCAACAACCGAAGATCTTCCTGTCGATATCCAAGGAGGCGGTCATGCGCAATGGCTGTACCACACACTCAAGCTATGCCAGGACAACTACTAGCAGTAACAGGAGACAGCCTGGTTTCGAGCCAACAATGGTTGGTCTGCCCCAACCCCCAAGTCCAAGCTAAACAGCTTGAAACAAGGGTTGCGGCAGTCGTGGCCCTGATTACGCGGTCCCAAAACAGGTGGTGATACCCAAGTTTCCAGGATAGCACCCAGCTGGCCTCTATGAACTTTTGAGTAGTGTGTTGAGCCAAACTCGGTGTTGGACTCGTGTGTTGGATTTCCGTGGAGTGCCATGCTACGTACAACTTGAACTTGAAGGACTCGGAGTCAAATGATATGTGCCAGTAATTTGTGCCGTGGCGTTATGCAGCCGCAAGGTACCGGGATTTGTTGGATGTCATGCAGCACGTCCCCAGACGGTCCGGGGGCCTTCCGCCACTACTACACATCTTATCCCGTCTCTCTTCATATCGTCCTAAGGAATATTTGATGTTCGAATATTTCCTCTCATGAACCCTTACCTGCCCAGATGCCTGTACAAGATGTAGACGCTACTAGTAAGTCTAGGACAGGGCTGAGGAGGCTAACATGGTAAATCTGAGGCAGTAGTAGGCAACAGCTGGGGCTATCAAATGCAGCGCAGTACTTCTTGTCCATACAGCGACCACAAGAAGGAGGGTCTTGAAGGTGGCCTCACCCCGGTCTGCACTATCACTGCACCTGCACTCTATCAATTCCAGGATTCTCCAAGAGCAGTAGTGAATCTTCCTGACACATGCACTTTGTTATGCTTGACTAAATAAAAGTGATAGTATCGAGTAATAATGTGTTCACTTGCAAATTGAATAGCACTACAAGCAGCACTAGGCTAGTTGTAGGCGTTCACTGGCATCAGGTAAATTCCCACGGGCCTCCTTAGCCTTGTGCCTGGCACTGACCAGGCGCTGGTAGGTCGGAGGGAGGGGAGGAGGGACAATCTAGGCTCCAGCTCCAGGTTGGCGGTCCCATTGGCAGACGAGTGCAGGACTCGGGGCCTCGAGCTCCGCACTCAGGCTAGGGTTGCCCCTAAGAGCCCCTACTACGACACCTGCGGGCTCACCGCTCGACTGCGCTGCTATTTTATAGCAGCGGTACCTGGTAGTAGTGCACCGCGTGCCGCTATCGACGAGCTTAAACTGTTCCTGTCCTCACCTCTGCTTCACCGCGAGCCATCCGCGCAGCCACTGCATCTGGCCACCACCACTACCACCACTACCACCACCACACTGTCCTGCATTGCTTTGATCAATCTGCCAAAATCCCACTCGTATAGACCAGCAATCCTTTGGTCCTGGTTTTGGCTGTTTTGCTATTTGTTTGACTTGCCCTGTCTGTCCCCGCGTGTTTGTTCGGAGCATTGACCGCCTTGTCATCCAGCCTACGTTCCTGTCACTCCCTCAAAACTTGATCACTTCCTCCTTTGTCAGCCGCGCTCCTCGCAAGCCACCTCACGACTTTGACAGCCAGCCTGTCACACATTCAGGCTCTGCCCTCCTATGAAGATTGCTTGATCCAAACACCCTACACCGTATCACCAAAGACCGAAGTCGGCCTGTCTATCCCCGACGCTATCACTGGGCTGACTTCTCCGCGAATCCTTCAACTATACCCGCGCCCTATAGACCCTTTATACCGATCCTATCTTGGACCAAAATATACAGGCATCTTCACGCGCTGCGTGAACAAAAAGAAGGAGGACAGGCTAGCTCTATATATTATTGCCAGATGACTTGTTGAATTCCCCTTTTCCCAGGCAAGGTGTGCGCCATCAACGACCGCAACCACACGCCTCAGTTGTACGCCTGATCCCCTCCTACACGCATCTTTTTGGATAAACATTGCCATAAAACCGGCCCGACGCAAAGGAGGTTGCACAGACAGGGTGTTCACCCGAGAGGGCAGCATCCAGGTCCCGTTAACCTGGCGCAAACAACTCACACCCCGACCGAAAGCACCGCCGGCTATCTGCAGCAGCCCCTGTGAAAGATATCTCAATCGTTGCGGATATGCCTAAAGCCTCGGCTCCGCCTTACCTCAACCTGTCCTCCAAGAATAATGAGGATGTTTTTGGGCTTACACCGGCGACTCTGAGTCCGAGATCGACTGGCTCTCCTCATACTCCCGAGTCCCCCCCCGGGTCACCTTTTCTACAGGAACCTTCGACGCCTTCCATTATGCATCCGATCTCCACTTCGCAGGATATTCGTGACGAGGGTGAGCGACCGGGGCCGAATTCTCCTACGATTACTGCAATTCCTGAATTTCCTCCTTCACCAGTCACTCAGTCGCCGAGACATGGACGCGAGGCATCCAAGAGCTTCTTCTCAAACTTGATGGCCTCGAAATCCTCACACAAACTTCAGAGTTCCGAATCGAGCATTCCAGAAAGTGGAGAAAGACCAGGCACAAGAAGTCGACCAAGTTCGAAGGATAGATCTGTTCATTCAGTGCAGAAGCAAGGCTCGACGCCGGAACTATCAAAAATGGGACCTGGGAACTCAAGTGCCGGCAACACTCCTGCTTCCTCGGAGGCTACTCCCCAACCAGCTTCGGAGGGTGCTCAAACAAGCAGAAAGGTCAGGTCAAAGCTGGGCGGGATTTTGACACGAACCAAGACTCTAAAACTCGACGAACAGACACCGAAGGGCAAGGGCTCAGCACCCGGGCCACTTCAAATTGATTCGACGCACCAGACTAGCGACAATCTTGAACCGTCTCCCAGAACTGCGCCCATCAAGATGATGGATCACCGAGAAAGGGTGTTGGCCAGTCAGGCTAGTGGGCCGATGCGTAACCACTCAGCAGATCGTCATCGCCGGGACGAGTCAAGTGCGGGAAAAAGAGAGCGACTAGCAGGGAGCATGCCTGCATCGCACTCCTTCAGGGAAGGGTCTACACTTCAGATTCTCTCAAATATTGGTCAAACAGGCAAGGGCATGGGTGACCGCCTGGGGAAGGCCGGCAAAGGCTTTTTCGGAAAGATTACCAGGAGTGCGAGCAGCACCGAACGCGAACTCGTCACCGATGACAATTACACTTGTACCACCATCAATCTGCCACTTGTGAAGCAAACTCGCAAGACTCGGATCGCTCGACGCCTCGATTTGTCCAAGGACAAAACCGAATTTTGGATGCCTGCCCTGCCATGGCGGTGCATTGAGTAGGTATCAGTATCTCCTGAAGTTCACACCAGGCTAACACTCGCGCAGCTACTTGAACATGAACGGTGCCGAAGAAGAAGGATTATATCGAATCCCGGGTAGTGGCCGGGACGTCAAACATTGGCAACGTCGCTTTGACACCGAGTACGATATCAATCTTTTTGACGAGCCTGAGCTCTACGACATCAATACGATCGGGTCTTTGTTCAAGTCGTGGTTGCGAGAGTTGCCGGACGAGATTCTCCCCAGGGAGGTTCAAAGCAAGATTTCTAGCCAGTGCGCGGGCGCTACCTCAGCACCTCAGCTCCTCAAAGACGAATTGTCCCGGCTTCCGCCGTTCAACTATTACCTCCTCTTCGCCATTACGTGCCATCTCAGCCTGCTGAATCACTATGCTGACAAGAACAAAATGGACTTTCGAAATCTGTGCATATGCTTTCAACCTTGTCTGAAGATCGATTTATTTTGCTTTCAATTTCTGGTTATGGACTGGAAGAATTGCTGGCAGGGTTGCTGGACAGAGCAAGAATACCTGGAGGAGGAATACCGCTACGAGCGCGAAGGGTCCATCAACGAAGCCGAAGACTCGGCGGGCGACGAAAGGGCGATTTCATCCAGTGGAAGCAGTCAACCGCAAGCCCCAATGCCGCCACGGACCGCGGATGCAGGCGCACAACGCAAGTCGACCATGCTCAAGTCAAAGCAAAGGAGTCTGTCCTCGGAGGGTGGCGCAAGACGGCGAGCCGACAGTGGGCATGCTGTTACGCAAAGCGTACCGACAGTACCGAGAGTGGTGACCCCAGAACCTCCTGCGTTGTCGTTGGATCAAAAATTGCCGGAATTGACAGGGCTTTCTCCCATAAGGATGTGAGACGAATACCTTGGTATTTTGTGTCATCTGCAAACCATACCTTCTTGGACATGGACAAAAGGTTATCGCCGACCTGGGGGGCCTTCTGGATGATGCATTTATCTTGGTTCTGGGATGCCATACTGCATTCTGCATTTGATGGGGCGGCGGCTTGCGACTGTCATTTCTTCTTTTGGCGCCATCCGGCCCAAAACAAATTCTGTATTACCACCCCTTGATTTTTGACTTGGCATTGCTGGTTTGCGCACTACAGGCACAGAAAACCTGGCATCTGCGATTGCATTGGATTGATGACGTTTACGAGAGCGAGAGCGACAGTGGAGACAGTGGCGGAGCTGGAAGACACAAATTGGAGCTGGAGGAGCGTTGGACAGTTTTCTCATGTACGATTAGGTGGAAACGGAGCAGTGGTGCTGGGAACAGCAAGGAAGGAAGCGGTTGCCCTTTAGACATTCATGTCTGAGAGGTTCAAGATGCTTGCCCTTCAAGTTCCGCAGAGATTGATACCCAAATGAACAGGAGTTTCAAGTTTCAAGTTACGGGCCATTGAGCGTAGATGAACTCCCACGCTGTCATGCAGCGTTTGACACTATCGTAATTCTTTCCCTGAATCCATGGGAATATCGCGTATGTCTGGACTATGAAGTCCCCGCCGCTGGATCAGTCGGTCTCCCTGAATGGTACTCGGACTGGTATCCTTCCCTTCCACACATGTGGGCAAATAGCCACTTCTCTGGACGTTAGCCCTTAGTTGGAAAGGTAGACGAGAGCGAGACCGCGAAGCGTGAGTGACTAAATAGTCTGGTGCCAGTGGTGCAGTCGAGAGTAACGTAACAGTTCCACTGCTGCACAAGGTGCTGCCGCCTAACAGAGCAGAGCACAGCCAAGAGCCCAAACCGAGTTCTTTGGTCTTGTCTTGCTTGTTGTTGGAGCGGTTCCGTGGCTGTGGCCGTGGCACGGAGTCAATGCCCATGTTACCTAGGTAGAGGATTTCAGGGCCAGCGCCGAGGACGACGGCCAACAACCAAATTTCATTATCGTCCGAAAAAGAGAAAAAAAACTTTTGGCATGACTTTTATCCCACCTTGCTTCCGCCCTTCCTCCCTCTCCGTTCATTATTCCGCTGCCTCCTCTCCTGTCTCTTCATTCTCTCCAAACGCTCACGTCTCCCTTCCCCTCTGACGGTCCTTCCACTACCTTCATTGTCCTTCTCTTTATTGAGCTTATCATCATCCAATTCGACCAACCAGTCGTTTTCCCCTTGCTTGTTCTTGCCCTTGAACCCCCATTTCTTGACCCACTCGCCCTTCTCCTCGTCATAGACCAAATTCTTCTTGCGCTCCTCGAGCGCCGCGCCGCCCTTCAGACTGCCGCCGTACTTGCCAATTCCCTTTTTGCGAGCGAACAGTTCCCATTTGGTGGGGGCTTTCGGTTTCGGAAGTGGTTTCCACCGCGGTAATGGGTTGGTGGGGGCCGGAAGTGACATGACGAGACCGTCTGGGGTAGATGTGATTGTGCATGTTGTCAGGAGGGTGTTGAGGAGGACTTGGGCTCCGTCTCGTGCGATGGTCTTGAGGGTTTCGTTGCGCTCGGAATAGGTTTGGGATAGAAGTGTTGAGGTCGGGGGGAGGGGGTTTGGGTCCGTGGCTGTGAGGTAGCCTAGGTCGAAGGTGTAGGGTGTGGGTTTTGAAACGGTTGTTGATCTGTATAAGAAACATGAATTTGTGAGCATATATGGTTTTTGAGCGGCAATGACAGGCCAGGCCTCATGTCAGAGTACATCAATGCGATCAAGATATGATGAACAGAGCGGGACTGGGACTTACGGTCTTTCTTTCTCTGTGTTGGTTTTGGACGTTGATGAGCCGCCTTCGGCCATGGTGGTGTCGACCATGATTGACTTGGCAGTTTCTGATCTGTTGCAGTGGCTGTTCGTAGCGCAGGGTCTGTTGGAGAAAAACAAGCGGAGGGAATATTAGAGGCAATGCACAATGTGGGTGTTATGGTTTGTATGCTGGTGTTTGGATTCAATGTTGGTGTCGGCGTCTGGCCTGGGAAAAAAAGTTGGATCGTCGGGTCGAGTTTCTCCGCAGTCCAGAACTTTTGACTTTCTCTGATGCCGCTTTTAGCAGGGTCTCCCACTCGAGCGCTTACTCAGCGGAGTTGACCGAGCCTTGTCAAGTACCCAGGCTCGGAAGCCAGGGTTTCGCATCCCTCGGGGCCCTTTACGACACATCACTCTCATTGTCGACGCCCTTGAAAGTTGTTCTCGGTTGAATGATCCTTGTGCTGTACCAACGGTTATTTCTGACTGGTTTGATGTCTATTCTGGAACCCCTGTCTATAAGGAAATGCAGATAAGCAATCAGCATTGAGATCTACCGCATACCTGTCCTCACCCATTTTCAGCTCCCTGCAGTATATCCAATGTGGTCGTTGCATGTTACATTCACTATTCATAGACCGTTCGATCATTTCCCTATCGAGACGCCTTACAGTTTAGCGGATTGTGCTGTATAAATCAGCCTCTACTAATAAGCATGAGACGGTCGACTTGCGTGTATGGGACATACCAGTTAGAACACACGTTGCGAAAAGGCCCCACGGGCTGAACTGTCTACCTAGCCTTGCTAGGTATAGAGGGTAGCGTGAGGCCCGACGTACGGTACAATGTACTAGCAGTGAGGATGCCAGACTCCAGACGCAGCCTCATCCTGCCTTATTAAACTGGGTTATAACTGAATTGACTTTGGCAGCTTTATCTCTTCGGGAACCCTTCGGAAACCCTACCACAAACTCAACACCAACAACGACGGTCCTATAAGGCTGGTAGCCGACCGAGCTCTACTATCCTCACAATTCTTGGCTAGAACTGTCTTCGCCCAAAATGTGTAATGATGGCAGAGCTCTCACCCGTGGCGCCAGAGGATAAGAAACTCGTCGCCGGCACCGGTCCTCGGAAACGAAGATGGCACTCAAAGGTGCTGACCGGCTGCTTGAAATGCAAAAAACGACGGGTCAAATGTGACGAAACCAAGCCAGGTTGTCAGAGATGTAGCAAGATTGGAGTCCAGTTGTCCAGGATACAGGATTCCCGTTGCTCGCATTTTCGAACTACCAACTGGGCCTCGATTCGACTCGGATATGGACAAAGCAAACTATGATTACTTTGTGCATAGCGGGTCTGCTCTTCTCTCGACGTTTCAGCTGAGCTCGACGCCTTTCTGGACAAGAATTGCCCCCCAGATCGGTGAAATGGACCCTGCCGTTCGACACGGGTTGATAGCCCTGGGCACAATCCAGGCGCCATTACATCGGTCCACCGTCAAAGACCTCGCCCTCGCCCCGAACCGCAGACCAGAGCTGGACCCTGGTGCCATGGTGCATATCAGCATAGCGATGCACCTCCTCAGCACCGCCGATCCAGCCACCTTGTCTGTCGAGGTTGCATGACTTGCTGTGTGCTGTTCCTGGCCGTGGAGATTTGAGTGGAGAAGACCTCATATTCATATGTCCATGTCCTAGCGGCGCACCGCATTCTGCGCGATAATATCCCCAAGATCTACATGAGCGGATCTCGAAAGAGCGAGATCGTGAACGTGTACCTGCCCATGATCGATGGACTTATAGTCCAAGCCTGCACCTTCGCCGACGACTTTCCTCCGCCCACTGCCGGGATCCCGCCTTTCTACAAGCTTCATTTTGGCCTGGAGAAAGTACACTCGATATCAAACTGGAAGGACGCCTTGGATGCCATCATATCACTGTTGCGATGTGTTTTGAGAGTCACCTCAGATCCAGTATTCTATACCGTGGGCAAAGCAGAAGTTGCTGGAGCACTTGACCGCTTTGCTGTAAAGCTGGTAGAGCTACAAGTCACAGGAAGTCCACCGTCCGATGGCATGACTGAGGAAGAGGAGTACTCGCATCTTCGTCTGCATCATCGCGTGGCAACCATTATGCTGCACACCCTTGCCGAGGAGGACGCGACAGTCCATGACAGATATATTCCCGACTTCCTGCTCGTTTTGGAGCGGTGTGAGCACATCATCGACAGACGGGCTTCTGTCCCGGAAGAAGACCTTCCCAACATCAGAGGACCAACGCTGGGCATCCTGCCTCCGTTGTTCTTCGTGGCCACGAAATGTCGCAACCATACCATCCGCCACCGGGCATTGAAGCTGTTACATGGAACCTTACTCAATGAGCGCGAGTGGACTAGTTGCATGGCAACGATGATGGCCAAGTTCGTCGTTGTACAAGAGGAAAAGTTGAATGGTATCATGCCCGGCGATGAACCCGACCTGGTCAAGGTGCGACTTCGACTGCATGATATTGACTTCTCGAGCAGCAAGCATACGATGCATCTGGGATACTTCCTTCATGTCGACGGGAAACCTCGCGAGTATTGCTGTGTCACACTTCCCTATATGTCACACCCTTCCGTGCAGAATAACGGTGTCAATACTTTGATGTCTAGAAAAACTCTGAGGGCGTGTGGTTACAGCAGCATCATCCTATTTGCCCCGCCCATCGATTGTCATTGTGTTGACCACGATGAGCCGGGCCTTTGTCGCATAGAAGAGATCGCTTGAGTTGGAGTACATAGGGTTCAGCCAAAACATACCCCTATTTCTACATGATGACCGACCATGCGCCAAGCCACTCGCCAAATACATGCACCCCGGTGTCGCGCCGACTCCTCCACATGACAAGATTTGTATGATTGGAAAGGCAGATCAACGGAGAAGGCATTTGGGCATCCTTGGTTCGATTGAAAAGGGATCCTTGCTTCTCCGTTTGGATGATCCCCCTGTGGTCAGTGCGATAGTCTTTCCTGAAACCACTTCACCGAGGCTATCAGCTTTCTATGGTTTCCGATGCTGTCACCACAAAGTCGACGAATGTTTCGGGCTGACTCAAAAACGGAGAGTGTCCAGCTGTACATGTGAATTCCTGCACCTTCACGCCACATTCCTTGACCATCCGCCTCTGCATAGACAATGGCAATGCCTGGTCATTCTCGCAATACAGATAGCTCACCGGGATATCCTTGTACGCGATCCGAGTCACTGGGTTGAATTGGCAGATGGTGGTCTGGGGCTTCAACTGAGAGGACCAATGCCTTTGCTGATCGACAGGCAAATCTTGATAAAATACCTGTTCGGGGTTCATTACATGGCAACTGCCATCTTCCTACGACGCCGAATTAATAATCTTTGGTCAACCCAGTTCCACGTTTTCTGGATGTCATGACCGTCCAGGGAACCACTTACTTCTGCCTTGATGAACGGCGCCAGTTGACCACCGACGGCATCGCAGAGATGATGGCCTACTGGCAAGATGAATGCGCAAGCATAGAACAATCGCACAATACCACCCTTTTGGCCTTTCTTCTGCCGTTCCGTCTTGCCCAGCCCGGCGGCCGCTTGCGTGCCAACGACGCCGCCGTACGAATGCATCACCAGCAAGATGTCGTGGCCTTGATCAGCTAGGGATTTAAGCTCCCCACGCACGAACTCGGCGTCGTCGTACATGGTCTTGGTGGGAGGCGTTGCGCCTGTCGATGGCTGTTGAGGACATACGACTGTATATCCAAGGTCCTCGAGTTTCGACTTGACAGTATCGAAGCCAGCTGGACCGTGCCATGACCCGTGGAGGATGTAGATGAGCGGTTTTACTGTCATTGTGCAATATATTGGAGAGCGGCAGAAATGTCGACTATGCAGCTGACCAGGGCATGTGTATATATACATGTTACATATATTTAAGTAGGTCGTTGCCGCTCTTTCCGTGCAGTATTGGATTACAGCCATGGTCCACTGTTCTCATTTCGTATAATAGGGCAATGCTATTCTCCTACAAGGTCTGCTCGATCGTAGGTGGACAATACTGCCAACGTCAACACACTTCATGGTGTGGGCCATGCAAAGGCTAGCCTCGTGAACGATCAACCATCCACTTCAGGCCACCCGTGAGTCTGCGCGTACGGTACCAGCACTCCTGGCTCCATCTTTACTCTTGGCTGGTCTAGTATACGAGCATCAATCATTTTGGTAAGATCTGCAAGCAGCCTGAGCCTGGTCCAGCCCAACTACAGGCCAGCCTTCTCCGGGAGGATGTGGAGGACGTTGATGGTTGACCCAACTGAAACTTGAAGCAGCGACATGATGAAAGGGTAAAGCGGCAAGCCACAGCTGCAGTGTAACCTGTCTCGGCTTCCATCCGCTTACTAAGCGAGTTGAGATACTCGATCACGTGAGATCACGAGGGCTACCAGTTCCTCCTACAGCCAAGCGCGGTTTTCGAATTCCATTGACTTTCAACACCAGAGGCTTTACCTCAGCACCACCACATACCCCATCAGCAGAGGTGTCGGCGCCGGTGCTTCGAGAGACACTGCAGCAAGAAGCCATGTCTCTCTCCATATGCGCCGACTGCCTATCCAGGCTCCGGATCTCGGGCCAGTCCAAATCCATGGGCACAGCTACAACTCTTATTGCCAGTGTGACATTACCTCGAGCGCCAGCATCGTCTTTTCACAGCTCCAGTCCCGTGGCGGCCAACAATGCCATTCTGAAGGCGAAAAAGAGCAGAGAGGTTGCAAAGCACCGATCCTCACAGTCGGCGCGGATGAAGAAGAAAACCCGAGACCGACCCAAGCCTCCGGCGATTGGGGAACGACGAGCCCAACGACATCGGATTGTCCTCAGCAACACCAACGCCTTTGAGATTGTCGGGATGGAGAACTGGAGCAAGGAAAACATGGCCGATGAAGAAAACGTAGGACACGTGTTGGGACTTGACGGAGCTTTGTTGGACAAGCTGCGAGACTGCCAGGCCTTCAAGACCACGCAGAACTGGAGCTTGTTCCGACGGCCAGCTACATTGGTCCGAACCGAAACCATCAAACTCGGTCGCGATATCGAGGCACTCAACGCGGAAAAAAAGACCGTCAGACATCTTGTTGTTGGTGAGAAGGCTTCTGGGAAAAGTATTCTCGGGTTGCAGGCCATGAGCATGGCGTTTATGAATGACTGGTTGGTTCTGAATGTGCCGCAAGGTGAGTTGGAATCTGTCACAGCACCTTTTTTAAAGATCGAATACTAACGTTACGATTTGTCTTTCAGCCCAAGCTTTCGTTAACAACACTTCGTCTTACGCACCCCTAAAGCAAGAGGACAACGACACAAAAGAACAATTATACATACAACCGCACTTGACCCAAGCACTGCTCACGCGGGCTTTGAATTCCAACGAAGCGCTGCTCAAGAGTCTCAAATTCAACCACGAGTTTCCCAAACACTTGCCTCTAAAACAGGGCACCGCCACTCTCAAAGATCTTGTCCAACTTGGCGCGAGCGACCACACCTTCGCATGGCCTGCATGGCAGGTGTTTTGGCGCGAAATCAGCGCACCGGGCGCCAAGGCACGTCCGCCGGTCTTGTTGGCCGTCGACGACATCGACCACTGGATGGGACCTAGCAAATACCGCAGTGCCGAGTTTGAAATCATCCATGCCCACCAGCTTACTTTGGTGCGACAGTTTTTGGGGCTGTTCTTCCCTCGAGGCCAACAACAGGCCTTTGCCAACGGCGGCATGATCCTTTTCAGCACCACTGGATCCAATACACCCGCATATCCAACTTTTGAATTGCTGGTTAATCAATTACGCGCTCGGACTGCGAAGAGCGGTGATTCTTCGGATTTCCCTCTTCCGGCACCGTATAGCAAGCCCGACTCTCGTGTCTTGGAGCTGTCGTCTGGTCTGGACCATGTCAACCTGACTGACTTGAAGGGTCTTAGTGTCCCAGAGTCAAAGGGCTACATGGACTATTTTGTGCGCAGCGGATTGCTCAAGAGGAACATTACTGAGAGTGCCATTGCTGAATTTCGAAGTCTCACCGGTGGTGGCGTGGTGGGAGAGTTGGCAAAGTTGGGAAGAAGGATTCGACTCTGATTAGGATTGAGTCTATACGAGCCGTGGAATTAGCCGATGTGAATGCATGTGTCAGTATGGGGTTCTTGTAACATTGAATGGCTAGCATGCACACTAGACCAGGACAAAAACATCTCGGTCGTAGAAGCGTGGCTGGTATATATCCTGTTAACCTTTTCACTGACTGTACCAGTATGCCAAACAAGAATTTTCGATACCACAGAAACGCCAAACTATATAGATTTCAAGCCTCAAGCTGTGCCCGTGCCGATGCCGAATGTAACGGTCTCGTATCATCGTCGTCCATTTCCACGTCCTCCTCATCGTCTATTTCACGCTGTGCCAATGCACCATGCTCGTGCGGATGAGGTTGGCCATTGTAATTTCGAACGTCCAAAGCTTGCTGCGCTGAGCCGTGGCCGTAGGTTCTGGGACCGATATCAGTGGTTCTAGTAGTACTACTACTAGCAGCAGCAGTAGCGGGTGCTCCTCTCGTGCGTTGATTCTGCTCCAATTGTTCTCGAAAAGCGTTGGTGTTGGTGTTGGTGGTGGTAGTGTTGTTCGTGGTATCGGCAACGTCGGTAATAGTTGGACCTGGAGCTGGACCGGGAACAGGAACTGGACCTGGAATTGGGCCGGGAACAGGAACGCGAGCGCCAGGGCGAACGCGAGGATATTTTGGTCGATACTGTTCTCGCCGTTGCTGTTGTTGCTGGGATAGCTGTTGCTGTTGCTGGAGGTATGAGGTACCACCAGCAGGGATATGACGACCACCACCACCGCCATTTCCACCAAGATACCCCATTTCCATATCCACACCCATATCTATATCCACATCCAGATTATCCATATCACGCACCTCCAACGGCCCATCCCTTTGCCTTCTAGTCGGTCTCAGTCGTTGACTGGCCGTAGCAGTAGCAGTAGCAGTAGATTCCAACCCGTACCCCGACGGCGGGAGGCTCCTCTGCTCAAACGCATCCGTGTTCGTATCATACCCATCCTCACCCTCAGTAACCCTATCATCCAAAACCTCCAACGTCCTCGCATCCACCAAAACCCTGCCCGGCACCGGCCGTCGAATTGGCATCCCCCACGACCGAATAGGATACGCCCTCCCCTTTTCCCACACATGACTTACAGGCGGGAAATACTGACGATATGCGCCCCAGGCACAGAGAATCCCTAGTGCTGATCCGAAAAGAACATCGAATGGATGATGTCGGGCGTCCATGATTCTCGACATGGCGATACATGATGCCGCGAGTGTGGGGATCAAAACAATAACTGTTCGCCAGACTTCGCCGCGGTGGTCGAGGACGTGGAGTTTGGCGGCGAGATATAGCGACAAAAAGAATAGGCCGGCGAAGGATGAGGATGAGTGGCCGGAGGGAAAGGAGCGGAAACCTAAACGAACAATACAATCAGCATTGAAAGAAAAGGAGAACAGAGAAGGGGTAGATAGTTGAACGACAACTCCGTTCATGACTACCGCGACCGTCATTCACTCACTTACCATCTTGCATAATAGCCTCGTCCTGCTGTGTACAAATCGCCTTGGTCACCAGTCCATACGGTACACCGTCGGCAGCGCCCGTCTGGGGTTGACATCGATCAATAAGGTCGGGACGGGGTTTGCCACATAGATTCTTCAAAGTGCCTGTGATGACGAAGGCGGCGCCTTGGGCTAACAGTAAACCTAGCCAGCCGCAGTTGAGTTCCCATAGGCGGTCGGTGAATGTATATCTGTTGAATCGGGATCGGGCTCGCTGGTGGTGATGGGAAAACAGGCCGTCAATAAAAAGTGTATATATCAAAATCACGGCCGCGGGAAAGGCGCCTGATAAGACCAAAGCGATGTGGATTGGGATCCGTTCGTGCACTGCATATGGATATTGAATGGAGATATTGTTGAGAGAGAAGTGCTGCGAGAACGGGGTGACTAGTTTGTCGAGGGCGGCGTAGATGATGGCCAGGATTCTGGACAGAACAGAGGGATGTTAGAAAATCCGAAAGGTCATGACGTGCTGAAAGTGTACAGTAGTAATCTCTTGAAGGCATTTGACACTTACATGATGATCAGGTAGTCGACGACATAGGAAAAGAGCGCTTTCGTTGGAATCTTGCGCTTGTTTCTTGCTGTTCCTGTGCCGGTGCTCAAAGAAGCGAAATGGAGATGCCGGTTCAACCAGTCCATCATGAGAAGCACAGAAAAAAAAAATAATACGATGTGTAATGGATAAGATACCTAGGTGTCTGGTGTGATATTGGGGCACAGCATGGAAATCATCATTCCGCCATTCTGGGTTATTGTAGTTTTGTTGCTTGAGGAAAGTGAATAAAGCAACTCAAGTCGACGGATTGGATGAGTTATGCATAAGGTAGGGTTCAAGCTGTCGAAAATAAAATAAAGCAAGTCGATGCCGTGGACAAAGAATGTGAATGTCAGTGTCTTTGTCTCATTCTTGTCCTTTCTTCCTCAAGGCTGACATTGACATCCGAAAGTCATGCTGAACAGAGTGTCGCGTGCCTGGCTGGCTGGCTCGAGGAACGAAATACTAGTAGGCGGAGCTGAACCAGAAGCGACTGTCCGAGCCGCCCGTCAAGCGGATGCTAGTTCTGGCCAGGTATTGCGTCGTACAACATTGTAGCGACGATATTAGCGAGACATGGGGGCTTAGGCGGCAGATGAGGCTGGAATGGCGCTGGCACTGCAAGCATGGGTAAAGAGAACTTGGACCAGACGTTCCTGGGTGCACCGCTAGAGCCAATCGTCCCCGTGATACCGATTCTTTGTGGTCCCGACCAAGCCTCCCAGCCCCCTAAGCCCTGTCAAGTGTCCGGAAGGCTTTGGGCGACCCCTGGATCGTATGTGATGGAGCCTGGCTTCAGGCCACTAGCAGCGAGAGCACGAGGCTGTGCAGCTTGGCTCAGCTGTGCCATGCATTGGCCAAGCGGTGGCATTTCAAGTCATTCTAATTCCTGGAATTTACTGGCACATCATTGGCAACGAACACAGTAAAATAATTTCATTATCATAAATTGTAGCATGAGGCGCTTTGGAACAGATATTGTTGTTTCTTTCTTTCCTCTTGTGCTTCTGTCAGTGCGAGGCTCTGATCCGCAAGGCTGGATGATCCTTAGTCCACGCCGGCAACTTGGGTACTATTGTACCTTCATTGTATCGGCTCAATATAACACTTCGTTTGCCGCGGTAGAGGACCACAGAGTATCTGAGAAGAATCTCCTCGGTCGAGACGGCTGAGAGTACAGTACAGTATATCCGCGATTCTCCAGGCAGGCACTGCTTCGACAGGTGGCGAGTCAAGCCAACTGGCGTGGTCCATGATATAAAGGGGCCACAAGGCCTGGACCCACCGTGCTAAATAGCAGGGTCGACGGTAGTAGTGATGGGGACGAGTTTCGATTGAAGAGAAACAGATCAGATCAGACCAGATCAGACGGTAGAGCTTTCGTTCAAAAAGCCACCTCCACTCCCAGCCCCTAGGCCTGGCTCGATATGCCCTTCTTTCCCGCTCTCTTCGTGCTCTGTAGAAATCCGAATTGATGATGTGCCCACAGCCCCATTTTGGCCATGTAACAAAACCAAATATACCAGTTGCAGAAATCAAGTCAAGTCGTCACTCATTCATTCTCCATCGTCCATGTCCTCGTCATCGCTATCGCCGGCTTCGATCCAGACGAGTCTCGTGCCGTTGTTGGCAACTTGCCAGACCTGTTTTAAAAGCAAAAATTAGTCAAATGTTGACGACCCAAGTAGACAACACAGCAAAATGAGGTAAAGTGGCCACTTACATCAAGCAACTCATACTCCTCAATGGTCCTTTGCAACTGATCGGCCGTGAAGCCCTTGGCCAAGACCAATTCTCTGACACGGGCCAGATTCAATTCTCCCCGGGCGCCAGACCCGACACTGGCGGCGCCGGACTCTCTCATTCCACGGATGAGATCATAGATCCTCGAACTGACCGTCTGATCGCCTCCACTACGCTGGTCATGATACAGACTTGCCTTGGAGACCTCGATCAGACGCAGCGCCTCGTCGACATCTTCGTTGACGACTTCGTTGCTGAACCTCAACCGCGCAAGCGCCTGAGACAGACGCAGGACGCCTAGCAGCGTTCTGGGCGAAGTGTGCGTAAAGTGTTTTTTCGACCCTTCGTCGCGTTTCTGCTGCTGTCTCATCCGCACGTACGCCCCGACCATGTAGTCCGAAACAGACTTGGGCACGTTGGGCCGGAACGTGCGTGCCTGCGCAATATACTGTCGGACCTCGTGGGGAGAGAACACGACACCCTCACCTTCCGGTTCCGGGTGCTCGTTGTGCATGTGGACGTAGCAGACGTGGTGGGCCAGCTCTTCGTCGGCTTCCCGCGACGGCGTGTCCAGGATCAAGAACAGCACGTCGAATCGCGACAACAATGCTGCCGGGAGATTGATGTTGTCCACGGGCGAAATCCGGGGGTTATACCGCCCATACAGAGGGTTGGCTGCTGCCAAAATCGATGTGCGGGCGTTCAACGTCGTGGTGATTCCAGCTTTGCTGATCGAGATGGTTTGTTGTTCCATGACCTCATGGATCGCCGTGCGGTCACCATCGTCCATTTTGTCAAACTCGTCAATGCAGCAGATTCCGTTGTCCGCAAGCACCAAAGCACCACCCTCCAACACCATCTCGTCCGTCACAGGATCTCGCATCACGGCTGCTGTCAGACCTACTCCGCTGGATCCTCTTCCGGTCGTGTACACGCCCCGTGGTGCCACTTTGGTAATGTATTTCAGTAATTGGGATTTGGCCACACCTGGATCGCCCATCAGACAGACGTTGATGTCGCCACGGATTCGCATGCCGTCGCCCATCTCCTTGGTGACGCCGCCAATGAGCAGCAGCAGTAGCGCTTTCTTCACGTCCAAATGACCGTAGATTTCCGGCGCGATAGATCGAGCCAGGTACTCGTACATGTGGCCCGTCGCCTTGAATGACTCGATCCGTCGAATGATGCGCGGGTCCATCGTCAGGTCTTGGTATGCCTTCTTGTGCTGTGTGACGTTTTGAGCCTCTAAATATGTGTCTGTTAAAAGACCAGCCCGAATCGCTCGAAACCCAGTATAAGGTGTCGGGAGGAAAATGCCGTCAATATCGACGACGTCGCCAGGACTCATTGTTCGCGTAAGGCTGCCTGTACAGTGTACTGTTAACGTTCGAGGGATATGGCCGACTGGAACCTGATCGGCCATCTCCTGGATCTTAACTTCTTGGAACGGCAAGAATTTCGATGCTCTGGTCGATGGGAAGAGTTGGCCTTTGGAGTCGTTCTCCTTGCATTCTTCCGACGGGCAGATCTGCAAAGGTGTAAACTGTCTCGACGTGACTGGCTGAAAGATCTCACAGCCACACCGGTCACAGGTGTAGGCCTGGATCTGTATGCTCGGCTTGACATCGGTCACTCTTGTGGTGATTCCGCGCACTGTGATGAGGTGCCCAAGATGCTCACCCCGAACTTGCCGTACGGCCAAAGTCTTCTTCGGAGCATCGGAACCCCTCGGTGTCACCGGTTTGAAGTTGACTGTGTATCGTCTCGTCAGCTCCGGAGGAAATGTAGAAACTGGTAAGGCGGCGTCAGCCTCTGCTTCTCGCGCCGAGGCTACTGTCTCGTTCCTCTTTGCCCGCTGGGCCATGATGATGTCGAGAACATCGTCTTTGAATCTGAGGTAATGTCAGCATTTGCCCTAATCCAGCCAGGGCATACTTTACGCACGAGATCTCCTTGCTGGGCTTGGGCATGACTTTGTCCACAGCATCGGCGAAAAGGTCAACATAATGCTTCGTGTTGGTTGTCACAGACTCGACCAATCTCAGATTCAGCTCTGCGGGGAGCGTTTCTTCGAACTAGCGCAACTTGTCAATTCAGGTTCAGAGCTCTCCAAATTTGTCCCGTACCTCTTGGAGGTCATCCAGCTCTACCAGGACATTTTGTCGCTCTCGATTCGCTACCTCTTGTAACATATCCATGTATTTTCTTTTGGGCTGCCGCCTCGAGTTGCCGGAATGGCCTTCTGAAACATCGTCCATGAAATCATATTCGTCGCTGGTATGGTCGCCGTTTAGGTGCAAATCATCAATTGCTTCCGCAGCCGCGTCGGTCGAGGTTTTGGAGGTCTCGAATTTCTCAAGAAACGACTGAAACGCCTCTAGTTGTTTCTCGTAATCGACGAGCGCCTTATGCTGTAAGAGCGCCATTGTGTTGCGCTGCAACGAGGAGAGGTCAAGAAGTTGCTGGATTCAGGCGAGCTGGACGACGTGGATGGATGACCAAGGCGGATAGATATTGAGGGATCTTCGAGCAAGGGGCCATCAATGCAGAATGACAGAAGGCGAAGGCTGGCGCGGCGCGCGCTGCAAAGAAAACGCGACCCACGCGGCGCGACGCGTTCTGTTAAAGTGTATTTAGTGCGAAGCATTCAACAACATCCGCTGCGGGTTCTTCCCCTTGGTCGACCGTACAGTTTGCCGAGGTCCCGACAATCGGCGACTGGCACCGAGATGCAAGAACAGCGACCTCAATTGCTCTATCAACAACACCATTTTCGTCTACATTTATCGCCTGTCGTGTCTTCTAGGGTGTGGTTGTGTCGAGTCTCGCGGGCTATGTGGTGGCCATTTGTTTGTTTGCATTATATCTAGCCCAGGTTTCCTGCATATATCCTCCTTGAGCTGTCCTGGAGCTGTCCTCGTTCCGGTGAGACCACGTTGGCGCCGGGCATTTCTTTCATTATATAGCCCATCTTCAACATGGCACCGGCCGTTCGAGCTGAGGTGGCCCTGGTCTCACTCAAAAACTGTCTGGTCAACCTCCCTCCAGGCCTTATTGCCTTGATCAGCAACACCAATATAGTGAGTACCCATCGGCATGGCCGAATTTACCCCTGCAAACTAATGCTCCTCTAGCCGGCTCAAAATGTGGTTGTCGAACTGCAATATCGGTCACAGACTCTGTCAACGGGAGCCATCTCGAGCGGGAACTCCGCTGGCTTCCAGAGGTCGGCTTATGTTGGCTGGACAGGAATGCCCAGCCGCACCAGGCCTGCCTCGATGATCAGCAACGACCGTGCTCGAGCGGGAGGTAGAGAGCAAGAGAGCCAGATGGTTGAGATTGATGCGACATTTGCCAAAGTACTCGGTCTATCCGAAGGTCAGAAGATTGGCATCCTAATCCACCTCGATCCACCCGTCGCGCACAGTATCAACATTGAGCCTCTCACGCCGGCCGATTGGGAAGTGATAGAACTACACGCCACATTCCTGGAACTGAATCTGCTATCCCAAATTCGAGCACTTCCCAACCCTGCCTTCAGCAGCAAGGCTACGGTACAGGCCGAACATAGTCACCCCTTGACGCTGCACTTATCTCCAACAGCGACGGCCAACATCATTGTAACTTCATTGGTTCCTCCCATCCCGAGCACTTCGCCTTTTGCCAAGATTGCTCCGGACGCTGAAGTGATAGTCGCGCCGAAGACGCGACAGAGCGCGGGCCGGAGTGTCCGTGGTGATTCGAGAAGCATAGCAAGCAGACGCAGCGGCAAAAGTGGCGTTAGTAATGCGCGAAGCTCCCACGCCCGCAGAGGACCTGTTAAGTCTGCCATCTTTCTGCGTGGTCTCGACCGAGCAGCGGCAGATGGATTCTTCGAAGAAGATACGGAATCCACATCTTCGCCCAACTCCAAGCTGTGTATCTGGCTTAGCAATGATGTCATTGCAGCAGAAGGCCTCCGGGCAGCCACATGGGCGAACGTGACAATTGTGAAGCCAGCAGGTCTGCGGGCCCAGCTCGATGCGAACCAGGTCAACCAGCTGAAGGAGGAAGAAAGCAGCGAGGTTGGGAGACCGGCATCCAAGCTTGTGGCCCGAGTATTTCCATGGCCAAACGCAGTCGACACCAGGCACGTGGTTTTGTCGTCCCCTCTCTGCAAAATGCTCGGAGTCGAAGGCATAGTGGGAGCCATTGTCCGTGTCGAGGCTGCGACGCCTCCGCTTCCGCGATACTCCATCAAGAAGTTCCAGTTCTATCCATTCCTGCCTCTGAATTCCAAAAAGAAAGAAGGCTTAAAATTCGGCGGAGACTCCAAAGCTGCAAAACAAGCCCTAGCAGACAAACTTCGCCTCACATTTGCAGGCGATGATGGCCTCCTTGCAGGTCCTATCACTGACGGGATGGTCCTTCCACCTGACGGCAACCCTTCTTCTCCTTCGTCATTCGATGGTGGGATCATACGCTTCCGTCGTCCGGCGTCAACAGACCAAAACAATGAGGACCGCGGCGGCGACTCGTGCTTGTGGGTACACGGACAAGAGCAAGACCAGGAGTTTGAGATCAAGTCCGAAGTCCCACGACCTGTGGAACTGACAGCCCTTTTTCCCACGTTCGCTCATGGCATCCCGTCGAAACTCCCTCACCTGGTCGGCACAGAGAGCATTTTCAAGCAATGCATGTCGAACCTGTCATTGTGTTCGTCAGTCCTTCTAACCGGTGGCACCGGGTCCGGCAAAACCTCGCTTGCCCAATCTATCTCGCAACGTCTTCGGGAAGACTACCTGTTCAACGTGACTTACTTTGCGTGTCAAAAGCTCGTGACGGACGAAACAAGGGTGTCGACAGTCAAAGAGACTCTGACGAGATTATTCATGTCAGCATCATGGTGCGCCCGACTTGGCGGGCAGGCGGTAGTAGTTCTCGACGACCTAGACAAGATCTGTCCCGTTGAAACGGAATTGCAGGTTGGAAACGACAACGGACGCAGCCGGCAGATCACCGAGATCTTATGCGCCATTGTCAGACAATACTGCAGCATCCACTCCGGCGTGGCGTTGCTGGCGACCGCACAGTCCAAAGACTCTCTGAACAGCATTATCATCGGCGGCCACATCGTAGGCGACATCATCAGCATCAAAGCCCCGACCAAAGAAGTCCGTCGCGACATTCTGGCATACCTGACCGACGACGGATCGAACAACCCCCGAAACCGGCACATGCGCAACAATCTGAGCCAGGACAGCACGCAAAGCATGTCCGAGACTTCGTGGATGGACCCATCGAATCCATCTTCGCGACCAGGATCTTCTTCCTCATCCGCACCCTTCTCTGCGTCCTCTTCAGGACCTGAAGGGTTCCGGCTTTCGCCCAGTCTGGATCTTCTCGACATAGCCGGCAAGACGGACGGCTACATGCCGGCAGACCTAGTTCTACTAGTATCCCGAGCGCGCAACGAAACCCTCACACGTCTCATAAGCACCGCCGAAACTGAAACCGACATGACAGTCAACGACAGCAACACGCCTCCGACACTGACCAAAGCCGACTTCGACGCCGCATTGCACAACTTCACGCCCTCGTCACTGCGCAACGTGACCCTCACCCATTCCAGCACGACATTCGCGTCTATCGGCGGCCTCAAAAGCACGCGCAACACCCTCCTCGAGACGCTCTTATACCCGACCAAATACGCGCCCATTTTCGCACGGTCGCCACTCCGCCTGCGATCCGGTATATTACTCTACGGCTACCCCGGGTGCGGGAAGACGTTACTCGCATCCGCCGTCGCAGGCGAATGCAATCTAAATTTCATCAGCGTGAAAGGACCCGAGATTCTCAACAAATATATCGGCGCATCTGAAAAATCGGTACGCGACCTCTTCGAGCGGGCGCAAGCGGCCAAGCCGTGCGTTTTGTTCTTTGATGAATTCGACTCCATTGCTCCCAAACGGGGCCACGACAGCACGGGCGTCACCGACCGCGTCGTCAACCAGATGTTGACGCAAATGGACGGCGCCGAAGGTCTCGAGGGCGTCTATGTCCTGGCCGCAACCTCTCGGCCTGACCTGATCGATCCGGCCCTTTTGCGTCCGGGACGTCTCGACAAGAGTTTACTCTGCGACATGCCCGACATGGACGACCGTCTTGACATTTTGAGGGCAGTCTGCTCGAAACTCCATTTAGCTCCTGAGGTGGATAACCGGTTACTTACTGTTGCTCAACGCACTGACGGGTTTAGTGGTGCCGATCTCCAGGCTTTGATGTATAATGCCCATTTGGAGGCGATTCACGATCTACTTGGGGACAACAATAAAGACCAAAAAGATAAAGTTAATGGGTCTACGAGTCATTCATCGTCTACCACCGCCGGCAACGGTCGCCGTCGCAAGCGTAATTCTGCCGGTGGTGGAGGTGGAGCTGATAAACACGATTTCGTGCAGTTTCTCTACTCCCCTGAAGAAGATGCTCGCGCGAAGAAACTCCTCACTTCCTCTGCAATGGACTCGCGGGCAGCTATTGCCGCCAAGCTCGACGAGTTGAAACTCGCGAGAAAACGGGAGAAGGAGCTTCTTCGCAACAGTCTGGCTCGTCGGTCCTCATCTGTTGGATATACTGATGGTACCACCAAAGATGGAGACGTCGACAACGCCATGACCGAACAAGTCGTCACCATCGAGTGGAAACATGTCGAAAAGTCCCTGGGCACAACAAAAAGTTCCATCTCGCATGACGAGCGGAGAAGGCTGGCTGCCATTTATCGGGAGTTCGTGGTCGGCCGGAACGGAGAAATGCCAAACGGAGAGGGAAACAGGGAAGTCGGCGGACGAACGAGTCTGATGTGAGAGGTGAAGGAATCAGCTATACATGTAACAAGAAAAGAAGAGAACACCACGTGTGAGATGACTGGATTACTAGTAGTCGAAGATACCTGACTAGAGGAAGCTGCGCAAAGACACTTGAACATATCAACGAATACCTATTTGCAAAGACTGCACCAAAATCAATTTGAATATCTTTGTTCAGTCAAAACTAAAAGCTGTAAGTGGAGAAGGTCAAATTAATCATTAAGACAAATTCATCAGCCCCTGTCTGCGAAGGCACCATTACTTGGACGAAGCACGACCAATAGCAAAGACACCAACAATGACCACTGCAAGTGTCACAATTGCACCTGGTAGGAGGAGATCGTTCGGGATGCCCTGGATAAGTTGTGGTTGCTCCTCTTTTATTTGTGTCGGCACGACAGGAGAACGTCTCATGCGAAGCGTTTTGGCCTTCGGAATTTCTTCCTCTTCTTCACTGTCGGCACCCTCGACCGGCGGCACCTCCTTCAGAACCGACTCGGGGGGCGTAGGAGGCTTGGATAGCTGCGGCCTGGGATCGATCGTGGCAACAATAGGTGGTTGTGATGGGTCATGGACAAATAGGTCCACCTTGTCTCGTTTGCCTTGTCGCGCAAGGAGAACCGCATCAATCAGATCCTGGTCGGTAGTGATGGAAACGGTGTCGCCTTCGTCATCCAGATAGCTTAATGCATAGCCCGTCTTGCCCAGCTTTCCGTCTTCAACTGTCGCTTCTCCTCCAACAGCATCAATCTCGCCACCAAGCTTAGAGGTGACAAGACTGACAAGTTCGGCAATACCATTTCTTGGAACAAGCTGTATCCGGTGGACTCGACCACTGGGAGCCTTGAATTTGAAAGGGAAGGGCGTGTCTTCAGGAGCCTCAATGGATGGTAGAACTTCCGATTGGGCGTCGTCTCCACGATGGGATGCTGAATCCTGTGGCAGGACACTATCACCCCTCTCCATTCCCGGGCGGGTCATTTCAGATTCCATCACGGAACGGTGTCCAGGTGTTGTGGGACGGTGACTCCCTTCCCCAGAGACCATGGATTCGGTGTCATTGTCCATGGATAACCAGAATTTATTCCAAGCTGGGCCTTCCGACTCGCCAGTGTTCATTGTGTTGATTTGTTCAAGGGTTGCATAAGTCAGTTTGAGAACATCTACCATACCGACAATTTCGCCAGTTTCGTTCATGACCGGCAAGTTCAGATAATGTCCATCTGTTTCGATTAGTATTGTTCAAAGGAGGAGCGCCAGACCACATACCATGCATCTTTCGCAGCGCTGCTTGGATACTCATGTCCGTGGGTGCAAAGTCAGGGTGTGGTGTCATCACTCTAACCACACTGCAAGTCGACGGATCGAGACCTGGTGCGATAACGCGCAGAACAACATCCTTGCTTGTAAAGATACCAGTGATTGAGCCTTGATCTTGCACCAATACTGCTGTGGTATGATTCTCCTTCATAAGTTGAGCTGCCTCCTTGACCGAAGTCCTGACGGAGACAGTGGTTGGAGGAAGTCCATTCAAAACGGACTCCAAGGTCGGTCCAGACATTTTTTGTCTCAAGGCCTCGACATATTGAATGATTTGCTGAGGCTGGCTTGAGCCAAGTTCAGACTGTACGCCCTCCAGAGCATCATACAGCTTGCGTGAGGAACTGTAGGCCCGCTCCAATTTTTCCATGGCCTCGTAGAAGCATTTCGTGATGTCGAGGATACCGGAAATATCCTGGTTTTCGTCCATGACAGGAAGATGCCTGAACCCCTTTCTGACCATTAAATCCAACGCGTCAGTTGCGCTGGTATCAGTCCTTGCACACAGAGGGTTCTTTGTCATGATCTGTTCAATGGTGACCTGATTGGCTTTAATTCCCGCCCCGACAACACGGAACGCTAGATCCTTCGCAGTAAAGATACCTGCGATCCTGTCATCATCATCGGTAACCAACACACAGTCCTCTCTCTTTGCAGCCATCAGCTGTGCGGCCTCTGCCACTGTGGTGCTGGGCTTGATTTGGAGCGCCTGGCTGGGTTTCAACGCCAACACCGTGCCAGGAGGTGCTTTCCGAGTATGTCGAGCGCGGGAAGGAACATGCTTCTTCTTACTGAGGTCGGCTTCCATCTTGCGTCGGATAGCCTGGTAGACAAACATTTGTCAACAACACAAGTCTACCGAGCGGTTGTAAGGCAAGACATACCTCATCTCTCTTGCTTTGCTTCTGCCTGCTGGCAGACATTGTCGAAGTTGTAGACATCTCACTAGGTGCAGTACTGGCCGTCGACTCTAGTTTTGGTCGAGGAATGCTCGAGGGACTGTCTGTGAAAGGGATTTGACCGCGCCTGTTTGGCGTACCACGATAAGTACCGCCAATTCCAGACATGGATGCGGCCTAGCGGACAATTGCAGGGGATTGACCTAGACGACCAGGGGGTTGAGAAGTTTGTGTGATGGAGCGTCTCAGAAAGGGCAGAATATCTGGCAATCAATTGGATTCAACGAGGAAAGGGTTGAGCAGGGACAAGGAGTGGTATGTTTAACCTTAGTGACCCGATCGACCAGAACTGGCGCCGCAGTTGCTTTGGTTCCGATCGGAGAAAAGTAAACAAGATGCTTCACGTGATTGATCAGATGACCGAGGCTTACACGTGACAAAAAGGGTCCTATCACGTGCTATATAGGTTATGCTTAGTCATCCATGGTGCATGTAACTTCTTGGTTCGCCGGATCAGCAGTAATCATTGCTTTCCCAGATTCATGTCTTCAAGTTGTCAGTGTTCTAGTTATGGGACAACACCTACTACTGTAGGTACCTTGGGTTCGAAAGGCTTTGAACTGATGAGTGCAACATCGTTTTACTATGCTCATGCCTCTCTTTCACCCAGGGTTAAGTCCGTAGCCATTCCATCACACGGCATGGTTACCTAGGGATGTGGCAGCAAGGCCGGATATCGCCCTACACCTTCTCGACCTGCTCGACACCGTGGGAGCCCACTCCCTTTTCCTCGAGAGCACCAATCTCGATCACCCGGACTTTCGCATTATCACCTTCCATAACCACAGCGACTTCCTCAAGGCTAGGGCCCTGTGTCTCCGGGTACAAGAGGAAGATTATGGTGCTCTCCACGGCCAACCAGGCGACATACACAAGATAATACCGCCACTCAATGTTCTTCAGGCCGATCGGGTTGACGAACTGATTAAAGGCACTGCCACCCCGCGAGAAGAACTGGGTGATGGCCACGCCCTTGCTGCGATGGATGAAAGGAAACACCTCGCAGATGAAAATGTAGGTAAGTGGCATCATCAGGTTGTAAAACCCGTAATAGAGAAATATAAGCGCAACCACACCAATGGCCGCGTGATGGTTGCTGTGATCCTTGGCATAAACCGCTGAGGCGGCCGTCCAGCACGCAAACATGACAGTCATGCCGATATATGAGGCCAAGTACTGCCGACGACGGGGGAGGACGTGGGCCAACAAAGCGCCCGTGACACCAGTGATCAAGTTCCAGCATGAAAGACCGAGGTTGATTTCGTTCTGCGTCCTTTTCTTGGTAATGCCCACAGTCGCGAGCACTTTGGACAGATAATAGGAGACCAGGCCATTGCCTGACCACTGAGAGAACAGGCCGACACAGGCAGCGATGAGGACTCGACGGCGATTGACACCTGTGGTAACAATTTCCTTCCAGGGCCTTTTGATACTCTCCAGCTCCATTCGAATGGTTTCGCGGATCTGCTGGTACTCGGCAGCTACAAACGCACTGGATGCATCGCCTTCAGCGTGGTATTTGATCAAAATCTCCAGGGCTTCTTCGTGGCGGTCCCTTGATACCAAGAACCGTGGTGATTCTGGTATGAACCTGTAAAGTTTGTCAATCATACTTCCTAGCGGCAATGAGGCGCTTCTTATGGCTCACCAGATGAAAACGAGTTGCAAGGTTGACGGGAGAAGCTGCAACAGTGATGGCAGACGCCAGCTCCAACTACTTTTCCAGGAGAATGTCCCCAGGGTGACGCCGGCTGCAATGATTGCCCCAGCGTACCAACTCTCATTGAAGAGGCCAGTGATAACTGCTCGTTCTTTCGGATATGCCAGCTCTGAAATGAGCTGGGACGCCCCGCTAATGGCATAGACAATGCCCATACCCAGGATAATGCGGGCCACGAGGAACATGGCAACTGGAAGAGGTAGGTTAGCAAGGACTGCAAAAAGTCGTAGGAGTAGCAGCTCGTCCGTCGCGAGCCACTCAGTTAACCTAGCTGGCAAACATACAATTAACAGCAGCGCACTGCAGGACGGCACCAACGGTGATGATGGTCGAGCCCACTATCACACAGGCTTTCCGACCGAATCGATCATTGACATAGGGCACCAGAGGGACAGCAACCACGGCCCCAATCGAAAATGCTGCCGTCATGACACCAAGAAGGGCGCCGTTGGGGGTGTTGAAGTCTGCACGAAATCCGACCACAAGTCAGTTCACGGAACGACGGTCATACTTGGACGCTAATTGGCGCGCTTGGAGAAAACACCCGTTTCTACTTACAGTCTTGCCATGGTTGTACAGCCTGCAGTCCGTTCAGGACGCTCCCATCATAGCCAGAAGTCATCTCGACGCCCAGGGCCGCTGGAACCAGGCAGAAGTATAGTCGCCGCAGGTTCTTCTTCCTGTACCAGGGGGTCGTGTCCTGGGCGAGCAGATGATGGATTTCGGAAACCTCGGCGACATCCTGGGCCGCGACATCGTGGCCTGCGATAGCCTTTGACATGTTTTATTGAGCTTTTGGAAGTCGACTTCGGTCAGCCACACACAGCGCGCCCAAATGTATTGCTTGAAATGGTGGGGCTTTTTCAGAACAACGGCAGAATGCTCAAGAGGGACCGGCATAGGAATTCGCCGTCATGGTATCAGAGGCTCCTTTTATCTTACCGCAAAGATATACAACAACAATCACTGCCGTGTCTGAGGACATTTGCCGGTACCGGGAGAACAGTCTCTTCGCAGCAGGGCTCCCATTCCCACAAACTCCCTCCACAGCAGAGGAGTCGTCGGAGAGGGCTATCCAGACCGAATCTTGATATGAAACTCCAATCATGGATGATCCGCACCTCGGCGAAATTCCCCACGGGGACCATATAGCCCGTGAGCCAAGGCTTCAAGTGAATTTAGGCAGAAAAAGCGAACTATTTTGGCAAAAGTCTCAAGCGAGCCCGAGTGTTGTCGGCGAGGAGGTCAGCAAATCACGGGACGGAATTTCGACCAACTACAAACCATCCTCCTCGGTTGTTAGTCGTCTGTCTTCCTTCAGTCTACTGCGGTAGTCAGAACCACGATCCCACAATTCATATCTCACAGCACCTTTAATATAGTATGTGGCCAACCATCTACGTCAGAAACTAATCTGAATTGCAGTATAGTGTATGGCTAGTCCGTCTATTCCCCTCGCTTCTTCGACGCTAAGTCCGCATAATCGGCCATTATCTTATTCAGACCTTCACGCTGGATGCAATTGTCAAAAGCGAAGCTCTTGGCCAGTTCTTCCAGCGCGGTCTGGTCCTTGTCGCGAAACAATTCAGCAAACTCATTCACAAACGTCTCGGCCAAAAACGTCTGCAAGACAGCCCGCTCGATATGTCTCCGGGTATTCCAGGTGGGAGGATACACATCTTTGGCGGTGGGAGAGACCGAGTCGATCCAGCTCACCAGCGGGCCGATGACATTCTCGACCTCCTTGGAAGGATACATCCCCCAAGCGTCGAGCTGCAGACGTTTCTTCTTCTCACGTATCGGCTCGACCAATTTATTCCAAGCTGAGTCGGGGGACGTGTAGACCATGCCCTGCAACCCAACATCCTTGAACAACCAGATAGACCAGGGGATCTCATGTTTGTCATAAATCCTCAGCTGCTCGCCCAACAAGTCATATCTGCGCTGGTTGACGGTGTCCGCGTCGTTGTCCCACTTTGGGTTCGCGTAGACAGGACCGAACTCGCCATTCCAGATTGGAACGTGGTGGGTTCTCTGGAAAGCGGACTTGCGCAAAAACTGTGCTTCAAGCTTTTGCTTCTGCTCCATGGTGCCCATGTACGGTTGGCCCGTGGGGAAGCCCATCATGCTGTAGTCATGCAGCGAATAGACGCAGTTCGGCAATGCCTCGACGGCCTCGTCAAACCCTTTCCACTCGGCGGCAAACGTGTTCCCATCCAGCCACAGGATGTGGTGCGGGTCGAAGGCGCGGATGGCCTTTTCGAGCCGGACATAAAATGCCGGCAGGCGGACATGCTGGGGATCGCAGGGCTCGTTGATCGGGTTGTAGCCCGCCACCCAGGGGTTGTCCTTGTACCGGCGCGCCAACTGCTCCCACAGCCACACCGTCCGGTCCTGGTGGTCGCGATAGTCCCAGAATGCCGCGTAGCTGGTCGTGTTGTCCGCGTGCCATCCGGGACTTTGGCCACCGGGTACCGTGTGCATGTCGAGGATCGTGTAGATTCCATGCTGGGCGCAGAGATCGATCACCCGATCCAGATGCTTGAATCCGCTTTCCTTCAGCACCCGCGGGTTTATGTCGTCTTCAAAGTGTCGATAATTGAATGGGATGCGAATGCAGTTGAGCCCCAGGGACCGGAAGAATCGGGCATCCGCCTCGGTGAAGAAGTAGTATAGCCATCGGTCGAAGAAGAATTCGTACTTCTCTTGGCCCATGACTGCCAACATGGCGGCCCGGATGCTGCTTTCATGTCCTGGGAAGCCGGTGATGAAGTTCTCCATGCTGTCTGTCTATCAGTTCATGTTGCTCTCATCCTGTTGCACCGGAGAAGCGGTGTGCAATGGGACATGGAAGGGAGACCGACTTGAGCCATCCTCCTATCGCGGCGCCTCGTAGGATCACTGGAGTGTCGTTGTTGTCCACCACCTGTGTGCCTTTGACTCTGAGTATTCCTGTCGCCATGGTCGACAATATCCGGTCCAGTCCGACTGTGTGGTGACCGTTCTTCACTTCTCTGGGAGCAAGTTAACCACAGTCGTCCGCTCACGCAACTGATACGGCAATAATATGAACGCGTACGTGCGTTCCACGAAGAATGCTTCCTCCGGTGGAAGTTGGTATATGTAGTACCCATTGATGGCGAATTTAGCCTGAATGGACGAGAAATATTGGGATTGGCACGAGAGACGACACAGCATCGACGCCATTTGTCGCCGATCAGCGTTTCAAAGACAGCAGGCACTGGTTTGTTTTCATCCTAGGAACCCGAGAAGAACGATCTTCGGCATCTATCACCGATCATACCCGGCCAGAGAAGCGCCTGATCGAAAGCCATTGATTCATTGATCAGCGACATACTAGTAGCCGGATTGCGGGTCGGCCCCCGTAAAATGTGGGTTTCTGGAATCTGGGGTAATTTCAACTCCTGACATTATTTCTACCGAACCGCAACTCTTTGCAGACGACAGACGTGCGCGGTTCTCCGTTTCGTTTCGCCTACGCTTCAGTATCACCCAATCCCCATAGTCGTGCAGCTAGGGTCTAAGGTCCTCCATCGCGCCTCTCCATCATTGCCATTCGAGAACCGAGATAGCCGCCTGCAGAGTCCTTGTTTCCCAGCCTCGCATAGCATCAGCATCTCAATACCACAACGCCAGCGCCAACACTACGACCATAAGAACTCCCAGCACCAGTGCATTCATCAATCGTTGGAAACGGATTCCTTCACCAGAGACCGATGGCGCAACGCTGGACGATTGTGGTGCAATGACAGTCACTGTCGTGGCTGGTGCAGAAGCGCTCACGGTCCGAGTCATGCCGGTAGTACTGTCCGCAGTCACCACCTGTGTTGAATAGCTTGTGATCAAGGGGTTGACATCGGTAGGGTTGACAGCTGGAGAACCTGAGGCGCCGCTTTCCGGAGCAGAAGTGAAGGTTGCCGAAGAAGAGCCGTTTGCGGTGGCAGTAGCAGTTGAGCTTTGCGCCGCTGATCCCGATCCATCGCCATTGTCATCACTACCACTCGCAGTAGTGCTAGTTGACGTGGCAGACTCCGTAACAGGTGTGGTCACAGTCGAAGTCATCTGCGGATCGCGGATGGTGTTAGCAAGGAATACTATAAAATGTAGGTATGTATCCATGATTTGTCTTGACTCACCTGGATCGAAGTCGGACCATGCTGTCCACTCTGCGAGTTGTACATAGTGTACAGCGCCAATGTCAAAGCGTACGTGCCCTCAACAATCTCAAACGACGCACTACCGGGATCGGACTCATTGCAAAAGACTCTGTTGCCGTAGTCCCAGACCGCAGCTTTTGTCGCGTTCGAATCGCATGGTGGTGATTGTTCCAGACATGCGGTGACCAGGTTGGCGAGGTTGCTGTCTTTGTTGAAGCAGGCGCAGGACAGGTCGAAGCCGCATGGGGTGATTGTGTTGTCGATGCCGATGTTGAAACAGTATTTCTGTCAGATATCAGTATTGATTTCAAAACCAAAGGAAAAGTTGACTGGAGCGCAGGAAGCAAGGGGGCAAAGGTTAGACAAGCTTAATGTCAACATCTCGACCTGGTACGTTTAGAGTCAAGATTGCTGGGAAACTTACCGCGCAGAATGGCAAGTCATCCCATTTGTCGTATCCTGCAACCTTGATGGCCTGAAGCGCGAGAACGACCATCCCCCATGAGAGGAAGAATTCTGCTTGAAGTTGTTGGTCTGCCATGATGCGAGATTCAGGTCGCGATGAATGAACTTGATTAGGTAGGTAGGTAGGTATCGAACTGATCAGTACTATGAGGTTTGTATGTTGCGAAGTGTACAACAGAAGCTGGTTTGGCTTGGTTTGGTTTAGTTAACGCTGGCTTGCGAAAGTAGAATGTCTGTCTTCCTATGCCTGCGGTGAAGTGAAGCGCGATGGGGAATGTGATACTGAACAAAGGCTCAGTTGAAGATCGGGTGAGGCTTCATGTGACGGTGAAACTGCGACGTGTGACTTTGCAGACTGATGTCGAACAACAACCGAAAAGACAAAAAGTGTCAGCCTGTTAGTGCTCAGCAGTGAAGACGTGAAGACGTGAAGACGTGAAATAGTAAGTACCCTCTGGAGATCCCTTAGGATCCCTCCCCATTGTCATCAAACATCACCCCCGTCTCTGTGCACTATCTTTTAGTATCTCATGACCTTTTGATTTGCCAGTCACCTGGATAAGAACAATACTAATGTGCAAATGCACCTAAGGCAGCTATCCGGTGCATTGTGTTCTACGACTAGTTCCACTGGCAAGGCTGCCATGTTACACACAAACTGAGAGGCGTCAAAGCATATCAGGGTACGCAGCAGCAATATGGCGCAGGCATTCTCTTGAGACGGTGCTCTGTGAGTCTACAACCGATCGCAACATGATATTGGGCATATGGTTGGTAAAACATATACAGAACCTCCAAGCCATTTTCCATCAATTAAAATGGTATAGGTCAGGACACAGCTGGTCCGGGAAATTGATCACAGTTGAAACAGGACGCCATACGACACGAACGCCCCGGATACCTGCATGCGGCAGTTGATGTTAATATTGAACCTGGATGTGTGATTAGGAAATGGGACAATTCTATTTCGTGGTTGTTGAGCAAACTTGCAATGGTACAATGCAAGGGTGAAGAGACTCTAGGGGTATGCCTGTACGGTTCTCTGGGTCCTTTCTCTTGACCAAGATGCACTGGATATCGAGCGGCAACGAAGCAGTCAGATACCAGTTCCCATCGGATATACTATGAGCCATTCTTGTTGATTCGTGGGAGAGGAGAAGTGGGCATGGACTCTCTTTGCTTGACATATCGTCGGGATGCTCCATTACTTCTCCTGCTGAGGTGGCTGGGGAATGTTTCCACTCGACACAGAAAGATAAAACTCCAGGCTCAACTAAGACCTTGTTGCGACCTTTGGCATCACTAATGATACACTAACAATACAGCCTCTTCATCACTCTTTCAGCCAGCACGGGCAAAGCGCTATGAAGTCACTCTCCAGAAACCTAGGTTGGTAGGAGCAGGATCATACTGCCCACCCGGAAATCCAGGTCATATAATCTATGATCGGTGCGCTCTCCCCCATACTTCATCCGGGTTGGCACGCCCCCTACTTTCGGGTACCAAAATCCCGACAAAGGCTGCAAATGCCGCGGCAAGTGCTGTGAAAATCCAGAAGACCTTTCCTCTGGGAAGGGCGTCGTTGAGAATTGGGAAGAATTGAGCAACCAGGAAGGTTGATAGCCAGTTGCATGCCAGTGCCCAGCTGGATGTCGCTCCAACAGCTTCCGGCCCGACCAGCTCGCTCGCCATCATGAAGGGTACCGGCCCTAATCCAAAGCCGAAACTGCAGACGAAGAGGACCAGACCGATCACAGTCAATGCTGGGACATCGCGTGTAAGTCCTGTAGCGAGCATCACAGACGCTGAACCCATTCCTGAAAGCGACATGAGCAAGCATGGTTTTCGACCAAAGCGGTCAGCTAGAGGCGCCGCCGCCGTGGTCACCAATACGTTGGCCGCGGAAACAATGACGGTGACCAACGCTGCCTGATTGGGCATGATGTTTCCGAGGATGGAAACGCTGTACATGACCACACTGTTGATTCCAGTGAGTTGCTGTGCCATCATAACTCCAGAGACCACAATCACAGCTTTTCTGTACCTCGGGTTACTGACAACGTCGAGGAAGGATTTAGTACGTTGTGTCGGTGGTCTGGGTTCGGTTGTAGGTTCCAGAAGGCGTTGCTCCTCTGCATCCACTTCGATGTCCCAGTCTTCCATTTCCTCTCCAATATCAGCACTCGGACTTCGGATACGCTGCAAGACTTCTCTTGCAGTCCCAGGTCGATTGTTGGCTGCGAGCCACTTGGGTGTTTCAGGAGCACCTGCCAAACCAACTAACGTCGCTGTCGCAATGAAGCCGGCTGTTGCAAGGATCCAGCGCCACGTGTTGTTCCGGGATAAGAAGTATCCCAGGAGCTGGGCAATGAATATACCGGCGTTGATCTGGACCTGGGTAAAGGCGCCGAAGAGACCGCGACTTTCCCGAGGGGAGATTTCGGAGATGTAGATGGGAGCAACGACAGTGGCAGCACCAGCTCCAACCCCAGATATCGCTCTTCCCATGCCCATGGCCCACATCCCATTTGCGGTGGCCTCAGCAATCGGTCCGACGGCCAAGAAAAACGACAACCATCTCATTGCATACAGTCGTCCGAATCGGGCGGCTATTGAGCCACTGAATAAGGCACCAAAGAGCCCTCCGATGGTAAAGAGAGACTGGACCAGTCCCCATTGGGCGGAATCCATCGGTATGCATTGTGGAAGGCCGAGAATACTATATTCGGGCAATTGAGCCACATCGCATGTGATGACCTTTTGAGGGGCATTGAGTTCTCCCTGAAGTGTGTCAGTCTTCTCATTACGTCTGGAGCGACAATTCTGCACTCACCAGGTGGTAACCAAATTGAAACGGTCCAAGTGTGACAATGAAAGCTAAATAGACAAGATAAGGAGTAATTGTCGTTGACGAAGCCATCAAGCCCTCGGGGTGCTTATGAGCAATCTCAAAGTTACTTGACGACCTCTGCCAGTACTGAAGGACACTGTGCCCACTGATAGTTTGTTTTAGCATTTTCCAACCGGGTCGTTTGAAGGTTTCGCGAGGGTGCATATGAGAAGACGGGCCAGCCTTCGGGGATATCTGACATACCTTATATGGGCAGATAATAGTTGGTAAGCAAATGCAGCTGTGACAAAACGAACTGCCTAGTATAGTATGCCATGGTGGGAGGGAGGCGTCACGCACATAAGTTCTCTAGAGTATCTTATGAGCGATAGAGGAGGAAGCGGCGGCCTCCGATGGACGAGACATCGGCGGGAGCCATCACCAACGTGCCGCATTGGGGAAAGCGCAGCCTGGCTCCTTTTCGCGGACCCTGGCCGGCTCGGATAATCCGATAATCCGCATTCCGGCTGGTCCACGATCGGACTCCAACCCTCGCCCCCATCTCGCACTGGCCCTGTGCTGGCAGATGGCGTCTCTCATCCTTTGATATCAAGACCCTCTGCACGCAGTATAACGAACATCCCAGCATGAGACGCCAGTAACATTTATTTTATCGTACGCATTGAATTTATATTTTCCCTGTTCACCACGTTGCCTTGAAATCGTTGAAAGCCAGAAAATACCCAGGGTCTACCGTCTTTTACATCACCGACATCCTTTTGCCGAATACTCCGTACGGACGGTCTCTACAAACGCAGAAGCACTGCTTCTACCACCTGGTCGTCAACGTCCCAATGTGCTAGTACATCTAGTCATGATAGGAGATAATCTCCCATGGTCTCTTGAATCTTGGGCGGCCCGATCACCTGCAACTACCAGAACATGTGGAAACCCGACTTCAACATGTCTCGATCGACGAACAGTCTGAGCATCGCACAGCAGCTTCGAAAGACCACTCAGTTGGGCTTGGATGGTATGTACCAGGCAATGGCGCCTGCAGTCTCTTCTTCCAGATATGACATACTACATGTGTCCAACCTTATTGCCTTGCTTTCTTGCTGACAGCCACGAACAGATTCCTCCAAGAAGCAGCCTGGCAACAACTACACGTCCAAAGTCAAGATCGGGCAAAAATACAACATCATCGGCTTCATCAGCAGTGGCACCTACGGCCGGGTATACAAGGCCGTCGAGAAAAACCCTCGTAGTGATCCCTCAAGTCCTGTGGGCTCCAGCGCACCCAAGGAGCTATATGCCATCAAGAAGCAAGTCCCCGCCCTTTTCAACTTCTTCAACACGAAGCGAGCATATTGCTAACTCTACTTCCAGATTCAAACCGGAAAAAGAAGGCGATAATGTCCAATACACAGGCCTGTCCCAGTCAGCAATCCGAGAGATGTCCCTATGCACAGAACTATCACACCCGAATGTCGTCCACCTGGCGGAAATCATCCTGGAGGACAAATGCGTATTCATGGTCTTCGAGTACTGTGAGCATGATTTACTCCAGATCATCCACCACCATACCCAGCCAACGCGTCGACCAATCCCCGCGACCATGATAAAATCGATTTTATTCCAGCTCCTTAACGGTCTTTACTATCTTCACCAGAACTGGGTACTTCATCGTGACCTCAAGCCTGCAAATATCATGGTCACTAGTTCCGGCCATGTGCGAATCGGCGATCTCGGCCTAGCCCGTCTGTTTCACAAGCCGTTGTCATCTCTGTATTCAGGTGACAAGGTCGTGGTTACTATATGGTATCGTAGCCCCGACCTACTCCTGGGTGCACGCCACTACACGCCCGCGATCGACATGTGGGCCGTTGGCTGTATTTTCGCCGAATTGCTCAGCTTGAGACCCATTTTCAAAGGCGAAGAGACGAAAATGGACAGCAAGAAGACCGTCCCCTTTCAACGGAACCAGATGGGCAAGATTGTCGAGATTTTGGGTTTGCCTAGACGTGAGAACTGGAAGGGTCTGGTTGATATGCCGGAGTATCCGCAGTTGCAGTCACTCGTGGTGAACCGCGGAGGAAGCCTCTATCCGACACCGTCGAGCAGCCGTGGCGGCGGCGGTTCTGGTGGTGGGAGTAATGGAAGCGGGTTGGAGAACTGGTATAACAACTGTCTCCGCCATGCAAGCTATCCTCCGGACAAATCTCCTGGTCAACGCGGATTCCAGCTTCTATCGGAGCTGTTTGAGTACGATCCGGACAAACGATTGACGGCCGAGAGAGCCCTACACCATGAGTACTTTCGCAATACGGATGATGGACCTCACAAGGGCGAGATCTGGGTCAGCAATAATTGTTTCGAGGGACTGGATGAAGTATATCCGCATCGGAGGGTGAGTACGGAGACGAATGATATTGGGACGGGCAGTTTGCCGGGCACAAAGAGAGGCGGCTTGCCGGATGATTCACTTGTGCCTCCGGCGAAGAGGAGATGAATTCAAACTTCGCATGAGATACAACGGGCGCGATGTATGAAAGGCAATGAATAGGATCCGCAGCGTTGCAATACACGAGACGCATGGCTGATACCCTATTGCGTTGCTTCACACTGGTATCCAATACGGATTTCCCATGAGATGCCACGGGCGCAATGTACGGACAGCATGAATGAGGCCCGTTGCCTGGTTCCCACGTCGGAATCCCACAAGGAAGCAATTGCACACTGCACGGCATTGAAGCATAATCAAATCCCCAGTTGACAAAACTTGCATTGTGATTTTGTTTTGCGACCAGCTCAACAGCCGTGTCTTTTGCAGCCACCATTTCTCAGGCGGCCAGCAAATTTATCTAGTATTGACACCATTTCCCTGTTTGCCAGAAGTCGACCGAGTGAAACAAGCCATGCTGAATGCTTATGCCCATAGCATTTTTCGCCACCCAGTCTGGAAATATGGAACCGTTCAGCCGGAGACTCAAAGCCCACTCATTCGTCACCATGACAAAACCATTTGTTGTTTTCTCCGTGTCGCAATCGATGCTGGGACGACCATGCTCCATCGCCACGCCACATCAATCCCCAACTCGAGAGTTCACTTCAAATTCGTGGACTCAGAAGACCTCCTCTGGCATTGAATATCACACACATGAAGAGTGCATCACCAGCTTACAAAGCCTTGGCAGCCTGCTGGGGGTTGACCTTCTTGCCGTCCTTGTTGTATCGGATTCTTGGGGGAGGGGCGCGGTTTCGGCGGCCTTCCCGCGATCGGACACGCACAATCTTGCCGTGAATGGCGCACGAGACGCAGTACTGGAGCTTGAGGTACATCTTGGGGACGGCGTAGTCGGCGAACACAGAGGCGTCGGAGATATCACCTGTAAAAATGGGTTGTTAGAAACGATCGATTTGCCTCCTTTCGCCTCCCATTCTCCCTGAATGCAATTGAACAAGGACGCCGCGGTGTCTACTCACGAATAGCGGCGGACTCGACCATGTTTCGGATGGTGATTCTCTTGATGGCCTTGTCCTTGGGCGTGCAGCGCGAGCAGTTGCTGCATCGGATGGGCTTGACGTGGCCGCGGCCCGACTTGTTGCGACCGTTGTTCGCTCGCTTCTTGACCATGTTGGGCGACTTGGTGTAAAACTGCTTCTCGACAAAGGTTCACAGACCAGAGATGTTGCAGATCTCCGGAGATTGAAAGGAAGTTGCTGGGTGAGTGGGAGCTGGGAAGGTCGAGGAGAGGGTGACAGGTTGAGAGGTACGGTAGTAGTAGTAGAGGCGTCCAAACGTCCAAGTGGCGTCGTTGATTTTGAAAATGTGCATAGTGGGAAAGTGAGTGCTCGGCCAAGAATTTATGGCCACTAGTACGGACAAGGTTAGTGTTGGTGTGGAGGGAGCTCGGCGGTGATTGGGCAGGCAGGCATGTCCGAGTATTTGAAATCTAGGCGCTGCTTTTACCCTACGTCAGTTTGTTTAACTGTTAGGGGAAAGAGTAATTGCTGCTCTAACACAGTCAGCTCTTCCATTACACTCAAGTGTCTCCCACAGTTGTGTCAACCAAAAGCAAGCTGTTACAGTGGGTTACACTGGATGTTTTGCAGTGGATCGAGCTCTCACTTGTTATTCCGTTTGGTGCACTGGCCTTCAGCATTCGTGAGAAGTGTTCTGCGGAATGCACCTTGGCCGTAACCGACAATCAGCCTCATGTCTTCTATGCATATGGCCTACGTGCAACCGAGACAGGATGAGAAGCAGGAATGTGGAAGGTGTGTGACAACACCAACGGCTTCGCTAAGCCTCAGATGCACTGCATGCGCTTCAAGTCGTGTTCAGCTGTGATTTGACGCCGAGATCACGGTGAGATGCATATCGGAGCTACTAGCAGCGCCATCCAGTCAACTAACACAACCGGTGGGAGTCTCGAGCGCTTATCTGGGCGAGCGTGGCTGTACATTAGTAGTACCTACAGCTTGTAGGCATTGCACCTCTCCGGCATGCAATCCTTGCATCCTGGCTACGTCCTACTGAGGGTTGGCTGGTGGCAGCGAAGCGACGACAGCACCAAGGCTGCCACTGCTGCGGCTCAATTCACGGTCTGGGAACAGGGTTGTCCACGCTGGCCGCCTTAAATACACGATGATGTAGGTCAACATGGGCCTGCCCTTATTGATTACGTCTTGTCAGTACAACCAATTGATCCTCCGGTCTACTCGTTCTCTCCTCACGACTACGCAGTAAGGTAAGGGATATTCCAACAATCTACTGCACTTTGGACTGTGCTGGCCAGTCGAGCCGGACCTGAGCCGATTGCGCATCCTGAAAATTATCAGCTGGTGGATGGAAGTCTATTTGCACTACTCCTACAGCAACTTGCTTGTACTGCGCCTTTAGGGACGAACAGGACACATAGTATCAAAGCAAACCTTCTTATCAAGCTCTTCATACAGGCAATTCCATTTTGAACGTGGAGGATAAACCTTTCCAGATTGAAACGATTCGGTCGATCAACATGTCTGGTCCTTCGTCTCGCAACAAACAACGCCGCCCATCTCACAATACCTCAAGGCGTACTTCACTCGCATGCGATCGTTGCCGAGGTAGGAAGACAAAGTGTGCCGGAATATCACCCCAGGCTTGCAGTGCTTGCGAAGATGCTGGTGTCGAGTGTACATATACTGAGAGTGAGAAACGCGTACCTGTACTGGAAAGGTGAGTTGGATCTTGCTTCCACAGCTGCTCAGGCCTAATCGGCGTCAGCGAACTACTAGAACTGAAAGCGCGAGCTGAGCTTGCAAATGAGTGTAAGTAATGCAATTTTACTCACAAGATTTCTTCCGCCATATGTACCTCTCGGCGCAGAGTCTTACGATGCTGCTTTGATCAGTCATGAAGTCAAGGCAGAATAGCGATGTCTCCTCCTTCACAATCGAAGACGATACGGCTAGAGAAGACGATGCTTGGTGGTATAAAGGAATGAACACGCTGTTTCTGACGCAGTCTGGAGAACGTCGTTTTGTTGGAACCGCTTCATCGACCTACCTTGCACAAAAACTCAGTCCATCTCCAGGAAACAATCTGTCCTGGGATGTTCATCCGATGTATAAGGATCCTTCTTCGCTTCGGCGTCCCAAAAGCCCTGTGCCACCGCAACTGCCACCCTACGAATTCGCCAGACGCCTTTTCGCCGCGCAATATATCTACATAGGAACAATATTCTCCTTCCTACAGCCCCATACCTTTGAAGCGCGACTCCAGCAAATCTACAGCCGTGCTCCCAACTTGGAGAACAGGGAGGAATGTCTTGCCTACTGCCAGATCTTGCTGATATTTGCTTATGGGCAAATGTACTCTGTCAATCAGTGGTCTGGAACTGACGGACCTCCTGGATTCTCTTATTTCAAGCACGCATTGTGGTTGCTCCCGGATATTCACCAGGAAGGCTCGATTCTGTTTGTGGAGGTTCTGGGTCTTCTTGCTCCATACTTGCAAAACCTGAACAGAAGAGATGCTGCCTTTCTGTACATAGGCCTGGCGGTGCGAATGGCCATTTCTTTAGGACTCCACCAAGAAGTTGATGAGTCGGGAATGGATATGGTCGAGCGAGAACACCGCCGGAGGGTATGGTGGTCTGTCTACAGCATGGACAGAATTCTGTCAGTCAAATCTGGAAATCCAATATCCATCCACGATGAAGATATTGATGTCGCCCTGCCGGCCCCAATTCCAGGGGTCGATCCCGATCTGTCTCCTCCAAGAGTGTTAGCGCATTACACTCAATTGTCAAGGATTCTGGGTAGAATCGGGGAAAGCATATACCGCAAAAAGAGTAGGTCAGGGACGAGTCTTCTTGCTTCGGTTCAGAGTATCATGAACGATCTGTCGGAATGGCTGAAACATGTGCCATCCGAACTTCAGATCGACTTCACAGCATTGAACGGTCCTCTATCAAGGGAAGCTGTGTCTACATTCCTTCATTATTACCAGTGTATCAACATGACAGCACGTCCGCTGTTGCTGTACGTCATTCAAAGCAGGCTCGAGGCCCTGGCCAATGGGACTGCCCCTGTGAGCTGGAAGGATGGACTGTCCGCCAACGTTGTGGCAGTGATTGACAATACCATTGCTGCTGCTCGTGCCAGCAGTATGATTATGAGCGCTGCAGCCCGGCAGAACATTTTTGGTAAGCCTTGATCATCGGCGTCAATGGAATGATGATGTTAACGGCAGGCAGCAACGTATGGTTTCATGGACGGCGAACACGCCTTTTCCGCATCTCTGATCTTGGTCATGGTCAACGTTGCCTTTCCGTACAATGAGAGAGACGAGAAGGCCATGGAGGCCGCACTTTTTGTTCTCCAAAGTATGGCGGAGAAAGGCAACGAGTATATCCAAGCTCGACTGTCACTCTTACTAAACCTTCGAGCTTCAATCGGACCCCGAGCTTCGACCTACAGGAATCAGCTACAAACACCAGTTGGGTTGCCGGATCACCAGTTAGGAGAACCGAATCTAGGGCTACAATATGCGAGCTTTCCCTTCGTTAGCCAAATTACTCTGCCCGACACGAGCCCCCAGCTTGACGTGCATTTCCAACCCTTGCAGGACGTTGCTCTCGATCTGGAAACGGAGGACGACCCTACGTTTTGGGAAGAGATACGAAAAAATATCAACATGGACATAGACAGCACTGTCTGGATCGAGGATACTCTGCGCAACGAGGCATATTATTTGCAGCACAACATGTAGCCTCCGCATTATCATTGGCCGGGCGAGATGACGCTTTTCCGAGCCTGAAATTTCTTGACACAGGATTTCCACACCCTATATATGTGCAAAATTATTTACTGGCGGCAATGATGTCCCAGTCTCTGATGTCCAAGACGAGCATATGTCCAGGGGCATGAGCTATGACTGTGCCCTCTGGCTTAGCGCTGCGTATGGCTTCTTGAGGAGTCACACCGCATCCCCAGAACACAGGGACAAGCTCATCATCCCCGGTACCCATTCCTTCGACAAGTGGAGAGCCATCTATCCCGACTGGTGCCTCCCCATATTCGGGTTGAGAGATATCTTGTATCCCTAATCGAGCCACAGCATCCCATCCCCAATCAATCGGCTCGCCATGAGTCGCCACATAGGGTCGAGTGATTTCTCGCACTTGTTCGATGTCTCGGCGACGGTAAGGCCTCATTGAAACAACATATGTTGTACGTTTGAAACCCCCTGCTGGACAAAGGGGGATGCATGTCCGGTACATTGGCACGTTCCTTTTGTGGGCCATATGTGTAGGAATCAGCCCTGCGGCCGCAAGCGCGGCTTCAAAGCTGTACGAGCAGCCGATCAAAAAGCCAACATGGTCGTCCGTCCACTCTGCCGCGACATTGATACAATGGGACTTTTCCAGAACTCCGTTCTTATAGACCATATATTTTGGAATGTCATGTCGAATATCGAGGTCTTTGGCAATTTGATCGCCCGTCAAACCTGGTATCCAGGACTGTAGCTGGTCCCAATCCCCGACTTCCTTGGACTCTGCTAGGAGTGGACATGGGACGGGGTTCCGCTTACACAGCAAGCGGAAGTCCGAAGCATAATCTGATGGAAGAACGATCAAGTTGGCCTGAACAAATGTGGGCGCGGCACCCGATGTCTGGCTCGTGTATTCTCCCGATCTGGCGGAGAGACGTATACTTTGTCCCGTCTCCTCGATGGCTGCTGGCTTGTCATTAGTACTGGCCTTGGGACCTCGTACTTCGACTCCACGGGTGATTGCGATAACTGATGTCATGGCGACTGACGGAGAAGTTTCACGAGTTATAGTACGTCCCAAAACGCACGGGACACAGAGGATTGCGGCGGTGGGTGGAGTGGAGAGATTCACTACTGACGGACCGGTCACCCTTTTTTATTATTATACTTATATTTTGGGGCTCCGCAAACGCCTTGTCAACCCCCTGTTTTCTAGAAACGAAGACCGGTCGGGCTTCTCCGTCCAGAACTTCTTCCTGTGCAGAAGTAAGGCGACTACCAGTAGGAATTTGGAAGCTGGGGAGAGCCCCAAAGACACTCTCCCGATGGATGGCTCTCGTTTTCGAGCGGATCAGCCAACACTCCCACTCCCATCCTCGACTTCTTCAGGGTACCGTAAGTGACACTGTTATGCTTGTCCTTTGAAGGTGACAAACAAGCCCAGCCACATGGGGAACTTTTCGAACCCCATTCGACACAAACTGCCAGCCAAACGAGATGGCGACTTTCGGAACAGCGTCTAGCCCTTCAAGACTGATTCGTTTGCTTCCTGCTTCCGTCTTCGTCTTCCATCATTGTTACTTATGTCCTCATGGTTGCGCCCTGCCCGCATCATGGCGCCGTGAGCTTTCGAGGGCGAGGAAACACCTTCCCAAACCATCCTAACTCTCGGCTGATTGTACACATACTAAATTGCCATTCTTCGGCACAGAGAAGCACTATATATCCCATCGCTCTGGGCGCAGATCATGATCTGGTTCTGGAGGCCACTATACTTGTCAAAGGTGGGCTCTGAGACGGATACAGTTGCCTCCTGAATATTGAGAATGTTGAGAGACTAGTGGCCGGCGTGGTCCCTCTGTCTTGCTGACGCTTTTTGCTGCGCTGACCACTGACCAGACCCGGAGGGATGGAGAGAGAGCCGTCAGCCGAGCCGCCAGCGGCGCGATGGCGGGACGGAGATGGAAGGGTGTGATCGGTGCGAAGAGGCATGGAAAAGGTGAGGGTCGAGGGTCAAGAGTGGACAGCAGGCTCAGGTCAACTGTCAGGCTTATACAGAAAGGCCCTTCCAGGGCCGTCGGCGGCACTGAAATGGACTGAAGCATTCCCCACGGGTCCTTACTGCTATAAGCCTTCGAGCAGTTCCGCGGCTGAAACTGGCTCAGGAAGACAATCGTGTCTCAGTGAACCACTGCAGTTGTTATCGCGCAAGGCACTCTCCAAAGGAACAAACTGGATACATATCACACGGAGAAAACTTGACGGACGGAGTTGGCTTGTTCTAATCCACCGTATTGATTTCAAGGTAGGCAGTGCCTGACTGATTCTCCCCGGGTGCCCTCCCGTTGCTTCAGTTACCAACTTGCAGTCACCAGGTACCTTCAAATATTATGGCCGCAGAATAACTTCCAACAATTAGAAGTGCCCGAGACCAATGCATTGGGGTCGGATGGTGCAGTGGTTCAATCCACCAGCACCACCGATACCAATCCATGGCCAAGGATCACACTTCTAATCTGTTGCAGTAGGCCGTAGACTGTAGTTCGGAAAAAATCTCTTCATAAGTTGAGGTTTCACTTCCCTCCAATGCACCGCAAAAAAATGTGGATGCTTTGGGGGAAAAAGTTTTTTGCATTCTTGTTCGAACGTTCGAATGGGAACTAGAGGAGTTTATGGCAATGAATCAATGACCCGACCGCCAAACTACCTAACGTCCCTGGACACACCACGCTGTCAGTGGTGTCAGAAACTTGTATTCGCGGCGATAATTCATCTCTCGCTTAAGCTATGGCATACCCCGGGGAAATCTCTTGTGTCCAAGTCCCCGTGTCGACTCTCAAATGTGGATAGAAACCAATCAAGAACGAACTATCAGTTCACGTCGAAGACTTGCCCACGACCTGACCGCCCAGAAACACAGGACCCTTATTACAAAAGTTCTTGATATCGTCCAAGACGGGTTTGGCGTCCTCGGAACTCATCGCCGCTCCCAGCTGGTCGGGACTGTCCCAGACCAATGTACAACCGGTAACGAAGGGTGGTTTTTCCTCGCCGCTTTGCTTTTGCTGCTGCGCAGATGACCCTCCAGCTGCTGTGTCATAGAATTGAATAACTTCCCAGGATTTCAGGCCGTATTTCTTGAACCGCTCTTCCACGAGCGGCATGTGGTTCGACAGGTAGTATTTCATGTCGAAGGTGGTGTCGGGCTCGTTCGGGTAGAGGACGGTGGCGTTGAAACCCATGTTTGGTTTGAAGACCCGCGAAGACGAAGGGATGACACAAGTGGTTTAATGGGATTGATGTAAAGAAGGTTCTTGGAATACTTCGTACTGTAACTGTTGGCACGACGAATAGTCTGAAAACCTCAATGGGATATACTTAGTATTTCTATGAAATCTTTGTATGTGAGTCTGACTGTGTCAATATTATGGCAAGGAGAACAAAACACATCATCGACACGCACACGCGCCTGGTCCGAGGCTAGCTGAACACTCTCAGCTGATGCGTTGGCCAACACCCATGTGCAACGATTCGTCACCAGAAGAGGGGCTATCTGTGAAGGTACCTAATGTACCGAACAATCATTCAGCCAAGGTTTCTCGTATAAACAGCTGCAAAAGGCCTGAACGACTGCCTTATGACACGCCAGCGTCGACCCTTCAAGCCCTGGATGCTGTGATGCCAGTGGGAGGGGAACCACTTCGTGCCGAGGTCTATCATCATCATTGGACATTGGATTGGGTGCCTTAGACCTGCCAGTCAGTGATTCCAGATACAGTAGGCTCCCGTAAGGCGTTCAACAGGTAGAATCCTTAGGCTTCGATACCGAAGCTTGTAATCTGAATACAAACTCATACGGTCGGGAAGAACCTGGAAGGACATATCGAACTCTCGATATGTTCCCTGATGTTGATGTTGACGTTGACACTGTCGTTAATCATCAGTGGGGCTCAAGGCTATCGATCTTATCGTGAGACGATAAGATAAGATAATCACTGACGGACAAAAAACTATCGACGACACACTCCGAGTCGTCAATTGTCGTAGAGAGATCATGTTGCAACATCCATCCTCCTCTTGATTTCCATTTATATCTACACCCATCGGAACCATGGTAAGTTTCCGGATAACCGAGTCTCACACCCATGCTAATGCTTTCGGCACCAGGCACCTCTCCGTGGCCTCCCCTCCCGCGCTGCGCAACCTCGAAAATCAATTCTCAAAAGCAAAAGCACTTCCTCCAACACTTCCGCCCTAGCCGAAGACTCCCTGTTCCCTTCTTCCAAAAAAGACAAACGACGAATCAAACATGCCATCCTCATGGACCGCGTCACCAAATCTTCAGCAAAGAAGCCCGCGAAGCGAAGACGACCGAATAAAAGTTTGGTCACCACGCTTGACACTCTGGCCGATGCTCTTCCAACCGAGTTCGACGGTGATGGCGATGGGAATAATGGTGATGCAAATGCAAATACACAACATGCTGGAGATAGACCGCAGGATCAAGTCAACATTATCAAGCGGAAGAGTATGAAGTCCCGACCTGGGGCTATGAAGAGAAAGGAAAAACTCGACAAGGGTGAACGAGATCGGTTCGCGAAGAATCTGGCGCAACTTGTTGCTGCTGCTCCGAAACCTGTAACCACGGGCGAGACCAATGCGAAGCGGGGAGACGGTGACAGTGACAGTGATCCCAAGCCAACAGCGACGGTAGCCTCGACGAGTGATAGGTGGGCGGCTCTCAGGGGCTTTATCTCGCAGACTTTGGAGACGAGACCGGATGTTAAGAACGTGACGACGAAATGAATGGGCCTGGGGGTTTGCGATTCTGTCAGGATGGCGGTTGACTTGGTGGGGTTGCCTGACCTCCTTGACACTTGACTTTGTACGGGAGACAACAGCGCGAGCTGCACTCCCATTTTCACCCAGGAAAAGCTGGAGCTGAAGGCAGTGCGGTCCAACGCTTTCCTCTGTCTGCTCTCCTTCTTGGGGAGAATCAATGGACAGGTAGCAGTCATGTGCTCGTGCTGCTCATGCACCGATTGGGCTCGGAACGCGAGTCTGATGAACAGTTCGTCTGGCCCTTTGCATGTCGACAATGGCTACCCAAAGAGGGTCATTATTATCCAGCAAGGCAAGCAATATCTGAGCATACTTCCTGCTCTGAACTTAATTTGCAACTACCTGTTGCGAAACGTGCCAGGACCCACCAACGTGTTTTATTCCCGAACGGCAACCATTTCAGCACACAAGGACATCTTGCGCGCGTCAATTTCGAGGCGGTTATTTATCTGCCGAGACCCGCAACAATGTGTCATATCCCCCAATGGAATGGCAACCATTTCAGCATGCAACAGGCATCTTCTCACGCTCCAAGTTCGGCTCACTGATTTGCCTGTCAGGGATGGTCACCATCAAAGTCCGAGTTTAGTCCAGTCCAGTCCAGCCAACCTGAATTCGCGGCGCGGACTGAATACATCAGTGGCGCACACGGAGTTCCGCTTCAGAGAACATTCCTGCAAATGGAAAGGAAACCAAGGGCACCCGTCTCCTCTCGTTCTTCTCCCGCCCCTTCACGTCGGACTTGTTCCTACGGACTTGGCGTTCCGGCTTGTATTTAATTGAACCGAAGGGATGTCGAACGGCATTCTTAGTCGAGACGAGGCATATCTTGCCTTCGAAACGCGTCGGCTTTACCAAAGCAGCATGGGAGATGTGATAACCAGACAGAAGAAATCGTCCGACTCCACCACTTTCTTATCATGCTCTGGTTGAGCACGAAAGAAAAGATATTTCTTGATGTCCTGAAATGCGGAAAAGTCGTCCATGGGCAGCGTCTCGCGTGCCAGCAAGGCTCAACATCCCCTGAGTCGACCTAGAACAGTCTCACTATGGTGGGTAGAAGTTACATAGTAGCAGCATTATGCGCGACTACAGTACTTGTACTTGACTTGATAAATCGATATTTCGATTCTTGAAGGTTCTGCAGAAGACAACAAATGCCAATTTTCCGGGTAGGGGCATAAATGCCATGATTTTGTGACATTCAGTTCGTTAAGTCATGATTAAGTATTGACCTCCTATTTTGCTTCCTCCTCTTCGTCGTCGCCGTCATCATCATAATCACCATCATCGTCGTCGTCGCGCCGTTCCAATCAATTGAACCAAATCATTCCAAGTCATCACTCCATTTTCCGCACGTTCCCATAAAACCATGCCCTGGCCCGCAGATCAATACATAAATCCGTTCCAATCACGAACACTTCTTGTTATAGAACCTCGTGATACCAACACATACATAAATCCGTTCCAATCACGAACACTTCTTG